GGCACTGCTGCAAGAGGAGAATGCACATTGGCTTGCTGACGACGTTCGGTAGCGTTCCGTTCCATTTGGGAATGTCATTGATGTTGTGTCATTTGCACCTGGGCTGATTCGTGTTGCTCAAGTAGATTTAGGAGAGAAGCCGAGAGCCATCGGGCCACGTCCTCCAAGGTCTCGGTCACTCGTTGCATGACTGACATCCGGCATTCAAAGAGACGCAAATACGCGCGTGCACGGACAACAATTGAAGTCAGATGGTTCAGATGTAGAATCCGGCTCTGCTCCGTGCTTCTCACGCGCGGTGTTCCAACTCTCGAATAGGGAATATTGAACGACGCAAACTCGCTCAAGTCTCGTTACGCGTTGCCCGGTGCGTCGGTTGGCCCTACATCTGCGCGGACGCGTGTTTACATCGTCTTGAGCATGGCACAGTATCAGACATGAATTCAGCGTGGCAACGTCATCGTGATTAGTACTGCTCGTTCTTCGCCCCCATTACTCCGCTGCATCGTTGACAGACTGGAGACGGGCCTGTGGTTGCCTCATTCCGGCAGAAGGCTCTTGCTGGGGGCTATATAAGCCGAAGAGGACGAAGCTCCATTCATTCTCCAACGCTTGTCTGAGTTTCGATGGCAAACACAACCCAATCGTATGTCGTGACTGGTGCGAACCAAGGTTTGTTGGCTCTTCTCGTGATGTGTTGTCTTGGACTAAGGACATTGCTATTCTTGTGCAGGTCTGGGATATCACACCGTGCACCAAATTGCGCAGAAACCACACACACTGGTATTCCTCGGCGCACGGAGGATATCCGCTGCGCAAGAGGCCATCGCTAGCTTTGCATCCGATATCCATCCCACTTCGGCTGTCATCCCCGTTTATATGGACCTCACCAACGACAAGACTGTGACAGATGCGGGTGTCTTCGTTGCAGCAGCTTTGAAGGAGCGTGGTCTGTCGGGCTTGGATGCACTCGTCAACAAGTATGCAGGCCGCATTTTCAACGGTTTTGTTTCCCAAGAACTGACAACGACGACAGTGCGGGAATTGCTTCCGGCACAGACCTGCTCATCCTCACAACGAACATCGCCGGCACGATAGCGGTGAAGAACACGTTCCGACCGATGCTCAAGCGAGGCAGCAGGATCGTCAACGTGTCTTCCATGCTTGGCTCGCAGGCACTGAATGAAGCACGCCCCCGCATCCCTGTCTCGATCTACAAGACCTACGCTGCGAGCAAGGCCGCGCTCAACAACCTCACACTCCAGTGGGCGTTCGAGGAGGAGGAGTCCCAGTCGGGCATTCGCGTCATGGCGCTCTGTCCAGGTAAGTGACTGCGAGACGGGTTTGGCAACGCCGATGGCTAATTTTTTTCCGCCACCAGGCCTCACCGCAACAGCCGCAAATGCGTATATCGAGCACGGGTCTCCGCCATCTGAGAGCTGCAAGATTATTGTCGACTCGGCTGTGGGCACACCTGAAAATGGAGTCTTCTTGGATGTTAACGGTGCAGTCATACCATGGTAGTCTGAGATGCGATTCGGTTATCTTTGAATGCTAATTCTCTGCTACGAAAACACGACAGTCCATACTGCAGGTCATGTGTAATCCTTGCTTGGGATCGACGAGTCATTATAATGGTATATGTTGTGAAAATGCGAGCGAGTCACAAAAGAATAGGACGAGAAGGACGGGACGCTGAAAACTAGGTCACCCAGCCGAAGATAAGAAGGGAGACCGGACGGTGAGAACTGGCGGCCGGAGATCTGGAGGACGGCGTCAGTGAGCCGATGTCAACGGGATATCTCATGCAGTGGACCTGTTCGAAAAATGTGCAATGTTCGTGGTAAGACGGAGCTGTCGCAGTCGATGGCCCCCCCAACAGAGCGCAGCATGTCTCACTGGGGAACCGTCGCGGAAATTGATGCGTTGTGGCTGACAGATATAGCCAATTCCAGACTGAAGGTGTAAACTATGGATCCGAAAAGAGGAGGGCACATGTATTGCATATGGTAAAACAAGGAAAGTAAAGCGAATTAAAACGGTATATCCTGATTGAAGAATGCGAGACCCCAAAGAAATGAGACGATTGCGTTTCCATCCCCCTGCCGAGGATGAAAGTGGAGACGGGGCGCTCAGTAGTGGCCACCGGAGAGCTGGAAGACGCCGTCAGTCGGCCAGTTTCAATCCAGCACCCTAACGCACCTTGGCCTTGTCCAGCGCGATCGAGTGGCCCTTGCCTGCAGCCACAATGTCCAGCCCAGAAAAGTCCCACGTGCCACTGCAAGCTCCGCAGTCGACCACCAGACCGTATGCGTTGCTGGTCCCAGACACCGTCGTCGGCGAGCCAGAGAAGCTCACACCCGAGATCGGTCCCCCAGTTCCAGGCTTGCCGTTATTGGCGGGGTAGCTCTGCGTGATCAGAACGCCGTACGACGTGATCCCAGACAGCTTGTTGCTGCGGGGGGCGATGAGCAAGTTACAGCACGCACGCGTGCGGATACACCGAGACGCACCCATCGTAGACCACATTCGCGACCTTCGCACCCGTCGCCGACGCCTGCACCTTGATGCGGATCCCGTACAAGCTGTTCGTCACCGTGTTCCGCAGCGCCTTGAAGTTCGTCACGCTCTTCCCGGACGCCATCGACCCGATCGAGATCCCGTGCCCGCCCGCGCAGCTGTTGTCCTCGAACACGACGTTGTTGCCCGCATTCAGCGCGAGACAGTCGTCCTGGTTCTTGACCGTGCACGACGAGATCGTGACGTCGTCGGCGCTCACGTCAAACGCGTCGGTGTTGTGTCCGCCCTTGGAGTCGCCGAGCGCTGAGCAACATGTTGATCAGCTCAGAAACCCAATGATGACAAGCACGCGCGACCCAGCACGGCCACTCACAGTTGTCGACCGTGACATGCGAGATGGCCGCCGCACCGCCGGTGGTGCCGACGGAGATCGCCTGCGCCGGCGAGTTGAGGACGGTGAACTGCTGGAAGGTGCCGTAGCCCTTGACCCTGAAGCGCGCGAGTCCAAGGTCAATCCCCGCGGCCACAGTGGATGCGCCAGTGGACCACTCACTTGATGAACGGGTGCGGCTTGAACGAGCCACCGTTGGTTCCCTTGCCGTCCCAGTACGAGGCACCGTTGCCGTCGATCTTGTGGTTCCCGCCGTTGAAGTTGATCGCGGGGGTGTTGAAGGTGAAGAGAGGACCAGGGGCTGGGAGCGAGTGATCGACTGTCAGTCCCAGCGGATTGCCCATTCCGAGAAACTTTGCGTACTGGTCGTCTTCGCGAACACGACATCGCCGGCCATGGTGACCGTCGCGCCTTTGGCAGCCTGTAATCGCGCGTCAGATGAGATGACCCAGGCCAGCGACCGCGCCGACACGTACGGCGATCGTGATCGTGTTTCCAGCAGGCACAGTGAAGCCCTGGATGACGACGTTGGAGCATCCACTCAGGTTCTTCGAGCTCGCCACGCTGTTGACCGTGCAGGACGCGCGCTTGTCGTTCTCGATGACGGCCAGGTTGCCCGGAAGCGCGAGCGCGACACCGATGAGGGCAGACAGCTGCAGGAAGGAAGTGATCGAAGGCATGTCGAGAAGTTGGAGGAGCTGGAGGAGAAGGGCGAGGGGAGGATGGTGTTGTGCTGAGCCTGCGGAGGGCCTATTTTATAGACTCGCATCGCATCCTCTCCGAGGCCCGGCAACGATGCGCCATATTCCTCGACGGCTCGACCCGTCAGGTCATGAGTCGTCTCGTGAATGAGTCCGAGTCCAAGTCCGAGAGTCGTTTGGCGATGGTAGGGTAACGGGTGTTGCAAAAGGATCAGGTCTGGCACGTGGCCGCAAATTAGACCCAGGCCGCCAATCGGAATCCATCAGATTGATCATGATCCCCGCTATTGTTCTTCAGCCTTCGTGGTTATCAGACCGCTGTGGCCTACTTTTGCTATTTTGAATTGCTTGCAGAGTCATATTTTTGCAAAAAAGACGAGATGTTCTCATGAGATTATTCCAAACATTATCCACCCATTTTACCATTAGCAAAGTACGAGCGGCCCAGGTTGCCATGCCATCATCCTGGTGCTGAGATGTACCTAGGTTTGGTTAGCCCGTCGGTAACCTCATGCCAAAATGGCTTCTTATTCTCCGAAGCAAATGCATGACCTTCCATAAGCGTGATTAAGAATTGCTGGGGCATAACGAGTGCCTATACTACAGACGCATTCAAGTCCCCGTCTTCCTCCCAACTCACGAAATGCACGGAGGGGGAAAATCCTGTTGCGGCAAACATATATATGATCAGAAATCGGAGAGTGACAAGCCGGAATGTGTCCCCTTCGAGCATCCGAATAAGGTCCGAACGGTCCAGGGTCGACCCAGCCCACCTGAACTGTGAGTTTGATTCCGAAGCCGTCCAGTCTGAAGAATCGTCGTCTTCGGTCACGCTTAACCAGTGTCAACGACGGTTGAATAATCCTGCTCGCTTCATAACCGCCATGGGAGCCCCAGACTCGGTGCTAAGATACAAGTCGGTTGTTTCTCGGGTCCAGACACGACTCGGCACGAAATGAACTTCTGCCCGAACATCGCAAATACACGAATATCGCGTATACGAGCAAAATAGAGCTCATGCGACGGAGCTCTCAACATTTCAAGTTTCGTCGATGAGGTAAAATCCGGTTTGTGGCTCCCCGTAGAGACATTTCGATCGTCTTTCACTCAGTAGTTTGAACAAGATCTTGAACAAATTTCAAGTTGCATTTGAAAGTACTCAGCACTTGGTGTCAAAACAGTCAAATCTTACTCTCGTCATATCAGATGCAGCTCCTGTGCATCTCTCCGGCGGTCCTTACCCTTGTCTCCGTGCCTCACTTCGTGAATAGAGGCAACCCAGCTGGCAACTCTGCGCCCGAATGGAGACTGTGACCGGTCAGTCTACTTGAGGAAAATTAGACGCTTTCGAGTGGCCGTTCATAGGCAGAAAGTTATCGGCAGAAAACTGGATCTGTCGGCGCATACCAGACTTGAGACTGAGATTATATCCACTCCGATCACATATCAATTGAGATCTTCCCATGCGCGGAAACACAAGAATGCAGCTATCTCCCCCCACTAACTTCATATGCTACCCGAACAGCAAGTCTCGTCCCCTTTGAGAGGCACAATCGGATTCCCACATTTTGATAATGGGTGGAATTTGAACTTGGATGCGATGCCCAAGTTCTCTCTGTCTCGTCAAACTACCAGGGCGCGATGTCGCCTTTCACATCCAAGAAGATTCCGTTCTTCGGTGAGCCCGTAGCCGAGTCGACGATGACTTTGCAACTCTGCTCGGGTGGGGCGCCTTGAGCAATGAACCCCGTGGCAGCAGTTGAAGTGAGACCTGTCCGAAACACTCTCAGTCATTGGCGGTGCCTGACCTGCCACGAAACCACCTACCCGGACAGAGCGCGATCACGCTGATCCCCGACTTGGCTTCCTCCTCCTCGAATGCCCATTGGAGCGTCAGGTTGTTCAGCGCAGCCTTGCTCGCAGCGTACGTCTTGAAAACCATGACAGCGATGGGGGGCCGTGCGCCATGCATCGCCTGCGAGCCGAGCAGAGACGACACGTTGACGATCCTGCTGCCAGATTTGAGCAGCGGCCGGAAGGCGTTCTTCACCGCAAGAGTGCCGACGACGTTTGTGGCGAAGATAGCGAGGTCCGGGCCGGTGGCGATTGCCGCGCTGTGGTCGTCGTCAGCGCTCGACAGACGAGGTCTGAACGTCGACGAACTTGTTGACGAGAGCATCCAAACCCGACAGACCCCGCTCCTTCAGCGTCGCTGCGACGAAGGCGGCCGCATCCGTCACTGTCTTCTCGTTTGTGAGGTCCATGTAAACCGGGACCACAGCCGACGTGGAGTGGATATCGGCCGCAAAGCTGGCGATGGCTTCCTCCGCTGCGGTGATCCGCCGTGCACCCAGGAAGACGAGCGTGTGTGGTTTCTGTGCGATCTGGTGCACGGTGTGGTATCCCAGACCTGCAAAGCGAAGAGTTTCCTCGGCTGAAGCACAAGAAAGACGACGAGCGCGGCCGACAGACCTTGGTTTGCGCCAGTCACGACATAAGATTGGATTGTGTTCGCCATCGGGGATTCAAAGAAGTGGTGGTGCCATGGAACTCCGTCGCTGTCTTAAATATGGCCCCCAGCGAGAGCCTTCTGCCGGCAAACGGCCAGCATGCGTGCGTGCGAATTCTTCTTCCGACCTTGCATCGGATGAATGGGGAGTGAGGAACGAGTAGCTGATAAGCATGATGACGACGCGACGCTGAGTTATCATAAATGGCATGTCGTGGTGTGCTCAGTCATCAGGTGATTGGATCAATCCACTGGGGCTCTTACGTACAATTGGCTGAGCCCTTTTCCTCCAGTAACTATATTTGAGCACGGGAACATGATATTAAAGAAGCACGAAGGAGGAACGAGGTTCGATGGAATGCACAAATGGCTTGAGTCGACTGGGCCTGTACAAATATGTTGTTTTAATAGTAAACTGGGGATCTCAGTCATAGTGTAAATGACTAACAGCCAAAAGGACGAAGCCAGACGGCTACGGGATTTTTCTTACTCATAGCGTGCCTTGATGTTTTACCGGGCCTTGGCCTTGGCCTTGGCGGAAAGTGGAGAAGGTGGAAGATCCCGCCGTCCCAATGCGCCGCATCGCTGTGAGTACTGAGACTTGCGAGGACATAATTCATCTCCAAGACGTACATAGTTGTCAAATTCCCAGTACAACAGAACATTTGGATCGGCGGAGCCATCGTCGGCCCGTAAATGACAAGACGGATTTGATCACGTGATCGTAACCACGCCATTCCTCCCTCCTGCGGTTAGGACCCGCGAGGATACGGCTCTTTAGAAATCAGATTCCAATCAAGTTGTGTTTTGGCCAATCCAGTTTACATCATCTCTTGCAATCATTATAAAGTGTACGCTGGCTGCAACGGTTGAACGGTCCTCTTCGGAGTGCGTCTGTAGGTTGAGTCACATGCGACCTATCATACATGTATTCAAAGCAACAGAGGTGCACCGAGCGTTGAGCTAAGATGGGTGAATTTGTAAATGCCCTCAAGAACAGAGCCTTTGTGCTGTGATATCATTCTCCCATGTATCTCGAAGACAAAGTAGAGTTCTTTCTGATGTTACGTCGTGGATTCCAAATAGAAAGGCGTAGCTTGGACGGTGGATGCTAATCCGTCCAATTCGTTCTGCTGTAGCCCTCTGGAGCTTTAATTCTGATCGGAAATATAGGCTACCCGCGCAGGCTCTTAGCGGTAGCTCTAAACGGAGGGTTGGGTCGAAATCTCGGTCGACGGATTTTCTATCGTCTGTTTTGGTGTTCTCCTGCATCTTCATCAGTGCTTTCTTCGATGTTGCATTTTCCGCGCAGAGCAGAGATGCCCTGTCTCAGTCACCTTTCGGCAGCTTGGTGCCGGGCGGACGCCACGCACTCCATCATGTGATCCGCCCTGCCCTGATTTGATATCATGATGACTAGGGTGATCGGCGTGCAGTGATCGCGGCGCCGAATCGGTTCGTATTCAATTCTTGCCCTCCATGAGGCCCAACGCTCCTGTTTGTCTCACCTCTCTTTCTGTTCCCACAACCCATGTCAGACCCACCGAGTTCCTCGACGAGCGCATCCGAGTCAGAAAAGCTGGCGCATGTGGGGTCTGGGGGAGAGAAGAGCGTCGCTGGCACGAGCGGCGATGTTGCGGAGGTTGAGGTTGAGTACGTGAAGGGCGTGCAGCTGGCGCTCCTTATCGTGGCACTGTCTCTCACAGTTTTGCTTGTCGCTCTCGTGCGTCGGTATCTCACCGTGCCCTGCGACACTTCATAACTGCTTTCGCAGGACAACCTGATTGTCACCACCGCGATCCCAAAGATAACCGACGATTTCAATTCGCTTGCCGATGTTGGCTGGGTGAGAGCTACTTGTGTTCTCAATTTCCCAATCGCTCACTCTTTTCACAGTACGGTAGCGCGTGAGTGCACAGCAGGCTTAGAGGGAGAGGGCCGACAATCTCAGGCTGAACATTCCAGTTACTTTCTCGGCATCGCTGCCACTCAGCTGCTGTTCGGCAAGTTCTACACGCTGTTGCCAAAGAAAGGGGTGAGTGAGATCGGCAGAACTTGCTTTCCCGTGTGCTGACTCATTCAGGTTTTCATTGTCGCCATCATCCTGTTCGAGATCGGGAGTGCTGTGTGCGGGGCGGCCAAGTCCTCGAACGCTCTGATCGTCGGGCGGGCCATTGCAGGATTGGGTTCCGCAGGCGAGTGGAGTCCTCTCGTGCTATCAGAGTTCGTTGGCTTATGCTGAAGAATAGGCATCTTCGGTGGCGCATTTGTGATCATATGTGAGCGCGGAGTTTGCATTCAGAATCTGCTCCCTCGGACTTACTGCAGCCGAATGCGTGGCCCTGCCTAAGCGCCCGATGTTCAACGGACTGTTTGGCGCGATGTACGGCGTGGCGAGTGTTGCTGGGCCTTTGGTTGGTGGCGCCTTCACTGACAAAGTCACCTGGAGATGGTGGGTTTTTACTTTGTTTACAAAGACCTTCGCTCAGATTTGCGTATTCGACAGGTGTTTCTATGTGAGACTGACTACACGTCGCCGAGCGAACACCTCCTCACTCCCAGGCAGATCAACCTCCCCATCGGTGGTATCAGCCTTGCCTTTCTCCTTTTCTTCTTCCACATGCCAGCTCACTCAAAGCCTGCCACGCGTGAAGGTGTGCCGTTCTCAGAGAGACTTAAGGAATTCGATCCACTCGGAACAATAACGTTCATCCCCGCGATCGTCTGTCTGCTTCTGGGCCTCCAATGGGGCGGGTCAAAGTACCCGTGGCATGACGGCAGAATCATCGCACTCTTCACCCTCTTCGGCGTACTTCTTGCTGCGTTCCTCGGAATCCAGCTATTCATCCGGCAGGAGCAGGCGACGGTCCCTCCCCACGTGATGCGTCAAAGGAGCATGGCTGCTGGAGTACTGTTCACGGTGTGTCAAGGCGGCTCTTTCTTCTTGTTTGTGTACTACCTTCCGTGGGTATCAAGCGGTCTCTGGGACGTATCGAATCTGATTCTCCACCAGCATCTGGTTCCAAGCGATCAAAGGCGCGAGCCCACTCAAGTCTGGCATTGACTGTATCCCGCTGGACCTCGCGGTGGTGATTGCGGTGATGTTCACCGGCGGCGCGGTCAGCAAGAGCGGGTACTACACGCCGTTCATGATCATCTCCAGCGTGCTTATGCCGATCGGCGCGGGGCTGCTGACGACCTTCACGGTCAGCACAGGCCACGCGCACTGGATCGGGTACCAAGTGCTCTACGGCCTCGGCGTGGGCTTCGGCCTGCAGCTCGCCGTCACCGCCGCCCAGGCCGTGCTGCACCCCAAGGACATCGCGATCGGCATGAATCTGATCACCTTTGCGCAGATGCTGGGCGGCGCGGTGTTCGTCGCGGTCGGACAGAATGTGTTCCAGAATAAGCTGATCCATGGGATCGCTGCGAACGTGCCCGGTGTGGATCCGCACAATGTGCTGAACACGGGGGCTACGTCTCTCCAGGACCGCATCCCGCCGCAATATATCGGCGCTGTGTTGTTCGAATACAATGCGGCGCTCATGGCGGCGTTCCAGGTCGGGCTCATCCTCGCGTGCATCTCGATTTTGGGATCAGCTGCGATGGAGTGGGTCAACATCAAAGGCAGAAATGTTGAAATGGGGGGTATAGCGTAGATGTTCAAGTCAACTAAAGTGTAATCGTATGTCATAATTGTACTATATGTATCGCATCGTCCATGTCGCTCAAATACTTTCGCCCCGTCCTCCTGATTCACTGAATCTTGACTCAGACAGCCATGTCTCATGAAGAAATGTAGTCCTGCGTGTCCGCCTCGGACCTGTCAAGAACTGTTTCTCTATCAACCTATAGCCCGCCCAACAACTTCTGTAATCCGACATGTCCTGGGCCTACATGCCATACATCAGGTCGAGGCCAGAGATCGAGCCCAGGCCGATGCGTCCAAAGAAGGGTGGAAAGACTACAAATGAGGCAGAGGTGAGGACGAGTCTGGCTTTACTTGTCTGAACGCTGATTAACCTTGACGAATTCAGCGTAGCCTACCCGACATTGGCTTTGAGTTTCCACAGCCCGACCTCACGCTCGGAAGCGCTAGCCTTCTTCCCCTCGCTCACCCCGGACTTCCTGGAGCTCATGACGTCACGACTGAGCGACTGAATCCGCGTACGTACATGCGCTTCGCTCCAACGACCGACCCTGCCTTCCTTCTTTCCTTCTCTCCCTCACACGACCCATTGGGAAGAAACAGCCGTACTGATGCCCACCCCAGACTCGCCTCCATCGTATAGCTCCACCTCTCCGGCCTCCCAATCTCAGTCCGCAACCCCTTCCTCACATCCATCCCCACTTGCACCCGACCACCACCACCAGCAGGAGCACAGTAAACAGATGATGATGTCACCGGGTGCACCGGAAGCAGTGCGATCCCCTTCAAGCGACCGCATCCTCGACCCCTGGGGCGGCATCGCCGGCGTCGAGCAGAGCAGCATCGAGCCGGGTACCGCACCGCCGTTCATTCAGGCGCGCTATGCGGCGCTGCAGGACGTCGCGGCAGGCGCCAACGCACAGCCCGACATCGGGGAGGGATCCGAGCAGACGCACGACGAGTACATGCACATGCGCGGAGATGATAGGGGCGCGGAGTCTCGTCTTCCAACCACAGCCCCTGCCGACCTTCCTGCGCCTGAATCCGCGCTTGAACCGACATCGTTCGTGCAGGCGCGCTACACGGCATTGCAGGATGTTGCGAATGGCGCGAATGCGCGGCCGGATATCGGCGAGGGGTCGGAGCAGACGCACGACGAGTATGCTGCTGCTGCGGGGCAGAGTTCCGAGCTAGATCGAAACGATGCGTACGGCGGGCTTGGTGGTGTCGAGGGTGAGAGCGTCAACCAGCCTGACTCGGCGGCCGGGCAGGCGGTTGCACGGGACGTGAACATGGAGAAAATCGATGGACTGGATCGCTCTGCCGACGTGGAGGATAACTCGGGATCGCGGCTGCCCGGTGTCACTGGTGCGTTCTTATGCGCCGACGCCTCTACCATCCGGGCTCAGATGTCCTTCCCCAGGCCTCATCGCCCGCCGCGCAGAGCTGCTCGCCCGCGACGCCCACACGCCCGCCATCAACATCAGCGAGCCGCCTGAGCCGCGCGATGACGAGCCGAAGCAGAGTCACGGCAGCCGGCTCGTGTCCATCCCGCCGACGCCGTCGTCGACACGCGCGATCAAGTCGCCCTCGCGGCTGTCCATCGGAAGCGATGTGTCGACGTACACGAAGGACGATGATCTGCCCAGCGCCAGCGACGAGACTGAGCCAGGGAACGGGAACGGGGGTGAAAATGCGACCAACGCAAATGGATTCACGCAGCGGTTGGTGAAGCGGTTGAAGCAGAAGTTGATGTGATACGGCCGAGTCTCAAGACGGTGTGCGAGCGGATTGTATGTAAGTTATTGGAGTGACCTATTTCGAGTAGTGTTGTCACGCAAGGATGTCATGCCGTCACAACTCTTGCAAAAAGATGTATCCATGTCCTGCTCTGGACTTTTTCGTTTCAGCTAAGGTTGTGAAAGGATACGAGGGCTTAATTTTCCATTTGGTTGAAAACTAGTGATACGTGTGATTACAAGGATTGTGATGACCTCTCAACTGCTCCACACCTATACTGGATGCTCTAATGGGACTATCCCGTATATTAAACATTTCAGTGGGCTGCCGCAGCCTGACGGAGACCAATTCCGGCGCGATTGTAACTCCGTTGTCCTCTTCTATCATCATTGAATCGTTCATCACTTAGTCAGACACAAGAAACCGCGTCAGCGGTGTGCGACAGCTTATATGCTCGGAGCTACGAGCTCCGCGCACTCTGAGACTTAATTAAGCCAGACAAGAATTCACGAGACGCTCAGATCGAATCTTGAGCCTGTTAAGCCACCCAGTACAGACTCCACAACATTGTTTGCATCGCGCTCGGTAGCAGTAGGTAATGTCCGAAGCTCAATTTCAAATGACCATGGCGCCACCGACAAGGATTCCAGCCACCGCGACCGCCGCAGCGAACGAGACACCGAGACCAGACGTCAGAGCGACGGCACCAGCGGCACGGGCTGTGGAAGCAAGCAGAATGAGAATCAGCTGCTGATGAATTATTCAATAGAAGAGACGGCGCGTACCGCTCGCAGAGGCAGCGGAGGAAGCCGCGTGGGAGGCAGAGGCGCTGGCGGAGCCGGTGAGGGCGAACGAGTTGGAAGGCTTGAAGGGCGCGGTGGCAGTCGGCGAGGCCGTCGCGGAAAGGCTCACTGGGGAGAGAAGGTCAGCGTGGGAAAAAGAAGGAGAGAGTAGCGGGGGGAAGTCTGGGGAAGTTGATCGCCGAAAAGTCTTTTGTATACGTAAAATACGGTTTGTGGGGTAAAGGGGTGGGGCGACGTTGCCCATGTGGAGAGAAGACGAGCGAGGGGTCCCGGTACTCACTTGCGCCGCAAATCTGCTTCTGGAGGCCCGTCGCAATCGCGTCGTCGTTCATCGCGCACTCAGAGCTCAGGCAGCTCTGCGACATGAACTGGAAGTCGGCGTTCGTGCACACACATGTCACGTTCGAGCTGGTCAGAGAGAGGAAATTCAGCCTCTGCATGAACACAGAACGCTCAGCACATACAAGGTGCCACACGCGCTGGCTTTGGCGGCATCCGTGATGCAGGTCACCGCACAGGGCGTCAGCGCGGCGGTCGCGCTAGCCAACGCGGCGCTGGCAGCTGAGGCACCCGCCGAAGAGGCGGCGCTGACGGCGTGCGAGGCAGCAGATGACTGCGCCGCAGCGAGGAATGGGAGAGCAAAGAGAATGGCGAAGACACGCATTTTTGACTTGGGACGAGGGGTTGTGGGGCGGCCGAGTGGAAGGGACGAGGACAAGGGTCGAATTGGCGAAGAAACAGAGTTTTATAGCGCTGGACTGGCGTGCGAAATAGAATCTGTCGATTCTCGTGTTTGCTGTCAGGGACCGCATAAGTGCCGCCCCCTAACACATTCATTCCAACATTCATATGGTTGAATGGGGTGCCTTGCTTGACGACAGGCGATGTCTCCCTGTCTGCCTGTGCCCATTCCACAACGTTCGTGACCACTTGCATTACCCTCCGCACACGGCTGCGATGAAAGGCCGCCCCAGAGCAGAAGACCATTTACGTGAAGAGGAGCCAACCCAAACAAGCAGGACCAGTGCCAAAGGATGTCCCTTAGCTGGCCGATCGGATCACGAGTGGGACCGTGATCGGCTGATGGGTCTAGTCTCGGTTTAGCCATGGTCTTGTCCAACCCTCATGGACTGAAAGCCGACAACGACGGTTCTCCGTCTCCGTTGCGGAGTCACACAATCTGGGGACGCATGTGCGTTAGCACCCAGGACTCCCGGTTCACATGCGCGTGGGAGCTCAATGGGAGACCACACATGGAGGTCGACCCGTCGTCTTGTTCCCGACTCGCCTCACCTCAATTGGGGGCTGTGTGACGCTGGTGGTGAATCGTTGGTCTGACCTGAGGAATCCTTTCGCGCCCTGACCTCTAGTATGGTGCTGTCCCTTACAGTTCACTCGCCCATCGTACGTCATACCCTGGGCAAGGAAGAAAGGGCGCTGATGACAAGAATAGGGAGCGCTAAGTTGACATTGTTTGGTGAGCGTTCCGTCCGTTAAACGCTTAGTTGACCGGCCTGTCAATATCACACAGATTTCTTTCCACCCATCGCTGCGGAGGATGGTCATACATCATAACTCGATCCCATCCATCCAAATCCCTCGGCGACATCATTCATTTTCATCTTGCCCTTGAGCAGCCCTGATTATCATGCCGTGCGCGAGGAGATGAACTGATACGATTTCTAGTTAAATGCAAGTGGCGAGCGCAGTCGCATCTGTGTCCCCAGCTCTGGAGAAAAAATGAACACACCGCCAGGCAAGCCAAGCGCGCAGAGTCCCCACTTTTACTTCCGGGATCGCGGGATGCTCATTCTCGAGGTCAGCTTGTCTCTGCACGACATGCTGCAGACTCATAAACTTCGCGTCGGCGCAGGCAGAAAACGTATTATTCAGAGTGCACGAACACTTCCTACACCGCGACTCGCCTGTCCTACGTGACCTCGTCCCAACGGAGATCTCGAACACCGGCCCGGAGGCGATATTCCACCTGGACGGTGTGAAAAGCAAGGATCTGGAACATCTTCTCTGGCTCTACTACAACCCGTGCGCCTCCTCTCCTCGAAACTTGCGCATCATCTCATCGCAGAACTCAACAACGGATCCGACCACACAGCCTCATAACAGACTACACCGCACCAAGATCAACCTGGCTCGCGATCCTCCGCCTCGCCGACAGATTCTCGATGACACGCCCCGCGCAGATCGCCCTCGAGCACCTCATGGCGCCGACAGCGACAGCGAGCACAGACCCGCTCGAGCGCATCATGCTGTGCGAGCGCCCGGACATGAGCCGCTCTGACGCGCGGGATGCGTATGTCCGGGTGTGCACGCGCGAGGCCGCGCTGACGGCGGAGGAGATCGCGCGGCTCAGTCCGGCGGTGGTCGGCATAATCGGGGCCGCCAGGGAGCGCATTTTGCGCATGCGGAGCGGCTTGGAAGACGAGGCAGTCGAAGTCGTGCACTGGGCGTTGGAGCAGGCGGAAGGCGAGAGTGATTAAATACATGTAGGAGCTGGCTAGGGTGCGCTTCAGCTAGCGATCCATACTTTGAGAACTACTCTATTCTATTGCACCCGGCTATTGGACTATTTCTTGTTTTACCAATCGTCTTCTATTCATAGCAAAATTTATGACAGAAGGGAATGGTCGTCCTTGGATCACTGACAGGACGATCAATTCTGGTCGGATTCAATAGCACGGTGCACTGTAGAACACCGTATTCACCGATAAAATGAACGGCCATTGGCTTCCGTGATCCATGTCTGGTAATGGACTCGACAGCTCAGCCGAGAAGCCCCCAGCTGTGCTTCCCAAACTTCCAGGATTGCCTGTGTGCTGTACAGTCGTTGCCTTGGCTTTTTGACAGTATGGGGCTGGTAATGGCCGTAGAAAATATGAAGAAGAGAAGATCGTTGAATGGATTCAGTCTGCACTTACAGGCAGATCATTTTCATGTCAAGAGCGGCCTTGGGCGAAAACATGCATCATGTGGAAGGGAAACGGGCGGGACGCAATGCAAAAATGAAACAATGGAACTTGGTCTCGGAAGCTGGGCTGTAAAACAGTCTGGCGACCAATCATAGTGTCTGAGTTGGCACGATCCAAGATTATTGCACCATCAAGCGGTAGCAAAAGGTCGCACCCGGGGTCGAACCGGGATCTCGAGAAAGCAGACAGGACAGGTCAGAATCTCGTGTGATGAGCCGCTACACTATGCAACCGTGCCATAGGGGCCCCAAACATGGTAAACCATTGCCCATAAATGATAATCTAGGGCAAAATTGAACCTTGAATTTTTTTTTGTGAGGATCAGGGAACATCAATTTTTGGCTCATACATCTTGTGCAAAGAAAACCCATATTGCGTACCGCTTGCAGGTCACTCCCATTTTCCGCGGGCGCGGGCCGGACCTGTAGCCTTGGGCCCAATGCTGACTTTTCGAATATGTTTGATAGTGAGTGTGGTGGGTACGTCACAGGCAGCATCGACTGATTGCAAACTGTGTTGATCCGCTCCGAATCCCTTTTTGCCAAAAATGGATTTAAGACTTCAGTTTGGAAGGATTCGTGACGAATTGAGGGTGCTACGACTCACCCGATTTACCTAATGTTCGAGCTCAAAAGTGCGAGGAACGATGCAGTCGCAGGCTGCACCAACTCATATGCAAACTGCATGAATGCCACAGCATTCTGGTCGCTGACTAGATGATGCCAAAACAGTGGGACAGGCAGAGATAGCACCATTTCTTATCACTGCTCTAATATTTCTGGCCTGACAACTCCTTGGACAATGTTCAGAGATGAGGGTTCTCAAATTTGAGGATGCGGATAGCAATCTCTTACTAAGTGTATAATTTTGAACGGAGAAGCCCGAGCTCAAGCCCGGGCCAAAGAGTTTGCATCCCAGAGGCATGAACCAGAGCCCACTGAAGCCTATCCTTCCGGGCTGGTACGGGATCGAATCGAAAAGCCCGAATGACTGGTACACGGTCTTTCAGGCCCGAATGTTGAGCCCGCAGAACGCCAGGCCCGTATCGTGCCAATCGAGGAAATCGTGCTGTCAAGCCTGAGTAAACAACCAATCCCTCCCTCTCACGTAAACACTCCACCTTCGGATTCGATGTCCCGTTACCGACTTGCATTCAACCGCCATGGATACCTACGCCTGGGATGAAATTCACGCTGCGATGTTCTCCATGGGCAGTGACACGTCGAGGGGGTCCCACACGACGTCTGCCTCCGTGCTGACTCCGCCAGTGAGTGCCGACACCGTGCATCGTCGAACGCTGTTAACACGATCGCGGTATCCACCACAGAATTCGGACGGGGCCTCTGACTCTCCCGTCCCAGCCCAGATAGCCGTATCATCGACGTTCGGACCCGACGCCGCATGGCAGCGCTCCGCCAATCAGGGCCCCGGCCACGTCGCGTCGCCTCCCGACATCGCGCTCCTCACATCGGACCGCGTTAACTTCTACATCCACTCCAGCACCATCGACACCTCCAGCCACCGTCTCTCCGGGCGCGTTCCCAGCGTACGTGGGAAGGCGCCGCCGATCGTGATTGACGTCCCTGAGACCGCCGCAGTCCTGAACGTCATCCTTCACGCGCTCCACGGGCTGTCGTGCGCACAGTACTCGCCCTCGCTGGACGTCCTGGTCGAAGCGGTCGAGCGCATGCTGAGCTACGGCATGGATCCCAAGTCGACGGTGCGTTTCCGTCGCTCGCTCGGCTGACGTCAATCGCTTACTGACCCGCGGCCCAAGGTTGTTCCCTCCACCTCCCTGTTCTCGCTTCTTCTCTCCCAGGCACCTCTCTATCCCCTGCGCGTGTTTACCCTGGCTGCGCACTATGACATCATCGACCTCGCCGTGCCCACCTCGTCGCATCTGCTGAGCTTCCAGCTGTCAGCGCTGACAGATGCTGATGTGCAGCGGATGGGCCCGGTGTATCTGCGGCGCCTCATGTTCATGCACAACGGACGTGTGGATGCGCTGCGCCGCGTGCTCGTGTCTCCTCCGTATCCCCACCCGCCGACCGCGGCTTGTGATTTCGCCAACCAGAAGAGCTTGAACCGGGCCTGGGCACTCGCCACGGCCTATTTGGCGTGGGATATCCGCCCCGGTGTGTGTGTCTTCTGGTCAGCTGCTCATGCCGGACTGACCTGTAAGCATTCAGATGTGTCCACTGGCGCTATAGAAGCTGCACTAAGACCTCTTGCGGCCCGGCTTCCGTGCAAATTGTGTAGGCAGGCGCTCGATGAGCGAATAAAAAGTGTGGTCACTCAGTGGTCTGTCGTCAAGGTATGTTCCGTTCAGATTCTTGCGCTGCCCATGTTGATTTGCCTCCAGCGCACTATTTGAAGCTGTGGCCCCAGAGTGTAAACCCGACTCATTCCCAATCACCTAAATATGTATCAAGCTACACACTGCTTTGGAATGTCAATCTGTATCATCTACCCCCCCAGTCCCTCTATGTTCCAGAAGCTGCAACGATCCAGTGCCTCTTCCGGCGTCCGATTTGGTGACCGGTTGTGTTCCTGTCCTCCACTGCTGAGCGAGAGATACTTTTTTTTTCACGAAAACAAAGACCCTCCGATTGAGATAGCAGATAAATCCACGGCTCATCAATAGCTTCAACCGTCGAGTCCCAAGATGCTACTTCACCGGGGTTTTGCCGCACATTCAACAGGAGTGCGTGGATGGGAGTAATCAGTTTGTAAGAGATGAATTGGAATTGGGACTCTAGAAATAAATTTTTAGTAGTTCTCTACAGAGCCGGATGTTCAATGGAAGACACTAGCACTCATCCATAATCCTTTGAATTCGGTCTCACCGTGTCATCGTCTACTGAACAGCACCCGCAGATAGACCGGTCTCTAGGGACTCATCGTCTGAGCCGTTTGACTTATCAGCGTATGACCCGCTATGTGGTGGCCATCAAATTTTGGAATGCAGGGGACGAAGATCTGGGCCAACCAATTACTCACGAAAAGTCTCCAGTGCTTGCTGATTGTCACTAGAAGATTTGGGAGGCCGCGTCCGCCGGTTAATGAAGCGGAGTAAGTAAGGGTATCCCAATATTTTTCATATCCAGAATGAGATGCTGCGAATTCCAACGAAAGAAATGATTTGGACGCTCCCGCAAAGTAAGTTTCGGCGCAGCTCGGCCGAAAGTCGCATCAGCCGCATTTTTTCCGATCGAGTCAATGTCGCTCGTTGATCTCGACCAATCCGTCCTCGTTGTCCCCTCTTTCACCCTCGAATGTGGCACGGAGCTACGTGATGTGCCAGTGGCGTACAAGACGTGGGGAAAACTGAATGAGCGGCGGGACAACGTCATGATCATCTGTCATGCGTTTACGGGCAGCGCGGACGTCGAGGACTGGTGCGTCGTGTGCGGTGCGAGCTGCTCTGGAGCTGGACGTCTGACGGAGCGCGCAGGTGGGGCCCACTCATGGGCCCGGGCCGGGCTTTTGACCCGCAGCGCTTCTTCATCTTCTGCGCGAACGTGCTGGGATCGCCGTATGGCTCCGCCTCGCCGATAACGACCAATCCGGACACGGGCAAGCCCTATGGCCCTGAGTTTCCGCCGACAACCGTGAGAGACGACGTCTGGTGCGTGCTCTCCCTAGCCAAGGCTGCCATCTGTTCATGTCTGCAGGCTTCACAAGCGCGTCCTGGATCATCTCGGTGTCAGCTCGGTCGCGGTGGCTATCGGTGGATCCATGGGCGGCATGGCTGTTCTCGAGTGGCCGCTGTGCACCCCAGAGGGATTCATCCGGCACATTATACCTATAGCGACGTCGGCGAGGCATTCTGCGTGCGTGCACTCACATGCCTGCTGCTTGATTTGTCCTCATCCCCCTTCAGGTGGTGCATCTCGTGGGGCGAGGCCCAGCGACAAAGCATCTACAGCGACCCCGGCTACAAGGATGGCTTCTACCTCATCCAGCCCATCTCCGGTCTCTCCGCCGCGCGCATGAGTGCGCTGCTCACCTATCGTTCCCGCGACTCATTCGAGAGCCGCTTCGGGCGCAAATGGCACCCGCCCAGCACCGCGGAGACCTCGACACCCCCATTATCCCCTCCACCCCGGGCTTCGACTGCGTCCCCTGCCGACTCCATGGCGCGGCACAACGACGGGCACCTCAACGCGCAGCAGCGCGGCCGGGACGCCCCGGGCTCGCCTCCGCCGGTGTTCTCCGCGCAGTCGTATCTGCGGTACCAGGGCTCGAAGTTCACCGCGCGCTTCGACGCGAACTGCTACATCCACATCACGCGCAAGCTCGACACGCACGACCTTGCGCGGGGGCGCACGACCGTCGACGACGAGGGCGCGCTTGCCCGGGTGCTCGGGACGCTTCCGCCGCGGGCGCTCGTGATCAGCGTCTCGACAGACGGGCTGTTCACGCCCAACGAGCAGCGCGAGATCGCGGCTCATATCCCGGGGGCGGAGCTTGTGGTGATCGAGAGTCCGGATGGCCATGATGGGTTCTTGCTTGAGTTTGCGCAGATCAACAAGCACGTCTTGCGGTTCCTGACAAGAGAGTATCCGGAGACGTATGCCGACCCACCGCTTGCGGTTGACGATGCTGCTTTTACCGTCAAGAAGACGAGCGTGTTCGGAGAGGCAGAAGCTGGTATCGCTAATTGGTGATCTGTACTGCGTTGTACTTCGGATAGTGATGCTAGTAGTGAGAATCACGACTCTTCAAAATAGAGAATCCTTCTGACTGGAACTTAACTGGATATTCAAGAAGTCCGCTGAAGAGCTCAGATTTGAGAGAGATTGACGAAAGATCTTGCCTGGTTTCTTTGGACAGGGATGAGCGAAAGCATCCGGTAGCAAAAAAAATACTAGCAGCAACTCGTTTCGATCGAGTGACCTCGGGGTTATGGGCCCCGCGCGCTCCCAGACTGCGCCATGCTGCTGTGAGGACATGCTACGGATCTGGATATCGATTCGGTTATGCAGGAGAAGCATGCTCTCGTCTAGATGCATGCAACGCTCGATTAGATTTCTACAAAGTACAACCTGGTTCGTATCTGCGTTCTTGTCACACGATGTGTTGGCTTCGTACGCGCCCATTCCTCCGTACTCGAATGCACCCGGGATCCAGTCCGTGACGTGACAGCAATAACAGAGTGACATCTATCGGCCCGAGTGATCGGTCTCCTGCTTTTGACCACCACGCTCCGCGCAACATGAACATCAGACTAGCTACGGTGCGCTACTTCACCACGTTCGACAGGCGACTAATCCTGATCCCAAGCCAAGGTATTTCAAATGCACTTGGCTTTTCGCTGGTCGGCAGGCTCGCTGACGCGATCTTTTTGCAGGCAGATGATCTGCTCGCGATGCAAGCTGCGAATCTGCACAACCTGCCGGAGAATTACACGCTGAAACTTTGTGGGTGTTTCTCGCTACATTACCCTGTAATCCCGCTGGATATTGGCTCACACGGTTGTGCCAGGGATGTACCACATCATCACATGGCCGCAAATCTCGTTCGTCGCAGAAGATCCCAAAGGCAGGATCGTGGGATACGTGCTGGCGAAAATGTGCGTGTGTGACTCGCGTTTTCTCATCGGGCCGGGCGGCGACTCACACGGCCACGGCCACGCCGCACTCTCTCGGCTGCCAGAGACGACCCGGAGGACCGCGACGCGCTGAGCACGGCGCCGGAGGACGAGGCGCGGATTCACGGGCACATCAACTCCATCTCCGTGCTGCGCTCTTATCGCCGCCTCGGCCTCGCGAAAAAGCTCATGCTTCTCTCGCGTGCGTGTTGTCCCCGCTTCCCCACGGCGCTCTACTCAAACCTTGCGGCGCAGAGGAGGCGATGGTGACCGTTTACAAGGCCTCCTTCGTCTCGCTTCATGTGCGGCACTCGAATAAGGCTGCGATCGGGCTGTACAAGAACGCACTGGGCTTTGATGTGTCCAAGGTGGAAGTGGGATACTGTGCGTTGTTCTGTTGCCCTCTTCCGCTGAAATTTCTGATACTTGGGTGCTCTTTGCGCCCATAGACGCTGATAAAGAAGACGCTTACTCGATGGTGCTTAGGCTAGATGCGTGATACCGATGCCATCTTTTCGAGTGAGAATTGGAGCAACAGAAAGAGACAATTGAGCGAAATTGAAGCGCCGTCACAGAAATTGAGCGGGGAAGCGGGGCATGACATCAGGTACAGACCCAGGCACAACTCCAATCTCGATCGGGAAGGGGTCAGAGACTTCGTGATTGCACTGATGGAAAAAGTTGTCCGTGGGGTGGATCGAACACCCGGCTCTTCGGATTGCGAAGCCACAACGAAGTGATTTAGCCACTAATCGACACAGACTTGCTCGAATGGTCCAGGGGTAGGATCCTGATCTCCTGTTGACATATTACCTCATCTGTCTCTGAATCTCGACGATTTCTCCACTTTCTTTAGCAAAGACGAAGTTGAAGTTGAGTCATACGACTCACACCTTAAGCACCCGACTTCACCTTTTCCCATCGCGGGTTCCCACCGGCCTGTCGTCTGGCAGAAGCATCACCGCCACCGGCTGCTCCTGCTCCAGTGCATTTTCTTCCTGTTGCCAACTGCTCGCCCATCTCTCTAACTACACAGACAGGCTCCGGTGCATACGATTATCTCATGGACGGGGCACTGAGCCGGCATCCACCCACCTGCAAAGTTCGATCTATCTACTCTGCCAAGCCAACTTGGGCCCGCAGTCTGGGAAGTTTTTCTGACGTTCCCCAGATGCCAGTGTTCCAAGCTACTTGCGTCTTCCAGGCTTGGCCCTGGAATGCGTCAAGCGGTAGTGGCGTCAACATAAGATCGCTACCCACGCATCGCCTCTGCTAACAGGATCCTGATGCTTCCCGTCAAGGCATCATCCACTATTTCAATCCTCGCTCGCCCACTGCTCCCGCCATCGACAACCCCTCCCCTTCCTCCCTACCCGAAGCTCAACTGGAACGCGCATGGTGGAAATGGACGCCGATAATCTCTCGGCCGGGACCGGTGGAACTAACCCTGAGATGACAACGCGGCGGCTGAATGGGATGAGGATCATCGCGCTGCAGGAGGTGGACTCGGCGGACCTCATGTGAGTCAGACAGCCCACCGCGGTCTCTCCCCTGAGCGTCATTCTGGAACGACCCTCGCAGGTCCTTTCACTTCAAGGTCTGCATCGTCGCTGGCATCGGGTTCTTCACCGACGCGTGCGTGCGCCAGTGCTGCTCTGCCGCTCATGTTCTGAATCCCCACATGTGCGTGCAGCTACGATATCTTCTCGATCAACATCGCCGCGACGATGATTGGATACGTGTATGGGACGGTGTCCGATTCCAAGTGTGCGTCCATTTCGCGCTCGGCCTCCGCTCCAACCGCAAATCCCACCGCGCAGGCCATCCGACGCTCACCGACCGGCAGAGCTTCGGTCTCAAAATCGCGACGCCCGTGGGGACGTTCTTCGGGCAGCTTCTGTTCGGATGGCTCGCTGACGTGTTTGGACGGAGGAAGATGTGTGCGTGCGATCCGGTCCCGCGGCCAGCCCAGCCCTGATGTCGGATGCAGACGGTGTCGAACTCATCATCGTGATCATCGGGACGTTCGCCCAGGCGACAGCGGGCGGCGGCCAGGCTATCAATATCCTCGCCATGCTCATCTTCTGGCGCTTCGTGGTGGGTCTCCCGGGGCCTGGCTCGCGCGCGGGCGGCTGAGATCTTCGCACTCCTTTCTAGGTCGGGATCGGGATCGGCGGGGATTATCCGCTCAGCGCCACCATCGCGTCCGAGTTCGCCGCGACGCGGATCAGAGGCCGGATGATGACCGCGGTGTTCGCTGCGCAGGGATGGGGCACCCTAGGTCCGATCTGTCCCCTCGCCCCGACGCGCTACTAAAATAACACCCGCCAGCCGCATCGATCACCGCGACTGTCATCACGACAGCCTTCAAGTCGCAGATCGAAACGGACTACGCCGGCTGCACGTGCAGCACAGCCGCGCTGTGCGCCGCCGTGCGCTCCCCGAACCACATCGACTACGCGTGGCGGCTGCTGATCGGCCTGGGCTGTGTCCCCGCGGCGATGGCGCTGTGGTTCCGCATCACGATCCCCGAGACACAGCGCTTCACGATGGACGTGCAGCGGAACATGGTCCGCGCGGCGGAGGACATCCAGGGCGCGCTCCACGCCGGGCAGCGCTACAGGCAGGGCGAGGCCCACCTTGGCGAGGAGATGACCGTCCGCGCGCGGGCCCCGCGCCGGGAGACGTTCAAGTTCTTTGGCAGGTGGGAGAACTTGAAGGTCCTCATCGGCACGACGTGGTCCTGGTTCGCCATTGACGTGAGTCCTGCTGCTCACGTGCGACCGACCTGCTCTGACGTCCCTCCGCCAGGTGTCGTACTACACCCTGGGGCTGAATTCGACTGCCATCCTCCAGGCGATCAAGTTCCGTGCGTCTGACAGTATCTATGGGAACCTCCATAATCTGTGTGTCGGGAACATCATCCTCGGACTCGCGGGGCTGATTCCCGGCTACTGGGCGTGCTTCCTCCTCATCGACAAATGGGGCCGGAAGCCGATCCAGTTCATGGGCTTCGGGATCCTCGCGGTGATATTCAGTGTCATGGGTATCGTCTCCCTCGACTTTCAACGTAGCACTCCATTAACATTCTTCCAGGATTCTCATTCAACAGTCTCGTCCCCGACAGCCAGAGCTCCAACGGCCCCAAGACGAACTTCTTCTTCTTCCTGTTCTGCCTGGCCAACTTCTTCCAGAACTTCGGGCCGAACACGACGACGTTCGTGATCCCAGGCGAGATATTCCCGACGCGCTACCGGTCGACGGGGCACGGCATCTCCGCCGCAGGCGGGAAGCTCGGCGCGATCGTCGCGCAGGGCATGTTCAACGGACTCGTGCATCCAGACAAGAGCGACCACTGGCTGGACCATTCGTGCGTGCCCCCTGCTGCTGCTGTTGGCCCTTTCTTTTGGGGCTGCATTCCGTCCGGCCGAGCTGATCGCGCAACAACAGATTCGAGATCCTCGCGCTGTTCATGATCACGGGACTCGCGTCGACGTGGCTCGTGCCGGAGACCATGGGCAAGTCGTTGGAGGTACTCTCGAAGGAAGACCAGGAGGACTTCATGCAAGGTCGGTGGAAATGGAACGTGTGTTGATGGCGCTGATGCCCCCTCCCTCGCAGCGCCGGAACATGGTGGCGAGGAGATTGTGAATGGCGTCGTCATTGCGATGCCGAATCTGCGGCGCTGAGGGGGGGTTTCTACGGTGATTTGTTTTCTCTGGTAAACTGTCTGTCTGGTTTCATGACTGATAATGGGGTAACTTATTCAATAAATCTGTGCGAGCGACACGAGCTCAATGAAGCAGAGAGTGATGCTGGCAGGCCAATCAATGCGAACAGTGCGTTGTTCCGGTGATTCTAGATGAGCATTCAATTACAGGGCACTATAAATACAGTCTAACTACGCGCATCAAATCTCTTTCTCGTCTACTTTCGTCGCGCGCGCTGGTGCCTCTAAAAGATATCCGGGATGGAACACGTTCAGGGTGATGATAGCCAGGGTGATCATCGCCCCATCGAGGACATCTGCAAGCGGATGAGTTCGCACAAAGATCCCGAGATCGAGCGGCGACGCACTGAAGTACACCTGCGTGTGAATAATGCGCCCTCCCCATCCATCTGCCAGCTCGATGACCCGGTACACAGCCCGGATGAACAGACACGTCGTGTTGAAGATCAGAGCGCACAGCAGCACCTTCATCCGCGGCGACAGCGCCTGGCGGGTATCACCGCTCCCGGGTGTCGCCGTCCTGTTGTCGTCGTCTGCGTTGGCTTCCCTCGATGCTGCGGCGCGCACGGGGCGGTTCGAGAGGTATCGCAGGATGAATTCACCTGCGCACAGGACGTACGCAGTTATCGTGACTGGGTCCGCGTGAGCATAGCGCGCGAGAGGGTCAGCAGTCGGGGGTATGCGGCGCACCCATCTGGAAAGCGATGCCCCCAAGCATGATGTTGCCTCCCTTCTTCGGATCCTTGAACATATTCACCGCGGTCGCGGCCGCGCCTCCACCGATCGCCTGGACAATGAGGGACACGATATCCTGTACGGGCTGCTCGGCAACTGCTGCTGATCACGGGAGACACGGATCTGATCTGACGCACGCAACATAGGAACAACACAGTGTCTAGGCCAATCGATCAGTCAGCCAGATGTGTACACCACCCGAATCAGCGCCGGGACGCACACGCTGTGGGCGACAGCCGACTATACTCCGGACCCAGCCGCCGGATGACCAAACCGAGGATGACGAAGTTGGCCGCTGCGAGCGGGGTCGGCTGGCGCGGGAGCACAATGAGCCGGGATCGCACGCGCGAAGAGAGCCGGGCCCACTCACGCCCATGATAGTGCAGACGATCCTGCGTGAGCCACAGTGTTTGCTTATTTCGGGGAATGGGAAACAGGATCGCGACGCACTGCATCTCGTACGCCTTGAACGTGAGCGGGTTGATCGCGGACCACAGGCGCCCCGCCCACCCCAGGATCTCGAGCACGCCCGCGAAGCACGCCGTGCTGAGCAGGAACCACATCCGGTACCGCGCCGCCTGGACGGCATGCGCGACTGGCAGACACGACCCCGGAATCAGCCGCCGCGCGTCACACAAACAGAGAGTGGGCTGCAGCACGCACGGGTCGAGAGCGAGAAGAGGACGACGAAGATGATGCAGACGTATTCCGTGGGGGTGTACCCGTAGGCGGACTGCTCGACCACTGGGTGGGGTGTCGCTTTTCGCATGGCTGTAAGAGGCTGGGTGGACGCGTGAGTAATTAGATGTATGTTCTTATGTATAGCGTCATTCAATTAAAACGGAAAGTCGGATAAGATGACGTAAGACATCGTGGTCACGGCGGCCTGTCGGCTAGATAAACTCTATTTTTGAGGCTGATCTATGTCTTGGTCGGCGCATCTGGGCTGTTGGTCCCAGGCATGAGAGATCATGGACTGTTTTGGGTCGGCATTCATTTGATGGAACCTCACTCACCGACCACAAATTCAAAGCAGGCCACCAACTCCTGTAGGGGATTTTTCTGTGTTTGCTTTGGCTGCCCTCGGTTACGTCCGGAAATAGTTGGAATCCACTTTGAGTGTGTGATGCTTCGGCATAGCACACAGCACACCCGCTTCCTCGGCCCACTCGCACATCGATTCCGGATCTTAGACTCGCTATCCACACCTGGGTTTCGACCAAGAATAAATGGAATTCACTCGCTTCATGGTACTCGACGCGTCGCACACAGCACAGAGCACACATGCCTTCCAATGCTCCGTTCGACTTCGAAGATAACAGGCCGAATTTCGGACTCAAGGACACGACACAGATACGTAGACCATGTCCGGACACGGTGCATCGTTTCGCTCACCTATTCAAAGCCACTAGTACTACTTCAGAGCAGACAGACTGCTCAACTTGCTCGCGGATTCAACATTTCTCTATCAGTCCATAAATAGGCGAAATACCCGTGGGATCCCGCTCGGACGTTGAAACACCACCCCAGCACACATGTCAATCGATTATTCTATCCACCCACTCCAAAACCTGCGCAGAGCCTCACCTCAAGCGCATGCGAGGTGTCACATGGGCCGTGCACGCTGGACCACAACAACATCCAAGTATGTGCAGTGCGCTATGTGGTGAAGAGGCGCTTCCACTTGTACTAGTCAGTCATTCGTGCCGAACCACCCCTGCCGCGCTTCGGCCGTATAAATGATTGCGGTCCCCGACATCCCCGGGCGACGTGGGTCTGTCTGTTCACGAAGATTGAATGACAGGAGGGAATCGATGCCGCTGGCCCCCCGGTCACAAGACCTGTCTGAGCTGGGCTAGGAGCATTCCAGATATGGACCATTTCCACGGCAGCTCATGAGGCAGAGTACGACTAAATACATCCAGCCTGCCACCGGCACGCAATTCTGAACCTTTCGCGGGAAGGAGCTACTACGCCTCGATACATTCACGGGGATTCGCGCTATCCGGACCGGCCTCCAAGTATCTTGACCTCTTTCACATAATCTCTCGACTGAGGTGGTGTTGATTGCAGGCGTTGTATTCCGGAAGGACGCAGTCGACAGTGGCTGGGGTCCTGATGCAGCACGCTACTTCGACTGGCACGGCACATCGCACGTTGCCAAGATCTCTATCTTCGCAGCAGCTGAGTAGCGAAACAAATGACTGCTGCGGTGCACCAGACTGCGCAACGATGCGTTGGATATGGGTACGTCCCAAGACAGCATCTGGGATGAACCCGGTCCTCGAAAGCGTATTGTGTAGATAGTCATAAAAGAAGAATATCTATACATTCCCCAGACAAAAAAGTTTCAAAATAAAAACTAGCTTCATGAGATTTTGAGCTTTTTATCTCGGGCCGGTAGTTCGCGATGGCTGTGCGTCAGTATCAATTTCCAACTTCAACAGGAGAAGTGATAGGGGCTCAACTCAGATAAAGTCTCAAACGATGCAGAGCCTCAAGTTCAAAGCTCCGTAGATAGAAACTAGAGGTATGTACATTAAATTCTGAGTTTTGTAGATTTTTGTAAGTTTTTTCCCATGTTCAAACCAACATCCTTTGTTTCCCGAAGCAAAAGAGATTTGGGTCCAAAACACATCTCGTGGATTTTGTCATGAAGTGTTTTCCACTGCCATCCGGCTTAGAGTCGCAGCCGCATAAGACTATGAGAATCACCTCCACTTGTATGTGCGTCATCGGGGCTGGCCAGGGTTACTTCGAGTACACGGCAGGATTATGGCTGTAAGCCGTATACCTATGTTCCCCGTCTGTCACTATGTCACATGTCTCTACCGCTGCGCCATTTCCAGCGTCAACGACGATCGTAGACCTGCACAGCGCAAGCATGAGCCGTCGAGCTCAAGCCTGCCAGTGACGATGTGAACAAGACGAAGGCATTTAGCAGGATGGCCAACGAGAACGTCAAGACCATACGAGGCATTGTTGGGTTTGAGATGGAGACGTGGGTCCCTACCGAGCACTATAGGAAGGCCAAGTCCCTCGCCGAGCTGGTAAAGCTTAAGCTCTTGATGAGACTCCCAAAGGGTGAACTTCGGGATAAGACTCGGGAAATTTGGTTCTTGGACGATTATGGACAAGGACGACTACATGTAGCTTCGGATCGGTTCTGAAATCCTGTCACGGTGTTGCTAATCTTGTCGTTTGCTATTGAATAGCAAGACACATCGTCCGATTCACCCTCTTCGACATCGAGCGTTGGCTTCAAAGGCGCGATTCACAGACGGTCCTCTTTTATACAACTGGGCTGCAGAGAACCGAGGCAAATTGCTCAAAACTTGGACGTATTACGCTCATTCAACAGTGGCTGGGGTCCTGATGCAGCATGCCAGCCAGCAAGGCCGATCGCACGTTGCTGTGATCTCTATCTTCGCGGCGAAGCAAGAAAACAAGGGCGCCTGCCACCTCCCGCAGCGACAGCTTGAAAATGGATGCGCACAGCTCATAGTGTGAAGATAGCGCGTGGGATAAACATGGCCCCTCAAACAGGTGCAGATTTCGTCATGTGGGGTCGTCATAAAGTAATACACATACATACAGGTGGGAAGGGAGCCAGTGTACAGGATGTCAATGTGCGGATGCCTGGAGAGATGTGTGTGGTGTGGAGTAGCAGATGGTGGAAGGATACAGTCACAATGCCAAGAGAGTCCTGAAGGTCATGGGGCATAAGGAGAAAGAAGCATCATCGGATGCGGGGTCGGCCTCGGTTCCGCATCGGGTGGTCAGGAGTCAGTCAGCCATCCCCGCACTCGTCCACCGCCCTCCGCCCGCGAGCGCAGCAACGACGAGCACCCACCCGGCGACGCGCGCGACGGACGCGAGGCCGCCCCAGACGCCGAGGACGGTCGTGAACGAGTGCGAGGTGTGTCGGCGTGTCTGTAGCTTGCGTGCGCGGATGAGCGCGGGGAGCGAGAAGTCCGTCGCGTCCTCGTCCTCGTCCTCCGAGCTCGACGATGACGAAGATGATAAAGAATCCGATTCGGGGTGCGACGGGTATGAGGCGTATGGTGCGGGCGAGATCTTGGATGCCGCGTAGGGCAGTGGAGACGGCGCGCGGGACACGGGCGGCGTGCAGGGGACCAGCAGCTGGCCGATAGAGAGCAGGTCACTCGTGAGACCAGTCGCAGGTGACGGTGCGCGACACGTTGGGCAGAGGCCATCGGATTGCGGGCCGTGGAGCCACTGAATTGGGATCGTCAGATCATGCATGGCAAGGCACAGGGACAAAAGAAGGGAACGGACATGGGCGATGTGTTCAGTGCAGAACACCCTGGAGCAGCACACAGTGCGGACGGGGATGGCTGCTGGCTCGAAACTGGGGTGCTCGCCATGAGCATGCGCCGCCGCAGCACTGCAAGAACCCACGCACCAGATACCGCAGTCTTTCTCCCCCTCCCGGTCTTTTAGTGCTTTGGCCATGGCCGTTCTGCGAGGTGGGCGGTAAGTCTCGGACGTGAGCCGCAGCGGTGGCGAGCGGGGTGTCGGGCAGGCAGATTCCAGAGCGCCCGAGCCGAGATCGATGGTGAATGACTCCTCATCGTCGCTGTCGGAGTAGTCGTACATGGAGTCGGCACGCAGGAGAACACGTTGTCGCCCTTCGGGGAAAGAAGCTATATGGGATGAAGAGCGGTGGTTCGTTAGCGGCCAACGGTCCGCATGGGATCACGCACGAGCCCTATCCAACGCTATCGCAGCGCAGACGCAAGGGAAGAAGATGAGAGGAAGTCAGAGCAAGAGTGCTACAATCCAGGTTTCATATGTATGGGCTGGGCGATCGGCTGACTAGACATGTGAAAAGCGTCCATGAAGGAAGAAGACCACAGACTAGGAACTCGGAACTTACCCGCTGTTTCCCCGCTCTGGCCTTCCTTCCTTCCTGCGCAGCGCCTCCTGCTTCTGATCGCGTTCAGACAGACGAAACTGTAGTGGGGGGACGGGGAGGATCGGGCGTGATACACAGTGGGTCACGGCGAGGGCTGTCAAGGAACAAGGGTCGTGTCTCAAAGGGCTTTAGCCTTTTCGTGGAGAAACATACCTGGAAGCACATACATATGTACCTCGACCTGCTTCGCCTTCGACCATCATTTATCTCTGTCCCAATCGGAATACGCGTGCATCTGCAGTCTGGAGACCTGAAGATTGATTGACGATCATACTAGACGGCGTTCTAGCCCGTGCACCGTGACAGCTCAATCACAAGTCGGAGGCCCGGAATTGTGCAGGGGCGGATGGGATGGATGGTCATGGCGGAAAGAAAGAGAGAGATGTAATATTCGGCTCGCGCGACGCAGAAATCAGACCACTTTTCGAATCGAAGCCGATGTCTCTGCATCAGTCAGCACGCGTCATGCGTCATGCCTCTAGAATCTCTTATGTATACACGCCGCAACCTAAAGAAACGATATTGAAGAACTACTGCTGGGACCGCAGGAACTGCACCAGATCCCTAGCGAAGATCTTATGCACGGCACTTCGCGGGTGCAGGTGGTCTTTCCATATCGCTCCTCCCGCCTTATACAAGTCCTCCTCTACGAAACCATGATCCGCGTACGTATCTAGTAGGCGACTGAAGCAGTCGAAGGACGAAAAGGTGAAGATTCGCGCGTCGCGATGTTCATTGGCGAAAGCCTCGATTCTCCGTCGAAGCGAGATGTTCCAGTTGTAGTACGCTGCCGGCATACTGGGGTCGTTCGCAAGCGCTTTAGCCCCTGATTGAAATCGTTGAGCAGCAGGCTCGGTAAAGAGTGGGAGCGTAGCTGACCTGTGGGTGTGCGTGCTATGGGTGGAACATCGATGTACAGGAAGAGCCGGGCACCTGCCGCATACAGGCTATCCTGAAGCCCGAAGAGCAGGTCGTGCGTTGCCTCGTGCTCGCGTGCGAAACTGTGAGCGCGGTCAGCACCACACACGCATGCTGAGAGAGCTGGCAACGGCGCACGCGCAGTCGTTGATCCCGGTCCAGGTCACTGCACCGATATCAGCGCATGCACGGCCCGGGTAAGGTCGCACTACGACGCACCGAAAAGCGAGTCCTCTGCCTTCCACATCAACTCTCCGCTTTTGCCCTGCCTCTTCATAGCGTAACCATCCAAGAAGTGTTTCTGCACTTGGCTCTCGACCGCTCTGGGCCCACTGAACTGCGCTGCCACACGCGCCCCGCCGACCGCGTAATTGTGTACCACCAGCTCGGGGTGCGTGGGGTGCCCCAGGAGCAGGTATCCGACCCAGTTGGTCCCGTCGTCATCCGCGTAGGTCTCGCCTTGGAAAGGAACAAGGCCTGGGGTGCGAGGGATAGCGTGTGGCGGTAGTGTGCCGACGTTGGGTTCTTTGGATGTCGAGCAGTAGGATGCACCGCTTGAGGTATTCTTGAGGCCAGCACAAGGATTTGGAGGAACGGACGAACAAGATGAACAGATTCTTGATACCCTCGAGGCCCAGCCATGGAACGGCGGGGTTGAATGACATGTCTTCGATCCGGGGCCCAGAGAGAGGATGCGCAGGGGTGTCCACCGTCGCTGGTGCAGGGCCTACAGGCGCATCGATCGGCGGGTCCGACGCGTCAGCAGTTTCCGATAACGGCTGTGGTCGAAACATGGTCACGAATTGAGGGGATACGGAGATAACATGTTATGAACCCTGAGGTAAGGCCTGAGCAGATGCGATTTGAGGACCATGGTCCAAGCTGAGATGGTGGTGGAAACCGAGCTGTAGGCCGTGATTGCCCATCATCGCCGATCTTTACCAGGTCTGCCTCCCGCCACGGCCTGATGCCGACATACCTCACATTCTCCTTTGCAACACCGCATAAAAGCGCCGAGCAATGCATCCAATCGACCAAAGCTGCGCTCGGACTCTGAGATGTCAGGTGATGCCGGAAAAACGGCGGGCTGTACTCGGGAGACGGCTTTGGCCGACGACCGTGGCCGACAAGGGCGTGGCCAGCGTGGCACAGGTCGCGGTCACCAGGCCAAAAATGTGGGCAACCCTTCCGCTTTATCGTCGGTTTCATCGAAGCTGACCAGGATGAAAGCTCGCCGCCTGTTGATGCACGACCTTCAATGCACGGAGGATATTCGGAACACATGCCATCTGACACTCGACTCGGTATTTATATTTACACATACCTGCAGAGCCGATTCTCGTTCCTTCTGCCTTCACCATGCCCGCAAGCACCACGAACCTCGTACGCGCGCTGCTGCAATTGACTTTCGCGTCGCTCGTGCTGGGACAAGCGCCGGTGTATGGACAGTGTGGTGGGATGAGTTTCTCGGGACCGACGACTTGCGCCGCTGGGTGAGCCATAGCTACAGTTTGCGTCTTGTCTCTCCTGCTAATGCCACCAAAGGTCGTCTTGCGTCTTCAGCAACCCATGTGAGCGATGATTGAACGATGAGGTCATGTATCTTCTCATGTCTGGGGGGAATGAACAGGGTACAGCCAGTGCATTCCCGGCGCTGCTCCGCCAACCTCGACCGCCACTGCACCGCCTACGACCCCAACCGGTCCCGTAAACTTCTGGTTCGCTTTGTGTGTGGTTTCACGCCGCTCCCGCTCAGCACAAGTCCTGAACATCGACATAGCGGGGACAGTTACACTACGACGAGCTTCGACCCCACCATGACCCTCCCCTCGGTCGGTAACCCGTTGGGCAATCCTCCCTTCCCAGGATTTACCGGCGGAGGAGGTCGGTGTTTTCTCGCGGAGCCTCATTTTACCGTCCCTGATCCGCAGAACAGGCGAAAACTATGTCGGATACGACACGGTGACGTACAACAAGTCCACCATCCTGACCTACAACTACGCCTACGGAGGCGCCACCATCAACGGGACGCTCGTTCCCCCATACCTGCCGACAGTCCTGTCGCTGATTGACCAGGTCACTGAATTCACAACTGGACCGATTGTCAAGAAGCCTGTGAACGCGCCGTGGACAAGCTCCAATGCGTTGTTCTCTATCTGGATTGGTCAGTCAAATGATTCTCTGTCGATAACCTGACTGATGCTCTCGGTACCAGGAATCAATGACCTCGGAAACACATTCACTAATCCCAACATTACGTCGTGCGTATTCGCTTCTATTCATCAATGATGAATCCAGCTGATTGGGTCAATGAACTAACAGCTTAAACAATGTCTTCATGTCCGAATACTTTGTGCAGGTGGAGAAACTTGTAAGAGACGATTCCTATCTTAGTGGCATTTTTTGACGCAGCCGACAGTAGTGCGAATCCAGCGAATATTGTCTCTCATTCGGACTGACCTTTCTGAAGTGCCGCTGGAGCAAGGAACTTCTTGTTCATCAACGTCCCCGCCATGGATCGATCGCCCTTGGTTCGGGACCACGCCTTCTGCTTTAGTCCCTCCAGCTCACAGAGTCACAGATCATGTCTCAGGGTGCCAGCAATTCAGCGCTGGAGAAGGTCGCCATCGCTGACTACAATGCCAAACTCAAAACCAACGTGGCCTCATTTGCGGCCTCGCATGCCGGGGTACGTCCATTCCACCTTCGGCGCGCATGCCCCTGTTTCTGACTGTTCGTTTCCAGGTCAAAACTTGGCTCTGGGACTCCAACACCGTCTTTAACACCGTTTTGGACTCTCCCACAACGTACGGATTTGTGGATGCTGTCAGTTTCGGAAACACGGGCGATTTCTGGGGGTGTGTGCTCCTCTCCTTGGTGTCTCAGATCGGTATTTGACTCTTGATTAGCAACAACTACCACCCTGGGCCTGCCGCGCATCAGATCTTTGCGAAGGATATCGCTGCGCTGATGAATTCGACCATCTGGTTCTGAATTCGACCAGTAATTGATCAATCAATAGTCAAATTTGTAACACTGCGCAGCCAATTAGTCTGATGCTCTCAGTTCTATAGCCGCTCTCAGTTCTATAGCCACTCTACCTGAGTGAGTTGAGGAAATTGCCTACTCAACTCCATTCCGATAAGCTTTGTGCCTGAATGGCCCTGCCCTACTTAGAGGCTCGCCCTTCGAGCGCCTGAGGCTATTCCCCCAAGTTACAACACCATGACCGCGATTTCCCTTGCCCTGATCTTCGTCGTGGTACTTTACACCCTTTGGACCCGCGCTCGGGGAAGATCCGAGACCAAGGCTCTGCCCCCGGGACCGAAGAAGCTCCTCATCATAGGAAACCTGCTTGAGATACCTTCTACCCGGCCTTGGGTTATGTTTGCGAAGTGGGCACGTGACTATGGTTTGTTTGTATCCGCATTTTTATACCGCAGCAAGTAAACTGACTACTAAGACGCGGTGCCCGGGGGCAGCATGTAATGTATAATGAGCCCGTCTATTCAGCCGTTGGGAGTGTGGTTGTTTGGTGTCGCGGATGGCGCTTGTTCAGGTTTCCAAGGGTGTTTCGGGACGCCGCATAGACATAGGTAATATGCATGGGACATGATCATAGGGGGAAGGGGGTGGTTGGCTTGGCCAGAGCCGGTCGTGGCCGCGTCTCTTGGTGTTCATCCGTGGTCGGAGTCTACATTGTCCCCTTCGTCGTCCGATAGGTCTGGTTCCGGTTCGTTTCCCAGCGCGGGGAGTTCGCGATCCTTCCAAGCCCTGCCGTTCCTCGTGAACGCCCCCGATTTCTGTAGGAATTCCGCTAGCGCGACTATCCCTTCCTTCGTGCCCAGCATCTCCGTTAGACCGAAGTTGGCAGATGTGGCTCGTATGATGGGTCGTTGGTCGTCGTATATGGGGCACTCGCGTAGGATATGTTCCCTCGTCTGTATTGCTTCTCCGCATGGGCATTCAATGTCCTCCGGTATATTGAATTGCTTATAGAACTCGCCGGTGTATCCGTGACCTGTTCTGCATTGCATCAGCCGTCCGAACAACTCACGTTTCCCGCCGAGTTCCGTGAAGTGTTGGCTGGGTTGTGTCGATGGTGGGATGTGGTTAGCGTCTGCGTATAGTCCCGTTCGTTTGCGTTGTTTCCATTCTCGGCGCCATGTTGTTTGGATGCGTTCTTTCGATCTTCTGAGTGCGTGGGATCGGGTGATGCATGTCGTTGACGCGAGGCGCGTTCCTTCTTTCGCAAGTTCGTCTGCCCTTTCGTTTCCTTCAATGTCGCAATGGCCTGGTGACCACCCCACTTCCACGGTTCGGGCTGGATCGTGATCAAGGAAGTCACAGATTGTTTTGTGAAATTGGTATGCGAATAGTTGTCCGGCGCGTGGCTTGGGGTCGAATATTGTCATGAGAGCTGCGGTGTTGTCAGCATATAAATGAAGATGTCTAATGTTTGGCTCTGCTCTCGCCATTGATGTCATTGCACCAGCGGCAAGGCACAACGCCGCCATCTCCCCGTCGTATACCTCCGCGTGTCCGCCTAGTCCTTCGGATTTGGCCCATATCTCTGTACCCCCTCTGTACATCACAAATCCCGCTCCAACGCGCCGTATCCCGTGTACCTTCGTCAAGGATCCGTCCGAGTATGCGAGTAGATGTTCCGGGTCATCAGTGAATGCTCTTATGCTTGTTTTGTGCATCTCCGCTGCCTCTTCTTTCTCCACTCCGCCTGTTCCCTTCTGGATCCTCAGCCGTTCTCCGAAGTCGCCTGTTGATCGTCGCCAGGGAGGGGTCAGGAAGGGAAGGATTCGTTCGCCTTTGGGGTTGGAGTGTTGGCTGAGTCGTTCGAGGTGTGTCGTTTTCCTCTGGTCCTTTCTGTTTCGGTTGTTTGGCCGGGCTGGGATTGGAGGAGGGTGGCTCGATGGATGTTTCTCTCGCCATGTGTTGGGTAGTCGTTCGATTACAGGATTGTATAGGCTTAGCTTGTTGAACCGAATTGCTGTTGTCCTGTTTATGTGATCCAGTACCAGACGGATTGGGGGTGTCGACGATTCTATCTCTAAGGCTTCCACTGGTGTCGTCTTGAAAGCTGCGCAGATTAGTCGCATCGAGCGTCGTTGCACTCTTTCTAGCTCCTTCTCGTGGCTTTTCTTTCCTGTCCACCAAGCAGCACTCGCATATGTCATAACAGGGACAACACATGCCTTGTAGAGTTGCCTAAGGTGGACCTGCGATAGGCCTCGCACCGTGTTTGCCAACATTGTCATTGCGTTGACTTTGGTCATTGCTCGGGCTGCTATCGTCTTCACGTGGTGCTTGAACGTCAGTTTCCGGTCTAGGTACACTCCAAGCCATTTAATTGTTGGGGCTACTGCGACCGTTGTTGTTGAGCCATCGTCGTTTGGCAATCGTATTGCTGGTGCCGTTTTGTCCTGTTTTCTTCGGGTGTAATGCATCAGTTCTCTTTTGGCTGGGTCGATAGAAAGCCCAGCTTTTTTCAATCCCTTTTCTACTTTCTTGTATGCTGATATAAGAAGTCGGATGTTTGTGTCCATTGCATCCGACGAGACATAAATCTTCCCATCGTCGACGTACATGATTAAGTTGACACGTGTCGGTTCATCCGGGAGTGGGATGTTGTTTTGCGTGGCTGGGAACATCTCCAGTAGGAAGCTGCTGTAGAAAGCGGCCAGGATTGGCGATACCGGTGATCCTTGTGGAATCCCGTTCTCGATGTGCTTCATCTCTCCACGGACTCCATCGATGCAGACCGCCGCCTCCCGTTCTTCAAGGAAAGAGGCCACCCATTTCACGTATGGGAGTGGTATCCCTTTGCGTCGTAGCTCGTTGAGTAGTCGTTCGTGGTTAACGTAGTCAAAGTATCCCTTAATGTCAAATGTGAGTGCTGACGTGACCTTTCCGTTGTTCCAGGCTGCTTCAATATCGTGCGTGAAGGTCAGAATTGCGTCTACCGTTGATCTATTTGACACGCCTCCAAACTGCCCTCCAGGGATGAGGTTGTGTTTGCCGGCCAGGAAGGTTAGGCGTCGTGCCACAACTTTCTCCAAGATCTTGCCGAGGCACTCAAGTAACTGTATCAGTCGGTATGCTCTCGGTTCTGAGTAGTCTGACTTCCGTGGTTTCCGTAGTGCCACTGCGATCGCGCATCTCCACTGTTTGGGGTGGAAACCATTCCCGAGGCACAGCTTGATGAGGGTGTATATTTCGTGGTGGGCTTCGCCCCATGCCCATCGTAGTACTTGATACTTTATTTGTGAGCTTCCTGGTGCCGTGTTTGTGGCCGATTCAAATATGCATTCGCGTACTTCTTCTGTTGTTACGTCCTGGAAATCGAGGTCGCCTGGCAGTTTGTCCGATACATTTGGGTTATACTCATCTTCCAATGGGGGAGGTGGCTGGAACAAGGCTTTCCGTAAAGCCTCACATTTCTCTGCGTGCGTTACTGCAGGTGCCTGTCCTTGCCTCTTGATTGCAGGTGATGGGTAGTTGCGTACACCCGTAGACCATTTCCGGAATCCCCAAATGTCGGATGAGGTTGCCTCTTGAAGTTTTTCGACTGCCCATTTCGCTTTGGTAGCCCTGCATAGGCGCTTAAAGAAGTTACTCATCTTTTTGACCTTCCTCCTCAGAGCAGCGGAGCGCACTCCATGTCCCTCTTCGTATGTCTTCAGTTCCAGTTGTGCGTTGCTGAGGTTGTTGGCTGCGTTTCGGAGGTTGTCGTTCCACCATGGTTTGGCTTTCTTCGATTGTCGTTTCGGTTTGGCCACCCGGGCTGTTGCTGCTTGCATCGCTTTGGTGAGGGCTGTTGCGGCTCTCTCTAGTTGCTCGTTTGATACCTGTTGGACCGGGTTCAGGATCGTGTCGATGTCCAGTCGTCGGGCGTCTAGTTCCTGCCGGAAAGCCGATGTCCAATCCATGGGGTCGACTTCTTTCATGTTGTATTGTACCCCGGTAATGTTCTCGATCTCCTCCCTTCCGTCGTCTGTTGACCATCGGATGCCGTGGTGGTCGGAACCGTACGACATAGATCTGTCAATTGTCCATTCTTGGATTGTGTCGTCGTTTACTGCTCGACCATTGATGAACATCAAGTCTAACACGGAGCTTGAGCTTGTTGCGTTATGTGGAGTGAAGGTTACCCCGCCCTTCTTGTTGACCAGGACACACTGTGGTCCTGCGTCGCTCTCCGTCATCCACTCAACGAAGTTATTGGATCGGCGGTTTCCGTTCTTATTGGGGCACGACCACAACTCATGGTGGAGGTTCCAGTCCCCGGTGAATACGATTGGGATGTCTTGGGGGAGGTTGATGTTTATGAGTCGTTCTGCCGCGGCTGGCCGATGTCCGCCTTCGTTGTATGTGTTCACGTACAGCCATCTTTTTCCGTTTTGTCTTGACACCTCGATGATCTGGATATCGAGGTCTTGTGCCAGATCGGACCGTAGGGTGACGTCAAAGTCAGGTCGTCTTTTATAGTACGTCATGACTCGTGGTGCTTGGTTTTGTGGTATCGCGTCAGTTGGTAGAATCGGTGTCCAGCTTCCGTGTCCAATGGGTCCGATAGTGTCATCACCATTGTTGTCTGTCCCAATTCGGTGCCACGGGGGTTCCTGTAGAAAGATGACGTCGAAGTCTTTTATTCGGTGATTAAGGAGTGCCTGGACAGCATCACCTTTCTTGTTTGTGTTCAGTTGTCCGAACCGGATTGGGCGCGTGAATTGTGGATGCGGTTGTTGATTCATTGGCCCGAGACTGATTTGCTCGTCGCTAACAGCTTGGCCAGTGCTTCGTCCTTCGATATGGTGATACGACTAGCTGCCGCTGCCCTGACGAGGTCCTGCGCTCGGTCATCCATTGTCCGTTCTGGTTCTATTGGTTCGAAGCGGTTCCTCGTTTTCTCCCCGGGTTGGGCTTGTAGTTGGGTGTCCCGACGTCTCCCGCCCCTCGTCTTCACTTGCTGCCAGCTACTGTCCAGTGCTTTCTTTTTCTCGTTTGCTCGCGCTGCACCGTATCTTGATGTTCGTTCCGGACACCGTCTTGAGTCGGCTGTGTGGTCGGTTTCTTGTCGTTTCCCCTTGCAGTTGATGCAGCATAGTCGGTGCGTGCATGGGCTTGCTGAATCGACATCCATTGTGTCCTCTGCTTGGGCTTCTGCCATGCAGTTCGTGCATTTTGCTTGGTGTTCCTTTGCCGAGTGTGGTTCTCCGCAATATTTGCAGCGGACTTCCAGTGAGCACTTGTCTGCCACGTGGTCGAATCGTTGGCATCTGGAGCATTGTGTCACTGGTGGGCGGTCGGCAAACAGATGTACAGGGCAGGAGCGTCCGAACATCGCTAGCGACTTCATCTCATGGAGTAGGAAGTTCGCTTCGTCTGATTCTTCAACTGCTAGGACGACCGAGGAGTGGTTGGTCGTCAGGAGATCTTCCACCTCAGTTACCACCGCCATCACCCGGTTGCACCCCCGCGGGGGTCCTCCTGGGTACCCTCAGACGTAGCTCTGAGGGTACCTAACAGGTACCCCCCTGCGGGGCCCGCGGGGGGGATTTGGTCCATTTGGGGGCGGGGGCATATGCGGGGGTCAGCAGGGGTCTGTACATGTCATGTGATTTATCATTGGGAGCGGGCAGGTGGGCGCGAAAAAAAAAAATGAATCACATGACACATCCAATGGGCAGGATGGCGGCTGATGGCGGGGTAAAAAAAATCACGTGATGCACTGCATGAAAATTATCAAAAATGGCTAGCAGGGGTTGGCGGGGGTTGGCGGGGGCGCTACTGGCCCCCCGCACACCATGGCGGGCAGTGGGCGCATTATCACGTGACTTTTGGGGCACCTTTTGTGCACCATTCGGCATGATTTCGGAGGTGTTGCTTGATCCATTGCATGCTGTGGCAGACAATGGGCGCATAATCACGTGATTTTCCGCCCAAAAAAATGGAAGCCTTCCCCAAATCATCCTGGTATCATTTCTATCGGTAAATACACTAGTTAAGCATGAATTTGAGCTTAGAAAGCCCAAAATGCACCCTGCACAATGGGACTGGTGATGCACTTGATCCCATCATTTGGCGGGGTCTGCTGTGGGGGGTGCCACGGGGGGTGCTGCGGGGGGTGCTGCGGGGGGTGCCGCAGGGGGTGCCACAAGGGGTGACGCAGGGGGTGCCGCAGGGCCCGCTGTGGGGTCAACCACAGGAGCAGGGGTAGGGGTGCATTGCATCATATTTTGATCTATCTATTCTCGCTGTGGTCATAGCATGCAGCATAATTATCCTTCATTTTGCCAGGAGTTTGGAGGCTGTGTCTGGGGTTGGTCTGCAGCTACAGCCATGTGACTCCCTGATGCTTCGGCAGGGGCTGGGATATCAAAACTGTGCAATATTGTCTGCATAATCCAGGCATGTAGGGTTAAAAAGAAAGTGTGATTTGTTCATTTTTTGGCTGGCAGGGTAGGTGGGCTGACATCATAGGCTGCATCGGGTCCACTGTCAACTCATTGATTGTTTCGTCTGCTCATTCTATACACATGCCCATTGGTAAACTGATCATGCTGTAGGCACAGTCTAATCTTACCCAGTGGATAATACCACACGTTAATTATGCACCTAATGTCACACTTCCTGTCTGGGACTCATTGAAGTTCATCTGTTCTGTGTTACTTTACAAGCAGTTTGCTTTAGTTGCAACATGAACAGATGTAACAGAGTGGATTTGACATGCCCTGAATTGATTCCTAGGTGGAATATGAGACAATGGATTCACCAGCAAGTTGCCTCACAATAGTCAGAGATTGGTAATATTTGAATTTCAAATTTCATATACAACACTCTGTGCACTCAGAGCTCGTATATTTGCAAGATAGACTGTAGAGACATAGATGGTTACTTTTACTACCTCTGGGGCTGCACACATCCTTGCCATGACCCACTGCCTGCACCTCTGCTGGTACCCCCATTGGCACCCCCGCCGGCACCCCTGTTGGCACCCCCGCCGGCACCCCCGCTGGCACCCCCGCCAGTCTAGCACCCCCCGCTGCACCGGTGCCTTGTCCCCGTGATTTTCTTATATGTAAGATTATGTAAACTGACAGCTCGGAACACGTCAAGTCACTAGCCAATCAGAACCTGTATAAACGTCGTACCTAAGTGTTTACTGCTCTTCTAACACTGTTCCTACAGTTATGCAGCTGAAAACCATCGGAATAAGGTCTCCTTCTGCTATTCTTATTGAATATGTAGATACTTCATATCATTTGTCCACCTAAAATTCGAAACATGAAAAGAGTTCACCATTGCTCAAGGTTCCTATGTAGACAATGGTTCAACATGGTTCACTTTGGGTATGGCAAAAAATATTTTTTCTACACACAAGCAATTCAATACAGCTGAATGATATACTCTTTGGCAGTGTCTGAAACAAATTCTGAGAGCCCTGGACCCTGGAACTATTCAAAAACTTGAAATGAGTCCGAAAAATAGGGTCTTGATAAACATGAGATATGGGCTGGTTTGAAGAGACATGGGCCACCGGTCATGTTGAATATAGTATTTTACAATGTTTCGGTGCCCTACCTCTCATCACATGGCCTCATTTCCCACTAAAAAGGGTGCATACACACTCAAGCTCATAAAATCAATTGTCACCCAGAAACAAGAGCAGTGAAGTTGTTTCACTGGGATTGGGTAAAGGTTACCTAGAAGTCACTTGGGTTGCAGTACAGAAGCTTTGGAAAGTGATTTTGTAGTTGATCCACATTTGGTAGGCTGGCAGATGCTTGTGCACCCCCACTGCACCCCCCGTGGCACCCCCCGCAGCACCCCCTGTGGTTGACCCCCCCCCCAACCCCTGCAAGGATTTAATTGACAAATGTCCTGCTCAATCCATTGTAAGAGTCTACAGTATGATTGGATTCAGTAAAGGGCCCAAATGGTGTGTAGACAAGAAGTATGAAATCCGGAAATCAACAATTATGACACCTCCACGGAATATGCTGCAAATGGAGAGAAAAATTTGAGTGCAGACAGACTACCTGAAGCAAACAGACAGAGAAAAGAAACATTAGCCATTTCTTGTTGATGATGTTGGCTGTCCCTGGAGCATGTACTTGGGAGATTTGCCTAACAAATCAAGTTGCACATTTTCAAATTTTTAGTTTGACCTGACAGCTTGAGCAGACCATGCTAAAATGAACCAAGTCATATATATCAGTGCCCCAAGCCAAGCCAAAAGATTTAGGTAAATTTGCACAGTTTTGATATCCCAGCCCCTGCCGAAGCATCAGGGAGTCACATGGCTGTAGCTGCAGACCAACCCCAGACACAGCCTCCAAACTCCTGGCAAAATGAAGGATAATTATGCTGCATGCTATGACCACAGCGAGAATAGATAGATCAAAATATGATGCAATGCACCCCTACCCCTGCTCCTGTGGTTGACCCCACAGCGGGCCCTGCGGCACCCCCTGCGTCACCCCTTGTGGCACCCCCTGCGGCACCCCCCGCAGCACCCCCCGCAGCACCCCCCGTGGCACCCCCCACAGCAGACCCCGCCAAATGATGGGATCAAGTGCATCACCAGTCCCATTGTGCAGGGTGCATTTTGGGCTTTCTAAGCTCAAATTCATGCTTAACTAGTGTATTTACCGATAGAAATGATACCAGGATGATTTGGGGAAGGCTTCCATTTTTTTGGGCGGAAAATCACGTGATTATGCGCCCATTGTCTGCCACAGCATGCAATGGATCAAGCAACACCTCCGAAATCATGCCGAATGGTGCACAAAAGGTGCCCCAAAAGTCACGTGATAATGCGCCCACTGCCCGCCATGGTGTGCGGGGGGCCAGTAGCGCCCCCGCCAACCCCCGCCAACCCCTGCTAGCCATTTTTGATAATTTTCATGCAGTGCATCACGTGATTTTTTTTACCCCGCCATCAGCCGCCATCCTGCCCATTGGATGTGTCATGTGATTCATTTTTTTTTTTCGCGCCCACCTGCCCGCTCCCAATGATAAATCACATGACATGTACAGACCCCTGCTGACCCCCGCATATGCCCCCGCCCCCAAATGGACCAAATCCCCCCCGCGGGCCCCGCAGGGGGGTACCTGTTAGGTACCCTCAGAGCTACGTCTGAGGGTACCCAGGAGGACCCCCGCGGGGGTGCAACCGGGTGATGGCGGTGGTAACTGAGGTGAGATCTTCTGGGCGTCGGAGCCATCGCATTTGATTTGTGATCTTGAGTCTGCTAAGGATCGGGTTGTTTATCAGCGCTTCTTGCATGAGTGTGTCTTGGCCATAGATAGTTGGGTTCATATCGAAAGCTCCCGTTCGTACGAGGTCGACCTGTATCTTCGTCCATTTCCGGTCGAGTTGGATGGTGCTAATCTGTCCGGGTTTTGTGAGTATGTCTTGAAACAGTGAAGAGAACTTGGCCAGTTCTTCTCCTGTCTGGTCGGCGCGTGTCTGCAGGACACAGTTTCCATTTGCCGTCCATTTCAGGGCTACTACTCGTAAGTGTTTTGCGTTCTCGTCGCTTTGCAGTGCCTCGTTGATCTGTGTCACTAGCTGTTTTTGGTCGGGCCGCGTTCGTGTCTCCTCTTCAGTTGGTTTCGCGTTGAACTTTATGATGAGTCGTGTCGGGTGGTGGGGCATCAGGGGGTTGTTCGCTTTGGGATTCGGAGTCGTCGTTATTGTCTTCGTCGGTCTATATGTCGGGCCGAGGGTCGACTGTGGTTGGGTTCCTGCGTTAGTTGGTGTTGTCCGGGTATTTGCAAGTTGTTGCGCTTTTTGGATCCATTCGAAGTTTGCGTCTAGTTTTGCTGCCATTGCGGTTACTGTTGTGCTGAGATTATCGAGTTGCGTGCCCATCTTGTCAATGAGCTGGTCGCGGCTTGCGAGTTTGTCCTGTAGGCTGTTCATCTTGCGTTCTGCGGTGTTCCGGCTGGATGACGCCTCCAGTCGGAGCGTCTCCAGTTCAGCAAGGATCGCCCGCGTTTCCCTACCGGTTACCATCTCGTGGATGTTCCGCGTAGCGTCGACGACTTCTTGTGGGAATCCCTCGGTTTCGAGTATTTCGGGTATGGTGGCTCGTAGTCGGTTGAGGGCCACCTTTGCGTCGTTCATGCATACCGTATATGCATTGATGATTCCTTCGGGGTCGCCGCTGTATAGATCGATTTCCATGTCTTGTCCGTATTCGTCGCTAAAGTTGGTGTCGGAGGCGCCGTCGAATATGTGTCCGTGTTCTCGCGTGTGGTCGTGTGTCGCGGTACGGTATTCATCGGAGGTGAACGTCGGGATGTTGTATGCTCGGTGTTTTATTGTATGGTCGAGTGCCTCCTCCGAGGTGTTCGCTGCCGTGTCCGGGGGTTGTGTTCTGTTCTTCCTGGGCGGTGAGAATCCGAGCGCGTCACTCACCCGTGTGAGTAACTTCCTCGTTGTTCCTTTTGGTGTGGTTTCCGTTCGGTCTCCATCTTCCGACCTACCCTTCCCGCTTATGGGTGTTTGCGGCCGTGACGAGAGTGCGGTGTACAATCTTGCTGGTCTGGGCGTTGTGATTTTACCTGTTCCGTAGCTCAAGTCGCTGTTTCTCCTTTGAGGTGTTTTGGTAGTAGCGGGCGTTCTCGGTGTAGTTTTGGGTAATATCCCCGGCTTATGAGCCGCATTTTGGGTTGTCATTCAGTTCCTGCCCTCAGCGAGCTTCAGCGGCGGGCCGCTTGAAGGTGATCGAGGTGGGTGTTACGGATCAAAAAGGACTTGACGTGACTATGGTCCGAAAGCCTAACTGCTGTCCGTGCAAATCCCTGCTGATCGACCACCGCTAAACCAGGCTCTGGCGTAATCCATATCTCTGCACCGGGGACGTCGATCATCGTCCTGAGCTCGCTTGAGGCGATGCGCGACTTGTTGGAAAAACGGGGTTCAAGGTATTCTGACAGGTGCGCAGTTTCCTTGTGATTCCGACTGTCAGTCTGTCGTGACCGATTGCAGAGGGCCAATGCCTATGATGAAAGATCTCATTGGCTGGGATTTCAGTTTTGGTGCGTATTGTTGTATTCATCCTCAGAGTTGGTCTGAGTATCATACGAGGCTTTCTTGATTACGGTGAGTCGGGTGGATTTGTGCAGCCGCGAGGCTGAGCCGCTAGAATAGATGATGAATGGTACGTAACACCAAATGCCCCGAGCGACGAAAAGAGCCGATCCGTCCAATGCGTAGGCGTCGGCAACGCAAGCTGCTCCACCGTGATTTCAGTCTCGCTTCAGTGCAGAAGCTGCGACCTCAGCTCCGAGATGCGGCGCGCGAACTCATTCGCGACCTATCCAATGACCCTCAGGCCGAGGTCATGTCGCTCATGGGACTGTGAGCGAGCGCTTCATCATAGCTTTTCGAGCGTGGAACTGAGCGGGAGGTGCAGATTCACAGCGAGAACGATCATCCGGACGTTATATGGTCTCGAAGTGCCCCATCTGAATCATGCGTACATCAAGAACGCGGTCGATGCCATACAGGCAGCCTCCGCTGCCGCTGTTCCCGGAGCATTTCTGGTGGTGAGTCACTTCCCGATTGAATCGAAGTTGGAGAATAACAATTCCGTCATCGAAGGATACCTTCCCGATCCTGCGGTTCGTTCCTGGGTGGTTCCCAGGCGGGGGATTTCAGAAGAAAGCAAAGCGTTGGAGGAAGTCGATCGAAGCTTTGCAGGATCTTCCTTTCCGGGAAGTCGAACGCCGGGTGGTCAGTGCTTTATCTGCGAGATAAGGTTTTATCTCCGAGCCATGGCTTACCTCCAGTCCGACAGCAAAACAACACCGCCCAGCCATGTTTTGTGCAGCGACAACTGGCCGATTGTAAGACTGCGGAGCAGATACAGTCTCTGAAGGCGGCGGCGGCTTCCATGTACGCCACCGGCGCCGACACTACGATATCCCCGCTGGGCACGTTTGTGCTCGCCATGATGGAGCACCCCGATATCCAGCGCCACGCGCAAGATCAGATTGATCGTGTCGTAGGGCGCGGGCGTTTGCCGGATTTTGAAGATCGCGCGCGGCTGCCCTATGTCGATGCGATTCTGAAAGAACTATTCCGCTGGAGACCGAGTGGGCCGATCGGTGGGTCGTTTCTGAATGGTGACAAGGATTTTCCATCGATAAACTCTACTGCACTCAGGGATACCCCATTATATCAGTGTAGACGACGAATATCGGGGATATCATATCCCCGCTGGCTCGAAAGTCATCGCAAATGTCTGGTGCGTGATCTTCTGTTTCATTCCCTCGTGTTGACTTCACCAGGGGATTGCTCCAAAATGAGGTAAGCAGTATAACGCCATATTCGTCCCGGTGCTGAGCAGATTGTGGCAGGATCTGTTTCCTGATCCGCACGACTTCAGACCGGAGCGCTTTCTTGTAAACGGGGTCCTGAGGGAAGATATCGTTGTGGACCCGGCCGCAATTATTTTTGGTTTCGGAAGAAGGTCGAGCGAAACTCGGACGGATCTGGGGAGACCAGCTGACTGCCAATCTCTCCCACACAGATTGTGTCCAGGACAGGCATTCGCGCTTGATAGTCTCTGGATAACGATCGCCACACTTCTTGCGGCGATGCATATCGAAAAGCCAAGAGACGAGAGCGGGAATATCGTCGAGCCCAGTCATGAATACTTTTACGGGGTGGTAACGTGCGAGATCGAACTTCTCTCCTGCAAAAGGTTAGTTCCAACAGCTGATATGAATCGTTAGAATTCCGTTGCCGTTCAAGTCAAGCATCACGCCCAGGTTTTCACAGAATAATGTGAAGTAAATACATAGATGTTTCTGTCACGTCCTGCCCATTGCAGTGCCCGTCGTAACTATTTTCGACTTTTTTGATGAGACAACGGACGGCATGCCCTTATTAGGCCATCCATCAAAGCTTAGGCACAGCCCTGTGAAGTGCTTACCACTTCACGCTGACGAAGTGCAGCAGGATCTCGTTTCTCACTCGGACGACGTCCCTGCGTTTCGTTTCGTGTGCGCACACCCCATCGACGGCTGCGGTGCGGCTGGAAACCGCAGCACATGCGCTGGGAGGCTAAATACGCGATGGAGTGGGCTAGAGGAGTATTCCACATTCTTCTCCCATCCTCTTATTCCACTTTTCTTTTCTTGAGATGCCTCTTTCTGTCACGAACGGTTCGTCTTAGACCTTCCCTCTGATATCCTTGGCACTGTGACCTGACGTGATTTGACTATGCAGTCGTCTCTCAGGCTCTGTCTGCTGCGCATGCACAGAAGCACTCTGCCTACGGATACACGCCTACATTCTATGTCACTGCCATCTACGTGGTATTGTACTTTTTAAGCACTGGTGCTTTCTAATATCCACCGCTCTGACCGCCAGCCTGATCTCATCTTCAGTCATTCATGCGGGACAAGCGGTGTTCTTTGGCACGTACTGGATGCTCGCGACTGCCTGTCTGTGCGGGGTGGGCGAGACCATCGGATGGATTGGGAGACTATGGAGCAGCCACGACCCGACGCTGAGCACGCCCTATATGATGCAGTGCGTCCTCTCTATCTTCGCGTTTGCCCGAGTAGGTAGGGGCTACAATCGCGTCACAGGATCACGACCACGATTCTCGCACCTACGCCACTGGTCGCGGTCAACTTCATCCTCCTCGGCCGCATCATCGTCTGTCTGGGCCCGGGTTACTCACGCCTGAGTCCGAGACTCTACACACGTATCTTCCTGTCCTGCGTATGTGGTGATACCTTCGAACGCAAGTCATGCGGCTCACCTCGTGTCTAGGACATCATTTCCCTCCTCATCCAAGCAGCGGGTGGGGGCATCGCCGCTTCAGCACACAAGGCGGCCTCGCAGAATCTAGGCGGTAACATCATGCTCGTGGGGATCATCTTCCAGTTCGTCGCCCTTTGCGTCTACTCCGCACTTGCCGTCGACTTCCTGCGCAACTACGCCGCGCGGCGCGTCGTCAAGCCCGCGCAGCACCCCTGCGGTGCCCCCCGCGGAGAGATCGACGCGCGGCTGCGCGTGCTGCTGTGGGCCATGACGTTCGAAACGTGTGTCCTGTTCGTGCGCTCGATCTACCGCACGATCGAGCTCGCGGACGGCTGGACGGGCCGGGTCATCACGACGGAGGCGTACTTCAGTGAGTCGCGCAGACTGCGCGTGAAATCGACTTGGCACTGATTGTCCGTTCTCGCAGATGTGTTTGACGGCGCGATGGTAACGCTGGCGATCTGGACCTTCAATTTCGCGCATCCGGGTTTGCTGCTGCTGCCTGTCCAGCAGACGAACTTCCTGCATATGCGGGAGGGGAAAGCCCACGACTCAATGGAGATGGACCCGATTGTCTAGGTTGTGCCTCAGAGGACATGGCTCAAAGCCGTGCCTGTCTTGGTATCCGGAGGACCCATAGATGCCCGGCATGGACTCGGAATGATCTTCTGCGACAAGCGCGCGAAAATCTAGCTTACAATTTTACGCGTTTTTAGTAGAGATGACCCCTGCATGTAAACAATTTGCGTCGGACTGATTGTTTACCTCTATGTATCTTTATTTCGCAAACAGCTTACTTATCTCGGAGTGAGCAGCGCGAAGAGCCAAAATCCCTCATAATTTCCCAGCTGCGACCTTTTCCGGTACTAAATTGAATCTATTTGGGGGAACAACATTGGAAGATAAAAGGCGTCATTTTGTAAGAATTTTTGTCCGGAAGAAGTGCCTGGTGGTCCACCCAGTGCAGATACCAAGACCGAAGTTTCGATTGTCTTCAATACGAGTCAGGTAGAGTTGCTGCCCTAGTGCTGCTGAATCGTGTGACTGAGATATTGATAAGGGCTGACGACCGAGTGAGAAAGTCGAGTTCCTTTCGCCCGCCGTCAGCACGTTCCATCTTATCAATAGTAACTAAACTCCGCTGCCACGGTTTGTTTCATACTGTGTCTGCGGCGGAATCAACTTGGTTTCTAAGCCATCGGATCTGGGAAGCGCCAATACGCCGTGTCTGTCATTGCAGTCCCTATTTTAGGCTATGGGCTTATTATAAGAACTCTTCGCGGGCGCCGGTAAGGCGAATTCGGGAATATTTCGTTCTTGACAGTGGGAGATTACCATGTGGTAGAGCCGTCAGGGCTCCGAATATCCATGCTGCATTGGATTTAGCAGTATATTTCTCCGCATAAGGATATTCATTCAGTACCGGCGGTATCAATCACGGTTGGATGATCGCGTGACTGTAATGCCAGCCTCAAAAATATTCAATCTCCTCACATCCATATCAGTCGCTGAGTGCTATCAGCGCCTTTCGGACGGTACCCTGTGAATTCGAACTTCTCAAGTGACGCGACCTGGACGGATGATCTGTCAAGCATCTATCTCACACTTCTTCCAGTCTTCATCGCAGGAGCGCAGCGCTTTTCTGATTCATGAGAAGGAACGCAGACTAGCTCGGTGCCCAGTGCCACATGACAGGTTGCACGTTATGCGGCGTATCTGACCAATGGACTCGCATCATCCTTCTCCCCGATTCAATTTAAAAAGCTTGGAGCCCACCCTGTAAACTTCGCTATTGGCAGATTCCTCACATGGCTCCCTACGATATCATCTTTGCTGGCGGTGCGTATCTGCAGGTTTATCTGTCCTGCGGAAGCTGAATCGTCTCGCAGGCGGGACGGCAGCGTGCATCATCGCCGGGCGACTGGCTGCGGCGGACCCGACCCTGAAGATCCTGGTCCGTGCTCTGTAAACCAGCGCTCTGGCGCGTTTAACCGCGCCTTGTACAGATCCTGGAGGCCGGGAAGCACACCAAGGACGTCAAGACGCACCAGCAGCCAGGGCGCTACTTTGCGAATCTGGTGGGGGGCGGAGACAGCTTCACCTACCACGACACGGTTCCCAGCAAGGCGTTGGGGAACCGCCCGTATCTGCTGCCCTCCGCCAAGGCGATGGGTGGAGGAAGCAGTGTGAACTGTAAGTCATCCCCCCTCTCCTGGACCGGCTCGAGGTGCGATCCGCTCAAACCCCGCCACGCAGTCATGATCTACACGCGCGCTTCGCCTTCCGATTACGATGACTGGCGCGATCTGGGCAACCCGGGGTGGGGTGCTGAGGACCTAACTCCGCTTTCGAACAAGGTGCGTGCGAGGGCCTGTGTAATTTCGGCCGAACTGACCCTCATACGCTCTCATCAGGCAGAGTCGTACGAAGATACTGCGGCCGCCAACCACGGCACGTCGGGGCCCATCAAGGTCTCGACGGTAGAGCACACGGGGATTCGGATCGGGACGCAGTTCCTGGATGTTGCCACTGCGCGTGATCCGGAGCGTGGAACGACAGACGACACCAACTCGCTCACGGTTGACGCGATCAACAAATACGGGGCATGTCGTTTTTCTCTCTTTTTGCCCTTGCTCATCTGTTAACCAATATCCAGCGCTGGAACCGGTACATGTCGCCGCAGACGGGCCACCGATCGGACGTCGCGCACCATTACATCTATAATCAGCTGGACCAGAACAAGAACCTCGAGGTCCGAGCGCACTGTCGTGTCAAGCGGGTGATCATCGAGTGCGTGTCTGACCTTCTATTGCGAACGGCGATTTCTGACCGGTTGCGCGCTGAGAAGAGGTGACAAAGCTGTCGGAGTGGAGTACATCAGCCATGCACCGGGTGACCCAAACGCCGACGTCGTCGTGTCGGCGTTTGGATCCCTCATCGTCGTGGCTGGAGGTGCGTTTGGATCCCCAGCGATTCTTGAGCGGTAAGCGAGTGGTGAACCTTCTTTTCGCGTTGTACCCGTCACTGATGCCGAGGACGTCAGCTCGGGCATCGGTGCACCCGCGCTGCTCAAGTCCCTCGACATCCCAGAGGTCGTCGCGCTTCCCGGCGTGGGAGAGAACTATAACGGCGCGTAGCATCCTCCGCCCGCCCACCCGCCGCGTGCTGACGCCAGACCAGACCACAACCGGCTGTTGAACGCCTATCACACGTCGGACGACGAGGTCACCATGGACAAGATCTTCCGGGGATTGGACAGCGATATCAAGCCCTTCGAGGACCAGTTCCTGGCGCAAGGGAAGGGGATGATGGCCCACAAGTAAGTTATTGCTAATGACAGCGAATCACCGAAGCCAGCCCGATCTCATCACCCTTCGCCAGCGGCGTTGATGCTGGGATCAAGATTCGACCGAACGCGAAGGACTTGGAGTCTCTCGGCCCGGCCTTTGCCGACCGCTGGGCGAATTTCTTCGCGAACAACCCCGACAAGCCAGGTGTGTGCGCAATAAGAGGTCTTCGGGGTCACGTGCTGAGGGGTCCAAGTGATGTGGATGGGGCCGCTTGCCGGATACTGCGGAGAAAATCCCAATGTAGGCCAGGGCAACTTCTACGCGGTGGGATACTACACGGTCAGTTTCTCTCAAGGGACAGAAGCTCCTCGCCACTGACCTGCCGAAGCAATACCCCTCGTCGACCGGACGGACGCACATTGTCTCGTCCGACCCGTACACCCCGCTGGCGATCGAGCCCGGTTTCCTCAACACGTGCGCCGTCTTGTGATTACATCCGCACGATGTCACTCATCTCACACCGGCCCGCAGCGACGACGACGTGGCCGTGCTCCGGTGGTCGTACAAGTGGACCCGCGAAATCTCCCGGCGCATGGACGGGTACCGCGGCGAGTTCGCCCCGGACCACCCGCAGTTTGCGGAGGACAGCCCCGCGGTGTGCGTGCGGACGGTAGGGCCCGTCGCGCTTGACGCGCCGGATATCGTGTATTCGGCAGCAGACGATGAGGCGATCGACACCTTCCATCGCGCCTTCGGTAAGTCCCGGTCCCATCAATCACCGACGCTCTGCTCACTTGGCCTCCTCAGTGGGTACCACGTGGCACTCGCTCGGCACGTGCGCGATGAAACCACGGGACCAGAACGGCGTGGTCGACTCGCGGCTGAATGTTTACGGCGTGAAGAACCTGAAAGTGGCCGACATGAGTATCGTGCCGACGAATGTGTCCGCGAACACGTACAACACTGCGCTGATCGTCGGGGAGAAGGCGGCGCTGATCTTCGCCGAGGAATTGGGGATCAAGGGCGTCTAGATCGAGGCTTCTATTGGACAGGGAGAATTGGCAACTACTTGTACTTTTATGTGCCAAAGTGTACAATTTGGGTAGAATGGTCATACATCGCGAGGATTGAGAGCTTTGCTTGCTCGAATTTGCGTTGGTCGCTTGAGGCTGCGTTGATTCAACTTCGATGTCTGCCCCAGGAGACGCCCAGCCAGTATTGATGAAGGCCGTTTCCATTCTCTGGAGGGTTCGGAAGGCTTTCAGAGTGTTGGGACGTTTTCCTGTCAAAATCCATTCTTGTTGGCCGCCCATCAGGTTAGATTCCGCTGAGACCATCACCGTCCAGTTTTTTTTACCGACTCTGTCTTATCGTAAATCCGATTGGGAATCATCTCAGTTGTGATGTCGTTGGATCACGACTCTCGCAAAAGCTGTAGTAAGCCCCTTGCATCTAATGCGGGTCCAGCAGATGAATGCTAGCTATTGTACAGTCACCAGGACAAGATATCGATCTGACCCATGGCTTAGGTATCGCCTACCAGTCTCTTCTAGCTGAAACAGCAATAATCGTATACAATGCACCAGTTTTGGGGCACATTTTCTCAACGTTTAGAAAACATGTCCACTCTGTGTACTTGAAATGACAAAGTATATGTATGTACATGGCGTTGGTCTTCGAAGCACCAGTTGATCACTCCCCATCAATACCGAGTTGACCAAACAAACACACCCAATCTTGCTCCTTCCAGGGGTGAAGTCAACCTGCACATCGATCGATGTGCTTGGTATCACCTGTCTATCTAGCCTCTTGACACCCGAGTTGGACATTCAAGTCCCATACCATCTTGTTGAAAAGACTGGACGGCGTCTCAAGGGCCTGATTCGGCGCCCCCCGTCAAAGATCCAAACACACTGCCTTGTCAAGTGCCCTGTCGGTGGGTCATTATTCCTCTTGTCAGTGCTGCCCACGCGCGCTGAAACCAGCCGCGCAAAGACCACCGACGAGTCTCCGCGCAGCGACTTGAATGCGAGAGCAGGATACGCACCGGCATGTGGTCATCAAGATCATGCGGTGACTCACGGACGAAAACGGCGCTCGGTTGTCGGCTGCGGACCCGGCGCTTCCCCGCGCGAGAGAGAAGGCATGCGCAGCAGCTGATGTCCGGGGCCTAGTTCTGCTGATGGCGTCGTTGCATCCGCTAGACCAGGCACAGACGGTGGATGGGACTAAGTGGATCGTCCGACGGTGCATACCGTGCACAGCCAAGAGCCACTGGTGTCTTGATACCCGCGGAAGGATATATGAGGAGGGAGGTGGGGGGAGCTGGAAAGTGCGACGGGCGGCGTAAAAGTTCCGCACACGATTGGTTGCCATAGTGCACCTCCATTCAGTAACGTCGGCCGGCGGAGGGAGACCGACAATCTTCTGCTCTTCCTCTTCCTCTTCCTCCTCTTCCTCCTGCGTCGTCTCTCGTCCTTCCCTCACTACTTCCGCCACGTTTTCTCTCCAAGCTTTGTCTTGTTATGGTACGCCGCACCACTCGTGTGCAGAATCGCACGCTCACTTACTGCGGTTCCATCTCCAATCGTCTTCCTCATCCGTCCAATCCAGGGCGAGTTCATCCGCGTCTTCCACGACCCGCTCGCTCTCATCCTCGTTCTCCTCGTGCGCACGCCTGCTGCTCGTTTTTCCCGTCCAATCGCCGCTGATAGCCGTATCCGCAGCTCGCGCCCCGCGTCTTCTTCTTCCGCACGATCCATATCGCCTTCCGCTCTCTCTTCATCTGCCTTACATTCGTTATTTATCTCTTCTGCTTCACTTTCAAAATCTTCTTCCTCGGCGTCTTCCTCGACGCTTTCGGTATTCTCGTCGACTGTCGCGATTCCTTCCTCGACGCTCTCAGTTTCTTCCTCGTCGGCGTCCATCGCACCTCCGACGCTGTCGGTGCTCCCTCCGACCCAGGTCCGTTCGCGTCGATCCGGCATGCGCTTAGGCTGATCATGACGCGCAGATCCCCGCTCCCATTGAATCCACGTCACGTCCAAACAAGACGACAAGGACGATCATCGCCGCTTCGATCGCGGGTGCCGTCGTGCTGATCCTCGCCGCCGCCCTGATTGCCTTCCTCGCTCTCCGCCGCCGCCGCCGCGCGCAGAAGCCGACCGTGATCCACCTCTGGGCGCCCGACGAGGAGGAGAAGACGCTCGATCTGTCCGCGCGGTCTTGGACGGAGGACCGGAACAAGGCAGCAGGCGCGGAGTGGACGCCTCCCCCGACGCCCGGCTTCCCGGGCGTTGCGTTCCCAGGTGCCCCCGCCGCTGCCGCTGCCGACCCGTCCCCCTCCGGACCGCGGCCGTCGACCTCGCGCGCGTCGATCGTCTCCGCGGCCCGCAGCGCGCGCACCACGGGCCCCGCGGCCCGGGGGAGCACGGCGAGCCTCAAGACGCCGCACTACACGACGCGGCATCTGAGCCTGACGGCGGGCACGCACGGCTTCGGCCAGGACCTCGCGTGGCGCGACGCGCACTACGAGGAGGTGCTCCCCGTCCCGGACGCGTTCGCCGTGCCCGAGGTGCTGCCCGTGCCCGTGCCTATGCCAAAACCCGCCACGGTGGTGGCGGCGGCGTCTGCGGAGCTGCCCGTCGTTGGCGTGGTGGTGCCGCCCACGCCGGGCCGCGTACCGCACCAGGACATGCCGCATCACCCGACCGCGTTCCAGGGATCGATGGCGTCGTCGGTGTCCTCGCGATACTCGACCGTGTCGATGCCGGACTCGGGAGCGGGGCGGCGTCTGTAGATGGATCAACGGAAGTGAAATATAGAATTACCAGTGTAATATCGTATTTTCTCCTCGTAATGACCTATGGTCTGCGAGTATCAGGTCCGCGGAGATCTAGTCTGAGCAGAGAGACAGAAGTTCAGATATGTATGTACTCTCTCTCGCAGATATGCTCGCTGATGCGTTGCAAGTACGGCGCATGTTCCAGGTCCCCGTACACGATGCGATACGGATAAAGGAAGGGCAGTCTTCTCCTTGATATGTCGCGTGATGGCCCCGTGCGCTCTTCATCCAGGGCCTGTCCATCGCGAGTGTCTGCGGATCATCTACAACCCGAAGAGCCCAAGAACAATTGGGTGCTGAAAAATACGGAATCGCGTACAGCCCACTTCGTTCAGCAGAGGTGTTCAGTGCGGTCCATATTGACTTGATTCGTCGCGTAGATCTGTCCGCCCGGCATCGGTATTTTCAATATTCCCCAGACGCTCAATGCCATTTGGCAAATTTGCTTTCTTACACATGAAATAAGATCTCTGAACTTCTACGGAACGCTCGTGCGTTCTTGTCCGTTGCGAATCGTACAACGGATCAAAAATGCTCAGCAGACAGGCACGCACAGCTGATGCGGTCACTCCGCTTGGTTTTTCCTTCCGCACTCCGTCGCATTCCAACTACAACCCAGCGATCAAATGGCGCTAGATCCTGCGCAGTCGGACTCCCTACTCAGAAACGCAAAAGGACGCTTCCAGCCTATATCTTCGATCGACTGAGTTACGGGAAACAAAGCTCAAAGTGCGTCGTTAGAGAACTGTGGACGACTATCAGCCGGCCAGCAGACACTGGACACCAGTGCATCCGCGTCGCAAAAGGTCCGAGGACAGTTGATGCGGGTCATGTGATCCGACCAGACCGTATCCGCTTTGGCCTTTCCACCATCGATACCCCGCAGTGGAACCGAAACGCAACAATCAAGGAGGACATACATAAATACTGCGTCTAAATACTACATTCAATGCGACGATGCATCACAACGGATTATTCCGGATGGCCAGCGACGCGCGATCGTCGCCGTCTCACACCTCCAGAAACGAAGCCTGCGACGGAACAGACTGATGCTGGAGCTGCTGGTTGCTGCGCGCAGCGAGGATATCGACGCGCGGCCGCCAGACGGCCGACCCGGATCGCGCCCGATGGGCCGCGGCCGGGCTGTCCGGACCCACGACGAGTTCGGCGCTGTCGGCATCTGATGCGGACAGCCGCGTCGTCGTCCGGGCGAGGGGGGAGTACACGGTGTACGGGTAGTGGGGGTGACGGGCAGCAGAGGACCGGCTCTGCGATCGCAGGTGTGTCAGCTCAGGCATGCTGACTGGGCTCTGCAGCGGGAGATTTGGCGGGCGGGGGCGGTTGGGGAGACTGGCGTAGCTGGGCGTATTGCTGTTATGCGAGGCTGGACTGCGCGCAGTTGTTGCCCATGCCGTCCGGTCGGCGCTGTGCGGGAGCCCGGGTCCGGCGGGTCGATGAGGTAGCCGTTCGCGTGCCTGGGACCCACGGCGGCGGTGGAGGACGACACAGACGACGATGACGAGGAAGATGAGTGCTGCGCCCCCGATTGCACCGCCCAGCTCTGCGCCGAGGAGCTCGGGTGTGGCCAGGAGCCGTGGAGAAAGCATGGCCCGGGGCCATACACGATGGGCGGGAGCCGTTTTGAGAGAGCGCCTGGCCGGGTGGTGCGAAGACGGTGAGTTGAAGACAGTGACGAACGGGAGAGCATACACACCTCGTCAGAACAGCGTAGACAGAGTCACAGCAGATACCATCGCAGCGAGCTGCTGTTTCAGACGTTTTACCCCGAAGACACAGCTCCGGAAGTGATTGGAGCTGACGACAGACTGGGCCTACGTCAGAGCGCTGTTCTGCTGGAGAAAAAGAAGCAGACGGACGGGTAGGAACCGACACGTCACCGCTATCCAGTGAGAGTTTGTTGCACGGTTTGGGAAGCTCATCAGCAGAGCCATGAGATGCCAACCCGAGAAGCATCTCTCCGGAACATGGTCGGTGGACCGCCAGCCTGTTTCTGTCTATAAGGATGAATCGGGGAGGAGCCGGTGCAATGGAGCAGCGCACTGAGAACGGCGGCGCGATCCTTGGCTGCCGCTGGCTCTCCTGCTACTATCCAGACGAGGGGGTCGCCTTGATCTAGCCCCCGGTGCAAGTTCAGTGACAGATCCGACTCCGGGAACTTGGCCAATGCCACAAAGCCCCCGGAGTCTGCCGAAGATTGGCGCCATGAGGGGGAGGGGATGCAGCTGAGAAGCAGGGCCGTACGTGAACTTATACATACCATTCATCCCGTTCTCAGTGGCTGGCTTCGCGCATCCACTTCGACAGACACTTTGCACTGTGCACTGTCGCACCCGGCGCATGGCGATATGTCATGGTGATATGTTCTCGTCTACTCGTCGTCTGCCCAACACGTAGCGCGGGGCGGAGCGGGGCTGTGTGATCGCCGAATCTAATCAGTCTCAGGCCCAGGTGGGAACAAGGGGACAGGCATGCGTGCGTGTGTGCGTGAACTTTGTTCTCCATCAGTTGGGCAGGGCAGGGATGATGGAAACCCGGTGGAAGGAACAGGGGGAAGCAATAATGACAGCCCAGACTGCATCGGCGGGGTCGTTCCAATGGTCAGAGGAATTCGCCGCGCAGGACGAGTAGCGTCACAGTGTCACAAGAATCGACAGGCGACACTGCCACCAGATGGTATTTGTGAACAGCAAGATTCTGTGATCCTGACCTCCCAGACATTTTCGGTGCACAATACACACAAACGCACACGCACGCATAATCATTCGCTAGGGACCGCGCGCCAGGATCCTTGCTTCACGTGGGGTACAGCAACATTTGCACTCCTGCTCACATTTGCTAGAAATGACCGCATTAGTCTTAATGATTCAGAGAGGGCGAGGTTTCACGGTTGCATAGTGTAGCGGCTCATCACACAAGATTTTGAGACTCCCTACGTTGTTTCATTCTTGAGATCCCGGTTCGACCCCGGGTGCGACCTTGACTTCTCCTTTTGACTTGTTTTGGTTAGTAATATCGCCACGTTCGCCTACATCTAGTACTCTTGATTGTTGAGCAAACCTGCAGCCAATTCCTGTGCGCGACACATGATTTCCCCGTTGCTTGCATCTCATTCTTGAGATATCAGTCCTATTCCGGGTGAGACCTATCCGTTCTTTTTGGGATTCCACCTCTTCTCATGTCTGTGACTTGCCTCGTGTTCCTTTGCCCCGTCAATCTTCCGCTGTTACACCTTGTTCAGTTGTTTGACTGGATAATCCGGAGTTTGTATGCTAGACTTGCCTGGGAAGGCGAGAATTACCCCGCAAGAGCGGTCGCACAGTGCAGACACTCACAATCTGACGAGTGAATGGTGCTCAGAGCCCGCCCATTTCACACAGACACCAATACCCTTGCAGACAGACACCAATCATCCAGCATTTCCGAGTCAAAACACGGTCCCTGTGAGTACAAGAGCCCTGGCGACAGTTGACGCTACACACGACCAGATCTAATATACACACCCCGCAATTCAATCAGACTCGCCGGATGTAAATAGAGAGGGGGGATACAACGGCTGCTTGCGTGTCCTTCGAGCGCGGTGAGAGCAACACGGCGCGTTTTTCAGGTGGTGCAGGTCAGGCTTGGCAGAGCGATCGCGGGGCCGCGCTGGACAGCGGTGGAAAGGGCTCGACCGCGCCTCTCGCAGTTGGCCGCGACGAAGGAGTCGGGCCCTGCGGCAGCCGGCGAAGCGACGATCCCCCGAGCTGTGGTCGGATGCTGGCCATGGATCGACAGTACCCTGGATGCAGGATCAGGATGTGACGTCGGGAGAAGAGAACAAACAACTCTGCTCACCGATCTTCCCGGTTTCGGGGCACCAACACGAGAGCGCTTGCCGTGCCGGTCGTCGCCGCCCTCGTCATCGTCAAGCTCTCGGGCTCGTTCGCGCACGGTGCGAGTGACCTTGGAAAGCGGAGCCTCCGCATATAGCCCAGGCAGGTGCTGGCGCAGAGAGGCGATGAGAACGCGGGCCTGTAGCCGTCGCTCGCTGCCTTGCATATCGGTCCTCCAGACCTCGAGCTGGGCGACCCCCTGCTTCTGTAGCAGGTCAGTAGCTTCGGATCGTGGGCTTTCGAGAAGGCTGGACGTCGGGTTAGTCGGATCGAGTATGTTCTGGTGCGCGTGAATCGTCGAGAGAAGACCGGGGATGTCTGGGCAGAGAGCGAGGGAGACTTCCAGAGCGTCGGTCTGGAGCTCGAAGGTCGGGACAAGGTTGTGGAGTAATTGGAATTGCAACAAAGCGTCGGAACCGGACTGCGCGCTTTCGGAGATCTGGAGCCGTCGTTACGATCATCTCGTGGATGGGTATGCAAGCGGGGCGACTCACATTCGAAGACGCGAGGTCATGCGTGGTGACTTCAGAGAGTTTCAATGAGTATGCGGTATGGGTTTCCTGCTTCTAACGAAGCCATTCAGCCGACGCGCAGACCAACAACAGGAACACCGACCTGGATCTGTGCTCCCAACGTCTCGTGCTGGTTACCGCGCTCGCCAGGGGCGAATGCGAAGTGGCGGCGGGGAAACGGTCTCATCTCGCGCACAGTGCTTCGGAGAGAGGTGCGAGTCCCTTCGAGCTCCACCGCCCACAAAAACCCGCTCCTCTTCAATCGGGTGAATCGGGTGGACAGTTTCTTCGCCGAGTTCTTGACCTTGCGCGAGACGGAGATGAGAGGGTGCCGGATGTGTTTCATGGTAGCGGGGCACAGGCGCGGAGTCGGTGAGCGTCATAGCACGCCTGGGTCCTTCATATAATGCAGTCAACGCTTTGGGGTGAGCAAAGCGCGTGCCACTGCACAAAGCGCGTCTGTGCAGCGATCGAGCGCATTGTCCATAGCACATGACAACAGCTAGGCACTGTTTCTCCAAGTGCTTGCGAGCCTGTCTTTGGCGAGAGGAAGATGAAACCGGTCCAGCACGACACTCGCTGACAGACAGCTGTGCGTGTCACATTCTGTCACTAGTCCTTTCCTTCGACTGTCATGCTCCCTCCGCGATCGAGGAGCGTCCTGTAGACCGTGGCCAATATGACTCATCGGCGGCGGCGAATGGGAATATAATCGACAACATGACCACTCTATCCCGCCCCCGGTGAAGATGACTGAGCAAAGCGATGTGACACAGGTTTCCGACGGCGACTGACTGGGACTTGAATTCTTGTTTTACCCGCCTAGAACCTCTCTCGCCCATTCTCTTCCGCATCTCCTCTTCTTGAGAGTCTCACGATTGAATCGATTAGAGAAGAAGCCGACTCGCGCAGCTCCATTCTTCCTTGCAATCGTAGCAACATCCTTGCATCTCAGGCAGCAGTCGCCGATTAGCGGAGGACACCGGAATGAAAAGAGAAAGGTATGGCGGGTGCGGAGCCGTAATTGGTCTCCCTTCGAGTCCTCTTCTTCGGCACTGATGATATGGATAGGCGGGATGAGCTCAACGTGCAGGACGACTTGCCTGCATCCATCTCATTGCAGGGCGAATGGTCCCGGACTGGAGTGATGAGACGAGATTCCTGCCATGAAAGCTCCTCGCACCGTGCGTTGCAGCTGCTGCATCCTATGTAAGAGTATTCCACTAACCTTCTACATCAGCACGTTGCTAAAGCTCGAGAGGTCCGTAGAACGAACGCAGAGAAGGGGTGTGCCAGATACGTCCGCATCTGCACGACGGTCTCCGATACCCTTATACTCAAGAATCATCGGACACCAAGGCTATCAACAAGGTGTATCGTGGGGCCGAATAAGTTCTAGGGCAACGGCAAATCCCCCACAGCCACCAATGGAAACCCTCGCTTTCGCCGGGACCAGGGACCCTTCCGCGCGCTTACTGGGGTCTCTTACCGTACCTAGTAGTATCAGCGCCTCGGCTCTTTTCGAGCCCCCAACGACTCAGCTTGCCTCTCGATGAAGAAGCGCTACAGTGCACAAGGCAAGACAATGGCTGGCGGGGCCAGAGCATGTTATGGAGCTTGAAAGGTACCCGGCTCTGGCATTAAGAGTCTGGCGGGGACCTTCGCGGCTTGGGTGCCTGGGTCAGATTCGGGAAACGTTGTGAGGTCGGCAGCTTCTCGTGGTGGCGGGCCTATCGAAGTGCTAGAAAGAGCGGGGACTGTACCTGGGCTTGCTAAGGCAACGGAGGTATTGGCCCCGTGGCAGGTGCTCGAAACGGGATGTCGAGTGGATGGCCGGTGCGTTGCAGATCGAGCCAGGCGCGAGGGTCCCCCAAGCGGAGGACTGGAGCGCAGCCTCTCACCGCTGTCCACAAATTGCCATCGCAAGCCTAACTAGTGACCCTGTGGTCCTGTCAGTTGGAGTCGTGCGTGTAGTATCCCAGACCAATCTCGCACTCGCGCCTTGTGTTTTGCTTGCACCTCAATCGGGGTCGATTAATGATGAAAACGCCGAAACCTTGGGAAACATCGCAGCTACTGAGATCCTTGGCTGGCTATGAGAATGGGAGTGTTCTACGGATTGTGCTATTACTATGCAATGCGGACGCAGCAGGCGCACCGCAATAGGACCAAAGATGGGGGACTCCCAAAAAGGAACGGAGGCAGTACTCGAGGTCTCACCCGGGGTCGAACCGGGATCTCAAGAAACCAGACGACTAATGTCAGAATCTTGTGTGATGAGCCGCTACACTATGAAACCACGTGCTCCGGTGGCGCTCTGGAGGATTTTCACGCGCGAAGAAATATGGAACGTTCAAAGGCCGAACGCATTCCTCACGTTCATTTCCGTCCCTTACAGGATCAATCGAGTGCGCCACTTTCGACCTCCATTCTCTAGAAGCACTCGAACACGGGACTTGGCCCTTCCTCGTCGGAAGGAGAGTGACTCAATATAAAGTCCCTCACCCTGTATTCAAGTGGCAACTCCCTGAACAATGCTCTTCCCCCGTATTTCTCTCCCCGCTCTCCTCTTTCTCGGCGCAGGGCTTGCAGCCGAGGCCTCTACCGTCGGGAACGGTTCGATCTCTGATTTTCTGTGCACTCGTGTGTTGACTGGGATGGTCACTGTTCTGCCGCAGTTTTTTACTTTACGCCGGACGTTGGCGCGTGTGGCTATAACAACACGGGGTCAGATCCCGTTGGGACTGTCTCTTCGACGACGTTCAAGTCCTTCCCGTGCGTGTTTGACCCACGTCATCGCTGATGGGCTCTGAAAGAGTTCGCGCTTCACCGCTAGGGGTGCCACGAAGAATCCAAACAAGCACGATAGTTTCCGCTTCCACTATGCCTGTGCTTACTATCGGGCAGAAATCCCATCTGCCAACATAATCTGACCATCACCGGTGAGGACTTTCTCACACAAAGTCTGTGAGACGACCACAAGCTGAGTGGGTATCCGGCAGCTGGAAACGTCACTATCTCGGTGTTCATCCGGGATTATTTCCCCGAGGACAAAAATGCCAAGAAGAACGATGTCGGGATCCCCGAGTTCGAGTTTGTCAAGTTCGCGCCGCTGGACGATGGGATCGTCGAGAACGCCTCGTGGGGGATCGTCTGAGATGCGTGTGTACTGCAACGTATAAAGCAAATACTATACAATCCATTCTCATGGGGAGGAACGAACACGAATAGAATACGGCTTCAATTACGCTGCCGCAGCCACCGGTGTAGCGGCGGCTCGGAGAGGTGAAAAGCGGGCGGAGTAGTAAGTCTTGATGACGTCCTAACGATCGATTTCAGTCTCTAAGACCCTGAATCGGAGAAAGGAAGAAAAACGCACCGCGTCCCATGTCGCTTTGAAGCTGTCCCGCTGCTTGATCGTCTCGTAATACTTGGCAAGCTTCCTGAACCGATCGCCGTGGTACAGCTCCTGCGCCGCCTTCTCCCCCGCCTCGGCCGAAAACGCGCCGATGCTGCCCTTCAACCAGACCTCCGTGCGGGCCAGGAACGGCGCCAACGCGATGTCCGCCGCGCTGAACTGCTCCCCGAGCAGATACGGGCCCTTGCCTTCCTCTGGCAGCAGATCCTGCAGCGCCGCGAGCGCGTCGAGGAACGCGTCGAACGACGTGCCCTTAACGAGGGGCCCGATGTAGACCGGGAGGAGCTTCGTGCTGACGGCATCGATGAAGAACCGCGCTTTGGCGCGCTGCACCGGGTCCTTGGGCAAGATGCCCGATTCCGGGAAGAGATCTGCGACAAATTCGAGCAGGACGAGCGATTCAGCGATCTTGTCGGAGTCGGGGGACGGGTCCTCCGGGGCTGATTGAGCGCCGCCGTACGCTGTAAATAGTGAGTAATGTGGAGCCAGTGGTTGGCTGACATTCTTACCGATCGCAGGAACCTAATTAAAGATGTTGAGAGCGTAACCAATTGTGATGGGCAGTGACGTACCTTGCTCGCGGGATTGACCTTGGGCGCGTACCATGTCGGCTTGTTGGACAGATCGATCTCGAAGCGCGTGAAAGACGCCTTGGCCTCGTTCAACGCGAGCTCAACCTGGAATGATGGACCAATAAGCCGGAATTCGAAGAAAGATAACTGGATCTAGATTACGCGGTGAGCGAATGGGCAGACCTTAGGAAAGAGTCAGCCAAGTGTGCGCAGATAAAGGCAACACTGAAGAGGGAATCACCCGGGCAGTGTACAGAATAATTTGGCGCTGCATTGTGAATAGGAGGGAAAGACGGTGCTTACCAACTCTCAAATCTCGTTCGCTTATAAACACAGAACACGCCAATCAGTTGAAGATTGCGGCGTCATCGCGTGCTCCAAGGGCAACGCCGCTTTGACACATCATGGCTGAGTCAGCGGGAAAATGAGCCACGAAGAGCTCCGGCTGATCACACATCCACCACTCATCTGCGGCAAGTTGCCGTGCCTTCGCCTATGGTGGAGGCAAGTCCATCAACCTCAGTCGCTCAAACAGGACACAACCCGAGGCCGGGCTGGTTACCCGTGTGAAGTCCCAGCTCCCGGCAGCGCTAAGCTCAACTACAGGTAACGGAAATGCATTGGTTGAATGGTTACCATGATGACATAGCCTAAACGGTGTCAAAGCACAATATATCCCATAGGTTAGGGTTAGACCCATTGAAGGACCAAAAAAAAAGAGGGGGCCCGCCTAGCCGAGTGGCCGTGGCGGAACAGGAAAATATTGAGACGGTGCATGAGCCGAAGCCCATACAAACCGCAGGCCCACTCTGAATGGACAGGGTCGCCGTGCTATGGAGTGTTCCCACGGCCCAAAAGCCCAGGTCCATGAAGGAGCTTATGCCATCAAGGTAAGTATACCGAACCAAATGTTGGCAGGTGGTTTATATGCGACGCGGGACGTGCACGGACCACATGGCTTCCACGTGATCGCCACTATGCCGAAAGATCCGATCAGCTGGTTGTATACATTTTGACTGATGAACTGTGAAGGACGTTCGAACCATGGCTGACAGTCTTGGCCTGCTGGCTAGATGTTGTTGTCCCATGCCATCTAGCTCTATATCTGAATCGCTGTCCATCATACCCCGGTACATCGCACCCAAGCCAGGCGGCGGGAAACATCTTGTCCTGGGTGCCACTGGTATCACAGCGGAGATGGTTACCCAAATCACGCTTCCTCAGAATAGGAACGTTCGTCTCAGCATTTTTATCATCCCATTTTGAAAGCTGTGCCTGGGTTCTCAGCCCAGGTTCTGTGCTCAGTCATTCGAGTGTCCTATGGCAGAGGGTACATGCCACTGGGGATAACCGTACCCTCTGCGGCCAGGCTGTGCTCGAGGGCGCACGCATTCAGGCACATTTCGCTGGCAGATAGATGGAAGCACCGCGACGACGGCCAGATCGCAGCTCTCCATCAGCCAGGGCTTACGTCCTGCATCTGGGAGCGATGTATTTAGTGGGGCTCTAGCCCAGATGCACTGAGCTAGCGCTGCCCCTTTCTAACTCCAGTATGCCGGCGCAGAACCAAAACCAAAACCCGTCGAACTTGGGCGAGCGCGCTGACGCAGCCACGACGTCTCTCCGCGCCATCCTGCGCACGCTGGAGATCGTCGCGCAGCGCTTTAAGACACCGTTTCTGGATCCAATCGTCAGCAGCAGCTTGGTTATCCTTGATATCGTCGCAGTGGGTGCTCAGGCATTTCCCCGAATCCGCACTCGATTGAATATCGATCGACAGCAAAGCTCGCAGAATACAGCAGATTCTATCCGTTTGCTGGAGCAGGTCTCGGAACTGCTGTACATAATCGCGAGTCTGCATGTAGCCCCCGCAGCGGACTCGGATACGGACACAGATCCCCGCCCCGTGGACATTCCACTCACCCTGCTGGATGCAATGGCTCAATTCACAGAGTGATTTTCCATCGACACGACGCACGCGGCTGCTGTCGCTCACTCTTCACAGGACTCTCACCAAGATCAAGACGTTTCTCGAAGCACAGCAACAAGGGAGCCGGATCCGCAAATTCTTCCGGCAAGCAGAGATGACGAGGCTGCTTCGGGCCTGTCAAGTAGGATTGCAGCAAGCGTTGGACGAGTTCAAGGTGTGTTTGTCGGTGGTCCGTCGCGAAATGTGTGGCTGACGTGCTCCTGTAGATGAAAAGTGCCCGGATCCAGGACACCATCCATGATCTGGAGACCAATTCGGGTCGGATGCACGAGGAAATTATGGAGCTGATTGCCAGGATGGTCGCGGACGATACGGGTTCTACATTCAGCGATCGAAAGTCGAGCTACTTAAGCAGGTCCGTGCCCTATATGATCTTCTATTCTTGTTTGTCGGATACTAATTCGTTACTTCAGCTGTAATTCCTTGACATTGCTTCCTTCCGAGCCGAAAATCTTCCACGGACGCGAGCAGGAGCTCGAGTCCATCATTTCCGCCTTCTCTCCTGACGGATCCAGAGGCGGACCGAGAATCGCCATCCTGGGAATGGGTGGAATGGGTAAAACGACACTGGCGCGCGCCGTTCTGCACCACCCCACCATCACCAACATGTATCCCGTGCATAACCGCTTTTTCGTGAGCTGCGAGATCGCGTCCACGGCCGTGGACGTCATCGCCACAGTGGCTGAGCATTTGGACCTCAAACTTGGAGGCAGGAATCACGCCAAGAGCGTTGTGAAGTGGTTTGTTGATCATCCCGCTGCGCTGTTGATCTTGGACAATTTCGAGACGTGCTGGGAAAACGAATCAGCAAGAGATGAGATCGAAGAGTTTCTCTCCCTTCTGTCGGAAGTGCAGCACCTCTCGATTGTGGTAGGTGGATTTGGTGACATCAGTTCAGGTACATAATCCAGCTGATTTGTTTCCATCAGATCACGATGCGCGGGGCTGAACGGCCCGGAAAGGTCCGCTGGACGCGACCCTTTCTTCCATCGCTTGCGCCGCTCAGCCGTGATGCGGCGCGCAATATTTTCGTCGACATCACCGATGGTGTGCATTCCGTGGAGGAGATGGACTCGGTACTGGACCTGACGGACAACATGCCGCTCGCCATCGACCTGATCGCCCATCTCGTCGTGTCTGACGGCTGTGACACGGTGTTCGCCCGGTGGAAAGACCAGAACACGGCTGTCCTATCGGAAGGGCACGATCGGAGATCGAACCTGGACAGCTCCATTGCCTTGTCGCTTTCCAGTCCACGCTTGGCTGCTCTTCCTGGCGCAAAATCTTTGCTCAGCATTCTTGCGCTGCTCCCGGATGGTCTGACGGACGCACAATTGGTGCAGATGAACGTCCCAATTCCTCATATCCTCCGTTGCAAATCAGCGCTGCTAAGAACGTCTTTAGCATATTTGACTCCAGCACACCGGCTGAAAGTGCTTGTCCCGATCCGCGAATACGCGCTCAAAGTGCATCCCCTGGCCAAAGATATGATGCATCCTATCGCCAGCTACTTCTTCTCCTTGGTGCGCCTCTTCCGGAGCTCCTCTGGTAGAGCAGGAAATCCCGGCCTAGTGAGCTTGCTGGCTTCGAACTCCTCCAACGTTGCGAGCGTCCTCGATTCGACTCTCCTCACTGGTCATAGGGATTTGGCCGAGGCGATCTTGTGTGCCATCTCGTTTGACTCCTTCCTGCGCGTCGTCCTGTGTCGTGGGCGCTGTCCAGCGATCCGACGCGTCCCGGATCTTCTCACAGAACTAGAAAACGAACACGAGCTTCATGTTAGATATGCGACGAATGATCTCCTCTCGCTGTACGGCGGCAACGTGCGAGACCTTCGCGCGCGCGTCGAACAAAATGACGTCCATCTCATTTCCCTTCACGATCCCTCCATCAAATGTGAGGACGTGTCTGAACTCTTACCCTCGACTGACTCGATATTTCCAGGCCAGTTCTACGATGCGGCAGGATCACTCTGTCGAATCCTAGGCCAAGACATGCCTTATTCGATTCGTCTGCACCGCACGGCTCTCGAGATTGCCGTGTCTCATGAGCTCCTCGAGGCTCAGTCGGACTCCCTCAACTTTCTCGGCCAAACGTATCTCCAAATGGGCAATCCCACTGAGGGTCGAGTTTGTGTAGCCCAAGCATTCGCAGCCGCTGTCAAATGTGGCGTGGTCTATTCCCAAGCCGTCTCGTTGCATATCGATGCACGATGTTGTCAAGAGCTGGGCGAGTTCGTCAAGACTCTGGAGTTGTGTTCTCGCGCGTCTGAGCTATTGGCTCTCTGCGACATGTCCGAATGCGGGCTCTCCCTGGGGATCGCCGCCGCCCGCGCGCAAGTCCATCTTTCCAAGACGGAGTACACCGATGCCCGCGCGATCCAAGTGAAGTCTCGCTTCCGGGCCCAGAACGACGAGGATCCGTACCAACACGCCCACGCGCTGATGAACCTCGCGGAAATCGATATCGCACTGGGCGTGGACGCGAGTTCCGTCGAGAGCATGCTGGACGATGCGAAGAAGCTGTTCGGCAGCATCCGCTTCGACCTCGCGGTCACCGTGTGCGACATGATCCTCACCGACCTCTGGCTACGGGACGCGCCCGCGGAATACCCGTCGCGCGCGGGTCCGATCCTACTCCGCTTAGTCGCTGAGCTGCGTGGGCGACACAATGCGGTGGAGATTGAGTTACTGCGCAGACTGGCTGACGGGGCGAACTGGAGCTCGTACGATCTCCACTGCACAGTCACATATCTCGCCCTTGCCGCCACGTCACGAGACCGACTGGCGCTGCACCAGGCGCTGATGTTCCTGGGCGATGTGATGGTCCACGATTACAGCGACCGAGAGACCGCCGGTGCGCTCTTCCACGTTGCACTAGATGGTTTCAGTGCCATGGATGTCCACCGTGCCAAGGGCGAGTGCTTGCTCCGCATGAGCGAGATCGCGGAGGAAAAAGAAAAATTCTGGAGAGTTGCGCGCGAGTGTTTCGAGCGAGCAAACCAGGGCAAAATGGTGCAACTTCTGGACTCGAAATTAGCTGATTCATAGGTCCAATCTCTGAGCAAGACTTCGCTGTCCCCTCGCCGGCGAGAAATTTACGACCCGTCAACGTTGTGAATGTGGTTCATTGGGGTGACTCTTGGTCTGGGGCGGGTGGGTCACGAGCTGTTTGAAGTGTGGAAGTTTCGTGTGGAGCAATTCAAACTTCTCGACGAACTACACATCGCTTGACTACTGGTACATTTTCATATTGCATGAGTGTGATTCCGGAATGAATACAGATATTGTGTTCAGCACCGAACATTTCGAGTAGCACCGACATCCCCTCTCATATCGTACGCTGAGAAAGGATTATTGACGATCGTATCGGAATTCGGGTGAAAACCTACCTTGACGACAGACCACTGAGTGACGACGCTCTTTATTCGCTCATCCAGCGCCTGCCTACACAATTTGCACGGAAGCCGGGCCGCAAGCGGTCGTAGTGCAGCTTCTATAGCGCTGGTGGACACATCTTAATGCTTATAGGTCAGCCCGGCATGAGCAGCTGACCAGGAGGCACACTCACCAGGGCGGATATCCCACGTGTTGAATTTCAGTAGTATTCCCGGGATGCAGCTCGGCTGTCCCGGAACGTTCCAGATCATTAGATAATTGTCTTTAGTCATATACCAGTAAATAGAAGAATATTCTAGATTACTAGTATTACTACTATATAACTAAGCTTGTATGTAGTGTACGGGCATCAGTTTGCCCTAAAGCAATCCAAGTTTATTCCTCATTGCTATTGCAAACCTACACTACAATTATCTAATCAACCCCTCGACCCATTTTCCCCAACACAAACTGATCTCGGTTCACGTCACCGATAACCCGACTATCTCCACATGGCAGACACCATCACGGCCAACGCATTTCGGATCGAACCGCTTGCCGGTTCATCAAACTATGGAGCATGGAAAGTCCAGATGATGGACATTCTGACAGAACAGAATCTTGATGATCATGTCGATGATTCCGTTACGCCCCCAGACGATTCCGAAGCATCGAAGAAGAAGGCCTGGATCAAAAATGATCGCCGAGCCCTGTCATCGATCAGACTCCGTGTTGCCCCAGCTGTCGTTCAGCACGTCCAGGGGGAGACCACTGCTCTAGGTGCCTGGCAAATGCTGTCACACCTATTTGAGCTTAAAGGCCAGATGGGCCTAGTCCTCGCGCGCCACAAGTTTTACAGTACCCGTGCCAACCCCGAAGAACCGCTTGAGCCGCACATCAAATTGATGCGACAGATCCAGGGAGAGCTGACATCGCTTGGTCACATGGTTGATGATGCAGACTTTGCTGTCACACTTCTCAGCTCCCTTAGTAGTCAATGGGACCCATTTATTCGTGCTGCACTTGCTTCCCCCACTGCCCCAACCTCCAAAACCACCATCTCCTCAATTCTCACAGAGGAAGCCCGCCGAAACAATCATCCTGCTGATAATGGTGAAATTGCGCTTACTGTACGCACTGCCACCCGTCACGTCAACCGCTTCGTCCCGAAGAACCATGCCATCACCCCTTCCAATTCCCACACGCGCCCGGCTAACTCCGCTACCTGCCATAAATGCGGCGGCAGAGGTCATTTTGCACGCGTTTGCCCAACACGCGACAGTGATGACAAAGAGGGAGAGAGCAATCAAAATGGTGCTCATTTCTTCACAGAATCCGATCTGGTGGACAACGACAATGATTATGCCTTCTGAGGCACCCCCCGAAAATTTCCGACAACTTCTTTGATTGACATGACATGATGTGAAGTGATTTAGCGTGTCGCGGCAGTAGGGTGTGAAGGGCAAAGTGCCGGTCCACACCGGGCACTGTCAAGCATGGGGCAAATCAGGGCCACAAAAATTTCTCGAGTTTTTTCTTTTGTTTTTCTGTTGTGCTCCGGTCCAGCCACGCTGAGGGAGAGTGTTGAATTTCAGTAGTATTCCCGGGATGCAGCTCGGCTGTCCCGGAACGTTCCAGATCATTAGATAATTGTCTTTAGTCATATACCAGTAAATAGAAGAATATTCTAGATTACTAGTATTACTACTATATAACTAAGCTTGTATGTAGTGTACGGGCATCAGTTTGCCCTAAAGCAATCCAAGTTTATTCCTCATTGCTATTGCAAACCTACACTACAATTATCTAATCAACCCCTCGACCCATTTTCCCCAACACCACGCCAAATAGGCTGTGGCGAGTGCCCAGGCCCGGTTCAAGCTCTTCTGGTTGGCGAAATCACAAGCCGCGGTCGGCGGGTGGGGATACGGAGGAGACACGAGCACGCGGCGCAGCGCATCCACACGTCCGTTGTGCATGAACATGAGGCGCCGCAGATACACCGGGCCCATCCGCTGCACATCAGCATCTGTCAGCGCTGACAGCTGGAAGCTCAGCAGATGCGACGAGGTGGGCACGGCGAGGTCGATGATGTCATAGTGCGCAGCCAGGGTAAACACGCGCAGGGGATAGAGAGGTGCCTGGGAGAGAAGAAGCGAGAACAGGGAGGTGGAGGGAACAACCTTGGGCCGCGGGTCAGTCAGCCATTGACGTCAGCCGAGCGAGCGACGGAAACGCACCGTCGACTTGGGATCCATGCCGTAGCTCAGCATGCGCTCGACCGCTTCGACCAGGACGTCCAGCGAGGGCGAGTACTGTGCGCACGACAGCCCGTGGAGCGCGTGAAGGATGACGTTCAGGACTGCGGCGGTCTCAGGGACGTCAATCACGATCGGCGGCGCCTTCCCACGTACGCTGGGAACGCGCCCGGAGAGACGGTGGCTGGAGGTGTCGATGGTGCTGGAGTGGATGTAGAAGTTAACGCGGTCCGATGTGAGGAGCGCGATGTCGGGAGGCGACGCGACGTGGCCGGAACCCTGATCGGCGGAGCGCTGCCATGCGGCGTCGGGTCCAAACGTCGATGAGATGGCCATCTGGGCTGTGACAGGAGAGTCAGAGGCCCTTTCCGAATTCTGTGGTGGATACCGCGATCGTGTTAACAGCGTTCGACGATGCACGGTGTCGGCACTCACTGGCGGAGTCAGCACGGAGGCAGACGTCGTGTTGGACCCCCTCGACGTGTCACTGCCCATGGAGAACATCGCAGCGTGAATTTCATCCCAGGCGTAGGTGTCCATGGCGGTTGAATGCAAGTCGGTAACGGGACATCGAATCCGAAGATGGAGTGTTTACGTGAGAAGGAGGGCTTGGTTGTTTGCTCAGGCTTGACAGCACGATTTCCTCGATCGGCACGATACGAGCCTGGTGTTGTGCGGGCTCAGGATTCGGGCCTGGAGGACCGGGTGCTCGTCTCCGGGCTGTTCGAACCCGTGCCAGCCCGAAGGATGGGCTTCAGTGGGCTCTGGTTCATGCGTCTGCGATGCAAACCCCTCGGCCCGGGCTTGAGCTCGGGCTTGTCCGTTCAAGATTGTACACTTAGTAAGAGATTGCTATCTGTATCCTCAAAATTGAGAACCCACACCCCTGAAAATTATGCAAGGAGTCCTCAGGTCAGAGATATTTGAGCAGTGAAAAGAAATGGTTCTATCTCTGCCTGTCCCAGCATGCTGGCGTCATCTGGCCAGCTTCGGTGACATTCATTAATGACTATCAGTGGTGTAAGTACCTGTTATTTTACTCTCTGGTACCGAAGCCATGGCTTCTGGTAAGATGAAAACGGTCTAGAACCAGTCAATGGTGCCTGTGATGTACCCACACACACACCATCAAATATGTTCGAAAAGTCAGCTTTGGGCCCAAGTCCGGCCCGTGCCCGTAGAAGATAGGAGTTGCCAATCGGTGGTACGCAATCTGTTCTTTCTCTCTTGCGCACAGTCTGCGAGTCGAAAATCGATATTTCCCGATCCTCACAAAATTTTTCCAGGATCAATTGCCACTAAGTTGCAGATGTTCACGCGATCCAAATCAAGGTTCGAGACCAGTTAACACGGTTGCATAGTGTAGCGGCTCATCACACAAGATTCTGACATTAATTGTCTGCGTTCTTGAGATCCCGGTTCGACCCCGGGTGCGACCTTTTGCTCATGTTTAATAGTCAAGTATTTATTCATCTTTCCTAAACCCCAGTCCTTTCTTTCAATCTTCAAATATTTTCTCCCCGATTTCTTTTTCTATCATGTTACCGGTAGCACCTCCTGTCCCCTATTTCTACATCTCTCAAGATTCCACAAGTTCAATCAGCCATGATCGATTCACCGACTGTCTTCCTGAGGCGCCAGACTTGCATTGACCCCAGCGGGCCGAGACTCAAGCGCTTGGTCAAGAAAGCCCGGAATCCGAATTTCTCATACAGCCTCTTCGCGCCAGGCTGATGCTGCGACGTCTCGATCTCCAACGTCGCGATGGAGTGGGTCTTCGCATGCTCAACAGCCGCCTCTAGGAGCCGACCGGCGATACGCTGGCGGCGGTAGAAAGGGGAGACAACCATGCGGCGCAGTTCCGCGGTGTGAGGATCCGGGTGCATCTTGCAGTCTAAGGTGCGATGAGCAGCGACCTTCGGGGGAGCGCGGAGTGTTTGGCTGGGAGGGGCTCACCCATGCCGACGAAGCCGACGACTTTATCCTCTCTTCCCTCTTGAGCGAAAGCAGCGACGAAGAACCCGCCAGGCCCGCCCCGGTTCGTGTCGTACCATTCACCGATATCATTGAAATCGGTCTGCTCGGCCCGCTCGCACGAGCCCAGGAAGAATTGCCGGATTCCGCGCCGGATGAAGAGAAATATGCCGACCGAGCAGGAGGACAGCGCGAGTCCGAGGATGCGCAGCTTGTGCGAGGTGCTGGGTGCGAGACACAGGCCCGCACCGGCTGAGGCGGAGAGGTACAGCAGAAACGAGGTCGGTGTCGTAAGGTTGTGCTTGAGGGCCTCGACGCAGGGTGAAAGCGCTGCGCATCGCATGTCAGCTCCAAGCAAAAGCCGAGGTTTGTCGGAGCACTGACGTCCAGAGACAAAGCCCTCTATCATCAACCGTCGTATTTCGGGTTTGTCTTCAGGGCGGAACGGGCGGATCCGGATCTCCGAGCCTGACATGTTGGGCGAAAGGCTGAAGGACGGTCAGGGTCCACGGGCTTTTAACTAGACGACCAGAGTTTACCCGATGACTCATCGACTGATAGTGGCGGCTGTGCTGAGCCTGCCATGATTGAGCGCACACCCGCGTGTGGCAGGATCCGATCTGAAGTCGGGTCTATGCGACGGGCACTTGGGCAAGGAGAACAATGACTCGGGCCTGTGCATGGATTTCAAAACCCAATGCGGATGGTGCGATCACTCGATCAGCCTCGAGCGAAACAATGGCTTTGATGTGCTGTTGACTATAAAGCAGTCCCCGAAATCGTCTGTGGATGCGCCAGACGCTATGCGAACCAGATCCCAAGCGACTGATTCTGACAGTGGTCAAGCCTCGTCGCGGGAATGGTCCGGGCCGGCGCGCCTGTACCAGAAGCGCTCCGAGACTAGTAAGCCGTATGGACGGGAGGGGGAAGCTACAGCCACTGGGTTTGCACTCTTCAACTTTATGTCCTGATACTGTATTGAATTTTTCACGCTAGATGCAACTTGTCGTCTAAGCTGCCGCCGCTCATCTTCGAGCCGTCGTCGACCTTCCTCGAGTCGGTCGTTCCTTTGCTCGCCCATCTCCAGTATTTTGATGTTCTCTGCAGAGCCGCTGAGTTAGATGAGGCCCTGTTTCGTCTTCGGCCCGTGAGCACCCAGGAAAGCTTTCAAAGCGAGTTTCAAGCCGTTGGATATGTGCCGTGTGTTTACCTCGCCTTTTCGAGGCTCTATTCTACTCACTCTCTTGTTCAGGCAAGCTCCGGTGGATGAAGACCCCGTGCCCCAAAGGATCTGCCACCGCCGGACAGAGACCAGAGACCCGGACAGCTTGAACTTCGAGTCGCCCTGGGGCGCAGATGGGGCGCCCTCCGACCCGGCGTGGATCACAGCCATGGTCTCGCAGACGGTGGAACTCCTGTGCAACCCGCCCGTGCGGCGCGGCGACGGGCGCAAGCGCACGTGCAACTCGTTCGAGCAGCGGCGCGACAAGCTGGTGAACGATCCCTGGGCCGCGCGGATCGAGTGCTCGAACGTGCGGTGCCGCGGGTGCGCGCAGCTGATCAAGTCGGAGGGGCGGGACGGGATGTATCTCTATCCGTTTCTGTGGAACAAGCACCGCGATCGGTGCGATGCTGTGCGACGCGTCAGGTTGCAGCACGGGGCAACTTATGTGAGTCGTCTTTCTCTCTCTCCGCGCTGGGTGCAGTAGACTGATTTGCGGCGCAGGACGATGTGCATCTCCTGTATTGGTATGTCTCGCATAGCAAGGGCGAGACCGTGGATCAGAACAAGCAGAAATGGATCGCCTCGCGCATGAAGAGAGACCGTAGCTGATTCATTTCAATTCCGTAATGATACACAATGATAACGTCTGTCACATACTCGAGTACAACCCAGAAAATAACACAATAACACAACTTAGAACGCTTCTCCGCGGAATGATTTCTGGCCGGGTCTCGTCCCCGATTGAGAGGACTTCCGGCCAAGGAAGGGATTGAACGCCGCCTCGGGGGTCGTCGGCGTGGGCGCCTCAAAAGACGAGGCCTCCACCGGGCTGTCTTCCTCGGAAATCGGGCTCTTCATCAAACATGAGTGGCGCGGACTTATAATCAAGCACCACAGCAGGGGTCGTACCTTGGTATCTAGCCGGAGACCTTCCACAGGCCGAGGCCGAGCCGAGAGGTTGGAGATCCCGCTGCCCACGCCGTACGCCTCTGAATACCAGTGCAGGGTCGGAGCTCGGCCCGTGAGTGACATCGATTGGGAGGATTGGGGCAGTGGAACGGGCGGAGAATGATCCGGCCGGAAGTGTCCGGTATCATACTCTTCCTGGAAAGCCACGCTCTTGTCCCGCGTCCGAGTCCTGAAATCTTGGCCAGACCGGCTGTGGTCTGTGCCTTTGCCTCGGACGACCTTCCTCGTGTTGAGCGTGCTGAGAAACGCGATCGGGTAGACTAATGGTGCTGCGATGAGTGGAATGCAGGCGAGAAATGGAAAAGATCTTGCGTTTGGAGAGCACGAAATAGAACGCCAGGAACTGGAAGTTGTTGCGCCGCAGGTCGTAGGAAAGCAGCGTGCCAAGACTGCATGCGGAAGTCACCGCGCCGGTGTTTACGGCGTAGATCGTCAGCTTGTTGACGATCGAATCCGATCTGCAGGATGCGGCTCAACGCAGACACCCTCGTTGAGAAACTCTGACTACGTACTGCGCGTGTCCCGTCCTAAAACGGCGGAGGAAGAACGCCAATCCGCACGCGGTAAACACATCTGTTGCAACGTTGATGCCCAATGCCAACGACGCAATGAACTTGAGTTTGGGAAGCGTCGCGACGAATGGACTCTGGAAGCTGTTTCCGCAGTCAGGCACTGCATTTTCGGAGAACCAAGAGATATCTACCATTTAAGCGTGAAAGCTGGTGAGAGAGATCAGTCAGCGTTCGATCATCGCACAGACGAGAGGATACCAATCGCAGCTCCTGGAAATGGATCAGAATGGATTGTGGCGGGGAAGTCTGCGAGTTACCGAACTGGGTAAGCGTCAATATTACCTGGATACGGCATGGCCGGCTGATTAGAGAAAACGCAAGCGGAGGAGCGGTCTGATTGCTTACGACAATGGAGGTCACAAGGATGTTCTGCTGGCTGACTGAACCCCCATTAGCTCGCGCTCTTGGTAAGACTAAGGGCTGGCGCACATCGCCAGATTCGGGTCGCGAAACATCTGTTTAAGACGATGTGAGTTTTCCGGTCTCAAGGAGAAGAGGTCGGCTTACAGTCGCACGATAGCTCCGATAACAGACCCAACAGTCAACTGAAGCTACGAAGGCTGAGTAAACCGAGCATATCCGTGGATCACTTGTGCCTACAATGAGGGATGGCGTCACTTTGTGTTCAAATAAAACATAAATCGAGTTGTAGTTCCTGTTGACGAGCCCCTGTGAGAGGCGATTATGGCGTGGGCGGATTACGCACATAATACAGTAGAAGTACACGGCGTGTCCGATCAGCGCTTGATCCAGGATGTTGAGTAGCCTGCGCAGCTCTTCAGCCCCCCGCGCGTGCTATCCAGACGCCCAAACTACCAAACAAAGACCACCTGTAGTCCGTCCCGGTAAGCAACCCCACAGAGTGGCCAGCCAGAGGTGTACGCACCAGCAGCTTGTAGACGAACCAGTCGTCAGGATAGCGGATGAAATAGGTGAGCGTCTGGTTGGTGCTGACACCAAACAGCACACAGCTGACGGAGAACCCGATGAACGCGGTGCCGATGGTGAGTGGGATCGAGGGCAGCTCCGCCGCCGCAAGGCTTGTGCTTGGCATGGTCGTCGTCGTCCAGCTGGGAGAGTGGCAACAGGGGAAAGGGAAGGGATACCCCCGCTGCGCATTTTGTAGAAGGTACACCCCCGGAGGCCGTCTCGTTCCCAGGAGTCGGATTGGCTGAGAAGACGCTCTGGGGCTGGTGAGAACTGTCAGACTTTCTGACGCTCATCAGATCGGAGATGTGCGTGGGGTTTAGCGAGATTACACGGCCAAGGTTGCGAGTCCACGCAGGTCTCCGGGGACACACTCAGCTGCAAGCCTCACTCGATGTAATAAACCCTCGTACGAAAAGAAATAGGGATCCTTTGGGGAAGAACGAAAGACGAGGGCTTCTCCACATGATTGATCTGCAGAGGCTCAGAAATTCGAAGTGCCAGTCGCGTCAGCTGACGTCTGGATACCCCAGGTTACCGCTCGCCGGAAGCGTGGATGGAAATTGGGTCCGGCAAGCTCCATGTGTTGGGAGGATTCCTTCGGGAACATGTGAAAGGCGGGCGACCCGAGACTATACCGTGCCGGTGATGGAAACGTGGTGAATCGTCCGACGGGGAGGTCCGGGTGAGTTGCAAGACAGGTTTGCAGGCCTGGTGACACTCGGAAGTCCTTCATGTTCATGCTGTGGCGCACTTTTGAAGGTTTAGCCCCGAGTCGACAGTCGCGAGGGAAGAAGCGCGAGCGTAGGGTTAGGGTCCAAGCCATTTCTCTTGTGGTGCGATTCAGCATCTTTGCAAGACGTGCACGTTCCCAAGCGCCGCCCGGATCTTCTTCATGTCCACACATGTACGTTCGGATAGTTTTCATTGTACAATACGCGACACATTGAAAGAAAGAAAAAAGCTACGGATACAAGCCTGAGTCACCTGACCGACGCGCGCAGCGCGTCCTAACTAATATGTACAAACTCAATCAAACCATCATCTCGTTTTTGTCTTTCACAACACACACAGCTCCCAGACGTCGCCCGCGCGCGTCACCGGCCGAAGACCCCCGAACTTGTTGTACACCATGAGAAAATCCACGCGCCGGACGCCCTGCTGCTTCTCCTGCTCGTACTCATGCGGGGTGCGCGCCCCGCGCGCGCGGCACCGGCGCTCGTACGCCTTCGCGACGGCGCGCATGAGCGCGGACGCGTCCCCGAGCGCTTGGAACTCCTCCAGCGTGACGCGCCGCCCGAGCGCCATGTACAGCGCGTTGAGCACGTTCGAGATCGACACCGCCGCGGCGCCGTCGGACGCGGGCACGGGGATCGCCCACGGGAGGTGCGGCGTGGTGATCAGGATGTGTGCGCGCGGGGGGAACACGGCAGGCTCGCGGAGCGTGTCGTAGGTGAGCCCGAGGCAGTGCGTGGAGAGGGAGGAGGGGGGCTGGGAGAGCTTGTAGTTGAGCAGCGGCGTGCTGCCGTTGCAGGTCAGCAGGGTGTGCGCCGAGGGTGTGGGGCTTTTGGGCACGGCATTTTGGGGAGTTTTACCGGGCCGGGGATAAGCGTGGTGCTCCTCTTCGTCGTCGTCGTCGTCGTCGAAAGAGCTTATCGGCATCGGGCCCGGGAGCGATGCATATCTGGACGGTGGGGTGCGCGGCCCGCAGGAATCTGACGAATCTGACGAGAGCGTCGATGTACTCAGGATAAGAGGAGGAGGTGGAGGAGGAAATCTCGAATCAGCCTCGTACGGGACCGAGTTGCGTGGAGTGAAGTGCACTCGAGGATAGTTCATCGTATCGCTGGAGCGCTGGACGAGTCACCAGGATGGGCCAGCTGTACTTATATGGCCCAGGGCCGCACAACATACATCAGTTCCTGCCACGTTCCCTGCCCACCTGTCGCGCTGTGAGAAGGGCCCGGAGATTGGTTCCGGGCAGCTTCTGCACTTATCTCCACAGCAGCAGTATCGATGGCTGCTGCGCCGTGCCTCGCCGTGCCGAGCAGGACCAGACTGAGGACGGCGAAAAGTAACCGGAGGATTGGCCTGCCGGACAGTTTGCCTGGAAGAAGTAGGCAGTTGCACTCGGATCGGGGGTGGACCCACAAGAACCTGCCGCCCACAATTGGCCCCACAACGTGTTTGCAATGCGGCCATGCTTCTGCTTGATGTCATCCCAGTGGCACCTGTGAGCAAGTAAGCCGCTCTCTGGAGCGTTTGCTTCCGCTGAAGCCACTCTCGACTCCGAGAAGCGCGAATGAGAGCTGGGCGTTTCCATCCTGGAAAGTGGAGCATTCAGGTCATTTTTCACCTAAGCACCGAAAGGGGGGGCGAGGGGTTGACTTTATGATTTCCGTTGGGGCTGGTGGGACTCTTTCTGAATGGGCTTCTGATTGTCCTTATCTAGGCCACGCACCCCATGTATGCAGCAATCCCGATAAACGGTATGGGCCATGCCTGCCTACAGTAAGTCGGGAGAGCAGTGCAAGAGTGGAGACAGACTGCAGCATTTCTGCGTCCAATTGCGACAATTATCAGACGTGCGATCTAATCTAACCATGATCTAATCTGATCTCCTCGGTTTCTTCCTCGCATCATCCCGAGAATGACGAACGCGACGTCAAAGCCGTCGACGATCGCAAGCCCCGATCGCGATTCGCTTTATCGCCCCTAATTCGTTAGAAGTCCTATTCAGGGAAGGCTATTCTCGTACCACTACCAGCACCACCTCCAATGGACTGGCGTGCAGCCCCAATGCACCTCCCCATCCCGCGAACACCGCCCCCCGCGATTTCACCCGCCCAACTGGGCACACCTGCCGCGGACTGGGCGGAGAACACGACGGCCATTTTGGGCGGCACACGAGAGGCGCTGCCCCAGTGTGCGACGCCGGACCCGCAATTCCCTGGCGCGTATCCGGGCGATGGGGAGGACGACGCGAGGGACGAGACGGGCGAGATGCTCAGGGAGGCGGCGAGGGCGCTGCTTCCCGTTGGGCTCGCGGAATATCTCGGTGAGGGGCAGTGACAGCAGGAGGGAATGCACCAGCGCTTATTCGCGTTTCCAGGCGTTAGCGAGGAACCCGCAGCGAAACCAGAACCCGCTGAGCTGCAGGCGTCCGCATCACAAACGTTCGACACTCCTCTCCCCACGCCCGACGTGCTCTCTCCTTTGCTTCCCCCAGCGCCGGCTCCGAGTCGGCAGCAGACGTCCGCGTCGGTCATTACCACGGCCTCCTCGCCATCGGCCGTGGGCGGGATGTACAGCGAAGCGTCTTCGATGTTCTCCTCGTCCGGAACGCTGAGTGTCGATGAGGGATACGCGTTGCTCGGTTCGACGTCTACCCTAGCCACCTCGCAAGCCGAACAGAACGGTGATAGGCCGTTGCAGGGCGGAGACGATCGTCTTGGTGTCGGCGGCGTCGACGACTTCCATGGCGGCCCCGTTCCGATCGGCAGTGCGCCATTTACGCCCATCCCACCCGTCGAGCACGAGGGACAGTACTTCCCGCTGACTGTCTCGCCCGAGTCGGTAACGACCGTGACACCCGCTGTGTCAGGGGATAGGGCGACCGAACATGAGCACGGCGGATCCACAAACCAGGCTGTGTTCACCAAGCACGACGGTGTACAAGTCAGCCCGCCTGATGCATCGCACACTGTCCTGCTCAACGAGGCTGAGGAGAAGGAATTGGACTCGGTGACGGCCCTCAACGAAGAGAAGATGGGCCAAGATATGAATGCGGATGCGCTATCTCCGCTTATTCCGGTGCCATCCGTTTCCAGGAAGGGAGTCGATACCACCGCCGCGGAGCAAGATGCGCCAGGCCCAGAGGTGGAGGATGGCCGAGACGAGATGGAGGGAAGTCCGGGTGCGCATCGGAAAATTACTAAGCGCCGTTCGCGGTTCGTGGAGAAAATGAAGGTTCTCGGGGAGAAGATACAGCTGGGAAGTCATTGAGAGAGCTGGGGTTGGCTGGACGGGGATCGCGGCTGGAATGACGCTCGGGATAGGAAGATGCCACTTGTAGAATTAGCCCGGAGGCAGAGCACGTACTTGTTGGCTCATTGCAAATGCATTCCATTAGCCTCGTTTGATCACAATGGGGCCACCTGGAGTGTGATGTCATCAACAATTATGAAAACTAAGGCCTGACCAAAGGTCATACGCCCATTCTAATACAGTCGAATGCGGCACCAATGATGCATTTTTGCGTGCGTGGTAGTAGTGTCTAGTGTCTGTCCCAGATGACCGTGTTCTTTTTTTGGATCCTAAGTTTGAGCGGGTGAATTGTCAATGGCTGGTAGGGCGAGAAGCGGACTGATGATTGAAGACGGCGATCAAAAAGGGCCTGACCGGGAATTGAACCCGGGACCTCCTCGAAATAGTGCCATACAGCCCTAACAAGGAATCATACTACTAGACCATCAGGCCGATGGCTGTTCTCTCTGATGCACAGATCTCATCCGACCTAAAATCTTTTCAAGATGCGGGCAATATGCTGATTTGAATCTCATTCAGCAAAATCTACACATGAAATATATATATACACGAGAAGACAGATTTTCACGAGTGACTAAAGAGTGGAGAAGAAATAGTGCAGCACGAGCGGAGCAAGACTGAGCAAACAAGCCCAAAAGCTCCATTTACCATGAGCGAAAGGTTTATTATGGCGTCACACGTGATCGCGAACAAATAACCAAGTGAAGTGTTGGGGAAAATGGGTCGAGGGGGTCGATTAGGTAATGATAGAGTAGTTTGCAATAGCAATGAGGAATAAACTTGGATTGCTTTAGGGCAAACTGATGCCCGTACACTACATACAAGCTTAGTTATATAGTAGTAATACTAGTAATCTAGAATATTCTTCTATTTACCGGTATATGACTAAAGACAATGATCTAATGATCTGGAACGTTCCGGGACAGCTGAGCTGCATCCCGGGAATACTACTGAAATTCAACATGAAGTCTAAGTAGCTCCCTCTGTTCTCTCCTCGAGAGTTGTGTCCGACATCCCCCGCAACTTACTCAAAATTGCCTCTAGCTGCTTCATCGCGTGACCAGTCTGCTGTCCCCTGACCCTTGCCTCGAGTTTTTCCAAGACCTCCTCATGCAGAAGATAAACATAGAAAGCTTCGAGGCCGTGATCGATGAGTGGAGCCAAGGAGTTGCGCGAATTTTGTGATCCAGCAAAGAAGCTGAGAGAGTCGACAAGGTCGATCCGGTGCTGCATATGCACGGCCGCATCGTTCTTGGGATGCAAATTCTCTGCGAAAAGGCGCATCGCCAGAGACGATTCGTCCGGGACCATGTGCCGAGCGGATCTGGTAATAAAGCGAGCAAGGGTGGCCAACGTAGCTTCGCCGAGCCGAATCTGCAGGTGCGCACTGAGTTGCTGATATCTCTCGGCTGCGCTCGAGTGCTCCATTTCGAAGTTCGCAAGGCTCTGTGCGGCTGTGACTTCTGGCCAAAGAAAATGGTTCTGGTTTTGCTCGTAGAGAACGTGAACAGCATCCTGGTCATTGGGATCCACCCGATTCAGCTCTGATCGAATTCGTAGGAGGTGGCTGATGGTCATGGAGATCGAGGCGCAAGGCGCCATGGCACTTTCGTTCAGTGATTCCAACCGCGCTATCGAGTTTCTATCGCCCATGGATAACGAATGGATGCCGGAAGACGAGGTCCACGCGCCGAGCGCCCAGAGTCCGGTAAGGGTCCACTCGCTTGCTTGGGGTATATGATGGCTCTCGTTGATATACCTCGTCACGAGATGCATAAACTCCTCAGCGATGGACGATCGATTAGACTCAGAGAGCCGCAGAACAGTCCCGATGACGAACGTGCGGTCAGATGCATCGTGTCGGCCAATGAACGACAACAACGCATCCACAGCATCGAGGGAAGACTCCGTCAGTGGGGAAGCTGTGCCATGGCTCTTGTAAAACATCAACAACGCATCCACGAGGAACCGAATGCCGGGCATTAAAGCTGCGTGTTCAGCGTTCGAAAATTTCCAGTACTCGCTTGCCCAGGTCACGATCGTTTTTGCAACCGTTTCTTGGTGCTGGGACGAAAATGGCGGACGGCAATCGTGCTGAAGCAGCTCGAAACAGGATTCGAATTCGTAAGGAAGCTCCTGTTGGTTGAGGGATTCGAGCAAATATGTGCAGAGGAGGTCGAGTCTGGCATCGGACAGCTCTGCACGGGTAACATCAAACAGATCTGGAGATTGAACAGCGATTGTCGGTGGGCGGATCCATAAGCCAACTAGGCTGGGTAATGGAAGCGGATATCGAGGCCGGCCGAAAACACCCAACCTGGACCGGAAGATTTCTGCGATATTCCCTTGTGAATTGGACTGGTAAAATGTGCGCTCCGCGTCCTCCAGCGCGCGCTGTATTTCAGCTGCGCAGCTCCACAACATGAGAGCCCGCATGGTCCGCCAATAATTCTCCAGTGCTGCACTCGGGCTATTCGTGTAAAGCCACTTCCAGCCATTTGTTGGCGAGGAGATCAGTTGTCGCGACAATTGCCCCACCCCGAGCTCGGATTCAAAGTGAACCCGTGCAAAAAATGGAAGGAATGATGGAGGAGAAGATGTATCGTGAACCGCAACCCTGATACGCGCCAATGCGACGACAGCTTTCACGGCTGAAATGCACCGCTGTGTTTCGTTTGCTGCCATGGCCGAGCGCAGGAACGTCAGCACTCGAGCGACCATGCGAGCTTCCCTGTCCTCCGAAAGCGCGACGATCAAGGGGCTCCGGAGGTCCACTACTTTCGCCGAGAGAGCCGCAGGAAGAGCGTCAATGAAGGGCGCCAGCTCGTTATCATCGACGAGCGACTTCACAGTCCACGTCAGAGCTCGGACATCCCGTTGTCGTTTCGTGTCGACAGCTGCAGTCGCGTTGGTCACCATCCTTTCTGTCATCGTTGGCGCAGCACCCGCGGGACCGAGGGCAGACAGTCTCGTGAGGAACAACGCCAGATTCCAGCAGGCATTGGTGAGGGGGGTCTGATACGGACAGTCGGAACACAACAGCGGAAGCACAGTCACTGTCATATAGACAACCAGGATGAGGCCAAGAATGCCGACGCAGAGATACATCACGGCTGTGTTGACCGTGACCAGGAAAAGCACCAGCCCGGCAAGAAACAGGAAGAGTGAGAGGTGGAGGAGGAACGGGACGACTTCCACGATGTCGTGCATCCGAAACCGCTTCATTCCGAAGTACAGGAAAGAGTAGACCCGGGCTCGGATGGGCGGAGACGGTCGCATATCCACCTTCTGCACGAAGTTCCTCGCCCACTGCTCGACGAGCGTCGCCAGCAGCGCGCATCCGAGACTAAATCCGAGACTCAGAAACCAGAGCACGTTGCACGCGAGGGAGGACGGGTCGGGTGTGAATGGAGGAAGCGAAGCGGCGGTCGTCGCGTTCGAGCCGCTCGCCAGCTGTGCGGAAATTTGCGCTAGCAGCTGGGCGGTTATCGCTGCGTTGTCCGGCGCGAGGGTTTGGTAGCTCTGGATGATGAATGCGGTGAGCACGGCGGAGAAGAGACCGGCCTACAAGGAATCAGGTGAGAATTCGGAGCAAAAGACGGGGGGCACGCACAAAGATGATCATGCTCTCCATATCACTCCGCCATCCATCGACCAGTGTTTTATCGTACTTCTCGGCCTCCGAGATGTAGATAGAGAACAACTTGGAGAAACGCGCGTCTGCTCGAGTGGTCAGTCGTCTCTCAGTACCATCGTTGAAGATGCCTACCCTCTGCATTGTTGGCCATGGCGGTGGCAGACAAAGACGCTTGGCTTGATCCGTGTCACTCGTTAGTTGATGCCAGCATTGACGTATGTACCAATACGAAGGCAAGAAGCCGCGGAATCGGACTGAGAGCCGACTCAGCTCTTTCGAACTTGCGTCTTATTGGGTGGCAGGGGCAATGGAGATCGACCCTGTTTTTCAGTTCCTACAAGATCGGGAAAATGTTTGTACCCCTGGATGCCACTCGCGCTGCTCTCGATTTCATCGGCTCCTCATTGGACACGCAACGATTACAGGACGCCGAAACGACAGAACATTTACAGATGGACTTTGTCGGGCCGGTGGGGCGAATCACGTGGAACGATCATTTTTTCTCCCCGAGGCTTGCCTTCGATCGCCCGCGTGCTTGTTTCTAATTCTTGTCCCCGAGAGTCCCCCACGCAAATGCAGGTTCTGAACCGCGTCACAATCAGTCAAACAGTCTGGTGCTCCACTAGCTTGTGTGTGATACCAACACACTCGATACCTAACCTTCGCACGACCTAAAGCAAGCTGCGATTTCTGGTGTGTCGATTGGGGCAGTGAGAAGGCACGGGACAGAGAACGCAAGCCACACATCGGAGGGTGACTTCTATGAGTGTGTATCTTTGCCTTTACTGTAGACTGGACCACTGACGAGAACCACGTACACAGCCTGTAAACTCTGCTCACAAGAAGAGTCCAAGGTATCATCGGAATTCGTCATGAATCACATCCGTCGTTGTCTCCCACCTCCACTGCATGCTTCAAGACGTTCTTCAGTGACGGCGGCCTATGTTTGGATGGCGCATAACCGCGAAAACCTCTGGATCTCCTATGCATGCCAGCTCCTGTCTCTCTCATAATGAATGCGTATCTGACCTACCACAACAGCAATGTGTGGGGCTGGGTCCTGTCTTGAAATGCGTTTCCTGTCCTGTTCGCACGCACGCATCTGACCGACCTCTTCCGCGTCCTTGTCCTCCTTTTGACTCGTATCGTGCTCTCACGTCCTTCTCAACCAAGATGACCGGCGCCTCCAGTCCGCTACACCCCTGGATCTTTCTGCAGCTCACGGTGCCCAGCGTTCTTGACCTATCGTTGGTCGCAGCCCATATGGTCTCGAAGCCCCGTGTGGATTCCACATCTCTGCCTTCTCCGCCAGGCGCTCGCAGACATGGACGTGTCCCAGCCCACAAAAGACATACAACTGCTCGTGCGGGAAGCAGCAGATGCAGCTCGCTCGCTTGCACTTAAGTATCAAGTAACGGGCGACACCATCTCAGGCTATCTGGCCCATTCACACGATGAAGTGCCGAAAAAGCTGCGTACGCTGGCGGAATCGGTCCACGGGGGACCGCTGTGTGTTATTACGCCAGTTGGAGAGGTCCAGGAGGAGCATAGTGTGCAGGACGTTCAAGCGATCGTCGTTCAGCAGGACGCGACTTTTACGAATGTCTGCCGCAGAGTGTGGACCGTATCACGAACTCAGCGGGACTTTCCGTGTGGGCGGTCGAAGCAGCTGCTACTTGGTCCCGGGACACATGTGGCGAAGGGAAAAGGATGGGCTCCTCACGAGGCTGGATGAGGCGGTTGTGCGCTGGCTGCTATCGTCTTTCGCTGACGAGACAGTAGCGCGACGGTGCATGCGATGATCATCATTTCTGCATGTTATCGACTACATTCACTCGAAGAAAGCAACGTGGTCAAGCCATGCTCGTGAGTATTCCATTATCCCTCATGTCCCAAAAAGGAAATCGCCTCCTACCTTCCATGTCGTGCTCGTAATGTGTAGCCGTCTGCTCACCCATTCTGCTGCAGCTTGCGATGCAATCGGTGCTGTGACTCACATCAGCCTGTGCGGTTACAGCTTGAATGGGGTGCGTCACGTCGATCGCTACTCGGATATGAGTACAATACATTATACAACACGCCGCGCAATGGCGCCTGGAAGCTGGGAGAATACATGCCCGTCGTGGGTTGCCGGTGACTACACCAGATCGACCTGCCAATGGTTATCACCGTGTCCCACCTGCCGATGCAGCCCAGCCAGCACCGTCCGCCCCAACAAGTGGTCGACGATCCGTGCACCGCCTCCGCCCTCCGCCGCGATGCGCTGCTGGGCATACGGCACCGCGTCCGCGGGCGTGCCTCCGCCGTCCGGCCTGCGCAGCTCGGCATGCAGGGTGCTCAGCACGTCCCCGACCGTGACTGCCGCGCCGGACCCCGCGTGCGAGCGCACCTCGATCTTGGCTTTCACCAGCCCCGTGTCGACGCGGAGGAACAGCACGTCCGCCGGGGGGTCGCAGGCCGCGGTGTCGAGCAGGGCTTGGTGCGGCCCGAGCTCGCTGCGGAACGTGCGGGACGGGAGGGACAGGTCGAGCTGCATCACACTGAGACACGCGTTGATGGTCGGTTCCGTCGCACCGCCGTTGGCTTCGTGTTCGCCGTCGTCCTCGTCTTCGTCGTCCGGGAGTGGGATCGGTTGCGAGATGAGCGGGGTCGGCGGTGTCGTTTCCGCCGGCTTGTAGAGAGGTGGAGGATTGGGTCCGCTCCAGCTAGTGGGCGGGGACGAAGATGCCCAAGACGAGCCAGACCCGGCTGAGCTCTGCCGCGTATGGCCCACTGTGAACTCTTCGACAACGGGACTCCAGCGCACTCGTTTGCGGTCTGGGCTCGGAGTCATCGTCTGCCTGAGGGAAGAGGACTGTGGTGGTGGTGGTGGTGGTGGTGGGGAGGGAGTGCGCGGAGAGTACAGGCTCTCGTGAACACCATGCTGCAATTCCCCTCCGGGGAGCTGTGTCGTTGTCGTGTCCGACTCGACCCCTGATTCCGAGGCTCCACTTGCAGTCATCTTTACGCTGTTGGTAGCTGTCCGTGAAGAGATGCAACGAGCAACCTCACCTCCTTGAAATATCCTCTCTGCTCTCGTCGTGGGTGCTCAATACGAGCCGCAGTGGTGAAACCGAGGTCGGGCCCGAAACTGGGGCAGGTTTCTGGTTCTAGGAAATGTTGGGCGTAACCCCAAATAGGGAACTCGGGTCTGGTGTTTGGACCCGACTGTTGAGTCGCGATGTTTGAGGTCTATGCTCACTCAAGCCTGGCGTTGCTCATCGCTGAGTGTTCGGGACGAAGGGTGCTTTCTGGCACTTGGCGACTGGCGCAAATTCATCATTTTCTACGCTTTGTGCATGCAGCTGCACTGCCCGCCGTCGGTCAGTCAGCGTGACTCGATCAGACACTAAGTTACATCGCACCTCATTGCGCGCTACTTGCACAGCATACATCATGATGCAGTGGCCGCTGCCATACATTCCTTGATGGACGTTGCACGAGGCTGTTCGGTGGAATGAATTGCTGTGCGTGCATGGCGCATCTGATGGATGACAAAAGTGATGCGCCAGACCACAACACGTGCGTGCTTATTGCCCCGTGCGACTGTGTCAATCCCGTGAACAGACAGGAACATCAACTCGGCATCCGCGCGGTACCCGCCGTCCAGTTGAATGAATCACGCTTTTCATCCAAGCAAAATACGGACGACGCCCATATCTTGGGATCACCCAATGCTGTTCAAGTCGCGATTGGCGATCGCTTGCCAGCTCAACCGAATTCAGAGATTACAACGGGTGGGCGGGAGGACCGGAAGCACAGAACTGTCCATAATCCACGAATGGACCATCGCGTCACTCGCGCTCACATAAGCCAAGTAATTCTCAAGTGGATAATCATAAGGTCTGTAACAAATTTAAAACTCCAAGTGACAGACATTCTGATCCGTTGTCCACCAAGGTACTTTGCCTGCTGCTGCTTCGCAGCGTGCATTCGTCAACACAGAACGAATCCTGGAACCTAAACGCTTGCGAATCGGAAATACACAGCCAGGCCCACTGCCAACAACCCCAACACCGGAGCCACCATCTCTCCCGCTACGCGGCGGAGGGCGGCCCGGGCGGTCGCCGTCGCCCGTTCATTGAACACCGCGCTGTCATTCGAATACGGGTACTCGCCCTGATCCGGGATCGGAACACCTAGGAACGGGCACAGCGTCTGCCACCCCTGCTTCGCGTCGAACTCGAGCAGCCGGTCCTTCGGCACCAGCGCGCGGACCCTGTCGTAGTGCGCGACGAAGCGCGCCTGCGCCTGCTCGGCGGTCGGATCCGGCCCGTTGAGCTGCAGGTGCATCCCCTGCGCAAGCGGCTTGAAGTGCGCGAGCCCGGAGACGTCGAGCGCCATGGCGAGCGCGAATGCGGGGTTGTGCGGGACGCGCCCGATCGTGGAGGAGAAGGACTTCCACCACTTGGCGGGGTCGCGGAGCGTGAGGATGACTTTGGCTTCGGGGTAGGCGGCGATGAGGTCTTCGGCGTACATCATGGGTGGTGCGTCGGTGGCTGCCTGTTTGTGAAAGAATGGGTGAGTTCGGGGAACAAACAAGAGCACGTGGCATAAAGAACCTCGCAGTGTCCCAGAATCTCGTCCCATTTTTCCCGCTTCACGAGCTCCCCCTTGACGTACTTCGTGTGGTACGCTTCCACCCAGAGATCCGCGTCGTGTGGGTTGGCCAACACCGACTCCATATGATACACCTCGTCGTAGCCCAGAATCTGCAGCGCCTGGCGCATAGCTGAAAAGTTCCCGATGAGCAAATGAGATTCCACGTGAGGCCTGATCGAACGTACAGGATGTTCCCGTCCTCGGATACCCCAGAACGAGCACCTTCATCGGCACAGTGCGCGTCTTGCCCCGTCTCGAGCGCCACTCGGAGCGCGGCGGCGTCCAGCTCAGAGACTCTGCACGTGCGGTCATGGTTGGGCGAAAGTCAAAAACGTAGTAGGGAGACTGGCAAACGGTCTACACGGCATTCTGGGTTTTATAGCTATTAGCCACTGCTCCTTCGTCAGCTGGTACGACAGTAAAAGCGTATCTCGGCGATCATCGGCCGTATTTTTCAAGACATGCGGGAGTGCATACCTGCACACCTATGGTCGAAAGGCTCGCAACGTCGCGCTTAGCGCGAAGGGAAGGTAATTAAGCGTGAGCAATCGGTTAACATGCTGACATGTGATCTGCGTCGGCCCCCAGGCCGACGAAACTGCGGGTAGACTATCTTTGCAATCCAGTGGCTCTAGGAGGCTCTGAGCAAGATTCCCGTGCATGCAGAGGCAGCGAAGTTCTCAAGTGCTTCGCGCCGGCCCATTGCTGATCTTACCAGTACCGAAATCAGGTTACATAAAGAAAGACACCAGATGGAGACCTCCCAGCATCCACACTCGGTGGGGCTGCCCGGGAGGCCCCCGCACAGCCGAAAGACTACGATCATTGGTGTCGGGACCCGCACGATGCCCGTGACTTGGCAGCCGACATTGCTGTGCAAGAGCGAACTCGCCAGGCTCGAGTGCGTCGGACCAGTGGGGTCAAGGGAAGGGTCGCGAAGCGCAGGCCGCACACGCAGCTGCGACCGAAAACGAAACATTTGACAGCGGATTTTCATTCTGCCGCTCTGCCCGCGGCCCCCTCAGCTCTACTTGTACGATGACCGGCGTCTCGAAGACCTCGAAGGTCGCCTACCCAGCCAAGAGGCGAATGGGAGAACAGCAACCCGCCCCTCATTCCACCTTTTCACCGCCGTGCAGTCCGAGCACTTGCCGGACTCGATGCGCCATCCTCGCTATACCATGCGGCGTCGTAAGGCGAGCCGTCGACGGGATTGCAGGCGTGTCCACCGGCCACTCTATGCGCGAAACGTCGCCCCCCTCCCTCTGGTGCACGAAGCCGAGCACGCCGGCAGCATTCAGCGCCGGCAACTTCTGTCTCAGCGCCACGACAGCCTCGTCATACAGCGCGCAGCCGCGATCCTCGCTCGCGTCGTCGTGCACGACCAGGCGCACCTGCGCGAAGCTGCGCAGCCGGGCGTCGACTTCCGACAAGGGGGTGTCCCGAAGCGCCGGATGCCGCATCGACGTGAGCGAGATGTGCAGCTCTACTGCCGTGAGGTGCGGGCTGTTCGCTTGGCGCAGGCTCGGAAGGACGCTGCGCGGGAGGTCTTGCGTCGCGCGTTCGCTGAAGATGAGCTGCGTGAGGCCGGCGCACGGCCGGATGTCGAGCGGCACATCTACAGCGAGAGGCGGCTCAGCCAGTGGTTCACGAAAGCGGGCTGCTCGCACTCACCACGGTGCGCGGGAGGATGCGGAGCGCGTGGGTTGCGATACGTTGGGCAGACCTCCAGCGTGTGCAGCCCCGCCCCCAGGTCCTTCAGAAACGTGTTCAGAACGGACGAGTCGTCTCCGAGTGCCGTGATCCTGAGATGCGCGACGCCAAACCTCGCCTGCCCCCGGGCCAGCCACTCCGCCCTGGACGCATCGATCGCAAGGAAACGCAGGTCCCACTCGGGAATCCGCACCGGCGGCGAGGCCATGCTCCGCACGACCGTCCGGCGCGTGCGGCACTGCAGCACCTCCAGCGTGTCCAGCGCCGTGAAGTGCGCCAGCAGCGCGCACATCGCCTCGGTGTCGCCGAACTCGCAGAAGCGCAGCGCGAGGTGCGCCACGCGCGCGTAGGGCGCCGCCGCCGCCTGCGTCTCGCCCGCCTCGCCCGCGCCAAACTGCATGTGCGCGATGGTGAGGCTGCGGAGGTTCGGCAGCTGGGCGCCGGCGCCGGCGCTGCCCAGCGCGAGGAGGAGGAGGTCGCCGCGCGGCCGGGCGCGCGTTTCGAGCAGCGTGATGCTGCGGATGTGCGCGCCGAGCGAGTGTGTCCTGTGTGCGAAGCGCGGGAGAGTCGAGGGCCGGAGCACGGTGTGGGAGAAGAGCAGCGAGCGGCAGTGGCCCGCCCAGGCGCGGCACGTCTTGGAGAGCGCTTTTAGTGCATCTTTGTCGGAGGCGAAGATGTCGATGATCTGGAAGTGGAGTTCAAGGGGGAGTATGGGGGGCGGAGGCTGGCACTCGGTCACGGTGGAGGCAAAGGCTCTGGTGTAAGGAGTGTCAGTGTCACGCCGTGACGTCACACGAACACACCAAAATCTCGAGTCTCACCTTGGTCCCGTACGAGTCGTGCGCACCCTAGCCATGTCCTTCGGCCTCTCGAGTCCCCTCGTATGCGTGGTGGTGGTGGTGGTAGCAGGGTCAAACACAGCTCAACTGTCAACTGTAATCGCATAGCCTCTTCCATAACGTCCATCTGATGCTTCAATCATTTGCAGCTATAATTAGCAAGTGAACAGCGATCTCAATTCCCTTTCAGTATGTTCAAGTGGCACAAGATACTGGTGAAAAAGATGGTTGATCTGACGCGCTCCTGGTGGCTGCCTGCAAGGCAGTCACACCGGGGGATCACACATAACACGGCCCCTAAAGAATAAATTATATTCCATATATCGTGACCCCAAAAAGAAGCTGACCTGATATGTCACATATCAGCGCAAAAACGACCTGATACCACAGATATCGGGTGCCGGGTATGATCCGGGTGCCCGATATGTCACATATCAGATCCCTTCATTTTTTATACCTCAATATATAGAATATAATTGATTCTTTATGGGCCGTGATATTCGGTGTGAGTGTGGCAACTACAGATCCGCACCGCCACTGATGGTAATCGCAATACGTGAGTAGACAACGATAAAAGATTCAACGGCTTCGGTCATGCTGGCTGTATAGCAGCATATCAATATGTTCGCTCACGATATATTGAGATTAAAAAAAACTTTGAATCGCAAAAATAGTTGAGATTGTCCGTTCTACAGCACGTATAAGTTATCCGTTTCATTTCAGAAATAATAGACGAAAATCTCAAGGTTGGAGCAGGAATTCTTGGATGAAATGAAGTAGTCATCTGAGTTATCTGGGACGCTGAAATCGAACGGCCCACCCACATCCTACGCGCCATGTTTGACTCCTTCATACATTGACGATGCGCCTCGGGTGTCTCACAACCACGGAACTGCCGCATCCATCTGAGACAAGAGATCCTCCGCATCCTACCCTACACCCCCATGTCGTCCCCAGCCCAGAAATTCATCAACGAGGCTCTCGGTGCATTCGTACGACCTCCCATCTCTCTGCCTTCCACGCATCTGACGATGCAACCCCCCGCAGGACCTCGCGGTCTGCGGCGCACTCGTCCTGCAGGGCGTCCTGTGCGCGCAGTTCGCGCGGTACGCAGCGAACGGCTACCACCGCACAGACCTGCCGTTCCTGCGCGCGTGGGTCGCCGGCCTGCTCGTCCTCACGCTCGGGAAGAACGCGTACGGCGTGTGCGTGTCTTCCGTGTATCCGTCGGGGCCGCTGATTCAGATTGGCTGGCTGTATGCAGGGCTCTGATCCAGGTCAAGAACACGACGCACTATGGGAACCTGCCCGCGGCACTCGCGGCTTGGGAGTCCGTACAATACGACACCAATTTCTTTCTCAACCTCGTCGTCACGTTCTACGCGCAGCTGTTCTTCTGTTGGCGGCTGTGGGTGAGTCGGCGCACTGACGCATGTCCGATCGATGGCTGGCAGCTGACGAGCCGGTACTGAGACACTGTCGCGGAAGCTGTGGCTGTCGCTGTCCATGGCGCTCCTCTTCGTCGTCGCGCTCATCTGCGGGGTGTTCACCGTGCCCTCGGGCGGCATGCGCGATCCCGTGCGGTGGAGTGAGTCGCTGCCTTGCCCCCAGAATTGGCGGCCATTCTGAGCGAAACTCCAGACGCCGCGAACTTCAGCCTCTACTTCGTCGCGGACTCGGCGCTCTGCGGGTCGACGATATTCTTCCTCCTCGTCAGTCCCTCTCCCGTATCATCCTCTCCCTCAAAAAGGCTCACACACACACACCAGTCACGCTCGGACGAAGCCTTCCGCAGCACCGCGAGCACGCTGCACCGCATCGCGGCCGTGACGATCCAGTCCGCCGCGCCCGCGGCGCTGTGCGCGCTCGTCGTGCTCGCCTCGTCGCAGGCCGCGCCGAACTACTACTCCGGCAGCGCGGCGCTGGCGGTGACGCTCGTCGCGAACAACGTCCTGCCGCTGGTCTACGCGTTCGCCGCGCTGTGGACGCTCAACGCGCGCCGCGCCATCCGCGACGCGATGCTGCGCGAGCGGGAGGGCCAGGCGGAGACGCTCGCAAGCGGGTCGCGGGGGGAGGTGTCGTGGAGGCGCAGTTTGACGACGAGGACGGGGACGGACGCGCACGTTGTGTGAATTCGATTGAGTTGTTTCTTTCAACTGTACATGTAGACATCATACCACTACCGTCATGCGTCTGGGAACCACCGGCCAGAGACACAGCATCAGAACCATCATCGCCACGATGCTACAGATAAGATAAGATAATTCAGATCGAACCCGAGCATAAAGCAAAAATAAAAACGCACATCGGCTGCAAACTCTTGATCCCCGCCCTCGACGAGATCGCCCCGGCGATGAACGGGACGAGCGCCCCGCCGACGGTCGCGATCGCGGCCATCCAGCCCATGCTCGCGGTCAGGAGCGACGGCGGGAAGATCTTGGCCGCGCGGTTCAGCGCGAGCGGGTAGATCGGCCCGGACACGAGCCCGACGAACGCCACGGCCAGGGCACCGCCGACGAGCGAGTGCACGAGCCACACGACGAGCTGCAGCCTGAAGGAGTGTCAGCGAGCCTGCGGTTGAATCACGGGACGGATGAACGGACCCGATGGCGGCGAGTGCGTAGATGTAGACCACGCGGTTCGCCCCGACCTGCGGACAAGTTGATCGTGAGTGGGCGGGCGGGGGCTGGATCAGGGAGGGACGTACTTTGTTGTTGACCCAGACCAGGGCGATCCGGCCGAGCGCCGCGCCGCCCGAGAACCCGGCGGCGATGTAGCCCGCGGAGGAGCCGCCGCCGCGGGTGTCGACCATGTACGTGACGGTCCACCCTGCCCGCGAGGCTCGGTACAAAATCACACGCGAGAGAAAGAGAGAGGGAGAGAGAGACGGGACTGACCGCCGATCGCCACGCCGACGCCGACGTGAACAAAGAGGAACGCAGCGAGGATGTGCAGGCCCTTCATCCCAAACAGCTGCCGCATCTGGCTGTCCCTCTTCCCCTCAACGCGCAGCACCGGCTGTCCTATCCGGGCAAGGCATTCTCGAGGAGGGAGCAAGCGTCATCCGACCAAGTCCTCCGACCCAGAGCAAAAAAAAGCCACACACCGTCTTGGGTTCTGCCGCGGAACACGAGGAACACGAGGCACCAGTTGAGCAGCGCGAGGCCGAGCGAGACGAGGTAGTGGAACGACCAGCGCGGCAGCCGCGCGAACTGCGTCGAGACGAGCGGCGCCGCGAACAGGCCGGCGCCGTACGCGGCCTGCACGTAGCCCATCCGCGTCTCCGCATGGCGCGCGAAGCTCGCGACGTACCCGTTCGCCTGCGCGTCCTGCGCGCACGCCCACGCGTGTCAGCACTGCACGTCGGGTAGCGCGGGACTCACGAGGATGGAGGTGCTGATCGAGTTGAGGGTCGCGCAGAGCGCGAAGACGGGGTAGGGCAGCGCGGCGGCTTGCAGGCTGTAGCCGACGAGCTGCGCGATCGGCGCTGGGATGCGGATCCGGTCAGCTGATCACGCTACGCTACGATGATCGCTCACCGAGGAGCAGCATCTGCGTCGATCAGCGGGAGAGCTGAGATCCCACCACAAAAGACAGACACACACGCACCTTCCCGAAGCCCAGCCGCGGCGTCATCGTGATCGTCAAGAACGCGCCGATGATCGAGCCCTGGGTGGCGTTGGCACATCAAAAGAGACGAGACACTGCGCCGACTCACCACCGCACCGCAGACGAACGGGAGCGAGGCGACGAGGTAGCCCACGCCATACTCCGCCTGGATCCGCGGCAGCAGCGGGCCCAGCGTCCCGTCATTCCTGCCAGAATCCGCAGAGTCAGCCTTCTTTGCACCGCAGATCGGGATCGGGGTGTGCGCACCAGCCAGCGAGGAACACCGGGACGCACAGCGCCGCGGTCTGCACGCGCCCCCACGCGGCTTGGTGCGCCGTGGGCTCGGGTTTGGCGCGGGGCGGGCCGTGTTCGTGCAGCTGCGCGTGTTTCGGGTCGTCGGCGGTGGCGCGTTCGGGAGCGTCGTGGGCGGTCTTCTGGGGAGGGAGGTCGTGCATTGGGAGCCCGGGTGCGTCTGTTGCTGCCATATTGAGCGAGAGAGAGAGAGAGCTGGGAGCGAGGTTGCGGATAAACCTCGGCGGTGGTACCTACTCGGCTGCCAGTCCGCCTCCCAAATGCCGACGGATGGATATGGATTGCAGGTGCACGTGAGAAAACGCAGAGATGCCAAGCCAAGCGTAAGTTACGTAATGGCCTCGACCATCCGGTCACTGGTTCGAGCCTCACGTATGTGTGTATATTTTGTTGAGTCCTCAATTCATTCGTGCTGCATGGGTGACGCTCGGGCATGGAGCCCAATATTTTATTTCTACTTTCAAGCTGCTCAATCGCTTCGCCGACCGCCAAGGTCCCAAGTAAGGCAAAGGCACGGACCTGAAATCAGACCACAGGTGCCGTGGAACGTACTGTAACGCAATTGTGCTCGCTGCCCATCGCGAGAGGGCCATCGTACAAGTTTCAGCAAGTGCCATAATTCATTAAAGCCTCTGGGGCGACCTGAAACGCGGATCCGTGCCCTCAAATCAGCCGGTCTCGAAGGCATCAGGTTTGATAGACATCGTCGAGAGACCGCGCACGCGAGGGACGGCAGAATTCCCCCCCACAAACACGGATGTGCGCGGCGAATCGAAACAGAGTTGGACGGCGACGAACAGTCGCACGGGTGCATTCGACTGATCGTGATTCGTGCACTGGGGAGTCGGTGCATGGGTGGGGGATCTTCGTTGGAGGCTGTCGTGCATGGCCCGGAGCATATCCCGCCATCCCTGTGGCAGATCAGCAACAAGAAAGAGGACGATCGTATTCGCCGAAAGACCTTGAGGTATTTCTTTGCCTGGTTTCTCGACGTGGGAGTTTGACAATTATAGCCTCTAGGCACTCTTTTCGGGGTTGCCATGCGTACCGACCTGAGCTGCCAGGCGGGACGAAGAGATCAATCAATATGCATACCGGCGCTCATGCCGCCGGCAGGGCGGATGAATTCTGCGATTGCAGTGTGCAGGGAGAAGATCTCTGCGTGGGATTCACCTCTCCCATCAACGTGAGGGATTGACTTGGCCATCTCATTCAGACGGTCAGTCGGGTATAAAGATCCTGCGCGTTGGGTCCTGCCAGGGAGCAACACACACACGCACGCACGCACGCACCCGACATACCACTTCTCGAATGTCCGTATTCGCATCCTCCCGCCGCGTCGCCATCGCCTGTCTCAGCTGCCGCGAGCGCAAAATCAAGGTACGCCCGCATCAATCCCGTGACTCCCTCGTCTCGGCACTGACCGCGCGCTGTTTCTGTTCTGTTGCCAGTGCATCACGAGCTCGACGGACAACCCGTGTCTGCGCTGCCACTCGAACGACCTGCCGTGCGACTACATCTCCGCGGTCAAGCACCGGCGCGTCCGCCCCGCACCCACCGACACCGACACCCCGAGGAAGCGCCGCACCGCGAAACCCGACGCGCCATCGGGCTCGGAGGCGCCCGCGAGGGCGTGCGCGCTGCGTCCGCTCCGCGCGAAACACGCGCCGTACCCCCGCCACCATCGCGCGTACGACGGCGCCGCGGAGGGCTGCTGGCCCGTCGTAGCTGATGTTGCCGAACATTCCCTCCCTCCACGGCCCTGCGCGTACCCCCCATCCATCTGCATATCCGAACGCGAGATCCGACAACCGATCCCCCTGAGCAGTGTTTCGTACGACTACGACTGGGCGCCGCCCTCCCGATCTCCGTCGGCGTCGCCCATCGCCCTACCGCTCCCCCTCCCGCTGTCCAGCGCGAGCAGCCGCCCGCTGCTCGCGGAGACGCGCGAGGCATTCGTGTACTCCCACGTGTCCCAAGTCGACGATCCTCTGGAGGATTACTGGCGCGCGTTTGATGGAGGCGCATCGTGGCATCCGTCGCACGCGCAGGAATTTATTGGGGTCCAGCTCCCGGACGCATATATGGACCCGGGGTTGTTCTACGGCCCGTTCGACGGAGCTTGTTTTTATAGTTAGATCAGTGTATTAGTTTATTTCCTGTACCGATGTATCCATAGCACATATTAATTATTTCTCTGCGCGTCTTTACAGACATGACAAGCGCAACACGTCGTGGCCTTCGTCTTCAAGCCAGACAGACGTTGACAGAATGACGGAATCAGTCTGCCCCAGGTTTCCGCCATCAGCCATCAATCCATGCGGAGCCGAGGGCACAGCCATCGGAAACACCCATCTATGCTTGGTTTCACTCTTTCTCTGTGATCTGGCTGCTCGCGCAGTTTACGAACGCTGATGCCGCACAGAAAGCTTTCAAAACGAACACCGACTCGCGCGGCGACGTGTTCCTGACGGAGCGAATGGACGCCATCATCGACGGAATCCTGTGCGACTTCAACACCGCGCGTGGGGCGGGCGTGGCCGTGGTGCGTAGAAGCACGGACGGGAGCTGGGTCCTCGAGAGCAGAAGGTACGGAAACGCGACGGCGGTCGGTGCAGGCGTCACGGCGGACACCGTGTTCTCGATCGGGAGCAACCCGAAAGTGCGCCGCCGCGGGTGCTTCTTCGCTATCCATCCCCAAGCCTCCATTGATTACACCCCGCAGCTGTTCGACGTGATCGCCACGGGTCTCCTGATCCACAACGCGTCGCTCTCGCCGCGCATATCCTGGGACTCGAAGACGGCGCACATACTCCCCGGGTGGGGCCTCATGGACCCCGTCGCGAGCCGCGAGAGCACGATCACAGACCTGATGAGCCACTCCCGCACAGGGCTCGCGCCGCACGACATGATGGACGCGCTGGCCGAACCCGTCGAGGCCCTGGTGGGTCTTCACCCCGTTCCGCGGGACAGACAGACAGACTCAGGAACTGGGGGCGACCCCGCCGCAGATCCAGCGCCTGCGGCACCTCCGCCCGTCCTACGCCTTTCGCGCGCACGCCTCGGCATGCGCGACACGGCGTTCTTCTGGGACCCTGCGCTGCGGGGCAGGTTAGCGGATGGGTTCGTCAGGGAGGGCGCGGATGTCGCTCGGGATCCGTTTGATCGCGGGAGGACGCGGACGGTTGAGTTTTTGGGGGGGCGGATTCGAGTCCCGGTGCGTGGCTGAGTGATTTGTAACGGACTGCCGCTGAGGGGTGTAGTTCTCGCTGGCTCGGGTGGGATGGTATCCACGGCGCGGGATGTGGTGCGTGGTTTGTTTCGATCGCTGCAGCTGTTTATGCCGTAGGCTATCTGGCTTCGTGCGCTACTTGAAGAGGGTAAAAACGCGGAGAACGAGACGATCATTCCGGCCGAGGTCATCGAGAAAGCAGCAAGTGGGATTATGGTTTATTCTCGTATTGCGTAAGCCATTCACAACGTCTTGAATCAATGAATGTTTTACACTGCCACCAGCCGGTACCCAGAACTCTCACCGCTGACATGTGGCGGCGGCCAATCTCGTGGGACATACCGTGGATTCGAAGTCATCGAGGTGATTTTTCTTTCCGCAGGTCACAAGGATTTTTCCAGTCAGCCCTGACTTTTCACACGCAAGCACGGGGGTTTGACGCCCGGGTTCATGAGCCAGATATCCCGCATTCCGTCGCAGAGTCTGGGCGTCGCCGTGCTGACGAACGACGGCAGTCTGGGAAACTTTATGATGGAGGCGATCAAGTACCGGATCTTCGACGAGTACTTTGGGCTCGCACCCGTCGACTGGACAGCGCGGTTCGATTCCATGCCATTCCGCACATCGCAGCTGACGTTATCAATAGCTACCGCGAGCGAGTGCGTAGCGCAGCACCCACGCCGCCTCTGCCACGCTCCAGCCGAGCCGCCGCTCCCACCGCTCCCTACGCCGCTTTGGCGGGGACGTACAATAACGCTGCGTACCGCGACCTGCGCTTGTGTCTGTTTCTGCACGGATCAATACAAGAAGGCGGCGAAGCGTGCGAAGACTTGGCGGCGGAAGTCGGGGCACGGCTGCCTGCCGTAATCCAGCCGCATGTCCCGACGCTGATTGCGCGCTGGGCGACGCCGCTGACGCACTACTTGCTCCTCGAGCACTTTGATCGCGATCCGTGGAATCTTACCGGGCTCTGGAGCCACCGCGAGGTGCGCATCGCTCTCTCGGTTCATCTCGCGGCGCTGACCGCACCGATCAGGGAGAATGGGTCCAGAAGATGACCGTGGGGATGTTGGCTGAGTTTGATGGCGCTCGGGGGTTCGTCGGGCGCGCATTTTCCGGCTCATCTGAGCAGGATCGCGGCGATGTGGGGTTCGAGAGACCCAATCGCGAGTAGATGGATGTACGAACTTTGGGGGATGCTAGCAGACTGGGGGGACGTAACAAAAGAACCGTGTGCCACCGGTGCCACGTGGTGATGTGCAGCGAGAATATATATATAAGGGTCCGCGCGATCAAGGCTGCGATCAAGCTTTCCCATCAATACCCCCCTTCGGATGAAACCGCCCCGGAGACCTCGCCGATACACCGAGGAGCGCCCGCCGTTTTCGTCGTTCGATCAGTTCGCGCGCGGGCAGCTGCTGTGGTGCCGCACGACGCGCAAGGAGATGAAGCTCACGTCGCGGCGGCGGCTGACGGAGCGCGCGACGGGGAACACGACGACGTCGCCGTCGATGCGCGGACTCTACGAGGAGGAGTGGCAGGATCCCTCGCTGGTCGACATGGACTCGGAGCTGCGCCGGCTGTGCATGGTCGTCGATGTCAGCGAGCCGAAAAAGACGATCAGCGTCGTCCCGTTCATTCGCAGTCGCTGGGTGCGTCCGTTTTTCTGGTATCCCCCGCATCGATGGGCCCGCTGGATCGCGATCGCTGATTCCGCGTGTCCGGTGATGGATAATAGCTCATGCCCACCAGCCCGTGGCTCGATCTGAACGAAGCCGGGTCACATCCGATCGCGGTGACACCGGGGCCACGATTCGTCTGGATCGGTCCGCCGGAGGAAATCGATGTGGTGCTCGGCAACTGGGAAGAGATGCACCCGGATACCGATCCCGATACCGGGCTCATCCGCGTCGACAACCCGGATGAGATGGAACAGAACTTCTGGAACTGGAAATCCCACCACGATGTCTACATGGGCAAGACGGGTGCGTCTTCCGCATCCCCCTTCTGCTGCCCGATGCACGCGGCTAGAACCACGCGCAGAAGCGTTACGTTGGCTCCCGGCCGACTTCTTCCCGCACTCGCCGAATGCGACACACGTCCGCGCGTTCTCGCGCGAGGTGCGCGACCCGATGCTCGGCCCCCACGCGCAGCATCGCCGGCACCTCTCGGCCGACGCGTACCTCTATCAGGTGCCGCCCCCGCCGCCGCCACAGCACGCCGGCCACCCGTCAAACACGTTTGCGTTCGGCGGGTTCAACATGGCTCCCGCCGCGCCGGCGTTCCGCCAGAACCCGCCGCCGTTCATGAACCCGGGGCTGATTGCGTCGCGGGGCTTCCAGGGTGGGTTTGCTGGGGGCCAACAGCAGCAGCAGCAGCAAGGACTGCCCGGGCTCCGGCACCGGGCATACACGCATGTGAATATGAGCCACAGCGCCAACGCGGGCTTCCAGCAGGCCCAAAACCGGCAGCAGCACAACCAGCAGCAGCACCAGCAGTGGGCTGCCGGCTCCCACCACCGACAGCCGCTGCGCGCGTTCACGAGCGAGGGCTCCATGCTCGACGAGCGCGAGCGCGCCGCCCCCGCCATGCAGCAGCGCGCCAACGTCGCGCAGCCGCTCCCGCTCCCCTCGCCCGAGACCTCCGCGCGCTTCGCCGCGTCGCAGCCGCTGCAGCCGGGCGGCGGTGCGCTCCCGCTCTTCCCGTCCCTCGACACCTTCCGCACTGGGCATCAGCAGCAGCAGCAGCCGCCGCCGCTGCTCCCGGGTCCGCCGCCGGCGCGGGGCCGGAGCTCGCTCGATCTGGACCGGTACCGCGAGTTCTATCGCACGCCGGACGCAAATGTGTAGACCCTGGATGGAATGATTTCTTCCGTAGCGTGTACTTGTATACCACTCCCTTTGTACAACCCATCGTAGCTGGCAATTCAACGCGGGTTCGCGTAGAGCGTGGTGTGAGTGCGGGTGCATCGACGTAGATAACACAGATTGCAAGTCGCTGGCAAAACCACACAGGCGAAATTAACTGCGATGAAATCCGATTAATGTTGCTCATCTCGGTAAGAGATAAACATGCGCCATGCCCGTCTGCCGCTTCTTGCCTGGCCCAGGAAGGTCTTTTCTATTCAACGGCAGTGCTTACCGAACTGATCTAGAGAGTGCTTTATTCATCGATAGATTCAGCCTCAGTACATGCAGATCTTGTCCTTGACTCGATATAACCTGCTGTCATGTAAGACAACTTTAATACATAGCTCTTCTGAAATCGTGTCCTTCTCAGAGGAATGAGACGCTCCCTCTTTCAAACACTATCCGCTGAACGGTCTTGACTGTTCGGCGCCGGGCCGACAGTGCCGTCAGTGGTCACGCTCCGGAGTGCTCAATCACTGACAGCATCTCGAACGAAGGCCTATGACGGTCGAAGAGAAACGATCTCTAAACGGGAACACTTTGCAGCCATATTTTCCGCACTTTATACTCAGCAAGTCTGTTGTGAAGTGTAGGCTCGATTTGCCGATTACGCCTTCCAGCAGTGTTAACAGTATCATGTGACTTGGATCGCTTCCTGTGAATGATTATTTTGATGCTTTAATCAAGAGACTCGGTGACACATGAAACCAATTATTTGCTACTGGGTGAGCTGCGTTATTTTTTCTCTTTCTTATCATTACTTATCCTTTACTCAGACTATCTACTTGACGACTCGGTACTTGGTCTTGGTTCACGGGACTGACTATTGAGACAGTTGTTCACTACTTTCTAGCCAGCTGAGACACACTATTCCGTCTTATTTTACGCCTAAGTAGCACAAAACTTGCCTTTTCACATCCTCAAAGTAAATTATGATTTATCTAATCTATCACTGATGGCTGCTGTCCATCGGTCACGTCTCATACTTATATTTCCATCCGAGTCATGTGTATTTGTGTAGTAAGGAACGTGATGGAGTCTCCCACGTGATATGTGTACCTGTAAACTTGACGTTGCCCACTGCAGAACTGTTAACATTGTTGGAAATAGACAGGCCGCATCAAGGACGAGTCTCAGCTTCAAGTCCAGGTACAATACGCGATAAGTATATTGAACACAGCTGCACTTACCATCAAGCACCATAAGCATTCCAATCCGCAGCGTGAATTGGACGGACACTGTTTCTCCCGCCAATTGGAACACCAGAGTTCTGTGTCTGTTCGAATGCTATTTGTCTACAATCAAGGCATTTGCAGCGCTCTCAAATCTTCGAAGATCTAAAGTACGCAACGATCTCCGGCGAGCGTGCATCAACGTGAACGACACGATCGCCTGCCTGGACATGTCGCCCGGAACAGTGCTGCGTGGTGCTCAGGGAGAATTCGTGGAATGGAGGTCAATGGACGATCATGCGGTCGACGGCCGAAAACGTGGAGACAAGTGTCTGGCATTTCCTCGAGGGCCGGGTGAATGGAGAAACTTGGGCCGCCTCCAGGTCGCCCGCAAACGCGAATTGCGTAATGGATGTGACTGCCATCGCTCGAAAATACCAGACGAAGGCAAGACATGTTCTGTGGCCCCGGCTTGATCGAGATGCAGAACCGCACATTGGCTTCAATCACGGGTAGGCTTTGCCCGTGAGGTTCTGTCGAGAAGATGTTTGGGAAGGTGCGTTTGAAGGTATCGCGGTACGCTTTGTCCTCCGGTTCTCTTGTGATGAGTGGGCCTCCCCGGGCGGCTCAGTTGCGGCAGGACGGCTCGCGTTCTTCCGGAAGCAACCGAGCTCCATTCACGCTTTTTTTGCGCGATGGAGACACGTCGCGAATTCACTTCTGCGCATGCGTTTATCGCGGATATAAACAGGCAAGGGAGACAAAGTCATTCTCATGTGTGACGATACTGGTCGTCCATTCGAACTTCGTTGATGTCGTTTCGGCCGACGGATGACGTGCCCATATGGTACTTATCACGCAATCGCTGGAGCGTGGGACACCTCGAGGACGCCTCATCGGCGAGCTTTCCCCGAAGGACCCCACAGGGCTCTCGGCATCTACCGCGCGTGTCTGCTGTGGACATTGATGTTGGTCACGAACGTCCACTCTGCTGGACGACAGCACCAGATGACTGAGCATCCCGGTGACATTGCTCTCGCAGTGGCTCAAATAAATATGTCAGATCGACCGTGCATGAAGTTTCGCCGGTGGAACTAGTTAGACACTTGTGTGAGAGAAACCTTGGGAGATTTGGATCTGACGCAACGGTTATACCCCGGTAGGAGCTGCATCGACTTTCAAAAGTGCATCTTTGATAATCGCCAAGTTGAGGAGCCTAGCGAGAATACAACAGATCGTCATTAGTAGCACAAGCGACTCAGCAACGGTGGGGCCAGGCTGGTCCACCGTAATAATTTGAATAAGATGGGCCACATATTCGCCTAGGCCTACCGTGTCCATCCTGTTTCTTTCGAGTATTTAAGCTGCAATGTCGCGGAACTTGATGGAGCGCATAGCGGGAGTCGATACGAAGACGCCACATGATCCAAATTGTATGAAGTCGTCAGAAGTTTCGGGGTCTCGCTCTCAGGACATCAAGCGATCACTCGCCTTTGATTTCCTTTTCTCCCTGCTAAGCGTGAAGCTTCCAGGCTCACCTCCACAGGGATCCGATGTGCTGCTTGTCATGGAAGCGCGACCGATCATCTCCGAGATACGTAGGCTCCGTCGTGCCAGCTGACATTGGAGCAGTTGATATAAAAACTCTACTTTGGTACCTTGTCTGTCTGTCTGTTTCCTGTGCTGTACTTTTTTCCGGCTCAACAATGTCCCCTGCATCAGAGAAATATTCCAGCTGGACGCCTCACCGCTCGGAATGGCAGTCGAGGCGGGGCAAGACGCGCACGGTGCCGATGAAGGTGCTTGTGCTCGGGTATCCGAGGACTGGGACATCCTGTGCGTTCAATTGGCCCCGTTTGATCGCGTTTGCTCACTGGCAACATCGCAGCCATGCGTAAAGCGCTGCAGATTCTCGGCTACGACGAGGTGTATCATATGGAGTCGGTGCTTGCCAACCCACACGACGCGGATCTCTGGAGAGAAGCGCACCACACGAAATACGTCAAGGGGGAGCTTGTACCGAGGGAGAAATGGGACGAGATCCTGGGCCACTGCGAGGTCCGTCCACGCGACGCGTTGTCGTGTGATTCTCGAACTCATATTGTCCTTTACCGACAGGCAGCCACCGACGCCCCGCCGATGATGTACGCAGAGGACCTGATCGCCGCCTACCCGGAAGCAAAAGTCATTCTCACGCTGCGCGACCCCGCCAAGTGGTGGAAGTCCTTCTCCTCCACCATCGGCAACATGCCCAACAACCTCACATTCGTCCTGGCGCTCATGCTCGACGTCTCCGGTCTTGCGCACTTCGGCGCTATGGCAAGGGAGATGGGCTCACAGCTCAACGGGCCGAACCCGACAGCAGAAGAAGCGCAGGCCCGCTTCGTCGCGCACTACGACAAGGTCCGCGCACTGGTGCCCAAGGACCGGCTGCTCGAATTCGACGCAAAGCAGGGGTGGCAGTCGCTCTGCCCGTTCCTCGGTGTGCCGATCCCTGAAGAGGGTGATTATCCGTACGTGAATGACAGCGCGGCGTTCAATGAAAAGATGACTGCGACGGGTAAAGCCGCGCTCCGCCGCGTTGCTGGGGATCTGGTTGTCCCAGTGCTCGGATTGGTGGCGGTCGGGCTCGCAGTGTATGCCCGGACGTCGAAGATTGCATTCGCTTGAATCTCTCGGTGCTGTGTATCGCCGTCGCTGCTCAGGCTAGCGGATTGACAGTTGAACATTATTTCATAGTTCCATTGAATACAAGAACACATTTTCTGCATCCAAGTCGAACGCTTATCTGTTCGAAAGTGGATGAGCTACAAGGGAACTGGGGAGTCAAGAGACAAGATCTACGCGGTCAGGGGGTGGAGGCCGCGCGCTCACCTGACGCGATCGGTGATTCGAACGTGAGATACCGCCACCCATTGGCGACACGGGGGGATTGTTCAGTGAAGCGTGATTCGAGCGCTGTTCTTACTTGACTGCGACTCCCACCAACCGTCTTGAGCTAATTTGAGCAATTTAGTCATGTGCCTGTGAGTATCGTGTGGCCAATCAAATCTAAAATAGCACACCTCTCGTCAACTCCCTCTGTCGGTTCGCTCGCAAGTAAATAACGACGTGGTTTTTAATATTAATGACGTTTATTCGGTGCACAATGACATTGGAATAGCAAGGTTTGATTAGCTGGACGATTGTGTGTGCGCGGAGATCGAGTTAGGATAGGGCGTATGTAGATGGCAAAGGGGACGATCTAATTTTAGAGCGACCGTACAGCCACATGATGACGTCAAACCTTCCTCTTTGAGTATGTTTATGTGAATTCAAGAAACTCCAGAATCCTCTCAAGTAAAGTCATCCACCTAAGATTGAATATCCAGCTCATAGCCTTTTAAAAAAGCGCCATGACTCTTTGTAATGTTGTGCATGGAGCGGGGTCTGATCTGAACGTCACGGACCAAGCGGTGTGAGATGTCACGATCTTAGTTCTGTGACAAAGTGAAGGGGATCCAAAGCCTGAAGTTTGAGAGGCCGGAAATATCCCGGGGAAAAATAATGGCTCCATCGATCTAATTGTGAAATCTTTTGGCCGAGGAGACAGCCTGTCCCATTCTCTCGATTCACGTGAAAATCGACTGAGGAGACGTCTATGGACCCAGCCCAGCTATCATAAAAAATGTCCTAGGCGAAAGATCCCGGGCCCAGGCTCAAGTTGCTACCCAAATTCGCCGCCAACATGACTGAAAGCCAAGACTTGCCCGCCTTGACCGCACAACTCGTGTGTTCCCCGTCGCAGAACCCGGTCAACGTGAGGGTCGGTAATTTCTTTTTTGCCATTTTCAGCGCCCAGGATGACGAGGGATGACTCCTCGACATGCCACCACCGTGATCTTCGCCATGTGGCTAATACTGTTGGGCGCTATGCAAATTCACGATCGGCTCTGTCATAGCGCAAACCCGTCTGCCAGTCTTCGCGCTATGGGCCTCTTATCACCTCAGGGATCGAGACACGCACGTCGAGGTGTGCGCAACAGCTGAGCCCATGAGCGCGTCACAGTCAAAGCGCATATCTGTCGGAACAGGTGACCGTTTGGGATGACGCGCGCATAATGAAAGCAAAATTTCCCACTCGGCATGATTAGCCGACGAGGGCCGGTCCGCAGTCTCCTTTAAGACGGCTGTCAGCCTGTCATGAGCACATTTCCCACGCTCACCTTCCACTCTTTCTCTTCTTGCCTTTCCTTCCTCCTTCTGTCCCCCGAGCTCCCATGAGCTGTCCAAGCGATAACACCGCGGCCATCGAGCAATCCTCCTTCTGGGATCCCACAGCGCCGTGGGATCCGCATCGGCGAGTCTGGCGGCTCCTGTGACGACGCGAGGGCCGAAACTGATCTGGCGTGCAGGATTGGATGGGTTGTAGCGGGTAGTTGCTCTGCTGCGGTGGGTCTCTTTCAATCCTGAATATCTCCTCCGCAGCCCATTCACGCGCTCGTGTACGCAGACTGTCCTTGTGACCTTCCTGTCGGTGCTTCAACACTGCCGGTGCGTCGCGTGCATGGGCGCAGCGTTAGCGCACGCAGGCCCGCACGTTGCTGATCGCTGCGAACAGAAACTACCATGTCCCGCGGCAGCAACGACAAATGTGCGCCCGCTTCCCGTTCCCATCCCGAGCGGTCCGTCTCGGTTGCTGACCTCCGGGTCCGCGCAGCATCCGCATCCTATATATGCCGCCCGTCTACGCTGTCATTTCCTTCTTCTCATACCGCTACTTCCGGAGCTACACCTACTACTCCCTCATATACGTCGGTGCGTGGCATTCGCGCGGTCCCCTGCTGGCGTGTACTAATTCGGCCTCCTCGGAGCACAGCCTACGAAGCTCTTACTCTGAGCGCATTCCTGTACGCGGGATTCTCGGACGGGAATCCCATATCATGACTGATCACGTCTTCTCGCCCACAGCCTCCTGATCATCGAGTACGTCGCGGATACGGCCACGGGGCACAAGGCGGAGGATGCCATGGCACGCAAGGACAAACGACCTCTGCCCATGCCGTTCTGCTGCTGGAGGTACAAACCGACGAAGGTGCGTCATGTCAGTGCTTTCCAGTGTTGAAGATTGAGAGATTATCTAGGCGTACTTCCTATACAGTGTGAAGGTCAGCGGCGATCGTTCTCCGGCTCGCTCCCGGCCGGCTTACTCATTTTGGAATAGTGGTCTGTCATGCAATATGTGATCGTTCGGCCCGTTATCTCTATCGTCGGGATGATCTGCGAACATTACAATGTACTGTGCGACACCCAAAGCTTCAATCCCCGCTTCGCCAGCGTGTATCTTTCCGCTGTTGATTTCGTCAGCATATCGTGCGTTACCTTGTATATGCCATTCGCGCTCAGGAAATCCTGCTGACTGGCGTCCCCAGCGTGGCGCTGTATGGGCTGCTGCTGTTCTATGGCCTGACGCACGATGAGCTTGCTGGCCGGCGCCCGCTGGCCAAGTTCCTGTGCATCAAGCTCATCGTCTTCTTCACATTCTACCAGTCTTTCGTGTTCTCCGCACTGGAGGGCCGTGTCATTCATGGTCAGAAACTCGGTATTATCGACTGGTTGAAGATTCTGACGCCTCCCAGCCACCAAGTACTGGACGGAGACGAACATCGCCGATGGACTCAACGCATTGGCCATCTGCATCGAAGTGCGTGCCTCTCAGTACTGCGATCGGAAGGTCTTATGATCTGCCTGCATAGATGGTCTTTTTCGCGATTGCCATGTGGTGGGCATACCCTGCCACCGAGTATCACCAGACCGATCCGCAGGGCAAACGGATACGAACGAACATACTGGGGATGTGGAGACCTATCTGGGACTCGTGCGTATAGCTCTTGTGCAATGAAACGCGTATGACTGATTTATCACAACGTCTAGACTCAACTTCTGTTCGTGTTTCACTCTACGAAATGCTCTATGTCGGACTGATGATATCGTCAAGCTGACTTTGTGCAAGAAATCTGGGCCTCGCTTACGTTCTTCTTCCGCTCGAAACGCGCCGCACCATCTGGTTCGAGGATGGATCTGGCCCACGCGTTTGGTGTCGACGAGGGATCGAAATTGCCAAAATCGTATTGATTGACCCCATCATGGACTATTGTTGAATGATTATCGTATCACGGACGCTGCATCGAGCTTTGGGAGAATACCACCATAGAGCTGGCATCAGTTCCCCTTATTCTGTGCTTTATAGAGTCTGACCAGAAGTAACTGCGAGATGAGCTCCCCGGCTGGTGGGTCTCGAATTCGGGAGAGCTGTTGCTCTGCACACTTGATGAGCTTTCAACGTAGAGCAAACAGAAAGTTCATTAGGTGCGTGCTCTGCGTTGAAAGTTCATCAAATGCGCAGAGCAAACACGCCACCCTAAGACAATCGCTCGCATGCGGCACTTGAATATTGAGGGTTCCATTGCGAAGCATCGTGATGCCTTGCGTTTTGAAAACCAGCAGCCTATATAGCAAACAGAAGGGGGTCGAGCGCATCGCGGCGGCCGTGTAACCGGATCCAAACCATAACCCGACCTTTGATATATTGGCACGGACCTCTGCCCACAGTCACCATGCATTCTACGCGTTCGGCGTGAGAGATGACTTTGAATGGGCTGCGAATGGACTTCAGCTGGCGGAACATGAAGCTTTAGGGGACAAGAAAAGATATACTGGGGATTCAGATATCGATGCGACACTGTGCATCATTAGGTCGCGTCGACACGAGGATAAATGGGTCTGCCGACCGATTATAAGAATTTATTTCTTTGTGATGTGCTCTACTGAACTGCAATCAGTAGCATTAATAGTGTGGATGCTCCGATTAACTGAATGCTCATCTTATGTGTACGCTCGGGGTACAAGATGCCATGATACCGGCTTGCAGCGCAATCGCAATCCCACCCGACGCGTTCAAGATCGGGCGTCGGGTGTGTACCATGAGAGGAGGATATCATTGAAAACTTCGAAGCGGGCGGGTATACTCTCCCTCCAATTCTCACCATCCCCTTACCCCCGACCTCGCCCGGTCAGTTCCGATTTCAGCGGCCCCTCCTGGACCCATGCGGCCGCGCGTACATCCCGCACGCGCTGCACTCTACCATTCCCTCTGGATGCGTCCGCTGGGGGCTTGTCGCGCGCGTACCGCAATGTGCGCACCTGGTCCCGTGCTCGGGCGACGCGCCGCCCTCCCTCGTCCCGTTCCCTTGCTCTGGTGCGACGAAGTCGAGTCTCTCACGGAGGCGCCGCGGGGGCGGTTTGTCGCGCTGCGACAGATACACCGTGCATGTGTGACACAGAATGAAAGACGCCGCGGGATCGTGCGTCGAGGCGGGCGCCGTCATCGTCCCGCAGTACGCGCATCGCTGCGCCAGGGGCGCCGTCGGGGACGGCATCAGATCGAGGGAAAGTTCCGGCATCAGGGGTGCCATTTGGGGAGGCGGCGCAGATTCCTCGACGCAGAAAGGGGAGGGCTCGAGGTCATTGAGATTGCGCGATGGAAAGCAACGGGCGTTGTGCAGAAGCGGGTTCCGATGAGGGTCACCTGCAGTGCTGTGTTCTGGAGGCACCAGGTAGCATTAGCCAAGGTTCAGTCTGACCTAATCACAGACCCACTCACCTATGGAGGCCGGGAATTATATGCTGATAAGCGGAGGACATATCACTGATACGCGAAAGTTTGCCGACATGGCATCAATGTCATGATGCGCTCTATGTCATGATGCGCTCTGTCTGGACCCCGAACGCTCGTTAACATGTATGAAAAAGGCCAAGTACATGCACTGTAGAGTAGCGATAGAGCGTAACTACTTACATGAGACTAGACAGTCCAAAAAACTTGCAGTAACCGGAGCATACATGCTGCTCAGGAAACTTCTCGAAGAACCTGCCTGAATTGCCACCACCAAACAGACCACGTTCGAGAGTCCTGATGATCCAGTCAGATATCAAGAGCACGCAGATTGACACAGCAGTGGACTGCGCACGGTGAAGTCATAACCTGCGGATCCGTCAAGAGATTTCCGGAGCCTTGGATAGAGTTAGTATGAAACAGTGAGCCAGATCGAATGAACCGGCCTTGAAGATCAGAAAGAAAGACCAAACGCCCGGTGTGTTCGTATTGGACATGTTGTGTAAAACAGAGGAACGATGCCAACAGCTTGAGATCTTCTGGAAGCGACGGAACGGGCACTGCACTATTGTTATTGATGTACTTCACAAACTTGCCTGAAATTCAGTGAGCAATATACTCGAGTCGTTGCAGAGAACAAACCCGTTCCAATTAATTCTTCAATGAGATATGATCGTCGGAGTGATGTCATCATTTTGCTCGACTTGCCATCTGCCGCCGCATTGTGAACCAGAGCAACGCCGGCCTCGACGAAGCGGACTTCAAAGATAGGGAGGTCGCCTGGTGGCGCGACATGCTTTGATATGTAGTTACGCACGAAAGAATAAACGAAACTGAGAAGGGTAGTGCCCCAGAATAGGAGATTTGCCTCCGATACATGGTGCGCATATTCATCGATGGGGTTGAAGCGGATCAAGACGGTATTCTTGTTGTTCTTGAACATGCGTTTCGCGGCAACGGCTTGATTTGGAAGCGCTCCGAGGGGTGTGGTCGGCAAAGTGGACAGCGTCAGAAACGCAGAATGAGCAGATTTGAACGAACCGATCCCCAGAGGCTTCTCCGAAGGCTGGAGCGACAGAGTACCGGCTTCCGCCTTCGCAATATCGCAGACAAATTTTTGTCCGCCATTTGCGAGGAGATTATTGAGATCGGAGGTCCCAGTGATACGGAAGAATTGGATTATCTCCGTTGTGTGCAAGGCTGCATAGAGATTAGATCTGAATACTTAAGTTTCATAGTAAGACGCACCTCTCGCAATGTTGGGAAAGGAGCCGCCTATACTGAGTGCCTTTCGAAGACGTTGCTGGTCAACCGGATGATAATCGTCGATTGGACTAGCAGCACGCTTTTTCGAAGTCGCTATCTTGCTACTGGATTCCTATTCCATGTATGTATCGAGTCAGCGACAAAACATGAGAAGGGTAAACGAACACACCTGAGACGAAATTTCTCTCGTGCCAGAGCTTGGAAGCGGCGACTCTGGCAGCGCTTGATCTGGCTGAGTAAAGTCCTGCAAGCTTGGCGCCGATCGAGAGGGTCGAACGGAGCTGAACGAACTGGCAGTGGCAGTCTGCTGGATAAATAATCAAACAGATACAAGAATCAAGATAGAAGCGCTCACCTTGCTCTTTGTTTTTGAGCGTGTCAAACACCCGTTACTCGGTTCCTTAGTAGTCTCCGCGGCCGACAGGACTGTCAATTTGAGGGCCGAAGGCTCAGGGGCACGCTGTACCATGTGCGAGCGTAGCGCAGATGAGACGGTATCGGCATTATCCTTTCAGAAAGTCAGTCGTGCCAAATACCGGAGAGTACTAGTATACGCACCTGAATAGAGAGTGTGTCCAGCTCCCGGGCATCACGGTAATTTTCATATCTGAGCCATTCTTTGGCGTCGATGACAAGTGCAAATTGAAAGGGCTTTCTCGGTCGCTGAAACACGAGTTGGCCCTTGTCGGCACGAGCCTTTGATGTCTTGAGGCAACGCTCATAGAGCACGCTGGATCCTGGGAGCTCCGCGTGGACATTGATCCACGTTTCAGTATCGCGTACTAAAAAATTAGACTCATCAAATACAAATTGAGAGTCAGTTTCCTGAGCGATGGCTTGACGAAGCTTGGGCGCCACGTTATCAAACACGGCTGTGATAATTTCGCTTGCGGTAATTGTTGCAGGGACATTCTTGCCCTCGTGAATCGTCTGGAAGCACAAATTCGTGACAAAAAATGATACACGTCACCGTAACATACCCCAAAGACTTGCCCAGTAGGTCGACCACGAGTCTCATAGCGGACACCAATGTTCAGGGTGATCCACTGCGGCGACATCCCAGTATACGCTGATTTGGTAAAAGCCCCGCGTGCCGCGGCATACTGAGAGTGAGCAGCAGAATAGCCTTGGCTTGAATATTGCCCCGGATTAATTGGTGCACTGGACGATCCGGAACTTGATATCGGTTGGTTTGGAAGCGAAACACGAGGACCTTAAGAATTCAGATATTAAATTTGAGCAGATCATGATGTACGTGCCTGTGGATCGCTGTGGGATCTCAAGGGGCGGTCCCATTAGACCCGATGGAATGGCCGCAATCCGGCCTCCACGAGATGCGTCTGCGAATGCTCAGTCAGAAGCAGGGTATAGAACAAAAATAACATACCTCCAACGCGTCCTTGGATGTTCCTCTGCCGGATAGATTCTTTCTCGCCTTCCAGATCGCCCCGGAACGTTGCTGCACAGATTGTGATTGATAAATTGCATCAGTTTTAGCATCTAAACGTACCTCGGACCGAGCTCGAGGCTTTCCTTGCGTAATGCGCATGGCAAGCTGCACACACAAGCCTGCCACCGGAGACAGCAGAAAGGTTCTCCACCCGGAAGCGAGGCTGACCGGGCAAGATCAGCAAGCCCTTTGTGAGATCAGAACGGTCGCGAGTGTAGCATCGGGCTCCAGTCTGGCACACAACGGGCTCCTGATCAGAACTATCATCGGTGAAGTTGGCAAAGAGGGTTGATCCAGACATGATCAGAGCACCAGTAGGCGACGATTAAGTCCCATTTTGTGAGACGCTTTTAAGGCCTTTGAGCGTCAGCAATTAGTAGTGGGTCGACAATCTCGGCTGTGTTGCCAGAGTGCTCCCCCAGGCTCGGTAAGACTGCCTCGGTCTCAGTAAATTTCACGGTGTGTCATGGATCCTCAGTTCTTAATCAACGTGTTTGGTGGAATGGATGTAGCGCCTTAAGCATGTGCCCGGCCGCACTAGGGCTCCGCCAATTACTGGGCTGTTAAACCCTTGAATTTTCCGCGGTGGTATGCAACGAGCACAGCAAGCGCTCAACATGTGCGATTTCAGTGTTGATGCTGATGTTGAATTTATTACTGCCGCCCTGCGTGTTCTCAAGCGAGGCCCTCGTTGAGAAACAACGACTCACCAAAGTACATGCCTGGGAAGTTGCACTACCGGACAAGGAGAATAATTATATCAATTGGGATCCGATCCGAAATGATATCTAGGTTTGTAAAAAGTCCTTCGGTTATCAACATTAACATTATCAACATGAGTTGAAAATAACTCCGATCAGCAACGTTTTTGTTTACCCTGACTTTCTAAGTACATGCATATGCCTTCCACTCCGTACTACCGCCGTACCCAGCTCGTTGATCGTGTTCTCAGATCGCCACTATAAAGTGAGTCCTGGCTTATTCGCACTCCAACAGAAGCTCCTCCTCGGTTCTTTTGTGCCACCAGCGGTCTCATAACTCTCTGAATGCCCAATCAGTACAAGCCCGTTCGTACGTGTTACACTTCCAACTGTTTCACCTTGCCCTTGCTCTGGAACGTTCACAGCTAATGCTGAAGACCTCCGTCCTTTCATCGAGAAGTACTGGAAGCAGAACAAGAAGGATGTCGAGATCGTCGAGCTGCTCAAGAAGTATCACATCGATCTCAACAAATACGGCCTCGAGTGCGTGTATATTTGTGTCTTCATTGTGCAGGCTACTAACCGCTCTCAATTAGAGTTCAAACATTTAGAAAAATTCGCGAGAAGCTTGGTTTCATACGCACGCGGCGTCAAGGCCACACCGTGGACACAATTGGGGTATTTATTGTCAAACTCCGTCCGATCTATCCCAAGGCTGGCGGACGGGAGATGGTTAGCTTGCTATTACACGAGGAGAATGTGCGCGTGTCCCGGTGTGTGATCCCTCCAATTGTGTTCTCATACGCTCACATAGGTATGTTTCTAGCGAGACTGTAATGCGCTATTTTCACACTCATGAGCCCGATCTTGTTCGTGAGCGCCGACGTGGACACTTCAAGCGCAAGCAGTTCTGGGCAGCGGGTGCCAACGATATATGGGCTGTAGATCAGCACGACAAATGGAAGTATAAATTCGGTTTAGCGCTACACACTGGGATTGACCCATTTCTCGGCATGATTCATTGGTTGAAGATTTGGTGGAACAACAGCAATCCCCGCCTTATATTCAGCTATTATCTGGAAACCGTGGAACGGCTTGGGGGTATGTGCAGTATTGATCTCTTCGGACTTATATTCACGACGTTTTTATCGCAGTCATCCCACTTGTGACCCAGAGCGATCCTGGGTCAGAGAACGTGGGGATTGCGAATGGACACACACAGCTGCGTCACTATCAGGACCCCTCACTTATCGGCACCTCTCAGCACCGTTGGATGCGAAAGAAGAAGAACATCATGCCGGAAATCACATGGAGTCAGATGCGGCGTCGATTCACTCCTGGCTTTGAAGACATCCTCGACGTTGGTGTAAACGAGGGCTGGTACAATCCGGGAGTTCTACTCGAAGCGTGTGTATCTTCCTTACTTTCAAAGCGATCTTCGACTTCTGAATCACAGCGCAGCTTAGTCTTCCGTTGGGTATTCATCCCGTGGCTTCAGGGCGAGCTCGAGCTGTATCGGCATCGCGTGAACAATACCGCAAAGCGCTGTGATCGTAACAAGATCCTTCCTCACGGTGTTCCGACTAGCATGTTTGAGTTCCCAGAGGATTACGCCATCCTCGATTTCAAGGTACGAGTCCAATTTCATCAAGTACAAGCCACTAACTACTAGTCCCTTACAGATCAAGGTCGATCCTATCGGTATTGAAAAAGTCCGACAGATGTACGCACCACCTGATCATGACGTCTTTCTCCTTGTTCCCCCTGACTTCGAGATCGCGATCTTGGATATCTATGCAAAGCTTAATAGCCCTATTGTGGACCGGGACTCATGTTGGGATGTATATCTCCAGCTCCTGAATTGCCTCAAGGAGTTGGATCAGCTCAACGATATCGATCAGAGTGCCGATGCAAGGTGGGGGCATGTGCTGACCCAGCCGGTCGATGAAAACATTCCCCTTCTCCCAAACTTGCAGGAACTGCGGGGCGGTGAGGGGGTCGTCGGAGAGGGTGCTTATTATATGGGTGGAGTCAACAATGGGGATGGTCTCGGTATGTTCCATTACTTGGGAACCTTACTGTTCACTGACTCGTCTCCTTTTGGAGGTCCTGAACATCACGCATGTCTGAACGCAATGATCAACGATATCGAGCCCGAAGTGGATCCCATGCCCAACTCCCAGTTACCGGATGACGCTCACGCATTGTACGCATGGTTCTCGGACGAAGAAGACTCTCAGGATTTCAATGATCATTGGTAGTACATACATGCTGACGAGCAGTGATGCGCCCTAGCCCTGAAATCAATCGATCACGTGCACGAAAAGATCCAATGGATTTGTCAGCGAGCTCGTCAAGGTTGTTGCACGTGATCATTTGATCAATCTATCACGTGCACTGAAAGATCTCAATGGATTTGTCAGCGAGCTCATCAAGGTTGTTGCACGTGATCATTCTGATCATCACTAACGAGCGTTCGGGGTCCAGACAGAGCGCATCATGACATAGAGCGCATCATGACATTGATGCCATGTCGGCAAACTTTCGCGTATCAGTGATATGTCCTCCGCTTATCAGCATATAATTCCCGGCCTCCATACTCACCCCATGTTTCTTCAGTTTCTTCCGGGTCGTAACGTCCATCTTCACCCAGCCAGAGTGCGTAAGTGAACCCGCTCATTATCCGATACTGATACTGTGTTCTCTGTGTGGGGGTACTCACCAGGTCACCACGCCGTTATATACGCTCTGTGCAACATCTGCGCATTACTCAGTCGAGGCATGACTCAGTGGTAAAATGACCCGATCGGCGCATAAGAGCCGACAAAACCAGCAGTCAGCATCGCCTATGACATGTGCACACAGGTCAATGACGGATTAACGGAACCTAACCGACGTTCTTTGTCACGCCGGGCCGAAACTGGCACCCACAGACTAAGAAGCTCGACACGGTTGAGTGAGGAATGTACGGGTTGAAAACCCAACTGGAGCGGCCAAGGATGTGCGCTGCAAATCAAGACCTTCATCTGCAAATCTATCGACTGATGAGAATCATACCCACGGAGGCTCTCGAGATCCTGCAAGAATATCTACAATCCATCTATGGGTCTTGAGTACAAGACTTTTCAACGTCTCGAGTTCAAGACTATTTCAACGAGTCATGCGCGAGACATGATAAACATTGATGACCGTTCCAGTGCACTGACAGTACCACTGGCAGTCATGGACAAGTTCGGGCCGGATATTACCGGTGATTCGTGATGTCAGCCTGCGTCATGGAGGATAGCTGTCACGTGCCGAGTCTGCATGGATAATTTTATCGCATTTGCGAGCCTGCGAATTGTCAAGCAAATAACACGAAATTTTTACACCTAAAATAAACCTCCCGTGGGGCCCAAGACGCGTTAAGTATTTGTAAGGTCGGCCCTGTTAGCATTCGCAGAGAACATACTACCCTGATCTCAATGAGGCGGACAGTGCAGGTAGTGAGAGAAGGCTTCAGGTAGCCCTTTCGCGAAGATAGGCATGCGGCTTCATGTTCAGTACTCTCGTCTGTCCGATCTCGAGGGATAGTGCGTGAGTGAGAACATTGTGATCTTCGTGGAACACAGGGTCAAGACGATCTTGTCGGCCGAGCTGGACAATCAACCCAACGCACCAGAGCCTGAGGCAAGATCGCTCGTCTCAGAGCCTCAGAAATACCACCTTGATCCGGGTAGGCTGAAGAATCACTCTGACCTATTGCAGAGCACGATCAAGGAGAATAACGAGCAGTTCTATAGGTGTCTACGGCGATGATTGATCACGATGAATGTCCCGCACGACGATGCAAGTTTGCGCGAGTCCCGGACTGAAGAGCTTGAGTTGTGAAAGAGAGCCAGTGGCGAAATAAATCTATAATCCTTGAATCGGCTCACACAGAGCATCTCCGCCCGCTCTCTCGAACATTTGTGCCCGAACCCTGTGGTCCAAGCGGCGCACATTCAAGGGGGACGTCAATTGGTTGAGACAACAAGAAATTTCACACCCAGCATACAGCACGAGATATCTCCTTCGCCATCTATTCTTTCTACCAGTACTCTATACACCGATGGGCGCGCTCCAACAAGTCTAGATCCGACTACCAGGGTATCTTCTCACCCTTGACATCGACAAAGGATCCATGCTTCGGCGTGCCCAAAGCGGAGTCGACGATGATCTTGCAAGTCTCTGCCGGCGGCGATCCATACTCAGTAAACCCGGTCCCCGCCGTTGTCGTGAGACCTAGCACGACCAGAACCCCAGTCAGTCATCAAAGTTCACATACCCGCTGGACGAACACGCACCGGGACACAGCGCCATGACGATGACGCCCGACTTGGCCTCCTCCTCCTCGAACGCCCACTGAATGATGAAGTTGTTCAGGGCGGCCTTGCTCGCGGCGTACGTCTTCAGGTGCGACATCGTCAGCACCGGCGGGCGCGCGTCGTTCAGCGCCTGCGAGCCGAGCGCGGACGACACGTTCACCATCCGGCTGCCCGCCTTGAGCAGCGGCCGGAAAGCGTTCTTCACCGCCAGCGTGCCCATGACGTTCGTCGCGAAGATAACCGCATCTTCGCCCGTGGCGATCCCCGCGCTGAGGTGCCCGTGAGCATTCGATAGAATCAAGGAAGACGACGACGCACTTGTTGACAAGGACGTCCAGCCCGGACAGGCCCCGCTCCTTCAGCGCTGCGGCCACGACCGCGGCCGCATCCGCCACCGTCTTTGCGTTCGTGATGTCGATGTACAGCGGCAGGACCACCGACGTGGGGTGGATGTCCGCCGCGAAGCTGGCGATGGCTGCCTCCGCCGCGGCGAGGCGGCGCGAGCCCAGGAACACGAGGTTGTGCGGCTTCTGTGCGATCTGGTGCACGGTGTGGTAGCCCAGACCTGCGCAGCGAGAACGGATCCCGTGAGCCCGGCAGAAAAAAAAACGCGATGGACAGATCGGACACACCTTGGTTGGCGCCGGTCACGACGAACGATTGGAGAGTGTTTGCCATTGGAGATTGGATGAGATTGTGGTTAATCCACCCCGCCTCCTCGTCGTCTTAAATACCCCGTCGCAAGCATGAGGCGACCATCGCTTGGTGAGGCCTGTGTCACGGCCGCCTCGTACTACGGCCTCGTTGCAGCGGAACACGGCGGTCAGAAAATGAACAGCGAGTCATCCCGATGACGGGGATTTCATGCTGGGATCTGTGTGTGCACGCTAAGAGGCCGTGCTGTGTCAGAAGCGTCACGCAGGCGCAGAGGGGTGACCCTTGATCTGAGCAGCACAGCCGCGGTGCTGATGTCATTCTGCAGCGTTGGGTGGGCAGCCTGTTCGTGATGATGATGATGCTGTACGGCAGCTGTAACGGAGGAATTCGCAGAATGTGTCAGCTTCAGACAAAGCGCGGTCACATCACTGACCATCTTCGGCATCCCTGGACTCGAGGCAAGCTCCAGGCTTGGCCGCAGGAGCAACGAGGACAGGCAACGACTGTGCTGCGCTTCAATTTAGTCAGCTTGTTCCCGAGTTGGCGGTTTCTCACTGAAAAGAGCTTTCCGTGTATGCCCCCGTTATTCCGAAGGACTGGGCCTATATGTAAGTGGAGGGACGAGGCCATGCAGTCTTATGTGCTAACAGAAGGACCTCCTACGCAACTGCTTCAACTGCTGCGGTTTTGCTGGAAGTGTCGCCGTTTCATCGACCGACCCACTGAAAGACTCCAACTCGATATCTCATCATCCACTGACAGGATTCTGCTTTTTGCACCGCCGCAGGCGTGTCAATGCTTTGTCATCCATCAGACGCGCCATCAATGGACAGACATGCCGTGCAAAGCACTGCAGCTCGACTCACCCATGCGCCACAGGACAGCCTGGGGCCTCCTGCAACGCAAATTTCATCAATGAGCCCCGGAAAGTGTAGCAACGGCACTAGCTCGTCGTCGTGTGTGTGCATGCGGTGCGATGGATGAGCAACGGGGGTGCGATGTTGTTTTCGATGGCTGATTGAGTCACTCTGACTGGCCGACTGTGGGCGGCGCAGTGGGGCTAGCTCGCACATATAAGGCACAGAGGATGATGTGTGCGTGTCAGTAACGAATTGAAACAAGCTGCCCTTCGCCCAGAACACTCGGCGGTCAGCAAACGCAGACTCGGGTGAGCGTCGCAACTCAACAGCTAGGGCTCAACACTAGACCCAAGTTCCCTATTTGGGGTTATACCGAACATTTCTTGGAACTAGAAAGAAAACGGCGCTGGTTTTAGGCCCGATCTCGGTTTCTGCACTGCGCCTCGTATCGAGCACCTGGATCCAAAACAGAGTGGATCGCTCTCAACGATTGCATTTCCAGCCCGATTGCGACCAACAGCACACAGATGACCGAAAATGGAGCCCCGAAATCAAGAGCCGAGTCGCACACGACAGCAACACAGCACCCTAGATGGGAGTTGCAGTATGCTGTTCATGAGGGCATGTATTCCCCTCGCACTCCCTCTCCACCCCCACCACCGCAATCCACTTCCCTCCGCCAGACAATGACGCCGAGCCCAGACCGCAAACGAGTGCGCTGGAGTCCCGCAGTCGAAGAGTTTACAGCAGGCCATACACGGCAGAGCTCAGCCGGGTCTGGCTCGTCCTGGATATCTTCCTTGCCCTCCACAAATCGGAACGGCCCGAGTTCTCCACCACCCATTTACAACCCGGCGGAAGCGATACCACCGACCCCGCTCATCTCCCAACCGATCCCCCTTCCTGACTCCTCCGACGAAGACGACAGCGAGTCGCAACCGACCATCAATGTATGTCTCAGTGAAATGCACCTCGACCTGTCCCTCCCGTCGCGTACATTCCGCATCGAGCTCGGGCCGCACCAAGCCCTGCTCGACACCGAGGCCTGCGCCCCGCCGACGGACGTGCTGGTCTTGCGCGTGGACACGGGACTGCTGAAAGCCAAGTTCGAGGTGCGCTCGCGCGGGAGGGCGGGCGCGCCAGTCACGGTCGGGGACGTGCTGACCACTCTGCACGCCGAGCTGCGCAAGTCGGACGGCGGAGCCACACCGGCTGAAGTTGTGCCGTATGCCCAGCAGCGCATCGCGGCGGAGGGCGGAGGTGCGCGTATCGTCGACCACTTGCTGGGGCGGACGGTGTTGGCTGGGTTGCGCCGGCAGGCCGGTCGAGGTGATAACCATTGGCAGGTCGATCTGGTTTAGTCGCCAGCACACCCTCCGCGACGACGGACATGACATATCCTATCTCCCAGGCGCGATTGCGCCATGTATTGTATTGTATTCCTATCCGAGTAGCGATCGATTGTAACGGAGACCGCATTCGAGTTGTAATTGAGCAGATTGATGCGAGTCACAGTGCCGACGGCATCGTCATCTGCAGTAGATTGGGTGAGTCAAGGGCATGCTATGATTTAGAGGTGGGAGGTGATTTCCTTTTCGGGACCAGGAGACGACTCTCGAGCACTGCTTCACCAGGACGCACTCACAACTCAGCTATCCTCTCCGAGCCATTGTTGGAGACAGCAGTACACTCCTCTTTGGAATCCGGCACCCGATTGCCCGAACCCACCTGCTGAGCCCGAATGCAGACGCCATCGTCCCCGCTATACCAAAGATATGTCCTTTGGTCGGATCCGCAAGCGAAAACGCATTCATGGCACTTTATCGAGCAATCGGTTGGCAGATGTGTCGGCAACCCGCCACCGTCAGGCTGCTGCGGTGTAGTGGGTCACGACCCTGCAGATGATATGATCGTGCCTGCGAGCACTGGCGAGTAAAGCGTAGGCGAAGCAAGTGGGGATGAGGGATGGGAAGGGATATCTGGCGTAGGCTACGGCCAACAGCTCATCATCCTCCGGAGATGTCGCGTGCGCTTGTGGACGCTTAGAGTATATCGAGGCCATGCAGGACCCACAAGCATGCCTCCCCTTTGAGCACATCAACGTTTATCGTTTCTCCCGCCAGTTTGCGGCCAATGATCCGAGGCTGTAGCCAGATGCGATTGACCACGAGAGGAGCCAATCTATCGGGCGGGTCAAGTTTTCATCAGGCTGTATGCGCAGCCCTGAGGTCTCTCCGTCCGCCTAGTCTCCTCGAAGAGGCAGGGGGCAGACACCAGCCTAGACGTGTTGAGAGTTTTGGTATTATGGCTCGCCCACGGCGTCCCGGAGACCGCTGCTCCCTTCGATTCCATAGTCAAGCACCTGCGAGGTTTCCGTCGGGCGCAGCTGTCGTCGACGCAGGTAGCGTCACGGAATGGAGAAGCAATCGCCGCAAAGGAGAATAGAGATTCGTATTCAAGACATTCGGGGATGATAACCATGTGCTCGCTGGGGCGGACCAGCGATGTGATCAACCACCTGGTGAAGCGTGATGGATTCAGACCAAGGAGAAAATTGGTGACGCGACGTCACCGGCAATCGCCGGGCTGAGGCGCGATTGTACCAAATGCTCTCCGCCTCCTCCGACCACTGATGTCGGTCCTCACTCTAGAGCTTTCGTGGACGTTTCAGGGTCTTTCAAAATCGCTACCATCTCCACTACTACGCTGGAGATAAGCCCACTCCAAGGCGTTTGTCTCAGTCAACGTAGTATCCGCTTCCGATGACACTTCGTGCGATGTCTTCCTCTGAGAGGTCTCCTTGTGCACATCTCTTGTAGTCAACGCCATCACTCAAGACAAACAGATGTTCACTATCCGCCCCGTAGAACGCAATTGCACTATAACATTGTATCCGTTTCCGTCTTATGCCTGTTGTAACGCACCCCATTACGAATTGTATCCATAGAGTAGCTGAGATGAGCTAATGCATCCACATGAATTTCATAGCAACCTGTGGGACAGGGTCAGCATACATCCGCACGCTAATGGAGAGGCAGGATTGGAAAGCTTCCGAAACGGGTGCTGGGATTTCCTTTTTGGGCCAGAAAGCGGAGCAGACCACTCACGAGTATTGCTTCACCAGGACGCACTCTCCACCCTTCTCCAGGTCAATGCTGTACGAATAGAAGTATCCGTCAGACGAGATGACCATCACATGTGGTGTTGTGCTGGTAGGGGGTCAGCCGGGGAGGATGGCAGCACAACACACAAACCCACCTGCTTAGGCCCACCACACACCTTCTCTCGCCCCCAGCGACGTTCGTCCCCGCAGCAAGAGGCGGGAGTTTCAGCCACGCGAAATCCCTCGCCGGTTCCCACATCTCCGCCAAGCTGCTCGGCAAGTACGACGCCGCGGCTTTCCCCAGCGTCGACGTCAGCCCAAACGACCGCCGCTTCAACGCGGAGCCCATCGTGCTGTTGCCCCTCTCCTGCTGATTCACGAACGCATCGTAGCCCGCGTCAAGGCTATGCCCGTCCACTGACTCCGCCGGCGAGGAAGCGTCGTCCTTGATCGACGGGGCTTTGCCCTGCGAGACGCCAACGCGCCAGAGATGCACTGTGCCGCGTTCGCCGCCCGCCGCGAGCAGGCTGCCGAGCGGGTTGAATGCAATGGAGTGGATGCGCGTCTCGCGTGTCCCGCGGCGGAATTGGTACAGCTTGTCCAGCGAGGGGGTCGCGAATACGCGGATGATCGTGCCTGCGGAGATTTAGCGATCAGACGGAAGGGATGGAATGATAAGTGGAGCCCCGCACCTTTGACGCTCGCGGTGGCCAGCAGCCCGCCGTTTCCGCTGAAGGCCATAAGGGCCAGTGGGCTGCGGTGCGCTCGGACGACGTTTGCAGGTGCCAGCGCACGGGTGGAGAAGAGCATAACATCACCATGCGCACCGCTATTGTCTGTGGTGTCTGCACCAGACGATGGCGATGAGGCAGAGGAGGAAGCGGAGGTGGTGAGAGCGGGTGATGGCAGAGGGGCTGGGTAGGCCAGGTACGGTGCATCGGCCGAAGGCGATAGCGCGCATATCGCTGTTTGGGGGTACAAAGTCAGACACGCTGCTGTGCGAAGAGAAGACCGTTTTACCCACCATTGAGATTTGGAACGGTCTCTACGACATGCAGCAGCCTCATGTTGCTGATATCGTACACATATATCTCCGTCTCCAGCACAATGACGAGCGTTTTGCGATTGAGCTTCACCGCGAGGATGCTCGCCGGGAAGAGCAGCTCGCAGATCATTGACTGACGCTTGGTGTTAACAATTTGCAGCTTTCTCGGCGAAGAGGCGTCATGTGAAGCAGTGTAAGGTGAGGATGTGGCGGAGGGTGAGGAGGTCGAAGACGGGGCTCCGACAAGAGCGATTAGGGACGTGCAGAAAAGCATCTCGACGATACCTCGCGGTCCGTCATCTAATAGAGTCCCAATCAGCTCTGCGGCACCTCCCTTCACGTCCTCCGGGACAGAGGACCTAGGCAAGACACGCACTCTGTGTATACACCCGTCCATACGGATCGCAATTTGTGATGCTATATCCACCCTTCGTCCCAACCGACACACAAGAGAAGTCCTGGTTGAAGTTCGCGAACAACATTTCGGTCGGCGCGGACATGTCTCGTATGTGCTGCTAATGCAGTACTATGTAGAGTGGTCGTGATTTGGCGCACGTGGTGCTACAGAACTTTCTTGTCGAGCGGATGGCGACGGTGGAAAGAGTAGGAGTGAGAGGGACGTGGGACGCGTGGGGTGGCTAGAGCACGAGAGCTAATGGGATACAGAATGGCAGGCCGCGCAATCGACTCGGGGAAGCAGCAGGCAGCGCGCAGTGACACATGTTTGTACTAGTATGGTGGCTCTGCCACGTGCGTGGCATGATGCGGATCACGCATCGTCCGTCCAGGGTTGTCTTGGTTGTGGCAACAGATAGCTTTAGGACTCGAATCAGAGCCGTTCGAGTACATTTCCTACGCAAAATGAATCGTTTGCCGACTTGAATTTCCCTTGATCTCAGTGTGTCAATGATTTACGTCACAGCTTCTTTGTCTTAGATAGATCTAGTCCTTCGCCTTGGACTCCGACTCCGAAATCAGCCTCAGTTTCAACTCTGGTACATCCCATGCTGACACGCCCTGCCGATTTCGATAGAATACTGTTTGTCCTGTGGAGAAAACACCGGCATCATCAGCCTGGGTGAACTGCCGCGATTCCTTGTGCGCACCCGTGTCCTCGACGAACTGACAGAACTGATAGCTGATCCAGAGTGCTTTGAAGACAGATGAAGATGAGCGATGGTAATGCGGCCCGATGGCTTGGCGGAGATAGCACGTGGCTTCTTCCGCATTATACCACGGTATCGTCGGGAAGAAATGATGAATGACGTGAAAATGGGCGACTAAGCACGTAGTTCCAAGTCAGCGGAAATGTCCAGATTCCAAGCACATAAGCGATGGAATCGATCTGCCTCACCATCGTGAAAGAAGAATCTGCCCTGCCAGCCCAGAAAATCGCGGTCGATTGTCGCCGCTGCACCACGCGCAAAAGTCCAGTTGCCACTGCGGTAGTGAGGCAGGATCGGGTCCGTGTGATGGAGATAGGTGATCATGATGAACCAATGCGTAACAAGCAGCCACGGGATGCCGTAGATTTTGACGACGGTCGATACACCGAAATGCAGGCATGCTAGTCGGAGGAGATAAAATGCGAGAACAAGTCCCAAGTCAGATAGGACAACACCCCAAGCTTGGGAGGCAGTAAACATTGTAGCATTTGCTGTTGAATATATGAGAGAGTGGGCATCACTTGAGGCAATAGACTCACGGTTGAAGTGGTTGGACCATCTCGGATAACGCTTCTGCCCCGAGACGTTGTAAACTGACAACGACAACAAGATTCTTTCAGTGAGCACACCCCAGCATGGCGATGAAAACTGACGAAGATAAGCCGGGAAACCCAGGAGCTGCTGCGTGACAAGCGCAAAGAGCGTATATATCGGCGTGTCTCCAAATTTTTCCTCGAGATTATCCCACAAGCTGTGTTTGGGAGAGGTGTGCTGCATCCGAGTTTGTGGAACGTACACCTCATCATTCTCGATTGAGCCATGATGGGCATGGTGCCGGCGATGGACGAATTTCCAGCTGAAGTACGGCGTGAGAAGTCCGGTGTGTATAATCTGGGAAATGAATGAAAGGCTGGCCGGGACAGAGCGGGAATAGGACGAACAAATCCAATACAATCTGATAGCCTCCGACTAGCCGAAAATGCTCCATGGCCGCACTAGACACACAGTCTCTGCGTTTAACCACCCAGGAACGTCGCCGATGACGCACCTCATGGCCGATTACCCACAACCCAGTGAAAGTCAATCCCTGGAACCACCAGCTAAAAAGCCTAGTCAAACGAACGTGATCCGACGTGGAATTCGGCCGTGAGCTCACTAAATCATCCAGCTCAGCCAGACTACTGCATATGCAGCACCAGATGGCAGACCAGCAGATATGAGCGTCGGCCGCAGATGCGTGTCGATTCGCGCGGCTCCGAGGATGAGGACTCCAGACACGGCGCAGTCACGGAGAAGGTAGCACAGTGCGAGTGTTGTCTTGCGGTAAAAGAGATGGCTCGGAATGTGCTCCCGGATCTCCTTGAGCGTACTACGAGCGGTATGAGCGTCAATGCCGCGAGAGGGTGAAGAACATGCCGATTCAAAGGAACGAAATCTTCTTCGCCGCTCGGAAGTTGAGTAGAACATGATGTTTGCTGAGACCCGTCTGTCATCTGTGATGAGATACGGTGTGTCGACCAAGGATGTAATGATGAGGAAGGAATGGAAAGGGGATTTTATAGCATGAGAAGACCTCGGACCCCGGTGAGCAGAAAACGCGGAATGTCAGATTGAATTTTGGGCATGCATGCTCCTCTCTCGAAAAGAAAACTCGTCGCTACGAGTCGGGCCTTCTCACGATGATAAACCAAGCGGCAGTCCCAAGACAACAGACTCAGACTTTAGAGGTGAGCGATCATACACATGATGAAAGGATTTTCGACAGGACTCAATAAGCATTAGACTCAGCGTGAGCCTCTAACTACCTCGTGGCAGAAAAGGAAAGGATTAACACAGCTCCGCCGCCGCCGATCGCCGATCACGACGGCCCATCAACGCGTCACCCGTCGTGACACGCCAGCGCGCTTGGTTGCGCACATCATGGTCACCCTGCTCGACTGCCCAAACGAGCTGCTGCTTATCATCTCCGAGTACCTAAACGACGAGGGTCTGCTCCACTTCGCTTCCACGTGCATTCGCGTCAACTCTCTGCTCATCCACATCCTCCTCGAGCGCTGCCAGTGCGAGGCAGTCGTGTCCTCCACCGGCGCGATCTCGTCTGTCTACTTCACCGGCGACAACCTCGGGGCCATTCCAGCCCTAGCGATTGCATATCACGCCACGTCGATCGAGCTGTTAAGCTGCGGCTTCTCGTCCTTCTTCCGATCTAGCTCGAGCAAAGAGATATTGAACGCGGTCAAGGCTCTGGATGTGTTGGCAAAGAGGCTGGAACGGCTGAGCCACGTGCGTATCCACCCGCTTCTCAAGTTTCCAGGCACGAAGAAGGAGTACGTTTCCTGGCAGAAACTGCTCGCGCTGTCCCTCAATAGCGCCGCGCTTCGCGGCGATTGCAGCATCACGGTGCACAACGAACCATACGAGGCGGTCGTGGATCCCTTCCCCTTCTCGCACTCCTTCTCCGACCGGCCTGTAGGGCATATTGCGGATGAACGCAGCGCTCCAGCCGAAAAACCCATACCTAGACGACCGCGCATATCGACGGGTCCGGGATCATCGCTGATACAACGTCTCGCCGCGCTGCTGGAACGCGTGATCAGGGCATTGAAGCCACATACCGTGGCGATAACGCGCTCCGACGAGCCGGAACCCTCTGCCCCACTCGTGAAATCCACGGAACGCGCGTCGAAGCGCGTGATACCCTTGCCCGTCCTCCCCGCGCTGAAGTCATTGAACATACACTCTTCCCTTCTTTTCCACACGACGTTCTACCGCTGGACGATGCACACACTCAACACATCCCCGCTCACCTCCCTCTCGCTCGATAACATCGATCTGTCGCTGTTCGATTGGCACGAGACACTGCCCCGCCTATCCCTCGCAGTGCTCGATCATCTGCATCTCGGAATGCACTGCTCTATCGCCGTGCCGGACCTGAAGGCGTTCCTCCACCGCCATCCCAGTATCACCTCCCTCGACCTCAGCTTCCACGAAGCCATCGGCCCCCTCCACGCGCCCGGTCCCGCCCTCCCAAATCTCCGCCGCATTCGCGCCACACCCGAGTATCTCGTGTACTTCTTGTCGGGGCCCCCCGCCGGTGACATCCATCCCTTGCTCAGAGAAGTCACCATCACGTCGCACGGCGGAAGCGTGTACGAGGAAGACCGCTTCGCCAAGGTCGTCGCGGCGCTGGAAAAGCGCGGCTCGGTCCCCGCTGTCGGTCTGGTCGGCAAGTTGATGGGTGTGCTTGATCTGCCGGAAACATTGGTACCGCTGGGCAACACCCTTGAGGAGGACGAGAATGGGAATCGCTGATCTGTATGTATTACGTAAGCACCTTAGAGTATCTGCTCATCTAATTCGATATCATCCATCTGAGTACTTGACAAACATATAGAGGAAAGCAAGGCCTCGAATATGTTATCTGCAGACGCATAAGTCGGTTTCATTGGAGCGAGAAGGCTGTTTCGGAGCCCTGATCAGTTGATGCAGATGATTGATAAGATAACAAGCTGATGGCTCGTTTATTCTCGAATCCGAGTCTTTATTCATTCATCGCCGCCCTGTATCGATCCAATTCCAAAAATAATGATGTCGCAGGCCCGTTTCAAACTTATGTAGCGCATATGTCTCCTTCTTTCTGGACTTTTTTCTCGCGAAAGACGGAATCTGAGTATTATCACTCCGGCCTCTTGGCTTAGATCAAGTCAGTAATCTATTGTGACTCACAATTGGAAGCTCGTAGCTGCAAATCGGAGACCGTTCCCAGCGGACTCCAGCGGCCTATGGGTCCGGGGCAGGTCCGCTCGATGGTGGCGGACTACGGACTCCGGTCTCAGGGACCGGACCCCGGGTCCCGTCAACACTGATTGTGAGGAACTACACTCTCTCATTTTGGCATCCGAAACACCTCGTAATTGCCCCAAATGGCCGCCAGTTGCCTCATCACTGAACCGAATGCGGGCTCCCTCAACCACGCTTCAAAAATTTCGTCCCCAGCGAGGGATCCGGGAAGTGGAAAAGATCTGGATTGGTCGCCGCGCACTCCCCAAGTGCTGTTGGGCAGTGGCTGTGCTGAGAACAGACAGCTATTCGGTGCCCGGGAGCCGGCCTCAGTGATCGCCGATTTCGCCGCCCACTCAATTTTGTCATTCAGATCATTCACCTACAACCTGCTCGACTGCTATAAATCGCCCCGAATCCTAGTCACAGCACGCGTTGGGGAAGACCGCCTTCTTTCATTGGTGTCGAGGATACGCGCTCGATGATAGGCCTGCCATGAAGAGCGCGGGAAAGGCACCAGCACAGACATGACCGGACACCTTAGGGATGCTGTCATGAGTGGGACAGCCCCAGATCTCACCCGTCCATTCTCCGATCCTCACCTTCTCACGCTGAATCGTGCGGTGCTCGCGATATGTCCGGTGGAAGAAGTGAGCGCACAGACAATGCGGTGGTCATATGTCCCTCGGACTGGTCTGGATTCATGGGTGGGCTGCCAGGTCTTCTTCACTCCGCCGGATCTGACCACGGACGTATGGCAGCGATTTCCTTGGGCCGTCCTACTTTTCGCCGGACCAATCGAGCTCAACCAGTCTCTCTATTCCGTCGCTCCCGATCATCCATGCCGCTTTCTTGATATCGTCGCCATCAGCAGCACCTGTGTGCTGGCGCTTTGGATAGTCTTGGGAGGATCCCACAGCGTGTCGGGGGATCCGAGCACCAGTGCAAATAGCATCTCTCTGTTCAGAACAGGTTTCCGCAGTCCTTCCTTCCTTCGCCTTCCCCGCGCTCCTCTCGCCAGCGCTCGCAGGCATGCTCTTGTGAATATCCGCGATCTGAAGGAATGGATCAGCCACATCACACCCATCGAATCATCGGTAGGCGCTGGGCGCAGCTGCCGAGTTGTGCTGGTCTATCTACGGCTCGTCAGTGTATCGCAGTACATGCGAGCCCAGTCCACGGCGGGATGGACAATCGACCGCAGCCTCCATGCGGGTCTCCATTCGTTTGAAGATGAGGACTAGCAGGGCGGAAGACGCAGCGCGACGGTGTGTCAGACCTTGAAGTCTGCAGCTTCAAGCGGACGTTGGCGAACCGAGGTTTCATGATGTAACCCGCGACCAATCTGGTATAGCTGAGGTTACGGCGAGGGACTCTGCCTACTCGAGAGACGCATGTAGCCGGGGGTGGAGGGCAGATGTGTTGGGCGCCGGGCGGGTGCGACCCATCTTATGTCTCCGACGGTGTGCTTTCGCTGACAATAGAACAGCACGTCGCCATAGATGATATCCGCCTTGTCCGACATATGCCTCTCATCTCACAGCGTTAACCTGGAGGAGCGAGCCCGCTGTGTGCTGCCAAAGCGATGCCGGTGAGTGCTGCTTCCTCTCAGGCTGCGCCCGCCTTTTCGGGACGTTTCCTCATCACGCTCGTTCACTCTTCTGCGGCTCTTGCTCATTCTTTTGTACAGCTTGTCACAGAGAAGATGCGGGTTCGTTACTCAGTTCGTATCAGCTTCTACGGATACAATTAGAAAGCGGTGCGTTACATCTGACACAAAGTCACAACACGGAAATGACTACATATTACACAGCGCAATCGCGCACAGAAGACGGGAGAAGAGATGTCCGCTCAGCATATGGTGCCTACGTCTACACCAGATGGACCTGCCAATAGCGATCGTGTTGGCCGACCTGCCGATGTAAACCAGCCAACACCGTCTTCCCTAGCAAGTGGTCGACGATCCGCGCCCCACCTCCGCCCTGCGCGATAATGCGCTGCCGGGCGTACGGCAAGGCTTCCGCGGGTGTGCCTCCGCCATCTGGTTTGCGCAGCTCAGCGTGCACGACAGTCAGGACGTCGCCCACCGTCACTGCCGCGCCCGCCGCCTTGCAGGACCGCACCTCGATCTTGGCACGGACGAGCCCTGTGTCTAGGCGCAGGAATAGGACCGTTGTTGGTGGGGAGCAGGCCGGAGCGTCGAGCAGCGCTTGGTGCGGCCCGAGGGTGCCGCGGAATGTGCTGGAAGGGAGCGACATGTCGAGGTGCAGTGTGGCGAAGTGCGGGCTCGCGGTAGCCTCTTGGTCGTTGCTGTCGCTGACATCCTCGTCGACGTCCGGGAGTGGAATTGGGAGCGAGATGAGCGGTGTCGGTGGTGTAGACGCGATCGGCTGGTAGATGGGTGGGGGACTGGTCGGCTGGTAGATTGGAGGAGGGCCAGAGAAGCCCCGTCTCGGTGGAGAAGAGGACGACTGCCAGGAGGAAGACGACCCCGCGGAGCTCTGGCGTGTATGGCCCGCGCTGAACTCCTCTACGACGGGACTCCAGTGGACTTGTTTGCGGTCAGGGCTAGGTGGCATCGTGCTTCTGAGGAGAGAGGATGTTGGTGGTGGTGGTGGTGGTGGTGAAGGAATAAGAGTCCAGCTCTCCACAGCATCGAGCGACGATAAGCGCCCGGAGCGGCTGCGAGCTGTGTCGGGTCCCATCCAATCTCGAATCACTGCGCTCCAAATTCAGTCGCCTGTCTGCTTGGGCCCTGGAACGGAATGGGAAACTGACCATCAAGCACACCCCCTTGTTCTGTTGCGTGGTTGTTGATGCTGGGTTCCGGTCCCAAGACAATACGGGGAAGGAAACTGGACTTCGGTCCCGAGGGCGGAACCCTTCAAGCCTCCGTTGATCTGATGATATGTTGCGGGTCGCCCTAAATAGGGAACTCTGGCGTGGTGCTTGGACCGGGCAGTCGACGGGATGCGAGGTCGGTGAAGATTCGAATCGTCGTTTCTATCACATCTGGGTTCGCTGGGCCCACAGTCGCATTGGCTATTCCCGTCCCTGTTGAGACAGCTTCGAGGGCGGAAGGGGATGGCGCTAGTTCTTGATTCACGCTAACGCCTTGACATTGCTCTGCCTCTTATGCTTGGGCACAGGCGGAGTTGCACCGCCCGCCGTCAGTCACCGTGAGTCGTCATTACGCTGCATTGCATCAGACATTGTGGCGCGTCGTATGAAGCATTGGCTGGCGTTGCCAGTGGTAGGGATTTCCTGATGAACGTTGCACGAGGCTGTTCCATCACAACAAATCGTTGCTGTGCGCCCTTGCACAGCACAGCCGCGGGCGCATCTGATGGATGACGAAGCAATGATGCGAGGACTGACGATCGGTACATCTGTTCAATCAACTTATCTTGATGTCAACCACTTGTTTCCATAATAACATTTGTATGGATCGTCCGCATGTGGACATGTACCCAGGAGCCCATAAATAGTTAAATGCGTGTACAAGGTTGGTGCTATAGGCAGGGGGAATTTAGAGGACCGCATGTATTCTGCGTAATGTGCTGTCCAGTGCATTCGAAGCAGCATCGACCGGAGCTGGCAAGAATTGCTGCGCGCAACGGCAAAATCTACGTTTTCTTCGAGCTCCTTTCCCAACACACTTGGGTAAAATGTCGTGCTCACCATCCCGCTTGCCGCGAGTCATGGAGGGCGTGGCAGAGGAAGATTATGCTTTCTCAGCCACGACAAATCGGACGCCACTGCGATGATCACCCCAATCAACCCGTGTGGGTTTCCTGCTTGGCGACGGCGCAGGTGTAGTTTTCACCGCAACCTCGTCCATTTCCGGTGAGGGCAGGTGGGGGAACGCTCGGCGTTGCCGGTAAGTGATCTCCTTCATCTTCGAGCTGAATCTGCTGCGCTTCAAGCCTAGGGAGAAAGTCTCAGCTCAGCCGAGTCTGAGAGGCAAGAAGAGGGGGAGGGCTGACCAGATGTGCGCACGAGCACTTCGTAATAGTCGACGCCCCTTACGCCCTGCTTCTGGTACATGGGCTCGAGCTCGAGCTCGTCGGCATCACCACATAGCGTGGAAGTCTCCGAAACATCGGAGTCGCGGCGGCGACGAGAAGTCTGCCGCTTGAGAATGGGCTGCACCGAGGCACGGTCGCGCCGGCGGTGGGTAGTGCTCAGAATGATGGGAGCCCGAGGGCGCACCCAAGGTTTGGGGGCAGGAGTGGATTTACGGAAGACACCCAGAGCGGCTTGGAGGAGTGGCTGGCTCGATTTCAACGCAGTCGGGGCGGCAGCAGCGCGGACACGGGTTGGATGAGACATCGTTGTGGTGAGTCGTAGAGGGTCTGTGTTGCTGGATTCCTGGCCTCGTCGAATTTATACGCAAACTTTCGCTAGTGTCTGAGATGATCGGGTGCGCGGGAATGCATAGCCGCATCCGCGTTTTTGGGAGGGGCGGATTGAGACACACAGGTTTATGGGGCTGTTGGAGTCCAAATGAATCCAGAGGGAGTACTAGGCTCACTCGGTTTCCACACTGGGAGCCAACATGCATGCACCAGCTAGCAACGCCAAGACGTCCTCCTTCAGCGGCTTTTGTGCCAGTTGGCGCAACAGTCACAAAGCACGTTCCGTGGATGCGTAGTGAAACAGGGGGGCATCATTTCCCTCTAGTGTTTAGGACCGAAGGATTTGAGACACTGGGGAACTTTTCACAAGCGGGTTGAGGGATTAATTGAGAGAAATTGTTGGCCGTGGATCGCAACTGCCCCCGATACAACTGCCCGCCGATACAGTTGGAAGCAATTGAATGCATCATTATATCAGTGATCCAGTGATCAAGAAGCTTTGTCAGCGCATCATGCTTCTGACTGCTGCACTCCTCGCGGCGCATGTTGCCCGTCGGGTCAATGTGCTCTTGCTCATCATCTAATGCAATTCCCAGTACACTACCCCACGCGCCCAAAACGCATGCAAGCATCCATCCATGCAGATAACGATACGGGCATCGGTCTACACGAACGCGTCACAAATCCTTGTTTTCGCTTGCCAGTGAGGACGACATCTAGACAGGCAGTTAGACGACTATGGGAGCCGGCCTGACTGAGTCAACAGCACACCTCATGTCTCTCTCGTATGGGGGAGAACGTGGGGCGGGGGTAGAGAGTTGACTCTGCCGTCTTTCAGACCAGGAAATGCGGAGATCTTCGAGAGGCATGCTTGTTCGCCGCACCGACCTTCTTAGCCGACGCCGCGACTCATTACGAGATGAGCATGTGTCCTCAGATGGAAAGATGCATGAGCGGTCCATGGTCTGAGGTGCGGCGTGTGTCTGGCACTGGGACTGCACTAGACACTCAAGGTACGCTTTCTTCGAGTTTCGTTCCGGTCACTGGGTAACTTGCCATGGCCTTAAGCAGGGACATGCGTAGCATCACCTACCCAGCACCGATGTCGGTCTGCTCCGCCTCCACTCTCGCCCAGCAGACGTTGCCAGAAACAGCAGCGGCGCATACACGGGTGCCATTCCCGCCTCGTTCGGTCGGTCCTGTGTGATCGTGCACCTTCGTTCATGTGATGGAGGTGGGGTCGTCGGTCGCTACATGAAGATTTCCGCGAGTACTGTCGAGTCTAAGGAATGGGCGGAGCGGACTCGCGACGGCCAGCTGCTCACAGTCTTCCCTACCATCCGAGAAACATCCGCCAGGTCTGCCTGGTGATCTCCGATACACCGTCAGCCTTGTGCTGAGAAGCACACGGGAATGGGAAAGGGCGCGGTGACTGACGAAAAGCGCTTGGCGGAGATGAGGCTGCTTTACGCCGAGGTCCGTGCCCATCCTCTCCTGCTTCTTTCTGTCTCCTCATCCATTTATAGAGCCATAACACCTCGGTTCACCATTACAAGCTACATCAGTGCGGTTACGCGATGTACGAGACGCTGATTCTGCAGGCTGCAAAGGTGGTCGGGGCTGCCGAGCACAGTCGGCCTAGATATGGACATGAGCGCGAGTTTCGGGTTGGCTGGTGCAACGTGGGTTGGTCGCAAGCACGGGGTGACTTGTGCGATGAGAGATGTGTCGTTGGGTTGCTGAGGGTGCGTGCTCGAGTCCCCGCCTAGTGTATATATGCGTTCTGACAAGATGGGAAGGCACCGCAACCAAGACTCCAGACATCTTCCGACGGGTGGTTCCGTTCCTATCGTGTGCCAAGCCGATGTCCTCGCAGTGGGTAGTGAAGCGCCAGATAGCCGGGCGTCGTGCTTGTCTTGCTTCGCCCAATATGGAAATGCACCTTACCGCGGACGCCCTCCAATTCTGCTCGTCAACTTCCTTCCTCGTCATTTGTGCTCTTCGCCATACGCATGGATGCGAATACGAGGCGGCGATGTGTCTTGCCACTCTCTGCTATAATTCATCTTCCCTGGCGCGCCGGCGCGCACAGGATACATATATATCTATCTACACGATCCGTGGCGGGCTTGCTCTCCCCGTATCATACGAACATTCCAGTACTGATCCCGTTGCCCCTCCTCCCGATACAAGCCCGCGAACCACGTCTGGCCCAGCAAGTGATCGACCATCCGAGCCCTGCCTGATCTCTCGGCCGCCATTCGCTGCCGGGTGTATGGTAGAGCGTCAGACGGCGTATATCCGCTTGGTCTGCGCAGCTCGGCGTGCAGCGTGGTCAGGATGTCGCCGATCGTGACTGCTGCTCCCGCCTGCCGGTGGGATCTGATCTCGATCTTGGCCCGGAAGTGCCCAACATCGACGCGGAGGAACAGGGCGTCTGTTTGTGGGAAGCAGGCCGAAGTGTCGAGCAGAGCTTGGTATCGCCCTAACCTCAGGCGGAGCTCTTCGGATGAGATGGATAGGTCGAGGGGCATTGGTGCAGCGAGCCATGGGTGGATGTTGGTCTCGCTCTCATCGCCTCTGGTAGGAGATGGAAGTGGGATCGACGGAATAACTGGTGTGGGTGGCATCCCCGGCCACCCCTTGAGATTGTCCGTGGCATAGTGCTGCTGGTAGGAAGTAAAGCCATCCCGTTGTGACGGCGCGGACTCCCGGTATGATGGCCCTGCAGAGCTGTGACCTGCGTAGCTGGCGCCAAACTCCTCCACACGCTGGTTCCACTGCACGTGTCTGGTGTCTTGGCTGTGCATTCTCTTTTGAGTTACAATCAAGAGGGCAGATAGGATGACAAGGGCTGTCAGAGGGGATTGTGTTCGTCTCAGTGTTGAGTAGAACGCAGCAGGGCGCCGTCCCCATTTAAGCCTGGAGAACAAGCGCCTGCAAGCGCCTACGACCTGTGTCGGGGCTCATGCAACCCCGACTCGCCGTGCTCCACGTTTCGTCATGTGTGGGACGCTACCGTATATAGTGCTGAGAATGGTTTCACAGAATGTTCATCATTCTATTCTCTCGACATGCAACACCGCAAAAGTGTCATGCCACAAATCAATATACAGCTCTCATCCTCAATCGAGGTGAGCGCAGCAAATGGAAAACCCGGGAATGGTGTTGTTATTCCAGACAACACAAACCGAAGGATTTTATTCGCGTGCAACGAATGTGAGATTTTGATGATCTCTTAATAGCTGGACGTCCGGCGAAGTGATTGCACCGACGGGAAGCGCCGAGTTGTGCTCGTGCTTCGCAGCGACAGCGCGCAGGGTTCTCAACAGACAAGCGCTGATCCTTTCTTCCTGTTCGAGCTCCAACATGCTCCCAATATATCTCATCCAGCGGGAACCTGACGCGCTTGTGAGTGATAGATAGATTTTGAATTCACGAAAAACGAGGCTGTTCCGCTAGGAATGTATGGGAAGCACCCAGGCCTCGTGTTCTAGCCAGATGAGGTTCCTGGATCCAGTCTTCTCTTTCTCACCGGAGTAAACCGAAAACACCGGAAAGTCACCGCCCTTTGGCGCGTATGCTCATTCGCGGCGCTTCCACTGGAACGATCCGGGACACGGTGCTGGGTGGGGGGGTACTGGTCCCTGGACGAGGGGTAGGATAACACCTATTAATACTCTACAGTGCGTGAGATACAGCCGAAGCTACTCTCAGCAAGCAATGTGATCGATAAAAAGATATTGGAGGGCTATCACAGCACTTCAGGCCCAATGATCAGCAGTGGGAAGATCGGCTGCTGACGTCATTGCTGGAAAATCTTGCAATCGGCCTGATTGGCATCTCCGATCAGGCGCTTTCAATCCGACGAGATGCAGTCTGATGCAGTGGCTGGAGGCGCAATCTGCCCGGCCAATGAATTCGAGCAACGGAGGACAGAGCAAAGCGAGCAAAATTTGATAGGTCATGCGTCCGCTTGGCTGTTCTGATCATGGGTTAGTGCTGAAAATCCTCTCCCTCGATCGCTCTCTTCTTGTTCTATTGTTGTCTAGCTCGTTGATTCTGACTGACGCGGATTCGACAAGAGCGATCGATAAATCGTAAGGGATGACAACAGCCGTCTTCAATAATTGCGATACGAACCCCAGATATCCTATCAAGGAGGGGAGCCTCAGCTTATTGTTTGCGTCCGCGGTATATAGCAGCCAGCGGAATTAACTCCTTGCAATCTATAACTCGGATTCCCTCTCTCTCCCACCCCATGCTTCCGACACTGGAAATCCTGACGATCATCGCGGACGGGCTTCGCGGTGTGCGACTAGACTTTGGCGTGAACGTCAACTTCGAGGACCGCTACCACCTCGTGCGCATGGAGCTCATCCGGATGACGTTCGCGCTCGAGAAGCAGCGGCGCGAGTGGCTGCCCGCGGAGCGGCGGGAGGTGTTTCGTAAGGAGTATTCTAGGTGCGCTTTGATGCGGTAGGTCCGGCCCCCATGCTGGCCTACTCGTCCATCACGAGCGATCTGACACCGAGGATTCCTTCACAGGATTTCTCGCGACTTGTCGGACTGGCGCCAGCGAAGGCCATCCGCGTCGTTTGGCGGTGCGCGGGCGAGGAGGGCTGAGGCGAAGCGAATGTTCCACCAAGCGCGTGATTTGCGGATGCAGGTGGAGAGGGAAGTCATGGATGCATTGTGGAGGCAGCAGCAGCAGCAATTGGCATCACGGTCGAGTGTAGAAACAGAGGAATCATCCATTCCTTTATAGATCTTCCTCGATATGCTCATCTTGTATTCGTTTCGTCGTCTGCTTCATTTCGTACAGTGTGCAATTGGCATTTGTATCATTATTATCCGCCGCATTGAAATAAGGATGTCCCCCAGGCTGAGAGGGAAAGGAATTGAATTAAAATTTGCTCAAAATACCAAGAAAAGTTCCAAATTTATCCGAATTCCGATATACTGCTCCAACACGACACAAATCAATGCTTAAATAGCCGATTGGTAGCGCAAATCGGCCTCTTGGGGATAACTGGTCTACCGTGAGATAGCTGGGGGCCTGGAGGTGATCGGGGTCGTCGAAACGAATGGCCGTTCGAGGTCTAATGCCAACATTCCGGGCATAGTGGTTTGTTCTTCCGCATTCGCAAGTGATCGAGTTTTCCATCTGGAGCTGTACCTGCTACATAAGCTAGCTAAATGTCCCGCCAGGGGCATCTGTTCGCCCGAAAATAAGTCAACGCGCACTCGGTGTTATCGCAAACATCTCCTCCAACCACCTTCCTCGTGCCCTCGATCTTTCTCCAACGGAGCCATGCGTTCAACGCTGCGGCTCAGAATTCAACTAGCGGCGTGCAGCGAGTTGAGCATATCCGGGATTGCGTCGTTCTCGCGGGGATTTCCCAAATCCTGGACAATCCCGCGCGTGGCCTCGCCCTTTCCGTTGCTGTACATCACGACATCGCCGTCCTCCTCGATGTAGCAGCAGTTTGTGAAAGAGCGGTACAGCGCGTAGAACGTGTTCTTCGGGATAGAAATATCAGCAATGGAATTCCGATCGACTTGAATTTTTGAACCCACCGTGCTATCCTCGTTGTAGTGCTCCCCGAGCACAGCCTTGATGCGCTTGGTCACCTCAGGTTGGTTGTCTAGACGAAAATTGATTAGTACGGAAATTTCCGCTTCTGAATGGAAGCGTACAGTAAGGAATGGAACTAAAAAGATGGTGGCCAACGTGGTCGTGCGAGACCTGTTTTCGGAGTCAATAATACTCATCCACAAAAGGAAATAACCACAGCAAACACTGACATTATGCAGACACATTCGCCCGATAAAGCCAAGCAACGGTCGATCGACGGTGGCGAGCGATCCACGCAGGAAGGTCCATTGCCCCCTGCGGTAGTGGGGCAGCGTCGGGTCAGAGTGCTGCAGGTATGTCATCATAACAACCCAGTGGTGGCAAAGCTTCCGGGCGATCAGAACACTCAGAGACTGCTGGATGGCGCAAGACAAACCAGATACGGGATGATCAACTGTTTGAATAGGCTCGCAGCACCGACCTGAATGCCGTACTTCATGACAATCGATAAAACGACCACGATTCCAGCGTCCGAGAGCACGATGTTCCAGAAATCTTCGGGCTTGAATAACGCGGAGTACGGCGAGAAGTGCTGTTGGAATCGTGAGTATCACAACGAGCAACAGCCATTCATGACTCGCGTTGGTGCCAGGTGGGTCTTGGGGCGACCCGAGAGCGTTGAACAGCAGATACGCCTGGTAGCCCAGTAGTTGCATGACAAGCATGCGGACGAGCGTGTAAAGGGGTGTCTCCTCGAACATCTCATGCAGCTGCTCCATCGTCGTGATTCCAAGTTGGGATTTTGTCCGGGGCACGTAGATGTCGTCACGTTCGACCGAGCCCACACCTTTCTGAAATATAGTATCAGCTAACACATGCTGCAACGACATATGTGGACGGCGGCTCACGTGATGCGCATGGTGGGACTGCTTCCAGGCAAAGTACGGGGTCAAGAGCGCGGTGTGCAAAATGAATCCAACGGTGTCGTTGACGATGCCGTACGGGGAGATATTGTGATGGCCGGCCTCGTGTCCTGATCACGATTCCGGCGACGGTCGGTATAGCGCGAAGGAAGTAAAGGGTAGCACGAACCCAGACACCAGCAACCGGCCATGACAATGCTTTGTGCGCCCCAGTAAGCGGACCACAGCGACCATTTCAGTACCGAGGCGATGCCCGGCGTCAGCTCGCGCGCTACGGCGACCTGGGCTGCGAACGCGTCGATCCGTCGGCTGAGGGCGAAAAGAGTGACGAAGCAAACGACGTCCTGGACGACGCTGGTCATCCCGCGGAACGTCGACTTGCGGAAAAGCTCGGAGGGAATCACCGCGCGCAGTTCCTTCCATGTTATCTTCCCTCTCGGAGTCAGCGACCAGTTGGTGCGTGCGCAGGGGCTGCTTACGGTGGGCGGTGAGAAAGGCGTGCCCCGCCTCTTGATATACTCCGGACTCTCGCTAAACATGGTTAGTGGGTGGGTGGTATACTTTAAAATGGATTGGGGAGACGACAAGAGCGAAACGAGTGAATGCCGGCCCTCGAAAAATGTGCCGCGGTGCTCTAAGACCATCGTGATTCATCTCACGGCAGATCTCGCGACTGGCTTATCCCTGACATGGAGCCGGTCCCCCCGCAGTAGCGTGTGCACTCTGCAGCGCCAAATGGAGAACGTTATACGCCATGCCCTCGCTTCATGATCAATCCGTCAGTCTCCACTGTACATGCTGATGAGAGCCCCAGAAGAATCAAAATAAATCACTGCTGAAACGAGGAAGAAATATTGGTAGATTCATCCAGTCAGACAACGAAGTGACAAGCGGGCCTGATATTACGGAGCGATCCCATTGCATTCTTCAGAATCAAGCTGCCCGTCCCGAATCGGAAATGTCTCCGCTTGCCAACCGTCGACTCGCGACAGCAACAAGATCCCGATCGGGACACCAATGAGTGGGACACTCTTCGTGAAGCCGCAATGCCTTCATGCACTCAGCTCACGCCGATTGAGCCAAAGTATCAAGTATCAACTTTTCGGGCCATTATTCACCCGTTATAATGTTTCAACTCCTTCAAACAACGAAATGAGGTACAATGTTGAACGAGGTGTTATCTTCTAGTGCTGCGTGGATGGCCTGACAAGAGACTGCGATAGACGATCACTATGATACGCCAAGCTTGCGTGGCATTCTCGTTGGACTGGTCGAGTCCAGATCTCGTCGCGCGGGGGAATCAACTGTCAGAACCTTGGAAAGGGTCAGACTCGGTAATGTCGGCTGCGCATGGCGCTTTGATCAACTTTGACCATGGAAGCTCGGTGCATCACCACTTTTAACTACCGAGCATCGGAATTCAACTCCGAGCGATCGACTGAAGATTCACAAATGTCGTAAAGGGACCGGAGACTCTTCCGCGTGTCTGCTTATGACTGACAAAATGACAACATGACGGAAAACCTTGAACCTTGACGTTGCACATATGACAAAATCAGATGGATCAAAGCTTGTTTTCAATGTGCATTACTCACGACAACGTATTAACCCACTGTGCACTCCCTCCGCTTTCAATATAGAGGTACCTTCTGAATTACCTTCTTTCGAGCTTGAAAAAATGTTGTAGTAGCATTGAGTGGTATCTGGGCACCCGGCATGTCTTGAGTGCTCCCACCCATCATTTGGCGGGCTTCGATTGGTGGATGCAGGCAGTAATTGCTTGTGCCCATGAAACCTGGGGACCTTCTGCCATGTGCATGGCCGGAGGATTTTTCGCGTTCTCGCGCCTAGACCCAATGGAGGAGTTTTCGAACAGATCATAGGATTTCGAAGGGGGAAGTGGTAGATGAGCTTTCTGTGTTTCACAGAAGAGCATACTTATATCAACCAGGTAAGCCCAATCACCATTTGTGCTATTGTGAAATCCTTTGCCTCTTTGACCGTTCTCCTGTGCTTTCAGGCTTCTATTTGCAGCGACTCATTCTCAAGCCAAGGAAATACCTCCTGCTCTCGAACTGCTCTCGAACTGACAGAGCAAAGAGCGACCCTCGATCATCACTGAGCTACACTTTGAGCCACCGCTAGGCCCTGCCAATTCGCTATCTGGATCGAAGCACAGCGGCGCCCTCTAACCGTGTAATGACCGCCGTCGGGGATCATTTTGGGGTCACTGTCCTAGATCTTTCGCGGCATCGAAAACCGCGTCGTAGAGTACTCTGATGGACGCATGGTTGGGCGATGAGAGACACAGTTTTCAGGGCAGTTCGGCCAGGTGCGCAGCAGCAGCAGTTTGACTTTGTGGGTGGGGTATCGACGAATCATTTTGATTAGTATGAATTGTCCGTCACCGACGACAACACGGTCCGCCTCAAGCATCGCAGACACGACATAGCCGTCGTGATTGACGAGGACCAGGTAAACAACAAGGATGTGAACGCTGTCTTGACTGATCTTTGGATCTACCAATAGTTCATCTCTATGTCAGCCAAGACTATTCCTCATCAGTTCTACCTTCAAGAAACTGACGATGAGGGGCAATATATCTTGAGTCGAAGTTCCCTCCTCCAGATTGCTCTCTGAGTCTAGCCCATGCCAGGTTTCCAATTGTCACGGCTATGTTCGGACGCTCAACCCCTCTGACACGGATCTCGCATCTCGCGTGTGTTTTCCCATCCACACTCCAGTTTCGTATCTGTAATTCTCGCAACCCATTTATATGGAGGCTCAAAACTACATGCTGATAACCGAGACGCATATCAGTGATGCAATATGTTGTTGAACTACGGATCATATGTTATTATGTCAGGACCCCAAAGACCATGAGTGATGATCAGAATGATCAAGTGCAACAACCTTGACGAGCTCGCTGACAAATCCATTGAGATCTTTCAGGGCACGTGATAGATTGATTTCAGGGCTAGGGCGCATCACTGCTTGTCAGTGAATAGGTAGAGATACAGTACAATTATTGCTACCAATCACCCTCTGCTGCCGCTAAAGACTCCTCTTCATCAGAAAACCATGCGAATAAATCATCCGATGTGGAAGGTTCATTTTGCAAATCACCATTGACATTGGGCTCTACGTCGTCAATCATCTGGTTCAATTTAGACCGTAAGCCTTGGTCTAGAAAGTTGTAAGTCGCAGAGAACACAAAATCCAATAAGCACGCACCTAAACCATCACCTTGATTTACACCACCCGTATAATATCCGCCATCTGGACCAATGACACCTTCACCTCCGCGTAGTTCCTTGAGACCGGGGATGGGCTGAATTTTGTCATTGTAGTCGTCCAATGCTTGTGTGAGTGCATAACCCCAATTCTCATTAGCGCTGACATCCACACTGTGAATCTCATCAAGTGTCCGGAATTCAGAAAGCAACTGGAGGTAGACGTCCCAGCATGACTCTCTGTTGACACTTGGCTCACCAACACTTCGATAAATCCCAGAGATCATGTCATGGAATTCGGGAGGAACAAGGTGAAATATCTTGTGATCAGGAGGAGCGTACATAGCTCGAACCTTGTGAACACCCTCAGGATCAATCTTGATCTGTAAATTCTCAAATCAATTGAACATGCAAGAAATTGATGTGAAATTACAGACCTTGAAATCAAGAATTGCATAGTCCTCTGGGTATTCAAACATATGGTTTGGAACACCGTGAGGAAGAATCTTGTTACGATCATGGCGTTTAGCAGTGTTGTTGATGCAGTTGCGATAGAGTTCAAGTTCTGCTTGGAGCCAGGGGATGAACACCCAACGGAAAATAAGACTGAGTTTGTAAGGCTTTTGAACATAGACAAAAGATCAAACATGTACGCACGCTTCAATAAGCACTCCAGGATCATACCAACCATTGTTGACTCCGATTTCGAGTATGTCCTCAAAGCCAGGTGTGAATCGACGGCGCAGTTGGCTCCAAGTGATCTCGGGCATGACGTTCTTCTTCTGTCTCATCCATCGGTGTTGAGATGTACCAACGAGTGACTGATCTTGATAATGCCGCAGTTGTGTGTGTCCATTTGCAATACCAGGATTGCTTTGAGTCACGAGAGGCATGACTTCGGATCTGTCAATTCACAGCCAACACGGAGAAGAGCAATCACGTACATCCGATGGTCTCAATTGCGTCAAGATAATAGCTCAGAATGAGTCTTGGGTTGTTATTATTCCACCAAATCTTCATCCAATGAATCAGGCCTAGGAATGGATCGATCCCGGTGTGGAGAGCGAGACCAAATTTGTATTTCCACTTGTCATGTTGATCTACAGCCCAGACATTGTTCGAGCCAGCTGCCCAGAATCTCTTGCGTTTGAAATGACCACGACGACGCTCGCGAACAAGGTCAGGTTCATAGATATGGAAATACTGCATTACAGTCTTGCTGGACGAAACAAGACCCAGATTTGAATAGATCAGCGTCATGTTCCATAAATATTAGGATAGACGCACCATGAAACATTGATTTCTTCCTCGTGAAACAGTAAACTGACTATCTCTTGCCCACCAGCCTTTGGGTACGTGACCCGAAGCTTAGTGATTGCTCCAGCAATGGACTCAACCGTGTGACCCTGTCTCCGAGCACGAAGAAATCCCAAATTCTCTCAAATTTTGCGAAACGTAGCAATCCTGAAAGCGATATTCAGCTAGAAAGAGGAGGAGTATGTACGGCAACAAGCAGACTTACTCTAGACCGTATTTTGCTAGATCGATATGATGCTTCTTGAGTAGTGCGAGAATCTCCACATCACTCTTGTTTTGTTTCCAGTACTTCGCAATAAATGGCCGCAGATCCTCAGAGGGGGCTAGAATATCCGTGAAATCGAGCCGATAAGTCTTGTTGGTAACATACGGACGGGTTTATATTGATTGGCTTTAGGCATGCGCAAGTCGGTAGATGTTTGTTGAGAGTGAAGAGGGAATGGGACACTGCAGAAGGGAAGCGGTTCGATGAATCAATTTATAAGAACGAATTTTGCATGGCTACGGAGCGCTCCGGAGTCCCAAAGTCATGATTACCAACCAATCCCAAAGCAAAGTGTGGTTCCCCACGTAACTTTATGGAGTAAGATTGAAATAAAATTCAGTTATAGTACTGGTTTCTCCTTGGTTGGAGTGCACATTGTTCACTGTCAGAGCGCACCGGAACTCGGCTAATATCAGTGGAAGGTAGGTTACCGTACATAGCTGAATTTTGGAAACGTGTGATGGCACATGTTGATCCAGTTTGGATCCGCTCGTAAATTCAAGGACTTGCCTCTCGGTTGAATTTGGATGGCCATAAATACATCGGAAATTCTAGGAGGGTCTCGCCGACCAAAAATTGACCGAAATAAATCACAAATACTGTACAAGGAACGTGGCCAGAGAGAGCTACACTATAAGTACTGTAAATGCACGATTTCAACTTCACTCCTCAGCCTGGCTTCAATGTCGAGCAAAACGGTGTACGCAACGTTCACAGACGACATTTCCACTCAAGAACCCTTTGAGTCTTGATCTGGTGCTCGTTGTTACACACGGCCTCGTCCAGATCTGAACAAGGGTCACATTATCATGCCTGATCATCCTCATTATCGAGTTGGGAACCAGTCCTTGACATCAGCTAGCAGAATCGTCTGCAAGGCTTGTCACGAGCATTACCGAACCAAGGCATCAAGTACGATTGGAGGTGCGTACATGGATGTCCAGTGAATACGTTGTGACTCATGCCTCTTAGCACCTACAAAAGTCAGTCTTGAGCGTGAACGTGATTCCATTCGACTGCAGAATATTGAAGGACGGATTGGCAGTAAGCTTCGTCCTCTCGCTTTGAATTTACTCAAGTTAGCCTCAGACACATCTTGAGCTGGGGTCATTGCGGCAGTTCCACAAGTGCTAGAATCAATGGGTCCCCCTCAGTTCGTTCCTCACCGACAGGGGTCTGCCTCTGGTGCGTCCTTCATATAGCTTGAATCGTGCATTTATGGGAATAATTTCGTCTTACAGGTCCTCGTCTCTCATTGCCCAAATCAAGTTCTTCAAATATGGGCAGACATCAAGCAGGAACGGAACAGTATTCTTCTAAAGGATACTCCGCAGCGCACCAACAATATCTTCCATCTCGGCAACGATGGGCTCAAATGGCCTACTCTGGAATGCCTCAGGAGATCGCTACTGTGAAGATCGGTGTGCGTTATGAGGCTCCAGGAAAGGAGAACGGTGTTTCATTTGGGGTATGCACTCAAATCTCTGTGCGCTTGTTTAATTCGACGCTCAAATCTTAATTCTAGACAATTAGCGAGGGAAAGAACGTCCATGCTAAAGCAACTGCGGCAGAGATCATCCAACTTGTGATCGAAGTTGCCACAGCCAAGCTACGTGCAGAGATTGCAGATCAAACGAAATCTATGTTTACTTTCGACGAGAGCCGATTTGTGGTCAGAGAGGCCGAAACCTGGATCAACATCCACGAGGAACTGCCTGATCAACCGATTTTATACAACCGTTGCCTGAAGAAGGGAAGAAGTCGTGCTGATCAGGGCAAACTTGTCTACTCTCGTCCTTCAAAGCCCTTCCTCTACGTTTTGGTGATCAATTCTAAAGAGTGGCAGCGATTTTTGAACTTCCAAGAGGATCATTTCGACGCCGTATCGCAGGTTTGTTTTGCCATTGAATTTTAGTTATTACTCTCATCCAACCTTTCCAGATTGAAAGTGTCAGCACAAGGTCAAGTCACAGACCGGATCCCACAGTGGACGCCTTTTTAGAAGCACCAGTTTTCCGATTGACGCGTTCCAAGACTTCAACTCTTAGTCAAAAAAAAGCGTCCCAGGTACGTTTTTGAGATTGATATCGAACATTAATTCACAATTTTTTTTTGTTGATAAGAGTGCTGTGGATTCAGACCGCTCTCAATGGTCTCCAGCTGATACCGCTGGCATCCAAGTAATGGCATCGTCCCTTCAGTCCTTAAGTGCTCGGTCCAGCGTCCAGAATGGTTTGATCTTGGAAACTGTGAGTTCTGAACCGTCATCAGGCTTGTTCGGGGCTGAAACATATATAAGAGCCAGAAGCCGGCCACAATCTCATCCGTCAGATCCGGATCAAAGAAAAGATCCGCTGAAGATGATAATGAGCCGCAACGGCAGCGGCCACACCATGATCTTGATATTCATGAGATCAAGACAGTCGAGGACGTTTATCAGCCTGTGGATCTCAAGCGCATGGCCAAAGCGCTTACTTTGAGTGGTTCACTCCCCGCATCTTCAAGAGAAGCTGGTTTGCGATCTCTTAATCAATTCGTACATCAGTGATGCTCATGTTTCATAGCTGCGCACATCACAGAAACAATTGAATTTTTTTGCGTTCGATCTGCTCCCCTTTCTGTTGTCCTCGAAAGCGCGAAAGCTTTCACCTGTGATATTGCTGACAAGGAAGTCGGCTCGCTGTCTCTCAAGACATTCCTACCGCTGCTTGGTGTTGGAACATTCAAATCCGCGCATTCAGCCTATCTCACATTGGTGTCACTCTCGTCGACACCTTTGGGTGCAGCGCCAAATCAGCTGGTGGCCCTTAAGCGTATGTTTACCGAGAGGCACACCCTGAAGCGCTTCAGCCCTGTTGAGGAGTTTCAACATACGACCTCAGAGGCCAATCTACTCTTTTGGGGCACAACATTACTAAACTTTACATACTTGTTCATTCGAGATTACGTTTCGAAGCATTCTTCGCCGCCCGCAGAACTTCCAATCTACGCCATTCGATTTGTGGAGGCGGGTGTAGCACTGGTTCACAACTCCGCAGCCACGGGAAGTTCCAGCAAAAATACCTCTTCACTTCTGCGCTCTTACTTGATCGAGGAGATGATCGAGACAAGTAATCAAGCTTTCCGTCACAAATATTTACTTTCACTCACTGTTCAACAGGAAAATTTGTCAAGTTCATTAACAACAACAGCGCCCTTCCTGTTGCAAGTCTCGACCCAGAGTTGTACCCGATTGCAGTGTTCCTATGCTTTACACAACATGTTCAATACGAGCATACCGGCAAACTTGTGTTTCTTTCCGATTTGCAAGGTCATATACATGTACCGCGCGTTAAAATCTCACTCATTTGATTCCAGGATCGGGCGGACTCCTGACCTCACCGCAAGTTTTGGATCAATCTTTGTTAATAAATGTCTGATTTTCCCTAGGACTCTGAAGCGCGGTCTTTTCGGCGGCGGAAACTCGGGGACGTTCTTCGAGAAGTTTCCGGAACAACATGTCTGCTCTGGGTACTGCAAGTTCTTTGGGTTGAGTGATCTCCAGAGCAAGGATTGAGAGACCCGCCGCATCAGAGTTTGGTCTGTAGTTCAAAGCTTAGCATAGGGCAGACATTGTCTTCGTCTTCCTCAATTTCATTGCAGCTTGAATCAAAACACTAGTGCTGTACTACGATGCTCCAGACATTCGAAATATCGGTACATACTACAGAGACCCCAGGAAACAAGTACCAATTACATATCAAAGCTGTCTGTGTCTCTACCTGTTCATTGACGAGCAGTGATGCGCCCTAGCCCTGAAATCAATCTATCACGTGCCCTGAAAGATCTCAATGGATTTGTCAGCGAGCTCGTCAAGGTGTTGCACTTGATCATTCTGATCATCACTCATGGTCTTGGGGGTCCTGACATAATAACATATGATCCGTAGTTCAACAACATATTGCATCACTGATATGCATCTCGGTTATCAGCATGTAGTTTTGAGCCTCCATATATTTAGGTTGTCATGGCCCCGTTCAGGGGTCTGCCCTCCCAGTACTTCCGGTCCTCGTCGGTTGATGAGTTCGTTCTTGGTCTGGAGCATTTGGCTGCCACCACGGGTCTGCGTTTGTCCGCCGCTCCCGTATTCGATAAATAGGACCCTTTCACTGCGGGAACATACCGCATCTGGGACGCACAGCATGTACACACTTAGTTCTTATTTGGGACACCCCGGCATTTCGGCTGACTTGACAAAGATTGATGTAGTTGATGCCATTTCCCGCTCATTGTAACCTAGTCAAATGATTGCTTATGGGAATGTCTCGAGCAGATGATAGGTACATAGGTAAATTATTTCAAGTCAATAATGAAGCTAGTACATGAAGTATGACCGATGTGAAGTTCGAACACCGTTCAATTATCCACGAAGGCTCGATAGCATTTCTCATTATCAAATCTAAAAGTCCACAAAATCAAACTCGATCGAGTCAATGACAGCCGCCTTGAACGTTTTCCCATCTGCCTTCAGCGCCTCATCCGTCCCCGGCGTGTCCACGCCCAGTGTCTGTGGCCTACAACATGCAGCATGAATGAGAGGCTTCCGCAAAGGAACAAACCAGCAACAGCCGACACACCTAGATGAGTCCAGCTTCGCATGCAGTCCCTTCCGCTTCTGCTGCCTCCGCCCCGCCTCAACAAGCTCCACAAGCCGCACTGCCTCCATGTTTGCCTTGCGGTTGCGCTTGTTCACGCGCGCCAGCCGGTCTGCAACCTTGTCCTCGACGACGGGCATCGCTGCACAAGACCCACCACCTGCCTCCACCACCAGGTTCCCCAGCTGCTCGTCGATCTGATGCACCTCCTCGGGGTCGTTGTGCTGCTGCGCCAGCGTTTGCTGTGAGCTCAGCCGCGAGCAGTCGGCAACGGTCAAGGTGCCCGTCTGGAACGGCTGCCCCTGGGGTTGAGCCTTGACTTGGGCAGTACAAGGGTTGTCTTGCTTGATCATTGGAGTTTGGGGGCACCAGTTGTGGAAGCATCGGCCAGAACGCTCAACGAGAACGTAGAGGAAGACATTAGATGAGCGAAGCAGCAAAAAGAGATTACATCAACATGACAATGTACGGTACAATGAGATTTACCGACCAACACCATCAATCAAATCAATGACCGGAACATTCCGATGACATGTCTCCTTTTGGATGTGTGTACTGGCTTCAATTCCCCGCATCCGTGATGGTTTGATCGGTGGCCTCGTGCGCAGCTACAAAGTCAACACGCACGCGTACACCTCGGCCCGCTGTGACGACCCCGGGAACTATAGCGCGGTTTGTCTCTGTTGTTGAACTGCTCTGTCTCTCTCGCCTCGCTCATGCACCGTGCCCAGTGGGCCATTGTCGGCAGCTACTACACGGGCTACTATATCATCAACGTCGGACTGGGCCTCTCGTTGGCGATGACTCAATTCAAGGTCCGCGGTTTCGTTTCGCGAGTGCCCTCGGGCATGTAAATCGCCCGCTGACGCCTGCACATGTAGAGCCTCATGCCAGTCCTCCGCATTATTCCTACCCGATTCCGGTTTGTCGCCCGCACCTATGGCCGTGTCCCGGTTACTGCCGTCACCGGCCAAGGGTTTGGGGTATTCACCGGAGCAATGATGCTGCGAATGCCTCGATGGGTGGCAACACTTACATCGGGCGCATGCGTGCTTTCTCATTTCCAACTGCTGACAATCGGCATGACAGTTTGTGAAATTTTGCTCTTGTGGACTGCGTGCATTTCCAAGATAATGAATCTTAAACCACGAGACCAGTACGTACTTAAACTAGCACAACCGCGGGAATTGTTTTTTCGGCAAAATATACGTGACAATCCAGAAGTCCGCCTTTCATCATTCTCCTTACAGATTCTTTCCTCGCAGAGAATAGTTCTACAGTCAATCATCAATACTTGTTCTTACCAGACAATTTCCCAATTTGAGAGTGTGATTATTGGAGTAGGGGCACGTGACCGCATCACCGCAGAGATACACATGTACACACATCATTAGAGACTAGGACAGACGATTCACTCAGGCCACAGTGCACTCCAGTATCTCATCGGAACGTCGGTCACGATCTTCCTATCACACACACCCTTGGTTGCCATGCCTCAGTCAAGACGGATTACATCATGACGTATCATCTCCATCTGTGTCAAGGACTGCTCTAAGACAGGGGCCGCCGCGCACACTCAAGCATCAACCAACATGTCGTCTCCCCAGCAATTCGTCAACTACGCGCTCGGCGGCTGGGTGAGCTGGGCGTGTTTCCTGGGGGAGGCTGACTGTGCACTGACGGCCATTGCAGGAACTCGCCGTGTGCTCCAGCCTTCTGTTGCAAGGCGTGCTACTCGGGCAGGCTGCGCGCTACCTCGCCCACGGATTTCACCGCACGGATCCGACGATCATGCGTGTTTGGGTGGCGGGACTGCTCGTACTGACGCTTGGCCGGAATCTCTTCGGGATGTGCGTTTCTTGTGTGCTGACGGTGCGCAGCAGACTGAACAATTTGCTGAATTTTGTAGACAGTTGATGTACGAGCAAGATACGGCGCACTATCTCAACTTCCCCGCCGCGCTTGGCGAATGGCTCTCTGCGCGATTTGACGCGAGCTTTCTGATTAGCGGCGTGCTGGTGTACTACGTGCAGATGTTTTTCTGCTGGCGCCTCTGGGTGTGTTCTCGAGCGCTCCCTATATCCATATGCTTATGCAAGTTCGTGGTGCAGACGCTTTGCAGACAGATATGGCTGCCATCGGCCTTCGCGTTGCTGTTTTCAGCTGGGCTAGTCTGCTCGATTCTCGCAGTGCCCTTGGCTCAGATGAAGCAGCCTGTGTGATGGGGTTCGCGCTTCTCTGCATCTCGCCTTGAGTAAACTTACGACCGAGTCCAGCGGCGGCGTACCTCAGCGTCGACTTTGTCAGCGACTTCCTCCTGTGTGGATCCATGATGTTTTTCCTCCTCGTGAGTGTCTCGACTCCCCACCGTCGCTCTGCTCAGGTCCCCGGCAGCGAGACTCTCGCTCACAGCGCGTGTCGCGTGACACGGCCACCGTTCTGAACCGTATTGCGCGGATCACCATCCAGTCGGCGCTGCCCTCCGCGACGTGCGCGTTGGCCCTCCTCGCGTCATCTCAGAAGAATCCAGACTACGTCGCGGGCAACTCTGCGCTCGCGATCACGGTCGTCCTCACTCAACTGCTGCCCATGTCGTACGCGTACTCGGCCATGTGGACGCTGAATGCGCGGAAGGGCATCACCCATAGTGCTAGGATTTAGTCAAATCTATGGCTGTAGCCATAAAAATTGCATTCAAATCTATGGCTGTAGCCATAGCATGGATACAGTCATAGCTTTGACTAATACTGCTATGGCTACAGCCATAGCGTGGCAGGCCTTTGGTCCTGTTGCTTTTCTCGGCATCACCATGGCATGTGCAAGATCATCATTGCCATCAGCACCACCATGATCCCCCAACATAAAGTGTTGATCAGCCTTACTGTCTTGAACAAGCCGCGCCCCTCTGGGCGCGGAGGTTAGTGGTTCAGGCTAGGGTTTGGGTTTGGGTTAAAGGTTAGTCCCCGGAGACGTCATTTTTTCTCAGTTATGGCTGGGGCAAGGTAGCAAAAAAAAGGCCTATTACAGGCTCTGTAAGGGTTGGTTAGGGTAAGAAATATATTTATTGTCAGTTAGGGTTGGGGCAAGGGAGCAAAAAAAAAATCCTTTTAGAGGCTCTATTAGGGTTGGTTGGGGCAAGAAATATGTTTATTGGGTGATAAGGGGTTGGGATAACCAGTACTAGGATAAAGCTTTCCCTCCACTTAGGGTAAGCCGCTTGCGGCTTACCCTAAGTTGAGGGAAATTGTAACCTGTTTAATAGTGGTTTAGCTCAGTATGATAATGCATTGGTTTCATCTACATTTTTAGAAGGTCAGCCGTTCAATCCTCACTGAAACCACCGCCTAGCTGTTGGGTGTCAATCACAATCACAGGTTGTCGATCATAATGATTGTTGTTCACATCAGCACCGCCATGCCCTATGGCTACAGCCATAGATTTGAATGCAATTTCTATGGCTACAGCCAAACGGATTTGACTAAATCCTAGGGCTATGGCTCAGGGCATCCGGGCGGAGATGACTCGGTCCCGGGATGCTACAGGTACGGATCAGAGCGGCTGGGGTGCGGCTGCATCGAAAGCGTAGATTGGATATCATGATGGAGTTTGGTCTTCCTTGCGACACATATCATCAACTGCACTTGTATTTGTACTGCACTACATATTCTGTATCTGCCTCATGGAGTTTTTTTTACCGTATCGGATGGAGGTTGACAGTTCTTATAAGAGCGTTACCCATTCATCGAGGTACCGTCGTCCATTAGGGTCAAGGTCTATCTTGATGCCAGGATCTGACTAAGTGCTGGGGGTCCTGGCACTCCGTGACCATATGCCTCATATCTGCTTAGTAAGGTGATATCGGGTGATATTTCGGTGTAGTAAGTGTTGTCGTCGTCGTTGATGGCGATAGCGGCTTCTAGTGCTTTCAGACTGCAGAGCCAGTTTTTTCCTGTTGTACGGCGATTATTGGAGTGCAACGTATGAAGCACGTGAAATTTGCATGCGAACAAGGGACACAAACCCTAATGGTCGAGTCAACTATCATTTCAGGTAGGGCTAAGCACAGCCTTGTTGGCACGTGCAATGATCTCCGGTAGTCTCCGGTTCATTTGCGCTATGTATTGGCTGGGATCCGGATTGTACTTAGCTTGGATCATTGACCAGACTCTCCGCATCAGGATTGACAACAGATATCTCTGCCCCACGCTGTGTGGCCTTCCTACGAACAGCCGCCTGCTGTTTCAAGCGATCCAAATCAATCCGCGGAGGTACATTTTGGAATTCCGATCGCCGAACAAGTGACACACCGTGGGGAAAATGAGTTTTGTGGTCGCGTTCATTTGGGCGTTTCCTTCCTATAAAAAACTACAAAAATGTACAAAAATTTATTTTCATCAAATCACTATTAAAGAGAGGTGCCTTTGCGCACTGTACATGCAAAGAACCCACGGAGTGCACCGGTCCAAGCGCGACGCGAGAGATAACGACGAGATGAAGAGATGGCGAGGGCGATGAGCAACGCCGAATGACACATCAGGGAGGGGTCACGGTGTGACTGGAGATCACTGGTTGGACCCCAACATCGAATCATGATCACACTTTCCTAAAACAGACCTTGACCCTAATGGACGACGGTATCGAGGAGCTCGTGATCTCTCTCGGATGTTTCAGCGCAAGTTACTGTGGATTAAGAGTCCTTCGAAATGTCATTCCCTCTCCCGATCGAGCGTAAATTGCTGCTGTCACTGTCAAACTGGAGCCAATCGTTCATATACTGAGTGGCAGTGCCCCTATCGTAGTCTCTTGTAAGTGTACGAGCTGACCGATGGACCACGTGGGACGGGACCGCCAAGGCTAGTGGATAGGCTACTGAATGACCGAGCAAGTCCCGAGCGCAGCGGCTTGTTCGGCACTCAAAAATTTACCGACACACATCACGTCGGAATTTGCGTTCTCCTCGAACAAGGAATTTGGAAAACGTCGGGGGATGAAGTTGCCTTGCCAGCATCCGTCGGCGGCCGCTCGCCAAGCTGGAACTGTGGGACGACTACTTCAGCTTCTCTGTGCTTCTGGCCACCCGAACCGAGGCGACATTTCCCAGGACTCCCTGGGATGCAGAGTCACTGTACCTGCATTCTGCAAAACACCATCTCCACGGTTGTGATGCAGATAACATGCCATCTACTTGTGCCCGACCCTTGGCTACCCAAGTTGGAAGTTGAATTAAATTCGGGATACCGATCTCGCCATCAGGAAAATCATTCATTGCGTTCCGATCGAATCCTTCCATTTACGGCTATTCTGGGGTCGCAGAAAAGTCCCACGCGGCCTTCGCGGGCTGCTCACGTCGACTCGTCCGTTCGTTTGTTCGTTCCTCCCTCCCCCATCTCACGCAGGACGATCCGCCCAGTTTTCCGCTCTCTCTTACTGCGTACTTGCGCGCAGCTTGGTGCTGGGAACCACATCGCGTCTCGGCTAGGCCCGTGCAGCACTCACACACACTCGCGCGTCGGCTTTTCTTCATCCACACCCCACCTCCACTCGCACGTATGGCTTCCGCGCTGGGGTTAGCCTCCATGGTCCCTGCACCCATCGCCACCGCCCTGCCCGCATCCGCGTCGGCGGCCGCCTCTTCCTCTGCTTCTGCTTCTGCCGCTGCTGCAGCCGCCGCTGCCGCAGCAGCAGCCGCAGCAGCACAGGGGGCACTACCCTCACTCGACAAGACGCTCGGCGCGGCGTTCATCGGCTTCGCAGTCAGCTGCGTCGCACTCGGCGTGAACACGAACCAGGTGGTGACGTACTTCCACCGGTATCCCGGGGACCGCGTGTTCTACAAGCTTACCGTGCGTCCCGTGGCTCTGTTCTTCTTCCTGATGCGGCGCTTACTCGCTACGCAGGTCGGTCTCATATGGTGCGTCGCTGCCCACGCTGGGCTGCATCGGGTGCACGGTTGACGCGGACGCACGCAGGCTGCTGGGGCTCGCGGACCAGGCGTTCATCGGACACGCTATGTACTTCTACTGCATCAAGTGCGTTCTCCCCCTCTCCGTCTAGATCGTCAAGCCAACCTCGCTCGCTCCCAGAAACTACGCCAATCCACTCGTCTTCAAAGAGAAGGTCGTGTGGACACTGATTGTGCGTCGTCTGCCCAGATGTGGAGCCGCTTTCTGATAGCAATACCGCCCAGGCCCAACTTCTTCTCGGAGTACGTCGCCTTCCGTGCACAGAAGCTGATACGAGATATTTACCCCTATCTGCCCCAGGCTCTGATTGGAACGATCGTGCGACTGTGGGTTCCTGTCCCATGTCTGTCTGTCCGTGGACACCTGCTGACTGATCGGACACAGATGTTTCACGATGCGTGTCTGGCGGTGTGAGTTCTCATCTCGCTCCTTGGACTCCGTAGTGATCGCTGAGGTGCCGCTTTGGCTGTACAGTCAGCAAACGCAACATCTTCGTCACGGGCTTTTTGGTGTGTTCCGCGCCATCTGATATACTGTTCTCCCGTGCTGATGATCCCGAAGGTCGCGTTGACACTCGCAGAGATGGGTGAGTGATGCCGTCTTCGTTTGCGTGTTCTCCGGGTCTTATGGTGTGGTCGTTCCAAGGACTCGCTATTGGTAAGCACATCACACTCTATTTGAGATGATGAGGCTGACTATCAGCCAGTTTTCACTCTCCGGATGTCCGTACTTAACATCTTATTTACGAACGATTACTCACTCCCTCTCAGTTTCCAGAACCCATTCATCAATGTTCTTCCCACTCTCAAAGTATTCGCGCGTTTTCCCGGCCTCAAGTGCAAATGTCTGAGAAATCTGTCACAGGTTATCGCTTCTCTGGCATTGGGCGCTAGCGTCATCGTAGACGCAGCCATCGCTGGCGCACTTGCTTTCTTTCTGCGGCAATTCCGCACGGGCCATAAGCGCTCCGACTCACTGGTCAACACTCTGACGATTTACGCGGTCAACACCGGCGCGCTGACAGCCGCCATCAGCTTGTGCACCCTGCTTATCGTACGTATCCGAAGAGCCTTGTTCTGCATACCACGGCTGACTCGAAGACCAGTACGACGAAGACCCGTCGCATTTTATCTACATGTCGTTTTACTTCATCCTCAGCAAACGTGCGGCGTCTTCTCTTCTCTTCTCTCCGCACCCAAGCTTACATGTTCCCGCCAGTATACTCGATATCCTTCCTCACGACGCTCAACACGCGCAAGATCATCCGCGGGAAAGGCACTGAGCGGAGCGGCGCGGATCCGACGTCAGGCGGCACGCGCAACCCGCTCAACATCTCGGGTAACCAGTTCTACGTCAACCAGCTGTCACGCGGGAACGGCACCCCCGTCAACGGCGGGCACGGGGCCACCTCGTCGTTCTCTGGCCTGCGCAGTGTGGTGGACACCAAGGTCGGTGCAGCCATAACTCGTGTTTTTCCAAATCGGGGCTGATGGTAAAAAAATTCTCAGATGCATATTGGAGTCCACCAGGAGGTCAGCGTGGTCTCCGATGTCGACCTCGAGGAGGGGAACAATTTCAACTACGAGATGGCCGAGCGTGAGCGGCAGTATTATGGCCATGCGCGGTAGCTCGTCCAGAAAACCCCTCAACTGTAACAAATATTCCATTCCGAAAGTATCTTACTCATTAACCACAGCACACACTCTTTGTATCTTTCAGCTTTTCTTTCGGGTTCGATGTATCATTTTAGTCATGCGAGACGCGTTGAGGAACGATTATTCTTCTTTGAATATAACCGTGCATTTCCAAACTTCCGACTGGGCCGTTCGAGCCACTTGTACACGTGGAATGAGTTGATTTTTTTCATGGGAATTAATTAGCAGATCGCGTGTAATGCATTGCTCCGTCCACTGCACAGATGTGGGATTAGATGGTTGCAAAGCTCTGAGAGGCATTTGATCGGGTAGACCAGATCGGGGGCCACCTTCGTCGTACTTGCTTCCTCTCGTTCTTGATCTGGAGTGAGCCATATCGAGAACTGTCAGGGAAGCACGTGACCGACTATGTCTGTGTGCGAACTGATTGTTTGTGCATCCGCGGCTAGAGTGAGAAGCGAGGCAAGCGGGAAAATTCAGAATTCGTATCAAATACGTGTGAACCTTTCGCCAAGTTCAGCTGCGAGGCGAGCTCGATTGACCTCCTGGTTCATTGCCGTTCCGGGCACCGATTATCGATTATTTGCGCGGAACGCAGCTGCACAGACAGATCTTGCCGCTGGTCATACTAGTCGCTGAAATTTGCATGTATTATAGAAAAAGTGTGCAACGTGCCTGGATAGTCATCAGACAAGTTGACCTGAGATTGATTCATGAACTCATTCGTTGTCTAGGAGATATCGCCAACCAAAAGTCCGAGAAAGCTGAACTAAAGATGGGAGCGCCCCAATCTGCCCATCGCTCAAGTGAGCGTGGTCCATTCTGTTTCAAACAAACGTCCAAGCACCAAAAACGACGACCAGCTACAAGCGCAGATTTCAGCGGTCAGTAGCCGGCGTCGTATGCTGCTGCTTTACAAGTGCGTCGACGGGATCTGTCTCAATGGGTGACTTCCCGTTAGGGTTTCCGATTATAATAAAGGCTTTTTACCCTTGATGCCGAGTTGCCGAGGCGTTGATCAGGACCCCATCGAGCTCAGATCTCGCTTAAGGCCTCGAATAGACCACGAATAAACCAGGATCTATTCGAGGGGTAGAGAGATCTATTCGAGGGGTCTCTACCCCTCGAATAGACCAAGAAAGCCTCGAATAAACCAAATGAGGAAGGTGTTTGATCACGCGTTCCCGGCTGAACATGTCTGTGTCAATACCCATAGTGGTGATGAATGCGCGATCGCTCCCATTGACGTACATGGCTTTCCAGGGTGTATTGACACATGGATTGGGAGGGATTTGGGGCCAACACATGTACAGACGGTTTGGTTTCTGCCGCTTAGCCTCCGCGTACCCAAAGCCGATCAACCCCAATGCAACCATCATCTGCTTGTTATTGTCCCGAACCATCTCCTCCTCCATCGTGCCCACAATTTGTTGCCAATATTGCGCGTCGGGATCCATCTTGGGGGGAAGGTGTGGTGTGATGCCATCGAGTACCGGGCCGTGATGCGCGTCCGTCACTGATGCGGAAACTCGGAAATCCTTACGGGTAGAGCGCTCAATAAAAAAACATAAAACAAATGTAGCCGACATCATTTGGCACTCCTCAGAAATCATTAATATAATCGGAAACCTTACGGGAAGTCACCCAATGTTCAGCAAAAGGTTTCGGCAGACGCCGGACGGATCGGGACCTTGATTTATCCGCGGTGCCTTTTATTGGTAGATACTTCCCACACACACACACTCCTCGCCCCCGTCCTTCCGCTCTGCTAATCTGCCGCAGCCATGACCGTCCTGCAAGAATTCACTTTCGAGGCCGAGTCGATCCTGGAGGGCGCGATCCGGAACGCCGAAGACCGAGCCCGGCGCTACACGCTCGAGACGAGCAAGTCCGAGCACGCGCGGCAGACGACGACAGTCGAAAATCGCGTGGCGACGATCTGCGCAAACATCGACTGGCGCACGCGCAGCTTCAAGATCGGGCAGAATGAGTCTGGGGTGGACGTCATGAAGCGTGCGGGGAGCGCGTTTTCCAGGTGCGCCCCTGGTGTTGTGCTTCTCCCCGCTGGAGGTCCGTTGAACGAGTCCCTGTGCAGCGTGAGATACTGGAGGTGGCTCGGGGGCGAGGATTACCAGCTCAAGTACTCCAATTCGGCGGATGCGTGGACGGTGCGTCGGGTTCGTCTCTCGTTTCGGCTTGCGCAATTTGGGTTCCGGGCTCACAGCTTGCAACAACAGGTGTCGGACGCGAACGGAACCGTTCTCGCCGAACTCAAATCGTCCATCTCACCTATCTTCGGCCAGACGTCGCTGCCCCTACTACGTATCAGCCCGACCGTGCGTAGCGAGGAGGAGCGCCTATTCTTTCTGCTCGTATTGGTGTACTCTGAGACCAAGAGGCTGGATAGACAGGGTTGATGAAAGTGCTCAGATCTTGGTGTATTTCGTCCATGGAGAAGATCAGCAGCGTCTCCTCAGGGTGCTACATTGCGAATATACGAACGAACAGCTCGTGACGACCGTAACAAACTACTTGTCATATACTCGTGATGCCTTGATAGAAATGCAACGGCCAACGGTCGTCGTGTTACTTCTGCGCTTGGACAGTATTCGTCTCATTGCTCGCATGATGTCAGGAATGCCAATCGTCAGTTTCTCAGTAACCTTCAACGGCGACATTCAGACAATGGTCTGTAGTCAATCCAACGACATAAAGGTCGCTGACAAGAAGCAGTTTTAGATAGACCTCGAGATCGCTGCGCAGCACATGTACCCTGTCAAAAGCCCGCTTGGGCATCGCTGGGTCTGCCAGCTGCTAAGAATTCATCGCATCGAATGGATATGATTGACAAGGGAACATAAAAGAAGGGTCGATGTACGTAAGTAAGAGGACGTCAACCCTGAATTCGATACACGGGCACGCGAGGAGTGAAAATCACAACTGGCGTTTGCGAATAAAGATCCCCGCGGACCCATTCGGCGCCGAAATCATTCCATGATCGTCATTGGCAGGGCGAACACCAGGCACCTCGGCTTTGATATCGTAGTTGATGAGGATGTGGGCCAACATGGCCTTGATCTCGGTAGCAGCGAAGAACCGGCCGGGGCAGGCGTGCCTGCCGTGCCCAAATGCGAGGTGTTCAATGCTGGTCGTAACCATGTGGCTGTTGAATATCCCTTCCTCGACGCTGTGATTGTCGGCCTTGGCCTCCCGAAGATCGGAGTAACGGAACCCATTGAAGACTTCGGGGTCCTTGTGAATAGCTGACCCTAGTTAGTGGCGATGAAGAACAAGCAGATTGGTTTGCTTACTCGGATCGTAGTGAACGGTTTTGCCAGGGACAAAGATGAGTGAGCCGTAAGGGATTTTGATACCGTCGGAGAAAGTGAAACCATCGGGATGAATGACTAGTGTTGCCGCGGTCCGGTTCTGAACCTGAGAGAACCGGTTCTGAACCTGAACCGGACCTGAGTCCAGTTCACTGGGACCGCTTGAACTTGACCAGATTTCAGGTCCGGTTCAAGGTTCAAGGCAGGAGCAAATTTTGCTGAACCTGTAAGAACCTGTAAGAACCGGTTCGAACCGGTTCGAACCTGAGCATTTGTCCACAGGGATTGATTGAAGAAGTATTAGAAGTAAGAAAAATTATACATACCTGATTTCTGTACTTCCGAGCTCCGCTATCTGCTCACTCATAAGGAAGGGGTGTACAGTGGAATGGAGGCCTTTTCTAGGGTTAGGGTACCCGGCCTCGGGCTTTTGAAGCTCGGCCCGGCCTGACTGATGGGCCGGAGCAGGCTCAGGATGATTTATCCAGCCCATACAGCCATTAAAAAATTCATACTTTGGCAGATGATGAACACAGTTCAAATTGGAAGCAAAATACACCAAGATTAGAACAATTTATGAGATACATGAAGTTATACAAAAAAGCCAGGTTCGAACCGGTTCGAACCTGAACCGAACCTGTGGGAGCCAGAACCGAACCGCTATGGACCGAACCGCTGGTCAAGTTCAGGTTCGGCCAAGGCATTGAACCTGAGATGAGGTCCGGTTCAAGGTTCGGAAATTTTGTCGAAAAACCGGACCGAACCGAACCGCGGCAACACTATGAATGACTTTACGGCTCATCGCCACTACAGTGGTTCAGAACGCAGAATGGTCGTCTCTGACAGATGCGGTGCATACCAGGTCCGTTCCCCTGCATGCGCTGGGTCTCTCTGATGAAACTGTCGATCTTGTGCATGCTGTTGAGAGCCGATTTGGTCCAACCTTCCGCCCTGATCACGTTCTCAGCCTCTTCACGCATCGGTTCAAGGTATCCCGGGCGCGAAGTGATATCGAACAGAGCGTGGGTGAGCGCCTAAAGAATAAGCGTTAAATTCCGTCGACTCCCCCAACGACACACAAGCGCACCATCGAACTGGTGTGAATAGCAGCCATATTAAGGGCAAGAATGCGAGCAGCAATGGGCTCAGGGTGTCTTCCCTCAGGACCGGCAGATTCCAGCAGCCAGGAAATCAAGTCATTCTGTTCAAATTTAGCGGACAGAGAAGTCAAGGATGATGCGGGAGCGTACCGGTTTGCCTTCGTAGTTGGGACCGAGCGCATCTTCCTTGGCAATGCGCTCTTCGATTATGGAGCCCACGAATCCCAGCATCTCCCGCAAACGTTTCATTCTGGTCACAATGAAAGGCGCGACAAGCCTAATGAAACATTCAATTGCGAGGCAAAAAAGGGTCTGAGCTCGAGCTCACGGCTTGAGAAATTCGGGCCAGGCACTCAGTTTTTCCCCGCGTTGAACGATCTCAATGGTGTTCATCACGGTCAAGTTAAGGTACGTTTCGTTTCGGCCTGGATAGATGGGTCAAAAGGAGTTGCACGGCGTTGTGGAACTGCCCCTTACACAATGGCAATCCCACAAAGAGGCGATTGCTGGTTCGAGAAACGACCTTCATCATAGCGGGTATAACCGGAACGAGCTTCCAATCTGTAGTTGGGTCAGAGTGCGAAGCAGTGTGATTAGGAACTGAAACAGACCGTCGTCATGCAGCGCAAAGACATCGTCCATTGCGCACTCGATTTCGTCCCTGACCTCGGGGAAAACTCTTCCCAAGTTGCGGGTCAAACCCGTCCGAACGGCGGTGGTGTGGAACGAGTTTTTAATCAGCTCGGTACCCATGGTGTATTTGATCTGGATCGCCTGTAGTAGTCTGAGCAAGACATGGCGCAAGAAACAGTATTTTAATCAGACTCACATCCCCGGATCCCTCATCAAACGAGAGAATTTCTGAGGCGGCCGCGCTAACTTCCTTGACTCGCTGGGAGCTTGTGACGACATAGTCCCAGCGCCAGCGACGCGGGATCCGGAAAACGCCGTCCTTGAGCTCGTCGTAGCCAGTCTGGATAACCTCCATTGGCTGCTCCTCGAAGTAGTGAGCAGCCTTCAGCGAATCGATCCAGCCACCCGAGCCAATAACAGCGGGTACGGGACTCTGCAGAGAAAAATCAGGCGACGACGGGAGACCCTCGAGATTGCTAGACGACACACCTTCTGATTGAGCTTCTTCACCAACCAAACACCCGCGAAGGGGAGAACAGCGACCAGGCCATAAACCGCCACCGTGGATGTGTCTAAGTTGCTCATGATAAAGTGGCGCAGTGATAGTTGAAAAATGGGAGAGACAAGAACTGCGTGTCCTTCGTTCCATAGACACACTTCTTATATGGTTCAGGTGAATCTATCTGACGGCCCATTATCAGAAGAATGCACTGTTCGACGGCCCGCTGACAACAAGGTATGTGCAACTCAAGTAGCTTCGTTCAAGTGATGGCCCGAAACATGGCCCAAGAACACGACCGTCCGTGATTTCAGATGACCAATGGTTGATTAGACCCCGATCAATCGGCCACAATGCCCGTGCAATGCCCGCCACCACCGAACACAAGTTGCAGCGCATGATACAGGACACGTCGAATAGTTCCCTCGAGGCCTCTTAAGCTTTGGCAGTATGGCAAATTCTGTATACCTGGGAGGATTGGAGACCAATTTGTAGACAGCGGCGGGTCCTGTCAGAATCGGATCGGGTCAGCCGTGCTTTCCTGTTTGCGATTGACTTGATGGGAATGTTTGGTCTGGTCACCCAAGGAAAATACGCCAGGGGAAGTAAATGGCAACACCATCAGCATGGAAAGATGAGAAACACTTACCCCAGAACTTGTTTGGTAAACAATATGTATGCACTTTCAATGTCTAAAAATGGAAATCACATGCAAAACATGTTCAATTTTAATGATGGAAGTTGAACGTGCAACCCAAAAGGGATGCCGTTCCGAACCATTGATCCGATCACGATAAGGACATAAGGAATGATCTACAATCCAAGCACGTGACACGTCAGAGTCAATTACCGGGAACTCGTTGTTCCTGTTTTGTCTTCCCCATCCCTCCGTGCCTTGGCCCTCAACGCTTTGGCCCTCGACCTTGCTTTGTCCCCAGAAGGATGATGGAATGACTCGCATGTATCAGGATCATCAGTTACCACTTCCTCGACAATGGCCCCCTCTTCCATGCTGTTCCAACTCGCTGACGACCTCTGGTCCCCAGGCGATTTGCACGATCTGGTCGTCATCCGCGCAGAGAGTTCAATGCTCCGTGTGACGCGCCAGCCACTGGTACAGTTCCCGCACGTGCTGGAGTCGTTGCCCAACCTGCAAGACGATGCGTCGAGTGGAAACATGGAGCGCGAGTACCTGGAAGGCATCATGATACTGCCCTTACACGACACAGCCAACGAGACTGAGCGCATTTTACGTGCGGCACTCCGACATACGTGCGTTGGGGTCGTCTCATGACTGGCTTGGTCATATCTCGATCTCAGACATTCTGCAGCTGGTTCGGCCAAACCAGCTCGGGAGACCTCCAGCTGGGCCCGTTCCTCGGCGTTCTGCGGCTGGCGCACAAGTACCAAGCGAAACCCCTCTTCCGACAAGCTTTGGTTAAGCTAGGGGAGATCTAGCCCACCACTTTCTCGGACCACTCCCAGAGGAAATGGCAGCCCTACCTTGACCGGCGGACCCCAGCGAGCGTTCGGAGATCCTGCAGGGTCATCTAGAGGCGCTCTCCACCGTGCTCGCTGTTCAAGCCCGCTCGCTCCTCCCAGCCATCATCTGCGCCGTCTCCACGTACTCGCTCGATGACGATCCCGCTCTGGGCAAGCGGTGGGCGGGCCTGTCCCCGACGCTACGCATGACGTGCCGCTCGATGCAGATGTGCAACCGGCGGATAGACTCGAAGCTGCGTAGACTCCCTATCGACCACGCGTTCGAGTGGGGCTGCGAATCGTGCGATGTCGGGCAGATGGGTCGAAGGGATTGGGTACAGACTGGATTGGGCTGAAGCAGAGGGGAGCTCGGACGCTGTTTGCTCTGACTTTGACTCGGAGGATGAGGGAATAGTCCGCGTGCCTGGATTGCTCCCCACGCGGAAACACCCCCTCAGTCAGATGCGGAGCACCAAGTGCATCAGTGCGGACAAGAGTTCACTCTCGGCGCAGTGTTACCAAGCCATCAAGCAGGTGGATGGGGAGTTGCTGGATATGTTCTGGGATCATATGCCCGCGCAGTGCGGTCTCCCAAGCTGGGGCATTCTGGAGAGGGAGAAGGCATCGGCACTACGGAATGGTGCTCTGTAGTCAGTTCGATCGACTTGTGTGCTGCCTACTGTGTATCGATCACCGCAGTCTAGCTCTGCATTGAAAAATTGGTCAATTTTGGTCTGGGATTCATCTGGGACACTTCGTGGTCCTCTCCGCCATTGTATTAGTTAGTAAGTACGTACACGAGTGAGTACATGATTAGATAGATACCGCATTATTGAGTATTAACTAGAACATCGGCATTATATGCGGACTAACAGTCCTCACAAAGATGAAGGGCCAGGATGGATCACCGCTCAGCTGACCGCACCATCCGGCTGGCACCAGCCGGCGCACTGAGCCCACTGCGCATAGGATGTGACGACGGCTGTCGATAGCGCAACGCAACCGCACTGGAATCCCGCTCCGACATGGGCAGCTCCTCCGATCTGGGAATGGTCGTGCCCGGCGGAGTCGAATGGGCGCGCGAGACCGAGCTGGGTGATGCCGGGATTGGAATCGATATTGGCGTGGGAGTTGAAGAGGTCGTGGACCATGCGGACGCCGACGAGGAAGACGAAGACATGCCTGCGGGTATCCGAGGGTAGTATCCACTGCCCGCGGGACGGAAGACCAGCATGTCCGCCGACGCATCTGCATAGATGCCGCCGGCTGCTTCAGCAGCATCAGATAGTGGTGGGCTGTAATGCAGTACACGATCGACCGGGGTTGTACGAGCGCGTCCATGAGTAGATGTGTAATCAGATGTGTCGTAGCCAAAGCCAGGCGCCAGTCCGTGCCCGGTGTGTAGCCGACCGTAGCGATTCTCATCATCCGAGTCGGTAATGACCTCCAAGGGAGGCATGGTCGGGGAGTGTGCAGCCGATGCCGTGCTGTGATTCATCCGCGAGAAGCCGAAACCCCTCGCCTGGCGCTGCATGCGCGGTGGCGAGGGCTCGCGGCTACGTCGTGTGATCGCATCGACAATGTCAAGGACGTGCGGAGAGGGTGAATGGGAAGGGGTGTGTTTGCGACGCCGCGCAAGAGGCGGAGAGACGGCATCCGAAAGGAGCGTGTAGTGGACCCGCGGCAAGCCCGAAAAGCAGTCCGCGTGGGAGTTGCATGCAGTTTTGAGCAGTCCGAGTGTGTTGCCGCTGTTCATCTCCGTCAGCAAGGCCCGACAAGGGAATGGAGAGAGAGATGACACCCACCAAACCGCACACCCGACGCCGTTGGTCACACACCCACACACGTCGACCCGCGGGCCTCCACCGAGGATTTTCTTCTGCGCAACAGTGAAGTACTCGTCCCCGAGCGGAATAACTGTGGCGCCGGATCCTTCGCCCGGCGCATACCATGTCCTGCCGGATGTCGGCGACGCTCTGGCGTGGACGAGCGCCCCGCACCCTGTGCTCCTCGTGCCAGTGCGCTGGGCGGAACACCCCGGCTCCGGAGCCGACGATTCCAGCGGTGTGGGCAAGCACGGGACCCGATACCTCTCCTTTTCTCCGTCCCCTCCGACCTCCAGCTGCGCGGCAAGGAGATCCGGTGGGACTCCCAGCGGGGCGCCGCAGGTCAGCCTTGTCGTCTCCTTCGACAGCTGCGATCTGCGGCCCAGGCCGAGACCCAGAGCTGACGCGGGGGGATAGAGAGCCGGTGAAGAGCGTGCCGGCGGCGTCGTTGTCAGCGTCGAGCTACTAGAGTACCATGTATCCGACATCCAGATAGTGGGTGTGGGGGCGGGGAAAGGTGGCGAGAAGCCTGGCGAAGGGGATGGGTAATCAAGAGAAAAGGGAGGGGGAGGAAGAGAGATGGACTAGATAGGAGAGGCCGTCGGCGCACGCGAGACAGGAGGAGCTAGGTCATCCGCACTTGATCGAGCACGACCCCCACAGTACAGGCGGATTGAAAAAGAATCAAACCCGGGAGGACTTGCTGGCCCCCGGGACCGACTTTTCATTCGGTGTTGCGCAGACGTGGCGGAGATACGTCGTCATTTCGGTCGTCGTTGTCGCTGTCGCTGGAGGTCGAGACCGATCGTAGACACTCGGATGGAAAGCAACGGCAAAGAAACCAGGGCACAACCAACACTCAGAATGGACCCCTTTTCCATGTCTCCTGCTGAAGAGCTGTCGAGAATAGACGGGGTGGCGAAGAGGACAGCACCGTTCTGAGCACGGGCGTCTGTTGATGATGTGTGTCTGTATCACGTGAGCTTCTCCCGTGATCACGCGAAACTCGGAACTCCCGATCCGTTCAAGGCTCGGAAAAATGTCACCTAGGAGGCTGGTCGAATGATCTTTTGAGCGACGGGGGAATCTTTGATGGCCGTGGGATGAACGGTCTTTGCACAGCATGCCGCGGGGATCGTCCTCATCTCGGGTTTTATTCCAACCTCTGCCGGATCGCAAGCTGGACTTGCCGGCAAAGTAAGCAGGCTGTATTTCGTAACTCAAATCGCTGAGCGTGTCATTCAATAAGCGGTTGTCACTGAATTGGGAATGAGAGGCAGGCAAAAAAGGACTGCCGGAGCCCACGCCATCGAATGGGGATCCAAGGCAGGCGAGTCCACCTGAACAACATTTTGAACGAACTCCTCCCCATGCCTGCAATCGAGGTCCTTTCGTGAATGAATGCCCCGGGGCGGCCAGGCAAGACAGGTGGCGAAAAGAAACCAATGCTCTGTGAGCTATCGTATAATGCGTGAGCTCAAGTGGAGAGATGCAAAAAACGATGGCGGAATCGTGTCGAGTTTATAATTGGCCGAATTCGATCCGATTCTTGTGAGCCTTTGGACTTGATCCTCCATAGTGCTCCCGGTCTTGAACTTTTGCCAGCATGGAAGGAAAATCCATCAGTGGTCCGGGGTGATGCCGAACGGCCCTGCGTATGGAAAGTTATGAAACCTGTCCGGTAAGACACGGGACTCTGAGTCTCAAACTGATCGTCTTGCAAGTTCTTTGAAAGCTAGGAAGTTTGGAGAGTCATATGGGTATTCGTGTTTCAAGACGTCAATGAAACCATTTGCTGGCTGCTCACCGGACCGGATGCAGAGTCAGTGCTCTGCCACCGGCGAGATCTTCGCACATTAAGAAGGAAATATGCATCTTTGAGACAGCAGGGTGATTCGGAAGAAACACGGCTCCGCTGCTTCAATGGCCTAGTCGAATGATACTTCCTTAGAGCATCTGAGTCTGAGGGTGGAAGTGGTTCCGCGTTCAATTCGCGGTCGAGGCCATTGTGCTTTTCCCCTTGCTCAGCTTGAGACAGTAACTCACGCAAGGAATCTCAGCATTATGTCATAAAACGAGCATCGCGCACGCCAATCATTAACCAACCCTTTGCTTCTTCCCACGCAGTACCTCACGACGTACAATCGACGTAGACTCGAGCGAGCGAGCGAGCCGCCCGTCATCAACTACGGCGCCTCGACTGAACATCCTCTGGAACTCGCTGCGTCCCTTGTTTCCCCCGCCCGTCTCCAGCCCATCCTCGAATTCAACGTCCAAAGCGACGACAGTGCGTAACACATCGGGAGCACGTGGGTCGTGATAATCGTCAGCGTCGTCGCGACGTCCAGAGCGTAGTAATTCTGATTTATCTGCGACGCGATGAGATCGACCAGCGCGCAGATGACCGCCGGGAGCGCGGATTGGATTGTGATCCGGGCGATCCGGGCAAGAACGTTTGCTGTGTCGCGGAAGAGTTGGCTTGACCGGGCATCAGTCTGATAGTGCGTGAGCGTGAGCTCCGAAACAAGGCTCGCGGACCGACGCTTATGAGGAGGTGGTACATCATTGATGCGCAGAGGATCAGATCACCCGCGAAATAGATGATATAGCATGCGGCGGCTGAGAGATCGTCAGGAACGAGTTATAGCATTGAAGAGTCGGATTTGGCGCACGCACACCATCTGAGCACATATTTCGCATGTGTCGCGGGAACAGAGAGGATTCCTGCGATAGCAGCCCCGACGAATGACAGAGCAATCAGCGATGGCAGCCAGATTCTTCTGCAAAGTGTCTTGGCCATGTGAGCATTATCTGACAAGCAACAAAGAGCAACACGTACCCAAAGCCGCCAACAGAAGAAGATCTGGACGTAAAACACAAGAACGACATTCACCAAGTAGCTCGCCTGTCCTTTGAGGGAGATATAGTCCATGAGCACGCCGGATGCATCGAGGAACCGTGTCGTGTTCTGACGGTGCGTGACATACCTATGTATAACATATACAGGCGATATTGTCAGCCATGTCCTCTGCAAAACACGTGAACGCACCAGTCGGACAGGTTCTTCCCCAGCGTGAGAAACAGCAGCCCCACCAGCCACACCCGCATTATGGTCGGATCGGAGCGGTGGAATCCATTCGAGATGTACCGGGCGAACTGCCCCAGCAGCACGCCTTGTAGTATGAGACACAGGTTTGTCGACAGGTCCTGCGAGCCTCAGGTCAGCGAGCCTGCGAGCGCAGAGACCAGCGACGACAGCCTCACCCGGCCCCCCAACGAGTATCGCACGAAAGCTTGCGCATCAAAAGAGGCTGACATGGCGCAGAAATGATCGTGGTGGTGAGCAAGGGATGTGCGGGCGTGCCCGCGGATGTCTCTGGGTTCTGACCATCGGTCATGTCTCAGATGCTCGAGTTTCCGCGGGTCCACCTGAGACACAATGTTGAAGACGGAATGAAATAGGGATTCGATGTACGACGGCGAGCATGCTAGCAGTGGAAGGAGGCAAGAGCAGCCATGAATATGCTGCGCTCTGAGACGCAAGTTGATGGCACTGCGCAAGGACCGAATGATCGGGTGACAGAGCCTTCGCGCGTCACAAAGTTGAGGGGGGCCGTCACGCAGCTGCGGAGCCCCGCCATGATTCAGCCAAAGTCTAGGCTTAGTTGCGTTGATGCTTCCTTGGAGCTTGGTTCTAAAAAAAGAATTCCGGACGGAGGCCCGCGCAGTCCACTTCTTCAAAGTAATTAGAATACAAATTACTCGCAATCAGTAAGATAGGCGTCAAACGCATCCATCGAGTCACATGACTGATGGTGTGACACCCGATGCCCGACGCAACTGCGCTCTCACCCTCAACCTGAATTGAAATGTAAAACCACAGATGTGTTAGGGAACCCTTTCGGAAGGATCCTGTGGTTGTAGAATTTTGATACTTGCCCTTAGTAAAATGTTTTTCCTCAAATTTTTCAGAGTGCATATCTCAGGATGTACAAAGCAATGAGAGTACAAGTGTAAGAAAGACATAAAAAATTTGCGCTTCCCAAAATGGAAACCCTAACCCTATTGTGATCACGTGCAGGTCACGAGCCTCGCTTGTTCTTTCATTTTACCACCTTGAATTCTAGACCTTCTGAATTATGGTACATATCTGCGGACATCAAACAAGGATGAATTGGAGCACAAGTGATCAAGGCTCTAGATTCTGTTCCCCTCGAATCCGTGCATCAATTTGTAACTTGGTCATTTGGATTTGCTCATGCACATTGGTGCAGTCTGAACAGGGCAGAGGTTGCATGGGCAAACAAGAGATACAGGGCCCATAGAGCTCTTCCACCAGTACTTACAGGCCCTTCGAGACCAAGATAATGCATAATTATCCATGTAGTTTCTATCTGGCACACATGTGGCCAAAAATGATCTACCAGTGTGTCGGGCACTGGAAATTTTGCGCTTTCCCACGTGACAGTCACCATCAGTCACGCAACACGTGACTCGATGGATGCGTTTGACGCCTATCTTACATCCTGTGACAAATCTACGCACACTCGTGACATGACAGGTGTCACAGTGACAATCTTGGTCCATCCACCTCACACTGCAGTCTACGCACGTTTGGCGTATGCTCACCAAAGCTTCCACACTTGGCTTTCGAGACCAGACAGTTGGAGTCGACCGGATCCTTCCGACCTCGCTCCAACAAATCTCCGGAGGGCCAGAATTGGAGTTCCGTCCTCCACGGCTTCTATACATTTCACGTCAAAACCGATAAATCGAGCAATCTCTGTGATAAGCACGACTTCGATATCAATTCCTGGAAGCTTTCTGCCTCCGCCGAAACTATAGCAGATACTGTAAGCGCCAACGGGGCCGTTTTCTTGATATGCGACGGCTCACCGGAGAAGTCTGAGGATGAGTTTGAGACTGGCCACCGGTGACCTCAACGGTGGAGCAAAAGCCGCAGCCGGATTCACCAAAGAAGCCTGCTGCGCTCAAGTGCTGCACGCCGTGACCGGTTGGACTCAACCGGTCACGCACATCGGATGCTCGCACAGGTACATGCTATGCCCGACGGAATCATTGTCGGCGGTAGAACTCGAATGTCGGTGCACATGACAGTCTCAGCAGTTCATGTTCCCCGTCCTCACGCTGATCCTGTCCCCTCTTCTCTTACTTCTGCAGCTTCTCGTCTCCCGCCCTCAGACTGCGTGGCAACATGCATGATGAACATCTGGGCGCTGGAAGGTCAGGCCAGGCCCCTTCATTTGTTCCTTCCCTGCTGAGAACATGCATTTGGAACAGACTTCTTCGGACCGGAGTGTCCACATGAATCCAGTCTCGCACGGTCTCAAAGCACCCGCAGAGTCCTCAATCGGGTCCTGGAACCAGTAGCATTTTCGGATCGCGGAATAATATTGGAGAGGGGATGGACGATGGAATAACCCGCTCGGTTCCTAATGAGCTTATCGTTTACGCCAGGATCACTGAGCGCAGCCACACCGCGTCCCGTGCTACGCTGAGCTGGGCCGAGGCGCGGATCGCACAACGCTGACTGAGCACGGCGGCCAGGAGAAAGGTCCGCCGGGTGGCGCTTGTTCGAGCGCTCTACAGTTCGAGGGTGTGGCTTGACCAGCAGTGCGGTACACTCCTACGTGCTCAGCGCAGGAAGTTGCATACTCTGCAGCCAATGGAGAGCTCGGCAGCGACGATCGTCATGCTTTCATTTCTCACGGGGTTACTTCGCAAGCTTTACACCTGAATCGATAGCACCTGTCCAAGGGCACAGAAGTGGAGGATCCAGCATTCACTCTGTCACCTGAGGTTTCGCTATCCGGAGATAGAGAGGAGCAAAAAATCCGGGCGCTGCCTTGGCTTGTATTTGGAACCTGGAAGGTGGAAGTAGAGAAGGTGAAGGCTGGAGGGGTCAGCTACGTTGACCGGCGATAGAGAGGAGAATGCCATCTGACTGCCGTTCTCTCTCTCAGCTGGTTTCACGCGTATGACGGAGGCAGAAGAGATCTCCCGCGCTGTCCTTGCCCTGTTTCCTCACTCCATCTTCGCTTTCTGAATGAATGAAGTCATGAGTTCAGCTCCCGCGTCTCGCAAACATGAACTAAGTATACTCGCACGGCATCTGATCCGACTTACGAGACCGCATCATACCGGAGTTCGCTTGACGCCTCATTCATCACCGTGAGCCTCGGAGCAGCCTAAACTAATACTGATGCATAACACATGGCTTCTGGTGGGCTTGTGATGCCATCCGTGGTGAATTCTCCCCTGTCGCTGCACACGGCGATGATTGATGTGTACTCTCCGCTTAATTCTCGTGAGCGCTGCGCAATCACACCATGAGTCCCATGCCAGTGTCCAATCAAGATATCCTCGCATCTCTTCCATCAGACGCAGGGAGTCGATTCCAAGATGAGGAGAACCCAAGTCCGGTATTGCGGTGAATCGATGAGCGTCGAATACAGCCGGTTCTCTGACCAGCTTCTACCACCGCGTTGCAGGCTCCGGATTGATATTCACTACCGGCTTCCAGTTCCTAACGATCCCGGAGGCGACCACGCATGCCTTGTCTCAGTAATCTTATTTCCGCACCATTCTGCGTTCGGTCGCAGGATCGCTACCTGCGGCGATCCCGGAACCTATGTGGTTCATTGTGTTTTCTTTCGCGTACCCCGCTAGCAGCCTTCTCACTGGCGAGATGGAAGCAGCCCATCGCGCTGCTGACGATCGCTTCGGCCATCTATGATATGCTATGTGCGACCACACTCGCCCAGCAATCGATCTCAACTCAGGTCGGCAGCGACAGCGCAGTGCGTCCGTCCATCATTGTTTTTTAGATTTTTGACATTTAGACTGTTGCGCCAATGCATTTCGACGTTCCTCGCGGCGGCGTCTCGTTTATGGCAGACAACGTGTGTCGAGCGGGCGTCACGGAGACAGCGAGATTATCACTACAAGGCCCTTATCAATGTACAGTCGTGAGGCCAAGTCAACTAAGTGGACCTGTCAAGCGTCTAAATTGATTCATCGATGGGATTGACTACCATGCAAGTCTGCCAATCTTAGTCCAAGACATCTAATCAATGGTAATGGAGCAAGAAAATTGTTTCAGAGTCGACAGAGTGAGCTTCAGACCAAGTGTTTCAATGACCAAGCAAAAATGATTGAAGCATGTATTCAAAAGAAACCACAACACAACTACAGTTAACGATGCTACTTACACAAGTTCTGAATCCGGACGCGTTATTTACATACACGAAGCCAAAGCCATGCTATCCCCGCCGAGCTCCAGGCGCGCTCCGCTCAACCAGCAGTGTGCAGCGAAGTGAGCATGTCCGGGATCGCGTCGTTCTCGCGGCGGTTGCCTGGATCCTGGACGACCTCGCGCATCGTCTCGCCCTTCCCGTTGCTGTACATCACGACATCGCCCTCGTCCTCGATATAGCAGCAAGTGGTGAACGAGCGGTAGAGCGCGTAGAACGTATTCTGTGTGGATGGAAATGTCAGCAACGAATATGCACAATTCAGTAGTATTTTTGGACGCACCGTGTTATCGCCGTTGTAGTGCTCCCCGAGCACAGCCTTGATGCGCTTGGTTACCTCAGGTTGGTTGTCTAGACGAGAGCCGGTCAGTACACGGATCTCTGCGTCTGAATATCGACATACAGTAGGGAATGGAAGTGAACAGGTGGTGACCAATGTGGTCGTGCGAGACCTGTTGAAAGGGTCAAACTTTGAAGCCAGAAACGCACAACGAACACCTACGTTGTGGAAATACAGTCGGCCGATGTATCCTAGCAGCGGACGATCGACGGTGGCGAGACATCCTCGCAGGAAGGTCCACTGTCCCTTGCGGTAGTGAGGCAGGGTCGGGTCGGAGTGGTGCAGGTAAGTCAACATCACGATCCAGTGGTGGCAGAGCTAGAGCGGACGATCAGAACACTCGGGAGCTCCTGAATTGTAGTGAGACGAACCAGGTACGGGAAAATGTACTGCTTGAAAACATTGGCAGCGCCGACTTGCATCCCGTATTTGATGAGAATCGACGAGGTGACGACGAGCCCGGCGTCGGAGAGGACGATGTTCCAGAAATCTTCAGGCTTGAACAGCACAGAGTAGGGCGAAAAGTGCTGTCGAATTCGTCAACAGTAGCACGCAAAAAGACGCTGCGAGACTCACGTTGGTGCCAGCGGGGTCATGAGGCGACCCGAGGGTGTTGAAGAGGAGGTAGACCTGGAATCCGAGGAGCTGCATGACGAGCATGCGGACCAACGTGTATAGCGGCGTCTCCTCGAACATCTCATGCAGCTGCTCCTTCGTCGTGATCCCGAGCTCCGACTTCGTCCGGGGCACGTAGTTCTCATCGCGCTCGATCGAGCCCACCGTTTTCTGACCACAAACGCATCAGCCATCACGTGTGGCGGCTAGTATCCCCATGTGCGGTGGGCGACTCACGTGGTGCGTGTGGTGGGACCGCTTCCAGGCAAAGTACGGTGTCAGAAGCGCGGTGTGCAGAATGAATCCAACGGTATCGTTGACGACGCCGTAGGGCGAGACGTTCTGGTGCCCGGCCTCGTGTCCTGATCACGATCACGGCAACGGTCAGCGGCGCAGCACGGAGGAAGTAGCGGAGGGGGATATCACGAACCGAGACACCAGCATCCAGCCATGGCGATGCTCTGCGCGTACCAGTACGCGGACCACAGCGACCACTTGAGCAACGACGCGACGCCAGGCGTGAGCTCGCGCGCCGCGGCGACTTCCGCGGCGAACACGTCGATCCGTTGGCCGAGGGCGAAGAGGATGACGACGGAAGCGACGTCCTTGACGAAGCTGACCATCCCGCGGAATGTCGACTTACGGAACAGCTCGGGGGGAATCACCGCGCGCAGTTCTTTCCACGTAATCTGTCCTCTCCAAATGAGCTGCCAGTCGTAGCGGAAACAGGGCTGCAGCTTACGGTGGGCGGCGAGAACGGCGTGTTCCGCCTCTTGATGTATTCCGGGCTTTCGCTAAACATGGGGAGTGCCTGAGAGTGCTCGAGGTCGGGGCTGGGGAATCGGACGAAACGAGAGCGAAAACTTGCCAGCACTCGATATATGTCGTGCGGTGTCCTAAGAGCATCGTGATTAATCTCACGGCAGATCTCGCCACTGCCGAGAAGCTGTTCCGAAAGAGGAAGTGAGCCCCACCGCGTGTGCAGTGCACAGCACCAAATGGAGTTAGACATAATGCCATGCCCTCACTTGATGATCGATCCATCAGTGTCCGCTATGCATGTTGATGGGGAGCACAAATCGCGTTCCGTGTAACAGGGAGAAAGGTATTACGGGGCTTGGCATGCTTTCGCGCAGAATGGTGGGAACGAGCGGGGGCTGATGACCACCGGGCCTCTTGCGATTCGCGGGGCCTCTTCAGAATCCACACGCCCGATTGGCGCTCGGCCAGGGGTATGACAACAGACATGATTACAGTCTTACTGGTCAGCTCCGATACGGAGTTTAGCTCGCAGAAGACCCACTTTCATGATTCTATGAAGAGCGTGACTGGAAGAACACCAGAGAAGAATGCGGGCGTCCGCAGATAGCATGGCAGAGCTTCCCCCTTCGCTTCAAACATAGGTGGAGGGTGGACATTGAGCGGACGTAATGATAGGACTGGACGGCTGTTGCTTGTTGTCCGTGGACGAAGCAACTCCTCATCCAGGTCGGATGTTGGCCTTCTCAACGAGAGAACTCGGTGAAACCCGCGGTGCTCTCGCCATCATCTACGCTGATGGTGCACACGACGATGGGGTGGACGGCCCGTGCAGTGCGTAAAATGCGTATCAGTCTTCGCAGGCCGGGAATAGTGGTTAGCATATCTGACGGGTCAGATACTTTTCCCGAAACCCGTCGCAGTGGATGTCGGCCGATCCCAGATGCAGTATGTAATCAGTGTCCGGTGCATTTCCCGATGCGGATAGCTAAGTGATTGCAAGAAGATGCATGCTTCTTCGATCTGTCGACTGGGCGGGGAGACTATGGGATCCTGGATCTGTCCTGCTTCTTGTTCGACATGATGGCTAGCATGTGTTAGCTCACCATGCATCCTCAGATCTCTTTCCCCTCAAAAAAGATCTCGCTAATTTCCGTGCTTTCTATATCTTGACCAGTGTTTGCAGCAGATATCCCCACCGCCCCTCGCTCAGTCTTCAGCTGCTTTGCCATGGCACCCCGGGTCAACAAGGAAGAACAGGAATTCGTTCCTTTGCAGTAGTACGCCGCCTCCGCTTTTCGTCGGCCGTTCACTGAGCTGACGGCTATCTGCAGCACGCTGAAGGACGTCCGGGACCATATCCCCGCAAAGTTCTTTGAGCGCAAGACCGGACTCGCGTTTTCGTACTTGGCCCGCGACCTCGTCATCTCCGGCGCATTCTTCTACCTCGCGACGCACATCGACACCACCCTCAAGTCCTACCTCGTCAATGCCGGTGCGACCCCGCTCGCTCTCACGGCGGCGAACTGGGCTGCATGGTTGACCTAGTCAGTCTCTGTTCCTGAGCGCAACGTTGCTCGGTCGCTCATTTAGCCCTTCAGCTGGTGGTTCCAGGGTCTTGCCTTCACCGGCATCTGGGTTATTGGTCACGAGGTGCGCATCTATCCGCGGGCGTTATAAATAGCCGTGGCTAACGTAGAGATCCGTACCCAGTGCGGCCACGGCGCGTTTTCCGCCAGCCGCAGCATCTCTGACCTCGTCGGCTACATCACCCACACATTCCTGCTTACGCCGTACTTCAGCTGGCGCTACGTCCACCACCGACACCACTCGCACCACGCGTCGATCGAGAACGACGAGGTGTATGTCCCGCACACCCGGAAAGAACTCAACCTGCCGGAGCACACCGAGGGCCTGGAGCTCGAGGAGCTGTTCGGCGACACGCCGCTGTACACGCTGACGATGCTGCTCATCCAGCAGTTCATTGCGTTCCCTGCCTATCTGCGTGCGTTGGCAACTGTCGTCAGACATCGGACTGGCCGACGGATGGGCTGACATTTGATCGCAGTGTTCAACGTGTCCGGACAACAGCGGTATCCGAAGTACTCGAACCATTTCAACCGTGCGTCTTCCTTGCTTCTCTTGATGCGCGATCGGCCGCGCTGACATTCTTTGGCGAACGCAGCGAACGCGATCATGTTCAACAAAGGCCAGGGCTTCTACGTGATGCTCTCCACGGCCGGCCTCGCTGCGATGGGCGTCATCTTGTATGACCTCTCGATGCGCTTTGGTGCGATGAACGTCCTCAAGCTCTACGGGATCCCCTGGTTCCTCGTCACCCACTGGTTCATCATGATCACCTACCTGCACCACACGGACCCGATCCTGCCGCACTACCGCAAGGGACAGTGGAACTTCCAGCGTGGCGCAGCGGCTACCGTCGACCGGGACTTCCTCGGCTGGCAGGGGCGCTTCTTCCTCCATGATGGTGCGTTGTGGGCGCTGTTCCGCTCTTCTCCGGTCATGTGGCTCGTGTTCTTATCTTTCGATGCGCAGTCGCGCACTACCACGTCATCCACCACTTCTTCCCTATGATGCCGTGGTACAGCGGTGCCGAGGCGACCAAGTACCTCAAGGAGATGATCGGCCCCCATTACCACCGCTCGAGCGACTATGTCTTCAAGGCTCTGTGGTACAACTACAACTTCTGCCAGTTCATCGAGGACGAGGGTGCGTTTCTAGCATCTTGCTTGCCGTGTCTGTTTTCTCATCCAGCCCAACCACTCCAGGTGACATTGCATTCTACCGCAACCGGCAGGGCAAGTCGGCGTTCGATATCCCTGAGCTCAAGGCCAACGTGCTGGGCAGTTAAATGCGGACAAGGAGTGCGGGACTCAAACAGCAGTTGAAACCATTTATCTATGATTCATTGCATTGGATCCCGCGGGCCCTTGTTGTATTAGTGGAGGACAAAGCCAGTTGTCCCTCGTAGTCTTTTTCCCCTGTAATTTGTAGAGAATTTGCATTGCGTGACGTGGTATACCGTTCTCGGGGGAGTTCAAGGTCTGGCAATCATCGGCCGATCACGGAATAGTGATGGGGTCCAAGTGTTATGCGTGACACGGATGCTTATGGTTCCCTGCTTACTCTGTACCCTACCACACCATGTTATAGAACTTGTTGGCAGTCGCGTCGCACATACGCGTTACATACTGAAAAACACTCGCTTTGACTATACTGTATTACCTATCACATTTTTTATAATCATTGGTACCGAGCTTTGAAGCCCTCTGGAACTCAAGGTCAAATACGCGAGCGGGTCACCTTCTCTGTGCTGATTTTGCCCGTTCGAAATCCAATTGTTGAAGGACATGGCCCCAAGGCTTGGGGTTCGGCGCGTTTTTGTCGAGCACATGAAGGGCGAAGGAAGATGTGATCCAGATCACTGCTTTATTGATGCGACAACGGGCGCGGAGGAAGTAGGTGAGTAGTAACTTCTCAAGGGGACTCAACTTGACTTCATCCCTGAGTACGCCACCTCCCCTGCTCACTGATCATCTGGGAACATAGATCGAAAGCTTGTGAGAAGTGATAGCGAACAATGGCTGGCAGTCCCTAGAGCGGTCATGAAGGCTGAACCAAACAAGTCACCTGAGTATTCAATTGCTGGCTAACAACAACGACGGGAATGTCAACTTCGCAATGCCCCTCACAGTGCTTGATTTCACATTCGACACTGCCACCTTTGTTATAGGGGCTACTTTTTGCTTCGACAGCGTGCTACGCATACACTGAGACTTTAATTCTGGGAAATGTTACCGAATTCCCGCCGTTCAAGCTCGGAAAGCGCTCACTTGCTTGTGGCTTACCCGCCATCCCGCGTCGGCGGCAGCGCTGACTACGTCAGCATCATGAGTAGTGCAGTCACAGAAACACATGACGGGTGCCAGCTAAGAGAAAGACCCCAACTACTTAGTGATGGCATCGCTGATTTTCCTTATTCAGACCTTGAACTCCCCCGAGAACGGTACTTACCATGCATCATAGTCAGTCCGTTGTCACGCAAGTAAATTGACGCGACCGTTGCCACTGCCTTAGCCATCAGCAATCAGTAGAACTCGGCAGTCTGATCAAGCATCAGTTGCGAGTGCATCGGTATCAGTCGATCTCGAGTACTGCCTTCGGTCATGCGCACAGCACGGATCCACTCAGCTGAAGGAAAGCCAGGGACTGATGCATGGAGTGGTAAAATGTCGATTCAAAACTCATGCCAGACACTCAATGATTAGATGGATGGATACAGCCGCGAAGCGAAGTTCATCAACGAACGCCGCTCCCTGGAGTGCGGTTGATCGCGATGAGTTAGGTACATCTCGTGTTAGATTGCCTTGACCATAACGGACGTCGCACAGGAAACCGATGAAAAGCCGGTTTTCAAGGTCAATTCAGTTGAAACCGTCCAGTCCGCGTGTCTCTCACGCGGGAGATTCAAGGCACAAAACTGAACAATCGTACGGGAATTGTTGAACCGCGTGGTAAAACGCACCGTTCTACCTATCAGGAGCACGAAACGGTCGGTCACACGTACTGTATCACGTCCATCCAGCCAAACTTGTCCACAGCAAAGATCAGCCCCAACGCATCGTCGAGCACAATCGATACATAGTTCTTCAGCCGCCACCGGCCCAGATTCAGCTTCTCAAACGTCCAAACGCGTTTCGCACAGTCGAACCGGCAGATGCCGGCGTACGAATGGGCCTCGGGATGCCGCGCGGCCGCCACATCGAGATCCGCGGGGACGCAGAGCAGCAGGACGTACGTCCCGCTCTGCCCGACCGCGACGTTCAGCACAGGGTCGGGGTGCTCGTACCAGTACACCGCCGGGTCAAGTGCGAACGGTTCAGCGGATTGCGGGCTCGGATCCGGGCGAGTGACCCAAATATGCAGGAAATGCGTCTGGCTCCCATCCTCGTTCCGGCCGCTCACCTGAAACGCCCGGTCCGACACGGCAAACACGCCGTGGGTCGGGACGAAAGCCTGGAACGCGAACCACGTCGTGTTGCGCAGCTCGCCGGTTGCGTAGAGCGCCGATTGACTCGGTGCGAACGGGTACGGGATGTCGTACGTCGCACACTGCGGCGTCTCTAGGCTCGCCGCCAGGGCCGATTCGGCGGAGAAGTCCTCGGGTAAGCAGAACGTCTGGACGGCGGAGTCGCGGCTCAGATCGCCGGCGGAGAAGTGGTACAGGTGCTGATCGGTGATCACACAACTGGAGACGAAAGACGAACCCTTGAAAATCCCGTTAGAAGATCGGCGGAGTGTCCTAATGGGTGTGCGCTACTCACCGACGGTCGCGGTGTTTGCCGAACAATGTGGACCGGAGCCGACTCTGACATAGTCCACACCGCGCTAAGTTTCTGTGTCCTGAACCCCAGCACGCGTGGATCAGCGAAAAAGAACAGATTGTGCTGATACCGACTGGCCATGGGCGGGGACACCGTGTGCGAGATGTCCACCGGTCCGTCGGGCTCGCCGTAGCTGATGCATATAGCGACGAGCTGGTTGAAGAAAGGTCTGCACGGAGATTAGATTAGATGACCGCGATTCATCACATCGAGTGGATCCGATACGCACCCGATGCTCCCGACAATCAGCGCCCGCCCCTCCTCTCGGACACAGGCCACCTGGCTATGCATGATCAGATGGGGGACCTCGAGCGACGCAGCGAGCGTCGGCAGGCCGTGCCCCGTCCGCCAACACCGCAGATGGCCTCTCGCAGACGTCACGACGAAATACGCGCCTGGGATGCTGCATAGCTTGACCGGGTCCGGGTGCGGCACCTGCTTGTAGTCCACGAACAGACTGAACGCCCGCGGTTGCTGCCGCGGGGGCGGCTCCCGCCAGGCCCGCAGCACGCGCATAGACTGGAGGAAGAGACGCCGCAGTTGAGGCGCGCTCCATGTGCCCGCCCAGTCCGTCTGGGGGGCGACGGCGAGTGGGTGGTTCAGCCCCCATTGGGACTCGACCTGCGCTAGGGCACGCAGCCATGGGAGGCGCTCCGCACCGACCGTCCTGAAAGCCCTGCATGCCTGAGTCGCGTGAGCTTCCGCGACACTGCTTATCGCCGGCCCACGGCTCACCGCGAAGAAGCTGGGCAGGACGCACACGTCGGCCCAGTGTGCGATCTCGGCGATGACATCGTAGGGCAGAGCGTTGGCTGGTGTCTTCACGCGCGCGCAGTCGGACGGGTTCGGGTCTGGCTCTGCAATCTCATCGTGCATGAGCTGGGTGGGGTGTGGTAGGATGCTGACAGCCTTCATCACGTAACTCGTGCGAGCGCAACGTGATTTGATAGAGCGCATCAAAAGGCAAGCAGGATTCTTCACCGATTGATTCAAGTTTAGTACGAAAGATCAGGGCCCGGGTATCATCATCCTTCATGTGTGATTCATCACGAAGATTGTCAAGAGTCCACTTTATCAGGACAGTATACACGCTGCATCACAGTCAACATACTTATGGATTGTCCTTCTGTGCTGCTAAGTAGCTGTGCGCAGGAGGCAGTGCTGGGAGTGCCGGATGTGAATGGTCCCGCTGAGCCAAAATAGAATCACATAGTCCCCACTTGTGAGTCACTTTGAGTAGTCCTGATGAGGAAAAGGTCTGTAAGGGGAAAGAAAGCATTCGGTATGTTCTGAGCTTCAATTAAGAAAGTCCTCAGAGATTTCACAGAGCTTCAAGAGTGTGCCCCTCAAATTAGTGCCATCTGAACGTCCAGGATACTGGTCCCTGTTTAGTGCAAAATGAGAGGCTTTTAGATGAAGACTATGAATGAAGCGAACAATCAACGTGCGACGGCATCATTGATCCTATCAGATGTGCAGGCTTGTGGCTCAATTCCCTAGTTGACGACTGCGGCCCTCGCTCCATTCGCGATTCGACACCTGTACCGTTCCTCCAATTGACATTCTGAGCTCCTTATTCATCAAGTGCTTTAATATGCAGAGCACTCGAGGTCTTGGGCCATCACCCGGGGCATTTCCGAGACCGAGTTGGGCCACTTACAAATGCCTTTGTGTCAACGGGCCGTCTGATGCGTGGACCCGCGCTCATAATGTGGCGATGGCACCACAACATGCTTTTGCGTCTCAAGCTGCGGGCCTGCCGAAGGCATGATCGGATATGCTCCCGGCCACCCATCGCCCGCATCACTGCTCGAGCGGGGCAGACGCCTGCTGCGGCAAGAAAACCCGCTCGCTGGTTAGATGTGCGTTCCCGGATACGGCTCGTTGACATGGAGCTTCGAAATTTCAAGTACTGACTGCGAGGTGTCACCGGCACCGTATAAGAAGTATGCCTGTGGAGGGCACAGTCATTCTTTCACTTTCTATTCCTCTCACTGTCTACTTCTTACTTACAAACTTTCTCTCCACTGATTTACCATGAGCAACTTCGATCCATCCACAGTGGCGGTCTATGGTCTTGTCGCTGTTCTCCCGGTTGCGGGTGTCTGGTTGGTGAAGACGCTTAATCAGAAGGTGTGTCAGTCAATAATCTCCACCTTCTTCCTTTCGCTAATTCATTATGCTCCTCAGGACCCCGTGCCCGCTGTGATCGGCTCCGGGGGCTGGGTCGATTCGCTGAAGGCTGCGCGATACTTCGAGGAGCAGCCGATGGAGGTCGTCCAGAAGGGCTACGACGAGTACAAGGACGGCGTCTTCCGCATCCCGCGTCGCTGGCGCTGGGATTACGTTGTGACCGGTCCCCAGCGCATCAAGGAAGTCAGCGGGGCTCCCTCGGAGGTTCTTTCTTTCAATGACGGATCAGGGGAGGTGCGTCTTCGGTGGTCTGTTTTCATGCGACATTGTGCCGAGCCTGCCGCAGACGATCCAAGCCAAATACACCATGGGAGCCGACCTCTTGAACAACGCGTACCATGCCCTAGCCGTTCGGACGAGTCTGACGCGCAACTTGGGAAAGGTTTTCCCGGAGGTGCGGGACGAGATCGAGTGTGCAATTGATGAAGTGTTTGCGTTGCAAGACGACGGTCGGTTCGGTTCCTAATTACCTGTTGCGTAATCTGACGACAAGGCAGAATGGAAACTGGTCCCGGTCATGTCCTCCCTGATGAAGGTGGTTGCTCGAACCAGCAATCGTCTGTTTGTGGGATTGCCCCTGTGTAAGGGACTGTTCTAAAATGGCCGACGCTTTGACTTGAACGATACACACAGGCCGCAACGATAATTATCTTGACTTGAACGTGATCAACACAATCGAGACCGTGACTCGAGGCCAGAAACTGAGCGCCTGGCCCGAATTTCTTAAGCCGTAAGCTTGAGTCCAGTTCCTTCGCGCCTCCCTATTCAATGTTTTGTCAGGCTTGCCGCGCCTTTCATTGTCACCAGGATGAAACGTTTGCGGGAGATGTTGGCATTCGTCGGCCCAATGATCGAGGAGCGCATTGCCAAGGAAGACGAACTTGGTCCCAACTATGAGGGCAAACCCGTACGCTCCTGCGTCCCATTGAGTTTCTGTGATCTGACTCTGAACAGAATGACTTGATCTCCTGGCTCCTGGAACTTGCCGGCCCTGACGGAAGACACCCTGAGCCTATTGCCGCTCGTATTCTATCCCTCAATATGGCTGCGATTCACACGACGTCGATGGTGTGTATGACCGTTGTTGTTCTATCCTCATGACTCATGCCGTATTCGGATTTAGGCGCTGGCACATGCTCTGTTCGATGTAACTTCGCGCGAGGGCTATCTCGAGCCGATGCGTGAAGAGGCGGAGAACGTCATCAGGGCGGAAGGGTGGACCAAGTCGGCTCTCAACAGCATGCACAAGATGGACAGCTTCATCAGAGAGACCCAGCGCATGCAGGGCAACGGACCCGGTATTTACTCTCCTGCTATCAAGGGTCATTCGGCGTTCTGACCCAATACAGTGACCATGGCTCGCAAAGTCATTCATCCCGATGGTTTCACTTTCTCCGACGGTGTCAAAGTCCCTTACGGCTCATTCGTGTATGTATCTGGCAAACCCGTTCACTACGATCCGAGTGAGTTTCGCACCGCTCTGCTTTTTCGAAATTGCCGCTGACTGCGATCGCAGAAATTCACGAGGATCCCGAAGTGTTCAAAGGGTTCCGCTACTCCGATCTTCGGGAAGCCAAGGCCGACAACCACACCGTCGAGGCAGGCATATTCAACAGCCACATGGTCTCGACCAGCATGGAACATCTGTCTTTCGGCCACGGAAAGCACTCGTGCCCCGGCCGGTTCTTCGCTGCTACCGAGATCAAGGCCATGTTGGCCCACATCCTCATCAACTACGACATCAAAGCCGCAGTGCCTGGTGTCCGCCCTCCCAATGACGAGCATGGAATGATGTCGTCGCCGAATGGCACGGCCGGGATCCTCATCCGCAAACGTCAGCTGTAATCTCCATCCCTCGTGTCTGTGCATAATAGCCTAGTGACCATATACTCTCCTTTACATCGACTGCTCATCTTAGACACTTCTTCCATAGTTCATTGAAATGTTCTCGCATTCCTATCTCACCCGTTTTCTCTGAGAGACTTCGTGCGCCGCGGAGATCCCGGCATTCATTCGACGCATTTGCGGTCTCAGTGACATGGGTGTTGTCCAGAGATTTTGGTGCTAGCCTTATCAGGGGTGATCAGAGGGTCTTCATTGTCCCGGACATTCCCCTGGTAAAATTTTCTTGCACAATAGAATGATCGAAAAATATCACTGTAAGAGGCTATACACGCAAAAATGAGCCTTGAGCAACATGTAAAATACCCCTATGCTTTCAGTGGTTGCATTTGAACAACAGTTTGCCGTCAATCAATCAACATAAATGTCAGCGACACTGAACTGCTACTAATGTACAGTCACGGCCGTTTTAAAAGGCCCAACCCATATCGGGAAGGAACCGATCGATGCAAGATCCGACACCGGAAGGGAGCCATCAGTAGATCAAAACTGTATGATTTACAAGACACTTCGATACATTGGACTTTGTAGGCACTACAAGAAGAGAATATACATTATACAAGATAGGGATGCATTATTACGAGTTAGTAGTTGATCCAATAGAAGTTGTTTTCTTTCAGTTGCTTGAGCCGGCAAGGAAAAGACTTGTACAAGTGAATGACATACTGGCAGAAAGTCTCTGAGTTCCACACCTGCTTTGCAACCTCAAAAAGCTCTGCTGGTGTCCGAATTTCATTTTAACGTGGGTGGGATCGGACCCGACGCTTCAGCTCGGCCCAGCCGTTCTCGATGGTCGACATGTCAGGAGATTTGGCGGGCCATGGGAAGACATTGATGTTGTTGTTGTTGAAGTAGTGGCTCGGCTAGCCATATAGCCGAGGCAGGATGTTACCGCCTGTAGACCGATCCCCCTTAATATGTACCCTACATTACCGATCACATACTTATACCTACTGTCTCGTCTCTGCTACCTCAGTCATTTGCTCTATTGTGCCCCCGACTGAGGTATGCCGTCCTATTACTTTTACCATTCTCCTTATGTCAGGGGAACCCCTGCTTTCGTCCGATCATCCTGGGATCTTGCATGTGACCGTGCACGCGCCATCTGTCAGGCGTCACATGCTTCGGTCCGGACTTCCCTGCCAAGCGCATCCACATGACACTCGGGCCCGGATCCCCATTGTTCCGACGGTCCGGCTCCCATTGTTCTCCCCCGATCCGGCCCCTCATTGTTCCCTGGCCCCATTGTCTGGCGCTTCCATTGTGCTTGGTCATCCATTGTTCTGTAGGCTATATATAGTGGGCCCTGACAAGGAGAGTCCCCAACTCGGTTTCTCTTTGGACTCTCCCTTGTCAGGTTTGCCAGTCTCCTGTACTAGTCAATCCCCTTATCTGACGCTTTGGACTCTCCCTTGTCAGGACTCTGAGATCAGGCCTCGAGGTTGCCCTTACAGCAGAAACCGAGTTCCTAGGGATAACTGGACAAGCTTGTGAAGACCGCCGATAGCGTCATACGCCTCTCACTTCCAATCTTGTCCCCTCCTCCCCCTCTACGATCATCATGTCCTACATGGAAGAAGAAGACCACGGGTCCTCCCCTGAGCAGCGACTTGGTAATCTAGAGGAAGCCATGCAGCAAATAGAGGGACTCCTCAACAACTTCATAATCGAACAGCAACAGCCTGCCCCTGTCCCTGCCCCGTCTCCGGCAGTGGGTCCAGGTGTATTTACTGGCCAACAGGCCAGCTCGAGACCCCTCATCCGCCCCAATCCCCCATTCGCGTTTGACGGAGATCGCACCCAGGGCAAGACTTTTCTCCATTCCGTCAAACAGTACTGGCGCCTCCTCCCTGAGGCCTTCCATGTGAACGGGGTAGTATCAGAAGAGCGGGTGGTACGTTTCGCCCTCTCCTACATGTCCAAGGACTCGGCAGCCTCCTGGTCAGAACGCATGTCAGAGCGCCTCGTCTTCCCATTTCCGACCTGGTCCTCCTTTGTGGCCGAGTTCAAGCTCCGGTTTGTCGAGGAGAACGAGCAAGACCACGCCCTGGCACGACTGGAGACCCACGCTTACTACATGGGATCCCGCGACGTGTTCAAATACACGGACGAGTTCGACGACCTTCTCGACTTGGCGGGTTACTCTGACAACTTGGTCAAGGTCACCAAGTACCGGGCGGGTCTGGACCCCAGAATCAATCAGGCGATCACGACCTCCGGTAACCCGCCTAGCCTCACAAACTACTTGGAGTGGCGTACCCGCGCATTCCGCCAGTACAACGCCAAGGTGGCTGCCCTAGCTGCACGAGGACAGGTGTTCTCTCCATCTCGCGCTCCGCCTCCTGCGGCCCCCCGCCCTCGCCCCGTGGCTGCTCCGGTGGTTGCTCCACCTCCTGCTCCCCGACCAGCCCCAGTAGTCCTCCCACCGGGCATTCCCATGGAGATTGACCGAACCAGAGCCTGCACCGGTGTTCGTCGCACCTGCTTCCGATGCGGCAGCCCAGGACACCTGGCCCGAGACTGCCCGACCCCCGCGGATGTCCGGCACGCTGACGTCCTGGACGAAGTGATCAATCAGCTGGGAAGCGACCTGTTGGTGGAATTAGTGGCCCGGCTAGCAACTACAGCGGCTGTAGAAGATCACGAAGCGGAGATTGCCGACGAGTTGGAGCAGGGTTTTCTCCCCCGCGACGAGTGAATAGTACGCCCTCGATTGCCTCACGTAATCGTTTTGAATGTCTGTATGATGAATGCGACCTCATTTCCCCCGCGAACGAAACGATAGACGTACCCCCTGCCCCTCGCTCTGTCCCGCTGGTCCGCAAGGAAAAGTGGGAACGAAAACTCCCTCAGCGCTACGTGGTCGCAGCCTCCCCTGGCGCCAACTCCCTGCACCTCCCCCTAGAGATCCAGTCCACCGACAACGCAGTCCAGCTCGCCCTCAACGGACTGGTCGACTGCGGCGCCACGTCGGACTTCATTGACTCCACCTACGCCTCCGAAAACCGACTTCCGGTCCGGCAGCTCTCCCAGCCTATCCCAGTCTACAACGTGGACGGCACGCCAAATGAAGCCGGCTCCATTCGACAAGTTGCCGATGTGGTCCTGCGTTACCAAGGACACAGCGAGCGTGTCCAGCTCGCCGTCACTCGGCTTGGCAAGCAGAAATTGATCCTCGGCTATTCCTGGCTTCGGAAGCACAACCCGGAGATCAATTGGGACACCCAGGAGGTAAAGATGAGCCGCTGCCCATCGGGCTGCTCCACCTGCACCGAGGAGTCTCGCCAAGAGAGACGGATAGCCCGGATTTCGGCCCGAGCACTCCGATCAACCCGACAAGGCCCTGTCCCCTCCATCTGCGTCGTTGATATTGAAGACCGCGAAGACAAGGCTATGCCACTGCTCCAGGAAGACGACGGCGAAGATTCCGACGAAGAAGAAGATTGTCTGGAAACCGGTGACCGTATCCTCTACACCCGTTTCAACCCTTCTGAAGACATCCGAGCCACTAGCACCGTCTCCCAGCGTCTTGCGGAGGCGTTTGCCAAGAACTCTGCCCCCCCTCGGGATTCCATACCCGAGTGGGCGCGTGAGTTCGAGGATGTTTTCAGCAAGGAGTCCTTTGACAACCTTCCGGAATGTCGCCCCTGGGACCACGCCATCGAACTGGTGCCCGACGCGAAACCAACGAACTGCAAGGTCTACCCTATCTCCCCCTTGGAGCAGAAGCAGCTTGACGCTTTCATCGAAGAAGGCATGGCCACCGGCCGGATCCGACCCTCGAAGTCCCCTATGGCCTCCCCCGTCTTCTTTGTCAAAAAGAAGGACAGCAGTCTACGGTTTGTCCAAGATTACCGGGCACTGAATGCAATGACAGTGAAGAATCGGTACCCCCTTCCCTTAATCAACGACCTGATCAATAAGCTCAAGGGAGCCCGCTTCTTCACCAAACTCGATGTTCGATGGGGCTTCAACAACGTACGGATACGAGAAGGAGATGAGTGGAAGGCTGCATTTCGGACTAACCGCGGGCTCTTCGAGCCACTGGTGATGTATTTCGGCCTCACCAACTCCCCTGCAACGTTCCAGACTATGATGAATGACATCCTCCAGGACCTCATACTCTCTGGCGACGTCATGGTGTACCTGGACGACATCCTCATCGCGCACTCCGACCTTCACCTCCATCGTCGTATCGTGAACGAGGTCCTCCGACGCCTTCGCAAAAACAAGCTGTACCTCCGAGCGGAGAAGTGCGAATTCGAGATGGAGTCCATCGAGTACCTCGGCGTGATCATCTCCCACAACCACGTCGAGATGGACCCCGTCAAGGTGGCAGGAGTAGCCGAATGGCCGGCTCCCTCTAACAAGAAGGAAGTGCAGCAGTTCCTTGGGTTCACTAACTTCTACCGGAGGTTTATTCGGGACTTCTCCCACGTCGCGCGCCCGCTCTTCGACCTCACCAAGAAGGACGTATCATGGTCTTGGGGCGACAACGAGTCCGCTTCGTTCCAGGCCTTGAAGGACGCAGTCACCTCTACGCCGGTTCTTCTCCTCCCAGACTCCTCTCGTCCTTATCGCCTAGAGGCTGATAGCTCCGATTTTGCCACAGGAGCCGTCATCTCGCAGCAGTCCCCCTCGGACGACAAGTGGCACCCAGTCGCCTTCTTTTCCAAGAGCCTTAACGACGTCCAACGCAACTACGAGATCCACGACAAGGAGATGCTTGCGATTGTACGTGCGCTGGAGGAGTGGCGGCACTTCTTGGAAGGTGCCGAATACCCCGTGGAAATCTGGACCGACCACAAGAACTTGGAGTACTTCCGCAAGGCCCAGAACCTCAATCGCCGGCAAGCCCGATGGTCGCTCTACTTGTCCCGCTTCGATTTCACGCTCCACCACCAACCTGGCCGGCTCATGGGACGACCAGACGCACTCTCCCGACGCCCGGACCACGGAGCCCCCTCGGACAACACAGATGTCACCCTGCTGAGGCCGGAACTGTTCCATGTGCGTGCACTCGAGGGACTTTCCGTCTCTGGCCCGGAAGCCCCGCTTGTCCGTGACATTCGGGAATCGCTTTCCGGTGACCCTGACCTTGAGGAAGCTGTTGCGCTCGTAGCGCGACAGCTTCTAAAGGGGATGAAGGGGGCCCGCTCTGCAGTCACAGCAGAGTGGCGTGTCCAGGACGGCCTGCTCTACTTCCGTGGGAAACTGGTGGTTCCGCGCGACAAGGACCTTCGACGACGAATCCTCGAGCAACATCACGACACCCGTGTTGCAGGGCACGCTGGCCGCTTCAAGACGCTGGAGCTGGTCTCTCGGAACTACTGGTGGCCCCAGCTTTCACGACACGTCGGCCGATACGTGGCCACCTGCGACCTGTGCTGTCGGACCAAGGCTCTCCGACGACTCCCCACTGGAGAGCTTCACCCCACAGAGATCCCCTCGGAACGTTGGGAATCGGTGTCGGTGGACTTTATTGTTGAGTTACCGGAGGCGCACGGCTACGACGCTATCATGGTGGTCGTTGACATGCTGGGGAAGCGTGCCCACTTCATCGAGTGCCACACTCGCCTCTCGGCCGAAGGGATGGCTCGGTTGTTCTACAAACACGTCTGGCAACACCACGGGTCACCTATCCAGTATGTCTCCGACCGCGGCCCTCAGTTTGTGGCGGACTTCACCCAGGAGCTATGGAAGCTGGTTGGCGTTTCCCCTGCCACGTCCACTGCTTATCACCCGCAGACTGATGGCCAGACCGAGCGGGTCAACCAGGAGCTGGAGCAATACCTCTGGATCTTCACCAGCTACAAGCAGGACGACTGGGACGAGCTCCTGCCCGCAGCCGAGTTTGCTTACAACAACCATGTCCACTCCTCGACCCAACAGGTTCCCTTCATGACGGACACAGGACGCTTACCACGCATGGGATTCGAGCCGACAGAGCAGCGTTCCACCCGAGCAGAGTCTGCCAACGAGTTTCTGGATCGGGTCGCATCGGGCGTAACCGAGGCCAAATCAGCACTGCTCAAGGCAAAGGACGAGTACAAGAGGTACTATGACCAACGAAGGACCGCCGCTCCCGACATCAAGGTTGGCAGCCGAGTCTGGCTCGACGCCTCGGACATCACAACAACGTGACCCTCTCGTGGCCTCTCCCACCGACGCCTGGGCCCCTTCAAGGTCACCCAAGTCGTAGGTCAAGGCGCATACAAGCTCGCCTGTCATAGTTCGACCACTTTTTCATCTTATCATCGACGATCTTATCTTATCTTGGCACGACTTATCCTATCACGGATCACGGCATCAGACGGTCCGGGCTAGGGGTTCCAGGGGTTATCTCTATCGATTCGAGGCTGCGCGACATATGCTCCGGAAGGTTCTAGTACAACCCATGACCAGCGTTCCATGCGGTACATAGTCTTATGACTCATTAGTTGTAGATATGACTCAGACTGGATTTGGGTATAAATACTGTAGCTACTTGGTTGTATTCCCCAGTCTTCGAATTCACTTCTCTTTTCGACTTTGTTTTTGGGTTGATTGTCACATAATTCGAAGACTCCCCTCATACCCTCGTACCTCGTACCTCCTACCCTGCTCCCTGCACCGCTACGCCCGCTATATCCTCTTCACCCGTATCACCCCACTCACCCTTTTACCGAATCATCTAGTCGCTCGCTGCGATCGCAGTGAAAGGTTCATATCGAGCAAACAGCACCAGGCCACGGGTAACGTTGAGCCCGACCCAAGCCTTACGGTAGCTACAAGGAGTGCTGCGGAGACCTTCGGGAAAACGCACCTCGGGATCATCGGGCACGTGAAGAGCTAGGCCCGGGATCTTTTTGCTAGCAAAAGAACCTTTCCTCGAGTGCTTGTACAGCACACGAATCCACCATTTCGTACCGATTCCCATCGTCATCTGGGAGTCCATCCCCTCCCCCCATCATACCATCGTCGCCCGATCTGGCGCATCAAAACCAACCCGGACCCTCCAGCCCCTACCTCGCCCTTCCGCCGCCTGAAGACGAGTTCCCCGACCTTGGCGAGTTACCCTCCGAACAACCACCCTCGCCCCCACCTACCGCACCTGCTCCTACCATGTCAGGACATCACCGCATCACCCTCGCCGCCAACCCCCCCTACTTCGATGGCGACAAGTCCAAGTACCTGGGCTTTGTGGATGCGTGCACCACTTACATCGGTGCCTATCGGTCAGAGTTCTCGCTGGACGAGACGAAAATCCTCTTCGTCCTGTCCTACCTCCGCAATGAGAGCGGCACAAGTTGCGCCGCCTCAAGATGGGCGATGAACTGGAAGCAGCACAATTTCGAGGGCTTCCAGGGACTAAAGGCGGGAGTCACCGCGACAAGCTTCTTGGAGGAGCTTCAGAGGGCCTTTGGGGATTCTAACGCAGAGCAAGTCGCTGCCGCCCGACTCATGGCCCTTCGCCAGGGCAGACGGTCCTTTGCGGACTACATCTCCGACTTCGAAATGCTGGCTGCAGACGCGGGGTACAACGTGGTCACCTCCACCGACAGCAAGGGCGAGTACAAGAAGGGGGAACAGGACAATATCCTCATCGAGTTCCTGGAGCGCGGACTCAGCAGCGAAATTGCAAGCCGCCTCTACAACACTGGCGTCCCCCTGCCCAAGGCATATGGTGCCTTCAAGAATTGGTGTGTCAACATCGAGGCGAACGCTCTACGCGATCAGCTGCGCAAAGCATCGCATGCGCAATCCGCACCACGACCGCCTCCCCAATTCCGCCCACAGGTAGCCCCAATAACACCTGCACCCGCCCCGGCCCGACCCGCTGCCAACGAACCAGTTCCGATGGAAATCGATCGCACCCACGCCCGCGGCCGCAATATCATCTGCTACAACTGTCAGCAGCCTGGGCACATTGCGCGGAGCTGTCCGGAGCCAAGGAAGAAGCGCACATTCTTCAATCGGGCCACGATGCTGGAGGAAATCGAGAACGGGGACAAGGACAACGAGTTCCTCAAGGAGATTGCTGAGAAGCTGCGCGAGAAGGGTTTTTGAAGTGCTCCACTCCTCTAGCCAAGGAGGTGGAGCGTCCGGACTATGGACGTTTTTCTATACTTGTTTCGATTAGAGATATGAACGATTCTCCTCATGCATACACGATCTCAGACTCCCTACGTACTAATATTCATGATTTTCTTGTTGCTGATATGGAAAAGGAACGTCAAAAGAAAATAGCTTTAAATAGAGAGTATTTACAGAGTAAAAAGGATCAGAAAGCTGCGGATAAATTAATTTTGGACTCCTACGTATTTATGGCTCGTGGAGAAGGAACCACGTCAACAAAGACCGAAAAGGGGAGCATCGCTCCGGAGGCTCAATCCTTGAAAAAGGAGGAAGCGCCCAAGGAATCTGCCGAAATCAGGATTCCAGAAGCACCCAAACGCACGAGGGTGCCGGATGCCGTTCAAAGGAAATGGGCAGCCGAGAGACAGAAGGGCCCGCAACCCAGCAGACTGGCGCAGGAACTGCACAACTACCAGGCCGAAAGGAAGAGACATTCGATGGATGTGTATGTACAGATCATGGGCCTGGACTCAGGAAAGACGCGCGGAGTCAAGGCGCTACTCGATAGTGGCTGTAGCACCTGCTGCATTGATACCGACTACGCGCGGGCAGAGAAGCTGGATATCCAAGAACTTCCCCAACCCATTGTGGCTCGTAACGCCGACAACACCGAGAACATCAGCGGTCGGATCACGCATTACGTCGACCTAAGGATGAGAATCGGTCCTCACGTGGAGACACGCACGTTCCTTCTGACGTGTTTAGGGAAAGCTCGGATCTTCATTGGTCTTGATTGGCTGACGGAACACAACCCCGAGGTGGATTGGCAGGAGCAGACGATGAGGTTCAGTCGATGCCCAGAGCGGTGTCACATGAGGGGTCACGAGGAGCATCAAGCAATGATCGACATGGATGCGATTGACCTGGACGCAGGTGCACCGGATCTGGAAGAGGGAGAGTCAATCCTGTTGATCGACTTTGGGAAGGAGGTGGATCTACGGTTGAAGGAAACGCCGGCGCAGAAATTCGCAGAAGAAGCGGAAAAAGAGAAGGAGAGAATGACCGAGGGGAAGATTCCGGATCAATATCGGGAATTTGTCAAAGTATTCGCCAAGGAATCGTTCGACTCGCTGCCAGACCGACGGGCATGGGACCATGCAATCGAGCTCAAACCTGGTTCCAAAGCAGTGGACTGCAAGGTGTACCCGTTATCACGAAACGAACAGGTCAAACTCGACGAGTTCTTACAAGAGAACCTGGCCAGCGGACGGATCAGGCCTTCCAAATCACCCATGGCATCAGCGTTCTTCTTTGTCAAAAAGAAGGATGGCTCGCTACGCCCCGTCCAAGATTATCGGAAGCTGAACGAAATGACAATCCGAAATCGGTACCCGCTGCCGCTGATCTCTGAACTGGTCCATAATCTATGCGGTGCAAAGTTCTTCACCAAGCTCGACATCTGGTGGGGATACAATAACGTACGGATCAAAGAGGGCAACGAGTGGAAGGCTGCGTTCCGCACAAACCGCGGACTGTACGAGCCCTTGGTCATGTTCTTCGGTCTCACAAACTCCCCGGCAACCTTCCAAAACATGATGAATGACATACTCCGAGAACTGATCAACGAGGGCCACGTGGTAGTCTATCTTGATGATATACTGATCTTCACAGAGAACTTGGACGAACATCGGCGGATCACGAAACGAGTACTCGAACTGCTCCAAAAACACAAGCTGTACCTGAAACCCGAAAAGTGCGAGTTCGAACGCACGGAAATCGAATACTTGGGTGTGATTATTGGACACAATTCGATGCGGATGGACCCAGTCAAGATCAAGGGCGTGATGGAATGGCCAGAACCAAAGAGCGTCAAACAAGTACAAGCCTTCCTAGGGTTCACCAACTTCTATCGACGCTTTGTTCGGGGATATGCGGAGATTGCCAAACCATTGACACGGTTGACAGGGAAGGCAGGATGGGCATGGGGTGCAGCTGAGCATGCAGCATTTGATGGGTTGAAGAAGAGAATCGCAGAGGATGCGGTCCTAGCACTGCCAAATGACACTGGCCAATATCGTCTGGAAGCCGATGCTTCGGAAGGGGCAACAGGAGCAGTTTTGAGCCAAAACCAAGACGGCATTTGGCGCCCAATCGCATTTATTTCACACGCATTGACCGAAACCGAGCGAAATTACGAGATCTACGACAAGGAAATGCTCGCGATCATGTTATCACTCGATGAATGGAGGCAGCTGCTCCTGGGAGCCACGGAAACATTCGAGATCTTCACTGATCATCAGAATCTCGAGTACTTCCGAAAGCCGCAGAAGCTCAATCGACGACAAGCACGATGGATCACAGAGCTGGCGGAGTTTGATTTCACCTTACGACACCGACCCGGCGCACTCAACCGCAAGGCGGATCTCCTGTCTCGACGAGCGGATCACGATCAGGGCAAGAACGACAACAAGGACGTCACGCTACTGAAGCCCGAGTTCTTCCGATCACAAGAAGTCACATTCGAGGGACAGGATCAGCAGCTAATCGATGAAATCAAGGCCATTCGATCAATTGATGGAAGCGTCAAGGCGGCCTTGGAGAAGTCACTCGTCGGATGGAAGAAGGAAGAGGGGCTTATCACGTATCATGGGAAGCTCTATGTACCAAGAGACGAGCAGCTGCGGGACAAGATCATTGGGCTACACCACGACACCCCGTTGGTCGGACACGCTGGGATCAACCGAACGCAGGAGATGGTGGAAAGAAACTACTGGTGGCCCAGGATGGGAAACCAAATTCGGAAATACATCCAGACGTGCGAGGCGTGCCAACGGACCAAGACCAGGAGAGCGAGGACAGGGACTCTACACCCGCATGCAGTTCCAAATGCGCCGTGGGAAATCATCTCGATGGATCAAATCGGACCCCTGCCGGTTAGTAATGGGTATGACGCAATCCATGTGTGGTGTGACACCTTCACCAAAATGATCCATGTCGAACCAATTAGTACTGACATCAGCAGCGAAGGAGTGGCACGGTTAACCAGGGACCGAGTCTTCCGCTACCATGGGATCCCTCGCAAGATCATCACCGACAGGGACTCGCGTCACATCAAGGGCTTCATGAAGGAGACGAATCGGATGTTGGGTGTGGAAATGAACCCGGGGACCGCATATCACCCGATCACGGATGGACAAACGGAACGCATGAATCAGGAGATCGAACACTATCTCCACATTTACGTCAACTACCATCAGACGGATTGGTCGGAGTGGCTGGGAATGGCGGAGTTTGCATACAATGACAAGATGAACACGTCTACCAAAATATCACCGTTCTATGCAAATCACGGATATCACCCATGGAAGGGAGTGGAGCAAAGGATGGAATCAAGGAACGAGTCGGCGGAGGAATTTGTAAAAAGAATCAAAGAAATACAAGACAAAGCAAAAGCAGCATTGGAAAAAGCAAAAGAAAAAATGAAAAAATACTACAATAAACAAAGAAAAGAAGTTCCGGAGTTGAAGGTTGGGATGAAGGTGTACATAGAAGGGGAAAATATCGAGATGGATAGACCATCAAAGAAGATGAGCGACAAGAGATTGGGACCATACGAGATACTGGAGAAGGTTGGAGCGGCCGCATGGAAGCTGGATTTGCCGGACACGGACCGAAGACACCCGGTGTTCAACGAGTCACTATTGACACCTTATCATGAACCACCCCCCCATCGCCGAGAGAAGAGACCCGTAGCCAAGATGATCGGAGGAGCAGAGGAGTGGGAAGTCGAAGAAATCGTGAAAGAACGAAAAGTCGGCCGGGGAAAACAGTACTTGGTCAAATGGAAGGGATGGCCGCACAGCGAGAACACCTGGGAACCATCACGTCACCTTACCCACGCGAAGGGCGTCCTGAGAGACTGGCAGAGGAAACAATCAAATCCAGACACACGCATTCGCCTCCTGCCAACGCTCAAAGCTGGACACTGGGACTATCTCATTCATCGTTACAAGCCCAGGGACGAGCGCCTTCCATATCCCGAACGACAACTCTTCGACCCCTACAAAAACGTCTTCACGCCCATTGGCCTAGTCGATGAGGACATCGACCCTAGAGAGGGGGTAATGTCATAGTTCGACCACTTTATCATCTTATCATCGACGATCTTATCTTATCTTGGCACGACTTATCCTATCACGGATCACGGCATCAGACGGTCCGGGCTAGGGGTTCCAGGGGTTATCTCTATCGATTCGAGGCTGCGCGACATATGCTCCGGAAGGTTCTAGTACAACCCATGACCAGCGTTCCATGCGGTACATAGTCTTATGACTCATTAGTTGTAGATATGACTCAGACTGGATTTGGGTATAAATACTGTAGCTACTTGGTTGTATTCCCCAGTCTTCGAATTCACTTCTCTTTTCGACTTTGTTTTTGGGTTGATTGTCACATCGCCCTCCCCACTAGCCTCTCTCGCCTCCACCCTGTCTTCCCCGTGGTCAAGCTCCAGTTGGCCGAAGACGACCCGTTCCCCACTCGCCCGCGTCACGAAGAACCACCCCCTGTCCTAGGACAAGGCGAAGGAGAGGAGTGGGAAGTGGAGGAGATCCTAGACGCAAAGATGCGATACCGGAGTGTCTGGTTCCGAGTGCGATGGAAGGGCTATGACCCATCTCATGACCAGTGGGTCAAGCACTCAGATGTGTTTGCTGAAGACGCAGTGGCAGCATTTTACCGCAGATACCCTGGGAAGCCACGTGTCATCGCAGCGGCCGTATTTGACTCGCTGCCCTTCAGGGACTCGTCAACCCCCAACCGTGCCTTGCGTCGAGGCGCCGCAATCAAGAGGGGGGGTGATGTCAGGGGAACCCCTGCTTTCGTCCGATCATCCTGGGATCTTGCATGTGACCGTGCACGCGCCATCTGTCAGGCGTCACATGCTTCGGTCCGGACTTCCCTGCCAAGCGCATCCACATGACACTCGGGCCCGGATCCCCATTGTTCCGACGGTCCGGCTCCCATTGTTCTCCCCCGATCCGGCCCCTCATTGTTCCCTGGCCCCATTGTCTGGCGCTTCCATTGTGCTTGGTCATCCATTGTTCTGTAGGCTATATATAGTGGGCCCTGACAAGGAGAGTCCCCAACTTGGTTTCTCTTTGGACTCTCCCTTGTCAGGTCTGCCAAGTCTCCTGTATTAGTCGGTCCCTTTATCTGACGCTTTGGACTCTCCCTTGTCAGGACTCTGAGATCGGGCCTCGAGGTTGCCCTTACAGCGATGGCGCAGATGCAGGCCAAGCGCGACCTCCATTCCACTATGCTTGCCCCGGGGACGTCCATGGGAGATCATATTGCGCGCATGCGTAGCCTATGGCAGCGGGCAAATGAAGTCGGGGCTGCAATTTCTGATGCCGATTTCGTCTCGACTTTCATCGGATCCCTTGGGGAAGAGTGGGACGCCGTTGTCCCGTTGCTGTATGGCATGAAGACCTCTGTTGAGGTGATCAGTTTCGTCACCATGCATGCCGCCCGCCTTGACAACTGAGCATTCGCCTCGAACGCGACTCAAGCACTAGCCGCCAATTCCTATGCCGATCGCGACGCCCGCCGTAATGCCCGCCGCAACCTTGTCTGCTCGAACCCCAGATGCGGAGCGCAGGGCAAGCGCGGTCATACCACCGCTGATTGCTTCTGGCCCGGTGGTGGGAAGGAAGGCCAGTGGCCGACTTGGTGGAAGGGGAAACGAGACGGCAGATCCTCGTCCTCGCCCGTGGCAAATACTGCTGACACTTATGTCTTCGCGGCCTGGACTCTCCCCGAGGCTACCATCGATGCGTATGACGGTGAAGGGATTCAGCGCTTGGCTTCCGTGGCGAGGAGGTGCTTGCACCGCCCGATGCGCTGATGGAATGGCGGGAGGCGACCGAAGCGACTATTCCAGTGATACTCCCAGGACCTACAAGCGCGGATCCCCAAAGCTCGATGGGGTATCTGCGTTCTGATCCGTCTTTCAGCCTGATTGACGCGGGATCTGCGCTCAAAGAGATTAGCGAGCTGAGTGATAGTGATTGGACGTCGCTTACCGATGATTGTCAGCGCATCTCCGTCGACACTCCGGAGTTGCGTATCGCGCTCATGCTCCAGGAGGGCCAGCCCTATCCAGGCGAAACTGGGATCATCCCCGATCGCTTCATTGTCTATCAGACCAGCAATACGGAGCATTGTGTTATGGATACCCACCTTGACACGACCGCTGTTTTCCCCACCATCTGGTTAGACTCCAGTTTCGACGCCCGCAACTGGTATACGACAGTCTTGTGCCCGAGAGTTGCGGCGATCCCCATCCTCGCCAATGCCGCCATCACCAGTTCAAAGCCCTATCTCGTCATCGCCGACACAGGAGCAACTGACCACTGTTTCTGGGACCGCACAGATTTCACGGATTACCCACCCATTGAACGAACCAGAACCGCCGCTGGAGGGACGAAATTCAAGATCGTTGGAACCGGCGTTGTGACGAAGACTTACGTGTTCAATGGCCGCCAGAAAACGATCTCCCTCCATGCGCTTCATACCCCTGAATTTGGCATCAACCTCGTCTCCATCTCCAAACTCGACGAGAAGAGCGTCTCTGTCACCATTGCCAAGGGATTGGCTGTGTTCTCCGATCCCAATGGGACGCCATTTATGCGCGCGGAACGCATCGACGGCATGTACCGGCTGGGTTTTAGCTCCGCCGATGTGACTGCTATGGCGGCAAAGTCGCGTGCCAGCCCGGTTAGCAGAGAGACGTGGCATCGGCGTCTCGTTCACATCGGCAAGGCTGGGCTCGACTCCCTGATTGATGGAGATGGTGTGAAGGGGATAGATATTGTCCCCGATGCTGATCATGGCATTTGCGAGGACTGCCTGGCGGGGAAACAGGCGCGTCGACCTTTTGATGGCATACACGAGCCGGAAAAGGAGGTCGGAGATCGAGTATACATGGACTTGTGGGGTCCAGCGCAGATCACTGGGGTCGGAGGTGCTCGATGGGTCTTCCACGCCGTTGATGGCGCCAGCGCAGCGGTATGGTCGTTTGTCTTGAAGACGAAGGAATCGGCAGGGACTTTCGAGGCATTCAAGCGGGTGAAAGCGCAAATCGAGACGCAGACTGGGAAACGAGTCAAGCACGTTCGAGTCGACGGTGGCGGCGAGTTCAATAACAAGACGTGGAGTACGTACCTTGGGGAAGAAGGCATTATCCTCGAAGTCACGACTCCGCACTCGTCAGCTCAGAATGGTGTAGGGGAACGAGGCATACGCACCACCATTTCATTAGCTCGCTGCCTGCTTGCTGACTCCGGCCTCCCCAAGTCGATGTGGCCCAAGGCCGTCGAGACTGCGACATACGTGCAATGGTTTCATCCAAAGAGGCGAAATGACGGGATGACACCGTGGGAACGCTTCTTCGGGATCAAACCTGATGTTTCCCATCTCCGCGTTTTTGGTTCCGTCGCTTATGCGAAGATCATCCCAGCCGACGCCAAACTCAACTCGCAGACGGTGAAAGTGGTGATGGTTGGGTACAACGGGACAGCGGGCTACCAGATGTGGCACGCAGAGCGCGGGCAGTTCTTCGATGCGAGAGATGTCGTATTCGAGGAGGGAAGTGGACATTGGTCACAGGCGTCCGCAGCAGGGGGAGAGTTGGAGGCTGCTGAGCCTGTCTCCGTCCCAGCTGGCTCTGCTACCAATTCGGAGACTGCAGAGCCTGTTCCGCACGTTCCAGTTGACTCTGCTCATACCGACACTGACCAAACATTGCCCCCAGATGTTCTGACTGCTCCTCCCGTTACCAATGCGCCCGGGTCGACTCCCTTCCAACCAAGACGTTCGGCCCGAAATACCGTGGCTTCCCGAGCCCAGGAGCAAGCCTCCGCCACTAAAGCCACAGAGCTGGCTGCGAAAGCGGCTGGCGAGGATTGGGCTTCCGATTCAAAGCAGCCCAAGAGAAAAGGGACGCGAGCTGTTGCCGCTCACATCGCTTCCACTGCACCGGTCCCAAAGACTTTCGAGGAGGCTATGAAGCATCCCGAGATCTGGCTGGAGCCGATGCAGAAGGAATACGCGTCCCTTCTTGGTCGGGAGGTGTGGAAATTGGTTCACCCACCTCCTGATGCGAACGTGATTGACTGCAGATGGGTCTATGCAGTCAAGCACGATGCAGCGGGCAATGTTATCAAGTGGAAAGCACGCCTAGTCGCCAAGGGGTTCCAGCAGATTGAAGGCGTAGACTTCTTTGAGACATATGCGGGCGTTGTTCGCTATGAATCACTGAGGATGCTCTGGGCAATCTGCGTTGACGAACCGGCTGGCTGGGTGATGTGGGCGATGGACGTGGTCAGCGCGTACCTCAATGCAAAGATGACGGAGACTGTGTATATGCGGCAACCCAAGGGATTCGAAATCCCAGGCAAGGAGGGCATGGTCTGCCTCATGTTGCTCTCGCTGTATGGGATGATGCAGTCGGGACGCAACTGGGCGAAGGATCTCAATGCTACTCTAGGTGCTCTTCAATGGGTTCGCTCGCGCGCAGATCCAGCAGTCAGAATCCGTCGCAGCGAGGCTGGCGTTTTGATCATTGGTGTCTATACAGACGACATTGATGGGATTTCATCGACCCAAGCAGCGGCAAAGGAGGCGCAGGAAGGCATTCGGTCGGTATATGAGGTCACCGACGTCCCCCGGTCGTCATCGTCACTGGGTATGTCCATCACATATGACGAGCAAGCAGGAGTCATCACCATTTCATCGCGCCCATACTTGGAGCGCGTCCTGGAACGTTACGGAATGTTGGACTGCAATGCGAAATCGACCCCGCTCGCTCTTGGGGCTGTCTTGACCAGAGACCAATCCCCTTTGTCCCGCGCTGATCATGTGTATATGGCCGACAAGCCGTATCGAGAGGCCGTCGGTTCCCTCCTCCATGCTGCCAACACCACCCGCCCCGACATCTGTTTCGCCATCAATCGCCTTGCCGCTTTCCTCCAAAACCCCGGCCCTGCGCACTGGAAAGCCGTCATCCATCTCCTCGCCTATGTCAAAGGCACTCTCCATTACCGTATCAAGTACTCTCGCGGATCCGGGGATGGGGTAAAGCCGATTGGATGGACGGATGCAGATTATGCCGCGGATCTCAACACGCGCCGATCGACATCTGGCAAAGTCTTTATGATGTCGGGCGGTCCCGTATCCTGGTCGTCGAAGAAGCAGTCAACTGTCGCCACTTCGACAACAGAGGCCGAGTATGTGGCTCTGTCGCGTGCGGCAAAGCAGGCCATGTGGATGTATAGTTTCCTGGAGGAACTTGCAATGCCGCAGGAGCGGCCGGCGGTGGTCCACGGGGACAACATGGGAGCAGAGGTGATGGCAAAAGACGCGAAGGGACATGCTCGAGTCAAGCATGTCGATGTTCGAGAACACTATATTCGCGAACGTGTCGAGGACGGGGACATCGAGGTCCGACATGTCGACTCTAACGACAACCTCGCGGATCTGTTCACCAAGATCCTCCCCCGGGATTCTCACCTTTCGATCGTTCGTCGCCTGGGTCTGGTGGACTCGGACTAGTGGATGAGTGGATGGGAGTGGGGCGGAGATGCCCATTCGAGGGGGAGCTTTGCTTCTCCTTGGTCGTGGTTCCTGTTTCTTTCTTCCTTTCTTTATGGTATTCACTTACTTACTTACATATGGACTGCCTCACCAGGGGGAGTGTTGAAGTAGTGGCTCGGCTAGCCATATAGCCGAGGCGGGATGTTACCGCCTGTAGACCGATCCCCCTTAATATGTACCCTACATTACCGATCACATACTTATACCTACTGTCTCGTCTCCGCTACCTCAGTCGTTTGCTCTATTGTGCCCCCGACTGAGGTATGCCGTCCTATTACTTTTACCATTCTCCTTACTTACACATACGCGTTAGTATATTCTCCAACAGGTACTTACAATTACACAGTCGTTTGCCCTATTGTGCCCCCGACTGAGTATATTCTCCAACAGCTGTCCTTGAGCCACTGCTTTGCCAGCTTCGACGTGTGTTTCGGGTCATTATCCTGCTGGAAGTAGAGGAAAGAGTGTGGGCAGGACTTGTAGTCATTGTAGAGGGGGATGAGCACATGCTCAAGGATTGTCATGTACTGGACAGCAGTAAGATTGCCCTCAATGAGCACAAGCTCACTGACGCCACGTGGTCCAATCGCACCCCACACATTGATCTTGAAGTTGAATTTGCCATGGCGTTCTTCAACCTGAACCCGGTGTATGTCCATGGCACCCTCCCCGCGGCGGCGACGGCACCAGCAACGACCATCAGATGAACCAAGCATCATCTTGGTCTTGTCACTGATGATCATCACTCCTGCATCAAACACATCCTGGTCGGTCCACGCCTTGAAGGTGTTGTACATGTTCTCGCGCTGCATGAGGTGTCGTGGGGTAAGAGGGAGCTTCTGTTGTTGGGCGTAGCCACAGAAGCCACCACGCGAGAGCGCGTTCCGGACCTGAGAGGTGTCAGAAGATGCAAAAGGAGAGTGACTGTGACGCACCGTATGCGCAGGAAGTGTAGGCCACAGCAAGCGTCACACTTGCTCACCATCCACCAGCTCCCCGTTATCCAGCCGTCCTCCCGCTTCCGCAAGCTGTTCGTCAGACACAGCCTTCTTCCTCCCACACGCACCCTTCTTGCCGTTGTAGTAAAAGTTACCAGAGTGCTTGGCAACTCTCTTCATGCTCTTGGCAAGAGCACGCGGCTTGATTGTTGACTGGCAAAAAGGTGTCTGTGTGCAAATGCTGGCAAAGGACATGCCACAGCAATTGTGCATGACAGACGCCATAGCCAGCTTGGTCGGAATGACGAACAAATAGGTGCGTTTGGGGCGTGGTGTGGTGGGAGGAGAGGGCATGGCAAGGAGGGAGGGAAACAGGGAGCCTGGTTAGCGCTTGCTGTGTGTACACAGGCTTTAAATACTCACCAGGATTTAACAACGCGTCCCATAACATCAACAGCGTGACCGGTCACTTCAACAACCTGGTCTGACATTCAACAAACGCCGCGCTGTACATGCTAGAATACGAGCGTGGTAAAGCAATGTGATCTACTGATGCAATGCTAGAAGAAATCGAGAACGGGGACAAGGACAACAAGTTCCTCAAGGAGATTGCTGAGAAGCTGCGCGAGAAGGGTTTTTGAAGCGCTCCACTCCTCTAGCCAAGGAGGTGAAGCGTCCGGACTATGGACGTTTTTCTATACTTGTTTCTATTAAAGATACGGACAATACTTCACCTACATACACGATCTCCGACTTGCTACGTACAAATATTCATGATTTTCTGATTGCTGATATGGAAAAGGAACGCCAAAGAAAAATAGCTTTAAATAGAGAGTATTTACAGAGTAAAAAGGATCAGAAAGCTACAGATAAATTAATTTTGGACTCCTACGTATTTATGGCTCGTGGAGAAGGAACCACATCAACAAAGACCGAAAAGGGGAGCATCGCTCCGGAGGCTCAATCCTTGGAAAAGGAGGAAGCGCCTAAGGAATCTGCCAAAATGAAGGTTCCAGAAGCACCCAAGCACACCAGGGTGCCAGATGCCGTTGGAGTGGTCCCGGATGAGCGTATGGGAACTTGGACCCACGTCAGAAGTCCACGGATGCCGTGCAGACGGTGGGTTCGATGGAAAAAGGTAGGTAATGACTAAGGTACATGCTCGACTGGGTAACGACCGCTCTAGACTCCCAGCACAGCCACAGGTGCCCCCCTCCAAGCGATGTCCGCCCTCGGACATATCCCCCGTCTTGCCAATGGAGCCACCACGCATTGGACTCTGCTCTGTTGCGGTCCTACTTGCCCGGTGGAACCCCGGCTGCCCACCAGTTTTAGAGGGTTGACCTCCACGCCTCCTCTGCCATCCGTTCCTCCGCTGTTGCAATCTCCAGGTCCTGTGTCGATGGGTCTCCGGTTTCTGGTCTTCTTGGATGCTTCTGATCCAGCGTCGAGTCGCGTAATGGGATGTAGTGCCGTAGTCGTCTAGAGTGCACAAATTGGAGGTTCTTTAGTGGTCGGCCCTCCAGGTCACATAGTGAGAAGGAGTTGAGCTGTCGTGCATAGATCTGCACCGGAGCCGACCAGCGTGGTTTTAACTTGTTCACTGATAGCCGGTTGTTGTCTGCCTCCGAGTCGTACCACTGAACCAGGTCCCCAATCTCGAAGCGCACGATCTTTCCGTTTGCCTCGAAACTGGACTTCTGCTGAGCCGCGCGTTCTAGCGATCGGAGGTGTGCCGTCCATCGAATACTATCAGCTACGGCAAAGTGAATGTCTGCGTCCGAAGCTGTCGTGTCACTCAGCTGGTCAGGTAATGCTTGCTCCAGGGTGAAGGGCCGCCCGAAGAGCAGCTCTCTCGGCGTGGCTTTGAGTGCCAGGAGGATTCGATTGTTCATCATACGCAGTGCCTTGTCAAAGTGATCCGGCCAGTTCCTGGGGATGTCCTCTGGGTTGATAGTCCCCTCATCCGTGTTGTGATTGGGGGCGCATAGCCTTTTCAGGATCCTGAGTAGGATCTTGTTGCTTCCTTCAATGAGCCCGTTCACCCATGGCGCGTATGCCGGGGTTGTGATGTGTTTGACGTTGTTCGCTGTGCAGTACTTGGTCACCGCATCATTGCAGAAGTGTTTCCCGCCATCTGCCATGAATGTGTCAGGTATGGCATGTTCGTGGAAGATGCCGCTCAGCGAATCAATGGTCGTCTTTGCTGTTCCTGCCGACTTGAGTTTTGTCCCCCACACAAAGTGGGAGAAGACGTCCACATAGAGGCCAACGTTCTTGTAGCCGCCCTTGCCATCCGGCAGCGACAGGTAGTCGCTGGCGATCAGGGCGAATGGGAGCGTGCGGCGAATTGGCTGGAGTAGGGAGTTACGTGTCGGCGCCCCGAAGCTCTTACACCGTGAGCATTCTAGCATCACTTAGCGGCAGTCGGTATCCATTCCAGGCCAGAAGTAGCGGTCTGCCAGCTTGAGCTTCGTGCTCTCTACGTTGAAGTGACCGTTTTGAGCGTGAGTCGCCATGGCGAGTTCGAAGCCCTGTGCCGTCGGTATGCATTCCGTCCTGGCGACTTGTCTTGCCGCTGTCTCTGCGACACGCCAGAGTTTGCCGTCGTCAATCATGAATCCTTCTGCCCGATGCACCAGTCTCCGCCGTTCTGTGATAGAATTGCCCACCGTCTGCCCCAGTAGGATATCCACCACCGGCGCAAAGAAGAGGTCGTCAGCAAATTGGGCTTGTAGCGGGTGGCTCACCGTCTGTGCCTCTGCCAGTGCGAAGATGTCTCTCGTGACGCCGCGCGCTGACTCCCAGTCTGCTAGCACCGACCAGGACGACCCGTCGTTTTCTGTTTGGCACCGGCTCGCCCACTTCCTGCTCAGTGCGTCTGCTACTGGGTTCTCCACGCCCGGTCGGTGGCGGATGTCTGTGATGTTGCACGCCAAGATGGATTCCTTCCAGCGGCTGTGGTGAGAGTTGAGCTTCTCTCTCATCAGCGTGTCCCGCAGGGCCTGGCAGTCGGTCTCGATTTCGATTGGGGAGCCGTAGGTGTACACCTCAAACTCGTCTAGGGCATACTTCAATGCAGCAAATTCGAGCAAAAACGGCTCGTACTTAGCTTCGCTTGTAGATGTGCGTTTGGAGCAGTACGCAATTGGGTGCCATCTCCTGGACTCCTTCCCGTTCTTGTCCGTGTGTGGGAACTCTTGTGCCAGGTATCCCGCGAAGCCTTCTGCCGAGCCGTCTGTCGTGACCTTGAAAGGCCGGCCGTCGTACTGTGGGGCTTTTAAGATTGGTTCCTGTGACAGCAAGCATTTCAGTGTAACGAATGCACGTTGTTGGTCATCACCCCATTTGTGTTTGATTGAGGACGACTTGAGGGCCCGTTTGTAACCGCCTTTGCGTACTCGCCAATTTGAACTGGGAGAGGCCACTTCGACGTTCCTTGTCAGATCAGTGAGGGGCGCCGCAATGCGCGCGTAGTCTGGGATCATCTTCTGGAAGTAGCCTGCTATGCCGAGGAAGCCCATCAAGTCAGACACGTTCTCCGGTGTCGGCCAGTTGACCACTGCTCCGACCTTGTCCAGGTTCGGCTTCAATCCCGAGGGTCCTACCACTGCCCCTGCAAACAACACTTCCGTGAAGAAGAGTTTCGTTTTTGTGGGTGAGAGCGATAGCTGTTTCTCTCGGCACCTGGCAAAGAAGCGCTTCAAGTTTGATAGCTTGACTTCGAAGATGTCACCTGGTAGGCATATATCATCCATCCAGTTGACCAGCTCCCTTCCGATCATGTCCTCGAGCGCGGCGGCAACGATTTCACAGAAGGTGGTTGGGGCGCCCGTGAGGCCGAATGGCATGCGTAGGTAAACAAAATACCCCCTACCTTCCACGTAGAATGCCGTGTATGGCACTGTTTCGTTGTCCAGTGGAACCGCGTAATATCCGGATGCTAAGTCAATCACACTCGCCCAGCGGTGGCCGGCGGCAAACTGGTGTTTTGCCCCAATGTCGCCATGTGGGAACAGCGGTACCTGGGAGGCTCTGTTGAGCGCTGTGAATGCATGACATACCCGCCACTTCGTTGTCTCCGTGGGGTTCTTGCCGTCGTCCTCTGTAGCTTCCAGTATGGCGTCGTCCATCGTTGCTGTGCCCGATTCGTGCGCTGTGACGTTTTCCCAGAACGGCGGTAACCCGTTTTTGACGCATTCTGCATTCACACGTCGGAGAACTTCGGCTCTTGTGAGGCCAGTCTTTCCTGCGTCCTTGGGGGCTAAGTTTGTACTATTCAGGCATTTCAGGAACTCGCCTGGCACTCTCTGGATCACATGCGACGCCTCCATCTCGTCTAGAACGTTGTAGAACCACGTCTTCTGGTTCTCTGTGAGCGGACGTTGTGACATGCGTTTCGGAAGCTTGATCCCTGGGTCGACGTCGATGTGGTGTTTCCACCAATCCACAAATAGCACCTCGGACATTGAGAGAGCGAATACGTCGGCATATTCCCTGACAAGCGCTACGACTTGCGCCTCCTGTTCCGTTGTCAGGTCTGTCCTGATCTGGACCTTCCTGACTATCTCGTCGACCCGTGCCTCGTTGAAAGGGTCCGTTGCCCGTATGGATTTGTTGGTCCCTCGATTAATTTTGAAGCCATCTGGGCTAGCGGTGTCTATCGCCAGGATTATCTCGGTCGGGTCCGTCTGAGCTGTCCTGTCTCCCGTTGCAACTTCCTCACAAATGGCCCTGAGTTCTTCCAGCTTCGAGCGTAGTTGTTTGAGCCGTCGGTCCGACCGCCGTATTTGGTCACTCCTGTCGTACCATTTTGTTGTCCGCTCTAACCCCGTTGCTGTTGTCTCCCTCCGCCGCTTCCACTCTGCTGCATCTGCCTCCGTCCTCTGCTTCCTCTTCTCGCTCGCTGTCTCCGGCCCCCTCTCTGCCGTATCTCGGCTGTGAGCTCTGTTCCCTGTGTGCCGCATGCGTAGTTGGTCCTCCCCGTTGGGCTGCCTTGCTTGTGGCGCCGTTTGTGGTCGGACGGTGTCTGTCTGGTCTGAGGCTTGCTCGCCTTCTCTTGCCTCCTCCACTTCCAGGTACTTGGTGTATCGGGTTTCCGCGGCCGGTTCTGATGCCCAAACTTGCAGGATGCGCGAAAGCTCTTCCTCCACGATTTCGTCCTCCTTTGCTGGGGCTCTCTTGTGGTGTATCCTTTGGGGCCGCACGTCTTCTGTGGCTTGCTTGTTCTGGGGTTTCGCCTCAGTTGCCGGTGGGTGACTGCCATCCAGGGGTGAGGGCGGCTGTCCTTCACTCCGTCCTGGTCGATAATCTTCTCCTTCCAGTGTCGTGTGTCCCCTTTCTGTTCGCTCCTGTGTCTGTATCCTGTTGTCCGCTGTGTCCGTGCCCCCCATGCTCGGCTCCCCTGCGTCGTTATTGCCCATCCGTGTTGGTGGTTCTTGGGGCTGCGCCTCCTCCGGTGTGTTTTTGGGTTCGTTTTGGATCGTGGTCTCACGTCCTGCAGCCGTGATCCGTATCTCGTCGCTTCCGTAGTTGTGGACGGCGCGTATGCTGTGTAACCACGGTTTCCCTAGGATCACATCAAACGCGCCCCCTCCCGTAAACACCTCAAACCACGCCCCCGTTGTCACGCCGCTCACGGATATCTGCCCCCACCAACGTCCTTTTGGGGTGATTCGCTGACCGCTCGCCACTTTGAGGATTGTCCTTGAAGGCACCAGCTTCCCGAGGCATTGGCCGTATTGTTCCCATCTCTCTGCTGAGATGCAGTTCCTCATGGCACCATTGTCTATCTGCGCCGTAAGTCGTACTTTGTTGCCGTCATCGTTGATGAGTTGGACACGTTGGTAGAATGGCTTGACCGTGGTGTCGTCCGATCCCACGCTTAGGATTGTAGTTGGCAGTGGTGCCTGATACTCGCTAATCCGTGTATTAGATGGTCGGCTTAATACAAACGGTACCTCTTCGTTGTTCCAAGTAAAAACTTCCCGGCGCCTCCGTGTTGATTGGTCTCTTTCTGGGGGATTTGAAGAATCAGGAGCGACACCACCCCTCATGAGGTGCGCTCCTCTCCGTTTCCCTGCTCCTCTTCCTCCTCGAGATCTCCGAAGTCAATAGGTTGGTTGGCGTCCAGTTCCCCGAATATGGCGTAGATTGGCATGGCCTCCGTCTGGCGGGGTGGGAAGACCACCGAGTGGACCCATCTGCGGATGTTGGACTCAATAACCGGTACCGGTAGTGGCGCTGTGCAGCTTCCGGCGCCATGGGGCGGGTCCCTCAGATCACAGTGGTAACATTCTCGCGACCTGGGTGGCAGTGTCCCAGGTGAAAACGGGAACACCAGCACATCCTGGCTACTGGTTTGCCACGCCGCAAAGTCTGATTGGTATTTGCGGAGTCCTGCTGCGTCCTTGGCATACAGGTGCGTGGTTTGCGTCATTGCTCTTGCTGTGTCTGCATTCCCGAGGGCCTGGGTAATGGGTTTCGCGACGAGGGCTGGACCCCGGCCCGCAGACGGGCTGATTGGTGAAGCAAACACGTCCCTGTCAGGGGAACCCCTGCTTTCGTCCGATCATCCTGGGATCTTGCATGTGACCGTGCACGCGCCATCTGTCAGGCGTCACATGCTTCGGTCCGGACTTCCCTGCCAAGCGCATCCACATGACACTCGGGCCCGGATCCCCATTGTTCCGACGGTCCGGCTCCCATTGTTCTCCCCCGATCCGGCCCCTCATTGTTCCCTGGCCCCATTGTCTGGCGCTTCCATTGTGCTTGGTCATCCATTGTTCTGTAGGCTATATATAGTGGGCCCTGACAAGGAGAGTCCCCAACTCGGTTTCTCTTTGGACTCTCCCTTGTCAGGTTTGCCAGTCTCCTGTACTAGTCGATCCCCTTATCTGACGCTTTGGACTCTCCCTTGTCAGGACTCTGAGATCGGGCCTCGAGGTTGCCCTTACAGTCCCTGCTGAACGTGGACGTTGGGCGCATTGTTGTTCCAGCCAGTTGGCTCGTTGTCGGCATGTGCGGGGGTTGCTGTCTCACCAGTGTGGACGGCACCCATGTCGGGCGTGCTTGGTGTTGTCGGTTCGGGGTCGGCGTTGCTTGTGGGGTGAAGACAGGTTGCGGTATGCGTGCAGCTGACAGCTGGAAGCTTTGCCGCTGACACGGGCGGGTCGGGGAGAGGATGTGTGTGACGTCGAATGCGTGCACCAGGTTTGTTATGATGCTTTCTGCCTCTTCGCGTGCTGATCCAGTGCCTGGGGTCTTGCTCTCCTTCCGTTCTATCCTGTTCTCCGCCATCCAATCATTGATGGCGTAGATGGAAATGGCTTCGAACGCCGCAAACCAGTCGTCCCACGTTTTCTTTGTTGCCTCTTCTGATATCAATCGACAGAACCCTGGTGGCAGCGTGGCTCGTATGTCGCTCATCAGCAACATTGACGGATCGCCACCCTGTAGGTCGTTCATCAGCCGTCTTGCGATCTGGGCCCACGCGCGATGTGCTGGGATGCGCGTGCCATATATGTCCTCCACGGTGTCCCCTACAGCTCTCGCTTCCAATACATTTTCTTTGAGGTCCTTCATCACCTCTGAGTTCTCCCGCGCTGTGTATAGAGGGGGCGGCCATTTCTTCTCGAATGCGGTAGTGATGTGTTGCCAATCCGTTTTGTCAGTGGCGGGTAGGGCCTTGTACCATGTCTTGGCGGGGCTGCCTGGGTATAGTGCTCTCTCGAATCTCCATTTCTTCTCGTCGTTCTTGGCGTCGAACTTCCACACCTGTTCTAGCTGTCGCAACCATACGTTTGCCTTCTCCGCTGTTCCATCCCCCTTGAAAAGTTCCGTTTTTGAGCCCATCCAGTGCTCGTCTTCGTCGTCCGATGTTGCGGGTGTGTGTTGTCTCTGCGTGTGTATTTGTGGCGGCTCCGGTGTTGTCAGTGAGTCTTGGTGGCCAGCTGTGTTTTCTGGCTCAAATGACGCGGTTCTGCGTGCTAGTCGGAGGTTTCTCTGGTCCCGCTGGGCTTGGCGTTCTTGCTCTTCTAATGCGTGTGTGGTTCGGGCTCGTCTGTATTGGCGAAGTTGTCGCTCCGATATGTAGGGCGGTGGTTCAGGCGCCAGGACGAGGGTATTGAATCCCTCCAATCACCAAGTGGAGTGGTCCCAGATGAGCGTATGGGAACTTGGACCCACATCAGAAGTCCATGGATGCCGTGCAGACAGTGGGTTCGATGGAAAAAGGTAGGTAATGACTAAGGTACATGCTCGACTGGGTAACGACCGCTCTAGACTCCCAGCACAGCCACACCGTCCAGAGGAAATTGGCGGCCGAGAAACAGAACGGCCCTCAACCCAGCAGGTTGGCGCAGGAATTACGCACTTACCAGGCCGAAAGAAGGAGGCATTCGATGGACGTATATGTCCAGATCACGGGTCTGGACTCAGGAAAAACACGCGGAGTCAAGGCGCTGCTTGATAGTGGCTGCAGTACCTGCTGCATCGATACCGACTATGCACGATCAGAGAAACTGGATATCCAAGAACTCCTGCAACCCATTGTAGCCCGTAACGCTGACAACACCGAAAACATCAGTGGTCAGATCACGCATTACGTTGACTTAAGGATGAGAATCGGCCCTCATGTGGAGACATGCATGTTCCTTCTGACGTGTCTAGGGAAAGCTTGGATCTTCATCGGTCTTGACTGGCTGACGGAAGATAACCCCGAGGTGGACTGGCAGGAGCAGACAATGAGGTTCAGCCAATGCCCAGAGCAGTGTCACATGAGGGGTCACAAGGAGCACCAAGCAATGATCGACATGGATGCAATCGACCTGGACACGGGCGCAGCGGATCTGGAAGAAGGAGAATCGATCCTATTGACCGACTTTGGGAAGGAAGTGGATCTGCAGCTGAAGGAAACGCCTGCACAGAAGTTTGCAGAAAAAGCGGAAAAGGAGAAGGAGAGGATGACCAAGGGAAAGATTCCGACTCAATATCGGGAATTTGTCAGAGTATTCGCCAAGGAATCATTCAACTTGCTACCAGACCGACGGACATGGGATCATGCAATCGAGCTCAAACCTGGTTCCAAAGCAGTGGACTGCAAGGTGTACCCGTTATCACGAAATGAACAGGTCAAACTCGACGAGTTCTTACAAGAGAACCTAGCCAGCGGACGGATCAGGCCATCAAAATCACCCATGGCATCAGCATTCTTCTTTGTCAAAAAGAAAGATGGCTCGTTACGCCCCGTCCAAGATTACCGGAAGCTGAATGAGATGACAATCCGAAATCGGTACCCGCTACCGCTAATCTCCGAATTGGTCCACAACCTGTGCGGTGCCAAGTTCTTCACCAAGCTTGACATCTGATGGGGATACAACAATGTACGGATCAAAGAGGGCGACGAGTGGAAGGCTGCGTTCCGCACAAACCGCGGACTGTACGAGCCCTTGGTCATGTTCTTCGGTCTCACAAACTCCCCGGCAACCTTCCAAAACATGATGAATGACATACTCCGAGAACTGATCAACGAGGGCCACGTGGTAGTCTATCTTGATGATATACTGATCTTCACAGAGAACTTGGACGAACATCGGCGGATCACGAAACGAGTACTCGAACTGCTCCAAAAACACAAGCTGTACCTCAAACCCGAAAAGTGCGAGTTCAAACGCACGGAAATCGAATATTTGGGTGTAATTATTGGACACAATTCGATGCGGATGGACCCTGTCAAGATCAAGGGCGTGATGGAATGGCCAGAGCCAAGGAGCGTCAAACAGGTCCAAGCCTTCCTAGGATTCACCAACTTCTATCGACGCTTTGTCCGGGGATACGCGGAGCTTGCCAAGCCATTGACACGGCTGACAGGGAAGGCAGGATGGTCATGGGGTATGGATGAACATGCAGCATTTGATGGGTTGAAGAAAAGAATCGCGGAGGATGCGGTCTTAGCCCTGCCAAATGACACTGGCCAATATTGTCTGGAAGCCGATGCTTCGGAAGGGGCAACAGGATCAGTTTTGAGCCAAAACCAAGATGGCATTTGGCGCCCAATCGCATTTATTTCGCATGCATTAACAGAAACCGAGCGGAATTACGAGATCTACGACAAAGAAATGCTCGCGATCATGCTATCATTGGACGAATGGAGGCAGTTACTACTGGGAGCCACAGAAACATTCGAGATCTTCACCGATCATCAGAATCTCGAATACTTCCGGAAGCCACAGAAGCTCAATCGACGGCAAGCACAATGGATCACGGAGCTGGCGGAGTTCGATTTCACGTTACGACACCGGCCCGGCGCACTCAACCGCCAGGCGGATCTCTTATCTCGACGAGCGGATCACAATCAGGGCAAGAACAACAACAAGGACGTCACACTACTAAAGCCGGAGTTCTTCCAATCACAAGAAGTCACATTCAAAGGGCAGGATCAGCAGTTAATCGATGAGATCAAGGCTACTCAATCGATTGATGGAAGTGTCAAGGCAGCCTTGGAGAAGTCACTCGCTGGATGGAGAAAGGAAGACGGAATCATCACGTACCATGGGAAGCTCTATGTACCAAGAGACGAGCAGCTGCGGGACAAGATCATTGGGCTACACCACGACACACCTTTGGTCGGACACGCCGGGATCAACCGAACACAGGAGATGGTGGAAAGGAACTACTGGTGGCCAAGGATGGGAAACCAGATTCGGAAATACATCCAGACGCGCGAGGTGTGCCAACGGTCCAAGACCAGGAGAGCAAGGACGGGGACTTTGCACCCGCATGCAGTCCCAAATGCACCGTGGGAAATCATCTCCATGGATCAAACTGGACCCTCGCCGGTCAGTAATGGGTATGACGCAATTCACGTGTGGTGTGACACCTTCACCAAAATGATCCATGTCGAACCAATCAGTACTGACATCAGCAGTGAAGGAGTGGCACGGTTAACCAGGGACCGAGTCTTCCGCTACCATGGGATCCCTCGCAAGATCATCACCGACTGGGACTCGCGTTACATCAAGGGCTTCATGAAGGAGACAAATTGGATGTTGGGCGTGGAAATGAATCCGGGGACTGCATATCACGCAATCACGGATGGGCAAACGGAACGCATGAATCAGGAGATTGAGCACTATCTCCGCATCTACGTCAATTACCATCAAACAGACTGGTCGGAGTGGCTGGGAATGGCGGAGTTCGCATACAATGACAAAATGAACACGTCTACCAAGATGTCGCTGTTCTATGCAAATCACGGATATCACCCATGGAAGGGAGTGGAGCAAAGGATGGAATCAAGGAACGAGTCGGCGGAGGAATTTGTAAAAAGAATCAAAGAAATACAAGACAAAGCAAAAGCAGCATTGGAAAAAGCAAATGAAAAAATGAAAAAATACTACAATAAACAAAGAAAAGAAGTTCCGGAGTTGAAGGTTGGGATGAAGGTGTACATAGAAGGGGAAAATATCGAGACGGATAGACCATCAAAGAAGATGAGCGACAAGAGATTGGGACCATACAAGATATTGGAGAAGGTTGGAGCAGCCGCATGGAAGCTGGATTTGCCGGACATGGACCGGAGACACCCGGTGTTCAACGAGTCACTGTTGTCACCCTATCACAAACCACCCCCCCATCGCCGAGAGAAGAGACCCGTAGCCAAGATGATCGGAGGAGCAGAAGAGTGGGAAGTCGAAGAGATCGTGAAAGAGCGAAAAGTCGGCCGAGGAAAACAGTACTTGGTCAAATGGAAGGGATGGCCGCACAGCGAGAACACCTGGGAACCATCACGTCACCTTACCCATGCGAAGGAGGTCCTGAGAGATTGGCAGAGGAAACAATCAAATCCAGACACACGCATTCGCCTCCTGCCAACGCTCGAAGCTGGACATTGGGACTACCTTATTCATCGCTACAAACCCAGAGACGAGCGCCTTCCATACCCCCAACGACAACTCTTCGACCCTTACAAAAACGTCTTCATGCCCATTAGCCCAGTCGATGAGGACATCGACCCTAGAGAGGGGGTAATGTCATAGTTCGGCCACTTTTTCATCTTATCACCAACGATCTTATCTTATCTTGGCACGGATCATCTTATCACGTCGATAACAAGACTGGGGATCAGAGATCCCCAGCAACTATCTATATACAAGTAGATGACATAATGAGACATGACACCGCTGACTGATAACCCTCGGATCACCGCCGGAACACCGCCGGATCAATACCGATGACCTCATCCTGCTGACACGTCTCCCCTGACATCATCCCCTCTTCAAGATTCGTCGCCTCGACGAGTATACCCCGAACTTGTAGGGTTTTACGCCCGGTCATAGCCGGGATCGCCTGGAAACAATAGATTACCGCGGGAGTCAGTACGGGCGACTGATCCAAGAACACCACGCCCTCGCCGTGCCGTCTGCCTCCGAGGCACCCCGGTCCTCACCGAGTCGATGGCCATGGGCGATCCGGCAGGGGTGAAGGACTGAGGGGTAGAGGATGCAGTGGGCATGGCCACCGAGGGGATGAATGGAGTAGAGTTGGGCTGGGGGGTAGGGATAGCGGTTGCCATGGCGCGCGTAGGGGCATAGGGGGTAGTCGCACGCTCATGGGGTAGGGGAGCCGGGGCGGGAAGGGAAGAGTCCTGTGGGGCAAATCGAGCCCGAGCCCGGTGCTGCGGAGCCGGAGCTGTGGGCGGAGGTGCCTCACGTGGCTGCGGGGGACCGGAGGCGGCCGGGACGGGTGGATCCTGCTGCCGAGTCTTGGAGCGTCGTGCCGCGGGTGCGGGCTCCTTGAGCGGGCTGGCCTCGGGCATCGCTACGTCCGAAGGCGCCGGTGCAGGGCCAGGAGGGGGAGGGGCAGGGTCCCCAGAAGGGCGTGGCGGGCCCGTCTTCTTAGTGCGGACACGCTTGCGCATGAAGCGCTTCCCAAGCGCGATGAGGGCTTCACCGACTTGCTGGTCGGTGCCCCGGATAGAGACGTGGCGTTCGGCGGGGGAAGTCTTGTCAGTGTAGACCCGCAGTTGAGCGCCCGATGTGTCGTGAGCCTGGTGAAGACCCTTACCGCCTCGACCAACGATGTGCCCAACAACAGAGTCGGGCACCACAAGCGTGCAAGAGTAGCGGCCGGGTGAACCGGCGGCAGTAGGGAGGGTCTCCGCGAGTGGTATGGTGGTGTGGCCGACGGCAATGACGGCAGGGGTAGGGGCTGGAGTGGTGGGGGCAGACTGCCAGCGGGCACCGTCCCAGGCAGGGCGCCAGGCATGACCGCGGGGGGTAGAGGCTGCGGTGTTCCCATGCTCCATACGGTCCAGGCGGTCATGGAGACGCTGAACCTCATGTCGCAAGAGTTCGCAGTAGGAATAGATATCCAGGTGGCCCGTGGGTGTAGCCATGGTGTGGGAGGTGTAGGGTCGAGGGTAGGGTGAGGGCAGAGTAGGAGATAGGGTGGTCGACTGGGGCTAGGGGGAGTGCCAGAGCCGAAGAATAGTCTTGTTATGCTGTAAGGGGAGTGGAGCCCAGGGGCCAAGTCGATAACAAGACTGGGGATCAGAGATCCCCAGCAACTATCTATATACAAGTAGATGACGTAATGAGACATGACACCGCTGACTGATAACCCTCGGATCACCGCCGGAACACCGCCGGATCAATACCGATGACCTCATCCTGCTGACACGTCTCCCCTGACAGGTCTAGGGATTATCTTTATCGATTCAAGGCTGCGCGACATATGCTCCAGAAGGTTCTACTACAACCCATGACCAGTGCTCCATGCGGTACATAGCCTGATGACTCATGAGTTGTAGATATGACTCAGACTGGATGTGGCGGAAGCGTCCTAGAACAAGTTCCGACACACGAGTAAATGGGTAGTCAATCCAAGGGTGACAGGGATAAGCTATAAAATTGACTGGTCTACCAATCGTACACCTCTAGGTACTTATACTCTGATTGAACTACCTATGCAAACAATAACAAACTCTTCTGGTGAGTAAGTGGGAATGGGTCATAACATAGAACAGGTCATTCCGTCACACTGGATTTGGGTATAAATGCTGTAGCTACTTGGTTGTATTCCCCAGTCTTCAAATTCACTTCTCTTTTCGACTTTGTTTTTGGGTTGATTGTCACATTGGGTGGTGGTTTGGATCAAGTCCAGGGGTGACATACTCAGTGATGCACCCATGGATGGCACAGATGATGTTTGTAGCATTGGAGAGTTGACCGGTCAGTTGACCAGCACTGAATCTTGCAAAAAAGCAAAAGGAAACACTTTGAAACCGTCTGGGGTGCTTCTAGCTGTCAGGGGACGCTGTGCTCCTTGGGCACGTGACCATGCACGTGACCCACTGCGCCCTCTCTGCCGACCCGTGCCTGCTCACCTGTCGATCACCCAGCCTCCTCCTCCTCCTCCGATCCTCATCTCCATCCATGCTGACATCCGCCCTCTTCCTCCTTCCCCTGGCCATCTCCCTCGAATCCCCGCAAGCGGTCTAGCCAAGCCTGATTCCTTGCACCAGGGAGTGCTACTGCCGTACGCACTCCTCCCCCTCTACTTCGGCCTTCTCCCCGCGGATGTGGTCTACTGCCGTACAGGCTCGTACCAGATGCCTTGCGCTCATCCGCACCACCCCTCTTCCCAGTCGGGCATTGGTCCTCGCCTCCGATGCCTCCACTGGCTGGCCCGGCACTGGCCTGGCCACTGGGCTCCTCCAGTGTGGCCTTCCACTGTTGGTGTCTCAGGAGCTGGCCGTCACTGGCCCCTCTGAGCCACTCACTATCTTATCTGGGTTTGTCATTATCTACTTGTCATCTGCCATTGTTCCATGGCAGTGATATCCCATCATCATCAGTCACTTGTCACAGCTGACTATATAGTGTGACACCTGGGCACATGGATCCTTGAACCGTTCTCTAAGGATCCCCCTCTGTGCTCAGGTGAGTAGTATACCTCCCTTGTATTTGATAGTCTCTAAGGATCCCCCTCTGTGCTCAGACTCATGTGAGGTTGTTGTGTGCTGTGTGCTCTCTTCCTTCGGGCTGGCAGGAGTTGCCCTTACACTAGCCTCATATTCTAATTATTTACCAAAATTGATCAAAAACCGGTTTATAAACCGGAAATTTTGGTGGGCAATGTTTTAAACAGGCCCAAGGGTTGGAAATCTTTACAGACAGCGCCCTACACATCACCATTTGAACACTTTCAAGACAAGAAACCTGAGTACTCAGTACTCAGGTTTACTTGATTTATATTTGTGTTTGGTGTCAAATACTTGTCTGCAGTCACAATAAGAGCACTGAGCACTCCATACCAAGTTTTCTCTTGCCTTATTTGATTTTTTGGCTGTTGGATTGGGATTTATTGATTTTGTTTAGGTCCTTGTGTGACATTAAGGTGTTGCAACTGCTCAGATCCCGTCTTGGATTCAAGAGAGATTTTTGGTTTGGTGTTCTGTCACCATGGAATCCCTTGCACTTTCATACATCTGAAAAGCTAATTAGAGGAGTGTGATGTGTTTTGTGGCTGAATTGATTCCCTTGTTGATTCAGTCGTGGGACACACCCTGTCATGATTCAATCATTTTTCACAATCATTCCATTGATCACCTTATCTTATCATTGACATGGGACTATCTTATCATGGATCACGGCACCACACGGTCCAGGTTTAGGGTTCAAGAGGGTTATCTGCACAAGAGGTTGCCCGGCGTGTGCTCCAGAAGTCTATACTACAACCCATGACCAAAGCTCCATATGGTACATAGTCAGATGACTCGTTTGATGTAGATAAGGCTCAGACTGGACTGAGTATAAATACAGTAGCTATTGTGTTGTATTCTCCAGTCTTGGAATTGACTTATCTTTTCGATCATATTCTGTGTTGATTGTCACACCAGCATTTCAACGCTCAAATCCCAGATTTTGGGTGCCTAGTGGTCCACCTTTGCAAGCAATAAATACAGGCTTCTGAGAGCCAAGACATTGTCTGAGACTTCATACTTACATCTACAGTATTATGCGTATCAACACTCAGGTCAATGCCTAGCCTGCCATGCAAGTGGTGGATCAATGGCCAGGCAGTGTACTCAATAGGAAGGTGCCTCCAGGATTGCCTCTGATCAGGGGGGTAGGGGTAGTTTGATGGCCTCCGGAGGGGGCCTCGAAGCCATTTTACATCATAATTGGAGGTCCCTGGGGTGACTGTACCTTTATCTCTGGTGCAACTGAGAGTGCATGCATCAACAACCCTCTCTTACACTTCCTTCATGATTACATACCCTGTAGATATACCTACCTCAATTGTCTACAGGTATAATTGAATTTTACCTCTGTCTTTGGTGCAACTGAGGACTTAGCTCATCAACTGTCCAAATCGTTGACTTAACTATATGCATTATGATATCCAGTTGTTGACATTGATCACAAAGCTCTGGAAATGAACTGTGTCTCGTGCAAACTCAGCCAGTCACAAGAAGACCCAAGCAATTGCCCTGGGTCTCCGTCCAAGATCTATCAATAGAACTCGGGGCTATGTTCCGATCCCCGGCAAAACGCGTGATGCTCCAGGCTTCCGCCGGTTGAACCTGTCTGGCTGATCACGAATCCGGACACCGGAAAGGTTCTGACAGCTTTAATCACGCACGCTAAGAGTCGATTCACCAGGGCAACAGGATATGGATCGGTGACAACATTGATGCCATGCCACCTTGACGTCAGACAGTCTACCGTTCGGCACATCGCATCCTACGGTTGGGCCAGCGATCCTTCTCATCTTTTTCCATCTCGCTTGAAGGACACGTCGCGCTGGACATATCAACGGTCTTACCTTGTACCGCACGCATATGGAAAATCAACGTCAGCGTGCTCAAATGATAGCGTACGTGGTGCCTGCACAATAGGTATGAGCTATGAGATGCGGCGCGGTGACTATCTGCTAGTGACTCATCGTCGGTGTCCCTATCCGCGTGTGGATTGTTGGCCAGCGGAAACATCTCCGTTCCAAGCCAAACGGGTTTGGGTCCGCAAGGTATGCTCTCATTCCTTACCATGAGCAAGCCCGCCTTTTACTTCGTTTCCTGGCTAGATGGGTCTCACTGTCTCGCTCTTTTGTTCCACCCATTCTTTCTCCTAATGCTTGTTGAGGCCCCATCAGCGACGCAGCGGAGCCCGATGGATCGAACATCAAGTGAGGGTACGGCAATATGAGGTACTCCATTTGGAGCTGCCGGGTGCAAGCGATGCCGCGGCGGGCATATCCTGGGACTTCTTCTGCAGAGTTGCGAGATCTGGCGTGAGATCAATCACGAAACTCTTAGAACACCGGACGACATATATCGAGTGCTGGCAGGTTTTCGCTCTGGTTTCCTCCGATTCCCCAGCTCCGACCTCGAGCACTCTCAGGCACTACCCATGTTTACCGAAAGTCCGGAATACGTCAGAAGAAGGGATACCCCGTTCTCACCTCCGACGGTAAGCGACCCCGGGCACGCGCGGACTGGTTGCTGACTGGGCGCGGGCAGATTACGTGGAAAGAACTGCGTGCGGTGATCCCCTCCGAGCTGTTTCGCAAGTCGACGCTCCGTGGGCTGGCGAGCTTCGTCCAGGACGTCGGCTGCTTCGTCACCCTCTTCGCTCTCAGCCGACGGATCGACGCGTTCGCCGCCCAGGTCGCCGAGGCACGTGAGCTCACGCCGGGCGTCGCTTCGGTGCTCAAGTGGTCGCTGTGGTCTGCTTACTGGTACGCACAAAGCATTGTCATGGCTGGGTGTTGGTGTCTGGGTAAGTCGCCATCTCCCTAAATTCCTCCGCGTTATACCAACGGTTTCCGCCATCATGATCAGGACATGAGGCCGGCCACCAGAACATCTCGCCATACCGCATCGTCAACGACACCGTCGGTTTCATTCTGCACACCGGGCTCTTGACCCCGTACTTCGCCTGGCGGCGGTCCCACCACTTGCACCACGTGAGTTCCCGGAACAGGACATCGGCGGAGCACGTGACGGCTAACATCATGTTCCAGAAAGGTGTGGGTTCGATCGAGCGGGACGAGAACTACGTGCCACGCACAAAATCGGAGCTCGGGATCACGTCCCAGGAGCAGCTGCGCGAAATGTTCGAGGAGACGCCGCTGTACACGCTCGTCACCATGGTTATCATGCAACTTTTCGGCTACCAGGTTTATCTACTCTTCAACACTCTCGGGTCGCCACAAGACCCGCCTGGCACAAACGCGAGTCAAGCAGAACTGTTACGTGTACTGATGCTGACTTATTCAGCAGCACTTTTCGCCGTACTCCGTGCTGTTCAAGCCCGAAGATTTTTGGGGCGTCGTGGTCTCGGACGCTGGGCTCCTGGTCACCCTGTCGGTTCTTATCAGATATGGCATGCAAGTCGGCGCTACAAACTTATTCAAGCAGTACATCATCCCGTACCTGGTTTGTGCCGACCTTTCCAGCAGCTGCCGAGTGTTTTGATCGTCTCTTAGTTCTGCCACCACTGGGTGGTGTTGATGACATACCTCCAGCACTCCGACCCAACCCTACCGCACTACCGGAAGGGCCAATGGACTTTCCTGCGTGGATGCCTCGCCACCGTCGATCGGCCGTTGCTCGGATTCATCGGCCGCTTCTGTTTACACAACGTGAGTGTCCGCACAGGATTTTTGGCTCCAGGCTTTGACCCTTCCAACAGGTGTCACACGACCACGTTGGCCACCATCTGTTCACTTCCATTCCCTACTGTAAATATCCATCCAGACGCGAAAACCTCTGTCCTGATCGATTTCCATCTAGACAATCAACCTGAGGTGACCAAACGCATCAAAGCTGTCCTCGGGGAGCATTACAACGAAGATGGCACGGTGGGTCCAGAAATCCAGCTCGATCGTCGCTGCATTACTCATGGCTCCATCACACAGAACACTTTCTACGCGCTCTACCGCTCGTTTACGAATTGCCGCTATATCGAGGACGAGGGCGATGTCGTCATGTACAGTAACGGCAAGGGCGAGACGACGCGCGAAGTCGTTCAGAATCCGGAGGATCGCCGTGAGGACGACGCCATCCCTGCTATGCTCACTTCCTTGTCCTGAGCTCCAGCTGTGAAAGCTGAGGTCTGTGGGAAGCTGTCAAGGGCGAAAGAAAGGTGGATGAAGGAGATGTTGTTTGTGATGCACCTAGTGTTATTTGACCTGTTTTCATGCAAACAGATTACTCCAGCATAATATTTAGCTGGGTTTATACCAGATACATAAATATCGAGAGTATTGTACGAGATGCATGTAATTGTCAGAATATGGTCGATGTTCAATCTGAAACGTTCCGGGACGCCCAGGCAGTCTTCCCTCAATATTAAATATACTTCCAGACGCAGTTTCAGAACGAGGTTATTGGAACGAAGGAAATCATATTGAATGAAAGTTCCTCAGTGAACATGATGGAAAATTGACTTGAGGAACGACCGATTTGGGAAAATGAATAATATTCCTGGGATAAAGAACGGGGCGTGTGAGGCAAAGACGCGTGTGATTTGGTGCTGTTGGATGAACAAAATGCTACGTCCGGGAATCGAACCCGAGGCTGGACCTGCACCTCGGCATTTCACCATGGGAAGGACCTATGTTACCATTACACCAACGAAGCGTTACCGCTCCCTGCTTGTACTACGTATTAACTAACTTCCACAGTCCTCAAATACATGATATCAAATGCACTTACCCTGCTCAGAACGTGATTAGAAGTCTCTTTTATGTGTCGTGAATCCGTTCAACACCCGCTGATGCTCTGAGAGAAGACAGAAAACATCCAGCTGAAGCCTGGCTGCCGAACAAGTGCATCGGCTGCTCGTCTACTCCCTCCTATGCCGCTATGGCTGAACCGGTACAGATTGTCACTACGTCCTTCGCCAATCACGGAGTCCTAGAGTGCATCGGATGTCCTTGAGCGACGCTCACACCTTTGTTCTCTGGCGCAGAGCATCACATGCAATCAGCTCCATTCCGGCCAGCCACACACCGCCAACTCTCCGCTCTCAGCGTCCGATCTGACAGCTGTCGGCGCTGCACTCCAAATTTCAAGCACTGCTTGTGTCGTCTTCATCTAAGACGAGCGTTTCACGCAAGGTTCCATTCCCCCCGTTGAGCGGTAGTCTCCCACCGCTGACTCATCTTGGCCACGTAGTCATAAGGCTTTTACGGAGAACGGAGTGACTCATCAGCGCTCCTTCTCCCTTCTAGCCAGGCGCAAATGCCGGAAAATATGGGGACGGTGAGGCTGGCGTCTGAGCTGGATGAGACACGCAGTGAGCGCTCGCCCGCGGGCCCATGAATCGAGATAGGGCTGCAGAAAGGGCCCGCAGGACATGTTCAGAGCACAGCCAGAGCTGTTCCGACAACGCCCGTGGTGGCGATGAGATTAAAGCCTTGACGCAGTTGCTGCGAATGGAGGTCGACTGGCGCCGAAAGGGATGACAGTTGTGACAGGTCACAGCTGACACCTTCGCTTCGCTCCACTGTACTTATCACCACGAGGCGGGCAAAGGAATGCGGCCCCGAATACTCTGTCCGCCCTTGGCTGCCCGACAGAGCATGTGTTTATGCAGCTTTTCATCACAATGCTGGGTTTTAAACAAGCGCCCATTCGTACCGGTCATCGTCCGAAGCCGACTGCTCAAAACTCTCGATTGGTTCAAGGTTGGATGATAGAAGCTGGGACATGCCGCCCGTCATGGTCATGTTCTCTCATCGGCAGATATATCAGGAACGAGGCGGGATTCGACGTACGTTGATCCTGCTGCGTCCCTCCTCCCACTCCCTCCATGGCCGGCAGTAGCCTGTATACGACTCTTGGGCCATTCGAGATCGGCCTGGCACTGAGCACCCTGCTCCTCGGAATCGAGACCCTGCAGACCTTCTACTACTACCGGCGATATAAGCGCGATTCGGCGCAGATGAAGATATTTGTGAGCCTAAATCCCGTCGCGGTTGTAGTGCGCATTCTGATAGCGAGGTTGGCAGGTTGGCTTTGTGTGGTGCGCACGGCGAATGGGGGTGAATATGGGCGCACGATCTTATATTGGGACAGGATCTGCGGACTGCTTCAGAGCATCTTTGCGTGGAATGCCGTGCGATCCCACTTTATTTGCCTTCTCCGCGCACAACTCATTGCAGGATAGATGTTCACGATGACGATCACATTCTTTGGAAATCCAGAGCACGTAGCCGAGCCACCGGTGTCGATGCTGTACAACATAATCGACTCGACGGCGCTCACCCTCTTCGTCCAAGTGCGTGCGGCTCCGATCAATCCCGGAATCAATAATCCTCATCATGCATCAATCCATTGCAGGCCTTCTTCTGTCTACGCATCTACCGACTCTCCCACTCCAAACCACTCGCCATATTCTGTTTCGCGCTCATCTTGATCCCCACGGGCCTCTACTTCTGGCTCTTCTCGATGTACTACACGCGCGGCGGCTTCGCCCGCTCGCTCGGCAGCGCGCAGGGACACAAAGTGATGATCGCAGCGGCGGCGCTGACGCCCGTGTCGGCGTGCGCGGTCGCGGGGACGCTTTGCTGGTGCTTGTGGCGGATGAAGGACCCGGACCAGTTCCGGCGCACTCGCTCGGTCGTGGATCGGATTATGCTGTGGACTGTCGGTGCGTGGCCGGACGTCGCCTGGGGACATTGCTCATCCGCAGCAAAGAAACCACATTGGTGACAAGGTAGAGTCAGGAAACCTTTTTGCATCCAATCGCTGAAGTCTTGAGCTCTTTTATAGCCTCGCCAGCGTATTGGAACTCATCATGGTTTGATTGGATCGCTGAGTCATGCACATACATAAGCTTAACTATCTTCTACAGATCGTGGCTCAGCCCCATAATAGTCCGTCGAGTCTTCCACTGCTTCGCCTTGGAAACGTTTTCACAATCTTCAATCAGTGCTTTGGCTGATATTCTTTTTCCTACATGGAAAACGTATGTACTCCCATCCTCTAATGCGACCAACAGTTGACTTGTTCGATTTCATAGTGCTGACCAACACCCTTGTTGCTTCGTAAGTGGACACTGATGTCGTGTGCTATCACACATCTCACGCCAGCTTCTGGCCCTCAATATAGCCTCAATAGCCGTGAGCGATTTGGACGCGAGTTTAACGAGCATGCATCAGAGCTTCGGACGTCACCCGGACAAACGGCTGTGTCAAACCGACTTGTGCACCTCGCTTCCGATGTGGTCAGTCTCAGGCTACTCTCTCTCTCTTTTTCTGCCCCGTGGACGAACGAAACTGATAATTTTCTGGTGTGGCGGTTTCAGACGAAGACCATGTCAGAAGAATTTGTGTGATTTATCAGCTACAAAGTCGTTCAGTTGTCCTGTCCTGCCTGCAACGCAATGTTCCCTCCATCGCCGTCCTGATCGTACAATCGTCGACTATGTGAACGTTTCGTTGTCGCTCCCTTGATTCCTATCGAATCTGCCGAGTAGCTGCTTCATTCATCACAGTCGAATCCGGTGGTAACATTAATTATCCGGTCGCGTGATGGATCGTCTAATTGAGCATTCCCACGGTGGAATCTTGTGTGCATGCCTGACCTCACCTCCGGGCGCATACTTGGAGATTTGCAAACGCCGATTTGCAGGTTGACGGTGTCGGTGTCTGTTTCTCTCTTTCAAAGCGCCTACATCTTCCCGGACTGCAAAGTTATTTCTAAGTGCCTCCCATGCGTTCAATCTGCACTGTTAAAGTCAGGTCAGTCGTGATTTGTGTGGCAGTTCAGTTCTCGAAAACTATCGCCTGAGCAGAGTGTCGTGTCCCGGATGACCCCTCGACTGCCAGAAATCATGATCCACGGACGATCTTGGTCTCATTCTTCATTTACAAGGAGGGTGTACATGCGTCTGCGCTCAAACCACAAGTGGATATCAGCTGTCCCATGATTGAACGTCTTTCCCCCGACTTGAGCGTACAGTCGCACGGATAAAAACTCCTTCGAGAACATTAACACCGATGATTTCTGGGGTAGCTGTCGTAAATGTTGAATGCTCCAACGAATTGGTTCCCAGGCAGGACTGGGGACCCATCGAGAGCGTGCCATTTTGATGGCTTGCGTCATTCCCTTGATTGATCGATCATCGAGCTATGGCATTTTTTAAGCTCTTGCTGCCCCCCCGTCCACGACGATCACTCTGCACTACACACTGGGCATATGGTCTCAGCCATGCCGGGTGCATCTTCTTGCATCCTACTGGAGAACATGAACACCTGCCCTTGGGGCCGCTTCCCTTGTCTGACGAGTGGCGCTGAGGTTCATTCCTCACGCTCACGGCAAAGATGTCAAATGTTGTCCCCAACCGATCTATGAGCGAGTAATTCGCGCCCTCGAAGTTGGGTTGGGCATCCGCCCTGCTGGATCACGGCTGCTGTCGTCGCACACCTAATCCGGGTGGATATGACTTTGGGTGACGTGCACAAAAACATATAAAAGGTGCGTGTGTCTGCGCAGATTGCAGGCTCACTGAACCAACTACCGCGACAAGTCGATTTAACAAACCCAGCCCCACGAGATGTTCTCCCAGCTCGCCGCTCTGATGCTCGCGGCGCTGTCATTCGCCAGCGCTGCGCCATCCCGCCAACAAGTGATTTCAGGCGCGGCTCTGTCGTGTGCCTACCCCCCTACCCACAAGGCAAGCAATGCATTTTTAGGGTTTTATTCGTTTCTTGTACTGACCGGCCATGAGTAGGCTGTGAACGCTGCCCCGCAGGCGGGCACGTATCAGATATCCACCCCGAAGTACGGACCGGCCGCGATCCGCTCGTACACGATCGGCCAAGCGCTGTACGCAAGCCGTACATTGGAGTTTCCGGGTCCTTATGGTCTTGTAGGATCCTCATTTGCGTGTTGCGGCAGGGATCTGAAGCGTCGCTGACTGTAGCATGAACTGACCCCCACCGGCGGGGACAACTTCCAGCTCAAGAACGTGGGACTTGACTCACCCGTGGGAATTGATAGCGACAAGGCAGGCAGCTTGAAATTTGTGCGTCGGAGGCTCATCTAATCGTTAGTTCGTGAGCACGTCCGCATCGTCTGCTCATGAGTTCTACCTTGAGGAGAGTGCTGTACCGGGATACTTCATTGTGAGTGACAACAGCGCCTCGCGGTGGATCTGAGGCGGAATTAACGCCCACAGGTCCACACCGCGGATGGGTCTGGCCTTGTTTGGACGCTCAACCCCGAGGATGGGCCTGTCGTGCAGCGCGTACGTCGTCCCATCTACCTCAACATCTCGTCTGATCACTCATGTCATTAATGATCCAGATCATTCTGGCCTCCGCCAATGGAGGGGATGACCAGCTTTTCCGATTTTCCGTGTCCGAAGGCAATCCCCTGCCTCTGGGATTGGGGCACCTCGCCGCCGGCCTGTATGCGGCCCACGTGCCTGCCAAAGCTACGCGTGTCGGGCCGGTCACGCCCGGTGCATATTACATCCTCGACGGCTACTTTAATGGCATGCTGCGCAGCTACACGATCGGCCAAAACGCGTACACGAGTATTGCCAGGGACTTCCCTGGAGACTTCGGCGTCGTGAGTGGGTCTAGGACACGTTCGATAACTTGCTGACAGTTTATGGATAGTGGGTCGTGAAAGGCGACGACAGCATGGGATACACTATCACCAACGCCGCACAGAACTTGCCGCTGGTGGTCACTGGATCCAAGGTCTGAGTGCATGTTTGCAAATACGAGTATCAGTCGCTCACGAATTACACGTCGCAGAACCTCGCGACAATCCCTGTCGGTCCCCCGGCCCAGTTCACCTTCTCGCTCGGCAGCCAGGGCCGTGTGTCCATCGCCTCGCTCGGCGGCCGTGGAGTTTGGGGTGTAGATCCCTCGCAGGGCCCCGTCCAAGCTCAGGTCAAGGCATGTTTCTCGGAAACTCAACCAGTCCTCACGTGCACAACAGATCCAGATCCAGCCGCAGAATCCCGGGGACCCCAAACAGGAGTTCGCCTTTGCTCCAGTCAGCAACTTAGTTTGAGTGTTCTGCTTGAAATTTGTGTACTTGCTCGAATCCAATACAATCAATGGTCGATTGGAAGTCTCGCATACTTGAGATGCGTGATTCACCGTTTAAAATTCCTTCTGCTCTCCCGCGAGACGCTTCTTTAAGACAAGATACATAGACTCTTGTAAGTTTTGGTTCACACGAGAGCTAATTCCTGACTACAATTGTGACTAGATCAGTAGGCGTGGGCATCTTCTTTTCGTGACTTGTGCTCCCACCGTCGATGGCATCAGGTTTAGAGACGACCAGAAATCGAGCAGTGTCTGATCGCTTCTGATTGGGGAGGGACACTTGCTGGCTGTAATAGACCGGCTTCTGTGACCGAACTGGGATGTCTTCTAGTAATGTCTAGTCCATTCACACCCTGAGGTACCGGTATATTAACCAGGAGGATTCTATGCCGGCTTCTCATTGGGAGTCAAGTCAAGTCACTATTGGTGCCATTGTGACATCCTTGGTTCATCATCCCGTATCCTCCGTTCTCGAGCCTCCCTACAGCGATTCGCCGTCTGGATCGCAGTACAGTGGCAACTTCTGACCGGGTTACTACCGCTGTCTGAGACCATTTGTAGGGTGGCTGTCGAAGATGTTTCGAGGTACCGAGAAACCATGTCACATGTGCTCATGCTCATCAGTATGAGAGCACTGTGATGGATGGCCGGATTGCGTGATGGGGCTCATCGATCCGCTCACCACTGCTTACTCGACCCTAGAATGCTTTCCTGCGCGCCGGACAGAAGCAGGACCGTGGTCTGGCACTGGAATTTAATGTAACTTACGGAGCCGTTATGGCCGATTCCCCCGCTTTCTAGTCGCTTTCTTGGTGTGCCGAATGGCACTCACGTACAACCCCCACGTTCGACCCCACCGTTGCATTCAGGGACCGATCTACGAGCGAGAATTTGGCGAGAATTCGCTCCAGCTCATACGCCGCTGGTATTCGGCTTCTGTGTGGGGTAAATGACGCGGTGCCAGCATCTGGGGGAATCGTATAAAAGGATCCTGCGGCCACTCGGGCTGCTCTTCAATCACTCTCCAACACTCAAGTCGATAAAACAACCAACCATGTTCACTCAGCTGGTCGCCTTGACGCTTGGCGCCTTGTCGTTCGCCAGTGCGGCGCCCTCTAGTCAACAACTCTTCTCCGACGCGTCGTGCGGCACGGAATTCGCGGCGCCCGCACACAAGGCAAAGCACTCGGATGTTTTGTGGCTTTAGCTGCATCTGATTCCCACGCGCAGGGCTTCAACAACGGTCCCAGATCCGGGACCTACGAAATAACCACACCGAAGTTTGGTGCCTCTCTTCTGCACTCGTACCAGATCGGGAACCCGCTCGTCCTGAGCCGTGCTTTGCTATTCCCGGGACCTTACGGCCAGGTGCGCCGCTATGCGACTCCATCGCCAGGGTGCCAATCAATCTTCTAAAACAGTACGAGCTGGACGTCGCCAACGACAACACAATCCGCCTGACCCATCGCGGACACAACACTGCAGTAGTGGTCGATGAGGACCAGGTAAATGGCATTCACGAGAACGCCGTACTTGCTACTGATCCATTGATGTACCATCAGTTCATTTCAACGGCAGCCAAGTCTACTCCACATGAGTTTGTCCTTCGAGCCGGTGACGATGAGGGCCATTACGTTGTAAGCCGATGCAGAATCCTTGATGGTGCTCTCTGAGTTGACCCGTTGCCCAGGTTCAGTCAAACCAAGGTCGCACGCGCGGCCTTGTTTGGACACTCAACCCAGGTGACACGAACCTCATGTCCCGCGTGTGTTCTCTCCTGCATATTCACCCTCCATACATTCGTTGATCTCCCCCTCATCTAGGTTGTCTTGGCCCCATTCAGGGGTCTGCCGTCCCAGTACTTCCGGTTTTCGGCCGTCAGAGGGTATGTGGTTGGTCTGGAGCATCTCCCTGCCACCGGTCTGCGTGCTCCCGACGCTTCCACATTGTCCAACGTCGGCCCTGTCCCTTCTGGAACCTACCGTATCATCGATGGTCGCTTCGGTGGCCTCGTGCGCAGCTACAACGTCGGGCAGACCGCGTACACGACGATCGGGCGGGACTTCCCCGGGGACTTTGGCGCGGTTTGTCTCATTACATTACAGTCTCTTTCTCTCACTTACCCCGTGCGTAGTGGAAAGTTTTCGGGAACGACATCATGGGCTACACCATCGTCAACGCTGGGCATCAACTCCCATTAGTGCTGACTGATTCCATGGTTAGCGGCGTTCTCGAGTTTGGTTTCTCTCCTGCATTTCACTGATGCATGTTTACTCAGAACCTCGCGCCTATCCCAGGCCGCATGCCTGCTCGATTCCGGTTTATCTCCCGCAGCCAGGGACGCGTCTCTGTCGCCTTGATGGACGGTGAAGGGGTTTGGGGCTTGGACTCGAGCAATGGCCCTATTCATGCCCCGGTGCGTTGCGCTAGACCAGCTCCACCATTTCGTTTTCGCTTCAAGCTGCTGACATTGTGCGGCAGATTGAGATTCAATCCGAGAAGCGCGGTGAAATCACGCAGGAGTTCACGTTCGCCCCGATCGACAACATGTTGTGAGCCCTTCGACAATGCAACGGATCGTCTATGTAAGAGTGGAGCGCTTGCACATTCCAAGCTGTTGGTCAAACGAATGCGTAAATGAATCTTGTTTTGAGATAGCCGTGTTTCTATCATCGATCTTTTAACTGGAAGTGTGATGAGGTGGCGGAACATGTGTTTCGAGTCAGAAGTTCGAATGGCTTTGGTGGGAATGCCATCGCAGGATTTCACGTTGTCTCAATCGTGAAATGTGAAATCCGGAGGACATGTCAAGTTCAGCAGGTTCTTGTGTCGTAATTCTTCTTACAGCACAGGCACGTGTGTGATCGGGGGATGCATCGATTAAGTATATACTGATGCTGGACTCGTGATCTCGTTAGGACTCGAACGTGCCCGAGAGCGTTCGTCAGCTTGTCTACGGGGTCACTTAACTTTTCTCCCGGATTTGATTCTATGGCACTGTCAAGCCTTCGTCAGCGCTCGTTCAGAGCCTTGGAATAAGCGCTTCACGCAGACATTCCAAAAAGCGAGAAGATGGTGTGCGTGCTATACGTTCCAGCTCTCGACATCGCACGTCAGGAAGCTGTAATGTCACTACATTTTGCGACAGCTCTTCTGTTCGGAGTGATAAAATGTCTCGCCGCCTTAATCGCACGTAAAATCATCCATTTGACAGCGATTTTATCCATGTATTTTTGAAGGACAATCTATCGGCGTGGTTTGTTTCATTGTCCCTTGAATCCTCCGAGTTCATGGTGTACAATTGGGCTAGATTGCGCAACTTTCAAGACAGCCATGCCGGCATCCCAGTTAGCTGTCAGTCATCAGTCATCCATGATCGTAATCCGCCACTCGAAGAATCTTTACCGGCTTCGCTTCGTTCCCCGCACTCCCCATTGACCCCACAGACCGCGTTGCATTCGGGGTTTCCACCGCTCTACCAGCGAGTACTTCGCTCCCGCGTCCGCCACCGGGCATCGGCTGCTGTTGTCTCTCGGTCGAGTATGTTTTTTTCATCATCACCAATGACGCAGGGGTGGTTCGGAAACCGTATAAATAACGCTGGGTTGCCGTCTTAGAAATCCCCCAGCAGCAACGAACTCGACGCAGATGTTGTCTAAGCTCTTCACAGTCACTCTCGGCGCGCTGTCCTTCATCACGGACGGCGCTGTGCCTTCGTGTCAGAACCAAGGACAGCGGCAGCGGCCAGCGCTTTCCAGGCTTCAAGCCGCCCAGGTGGTGGGTCGTGCCATTGGGTTGCCCCGCACCCGCGTCTATCGATCCTCACGTCTCTGACTGAACGCAGGGACCTAGTGTGACTCCGAAACCTGGGACCTATGTCATCCAAAGCACGAGCTTCGGCTCCGCGCAAATCCGCACATACAGCGTTGGGCAGCCGCTCTTCGCAAGCCTCACTCGCGAGTTTCCGGGCGATTTCGGGACGGTGTGTCTCTGCTTGATCCGATCCCTGTCGCTCCCGAATTGAGGCGCCGCGCAGTTCGAACTGGCCCCGATTGAGGGCTCGGATACCGAGTTCGGGCTCAAGAACGTCGGACAGAGCGCTTCCGTCGTCATCGATGGTGATAATGTATGTCTCTTGCTCAGTGGATCGTTATAATCATATTCATGCATTCCCCAGAAATTCGTGACAACGACGACGGATTCCGACCCGCAAGGTTTCACTCTTGAGAGCACCGAGACAGAGAACTACTTCATTGTGGGAGCATATTTGGCCTGAATGGGATTTCGAATAACATCTGCAAGGTCCGCACGACTGACGGCACCGACCGCGTCTGGACGCTCAACCCTGAAGAGGGCCCCGTAGTGCAACGGGTCAGTCATCTCACGTCCCTCGGTTCTGCTCGAGGCTCGCTAAGCTCAAACGCTTCCATCCAATCAGATCATCCTCGCGCCTCAGGATGACGACGAACTGGTAAATGCTCAGCGCTTCCAATTCAATCTCTTGAGCGACTGGGTGGCCAGCGATGGTCACTCCGCTCAAGCCACGCTCGCGCTGAGCAAGCCCCACGCCTCCGACGCTTCTTCCATTTCTCCCGGCATTTACATGATCTATGACTCGTTCGTGTACAGCTTGGTGCGCAGCTACGCTGTTGGACAGGATATTTTCGCCGCCGCCACGCGAGAGTTCCCTGGAGACTTTGGTATCGTGCGTCTGATTTACCCACCTCTGCGCCCGCTCTGCCGTGTGCTCATTTTGCCATAGTGGACCGTTGCAGGCGACGACGAGGCGGGGTACACCATCACAAACGTCGGGCTCGATATGCCTGTGGTCGTCACCTCGGCGAAAGTGCGTCCACTACATTTGCCGTGACTTCCTAATTGTTCGAGCAACTGACACACGGTTAGACGCTTTCCACGGAGCTCGGTGGAACCCCTGCCAAGTTTACTTTCGCGAAGCGAGGAGACAAAGGCAACGTCGCCGTGACATCGATCTCTAATGATGGCGTTTGGGAAATGGATAAAGGCCTGGGTCCCGCCCGAGCGAGAGTAAGTGCCGCACCCTGCTGTGATATAGAAAATGAGCACAGAAATTGATTGTCTGAACAGGTCCAAATTCGGCCGGAGGATACCCAGTCGTCTCTGCAGGAGTTCAATCTCGTACGGTATTATCAATGAACGATCTGCAGATCCTCAACCGACATGCACCGTCTGTAATCCTCTGTAACAATTTGCATGATGATTTTGTGAACTTTTTCTCTTGAGCAACGCTTATGTGTCAGGTGCAGAATCTAACACTGCGAGGCCATTAAATACTGTACATGTAAACATAGAAACGGGTCACATGAAAGTGCCGCAGAAGGCCGTGGGAGCGCCGCAGAGAACTTGGAGTGTCGCATGGATTTGGTCATGATTTCAGCGATTTGTCGATTTAGATGACTAATTGGTCATTGAAATCGACAAATCCTTATCCTATCTTTTATCCCAGAGCCGCACTTTAATCATTCTTAAGATATACAGATGCTGTACTGTAGTAGACAGGGCAGGAGTGGATGTGGCTTTAAGACAGTCATCTATGGCTTCGCTAAAACCCTCTGGTGTGCCGGAACTTGATTCTACTCGTTTCTGTCATATTCATCTTACCATTTATTTTGTAATGTATGGATGAGTAGACTCTAGAAGAAACATCACCAGCGCAAGGCATCCACACCCATGTTTGTGAGCAATTCTCCTTGCGGCGCTGATTTCCCATCAGTTGGTTTGAATTAATCTGCTTTCTGTGCTCGACGGAGAACACCATTGTACATAATACGATGGTAATTGATGATTTTGGTAGACTCCAAAGGAATCTTTCCCTGCGAATCTAGTTCTGTGTAATGAGTCCCATGATATCTGAATTCAGCGTTCTGGTCCCCTTCAGAGCATAAGAGCCGTCGCGCGATGCAATAGTGTCATCGCTTCTCGATTTGCCGACTTGATCGCACTCAAGGCCCACCATCATGCGCATCTCGGTGGTCCGGTAGACTGATACCTGTTGGACGAATGCCTTCCAAACGTCGGGATGAGGTGGGGCACTCGCTCGTCGCACGATGTTCTTTAATCAATCATTGATCTTTCTTGTCTGCATCGGTGGGGATGGGTCTCTACGATCTGCTAATGGTTCAAGACTTTTGATTCGTGATAACTTCTCTTCACAGGTCCCTGGACCCTGCATTAGCCAGACAGTTAATTGGCTCGCTTCTTTCCCCAGATTCACGTTTGCCCCACAAACGTGCTGAGTTTGGAGGGGACCACCGTTGTTCTAGCGGGTGACTCGCTCCCTGTGCGCCACCGGTTCTTCGGCTGCTGCTGACCTTATTCGAGTGTTTCATCGTCACCAGTGACACTGGCGCAGTTGGGAAATCGTATAAATCCTGGCCACTCATCCCCTCCAACAGCACCTCCCACTGCTTGCACTACAATGTTAACCAAGCTACTCACTGTGACTCTCGGCGCGCTGTCATTCGTCACTGACAGCGCCGTTCCTTCGTGGGACAACCAACCGCAAAACCCTCAAACGCTCTCAGGGCTGCATCGCCCGCAGGAGGTGGGTCTTTTGCGCATCCTGCTCGGCTTTGAATTCTCATCTATCTTACTGACGCAGGGACCGAACGTCCAGCCGACGCCCGGAACGTACCGCATCGTCACCCCCAACTACGGCTACGCCGAAATCCGCACGTACCGTATCGGGGAGGCCCTCTATGTCAGCCGCACCCGTGAATACTCGGGACCCTATGGATCGGTGGGTAGCTCCCCAACGCATCAAGTGTGCTCCCTGCTGAGCCTTTTCGCAGTTCGAGCTGATGCAGATGGACGACACGGGCAACGTCTTCGGGCTCAAAAATGTCGGACAAGGCTCTTCCATTGTCATTGACGGCGATAACGTATGAACCCTTCCCCACCGCGGCGCAGCGCCTGCCTGCTAATGCATTCATCAGAAATTCGTCACCACGACCGACGACTACATGCCACAAGGATTCACGATGGAGCGCACCGAGACGGAGGGCTTCTTTATGGTAAGTTCCTCCAGCTGCCGACTGCAGTTGTCTTCTCACCATTCTGATCGGCAGATCCGCACTACCGATGGAACTGACCGCGTGTGGACGCTCAACCCCGAAGAAGGTCCTATGACCCAACGGGTGAGTGTCCAACCACTCGCCCGTCGCGGCCATCAACCTCATCCCCCCTGATGTGCCTGATTAGATCATGCTTGCGCCGGCTTCCGACGACTCTGAAGAAGCGAACCTCGACCAGCGTTTCAGACTCGTCTCGCCAGACTCCGACGATGCCCCCCGTGTCGTTGCACCCTCTGCCAAGTTCGCGCACAAGCACAAGTCGTCGTCCCCAATCTCGCCTGGCCGGTACCTGATCCACGACTCGTTGGCCCACGGCATGCTGCGCAGCTACAACGCCGGCCAGGACGCTTTCACGAGCATTTCGCGAGAGTATCCCGGGGCCTTCGGTGTCGTCCGTCTCTACATATGTTTCCATTGTATACATCTCTCACAGCTTTTCACAGTGGTCTGTTGAGGGAGACGACAAATCTGGATACACTATCACTAACGTCGGACTCAACTTGCCTCTGCGCGTCACCCACTCGAACGTTCGTTCCTTTCACTCATTCTCGGCGGTGATCTTTTATCTGACATTTTACTTACTACGCCCCCTAGACACTCGCCACGAAGCTCGGTGCGAAGGGCTCCAAGTTCATGTTCGTCAAGCGCGGAGACAACGGCCGCATCGGTGTTGAATTGATGGACGGGAAGGGTGTTTGGCACTTGGACGACAGTCAAGGCCTGGGTCACTCTGTGGTATGTGATTGATACTGTGACCGGATCCCTTTTACTAAAAGTCGTGTGACTAGATTCAAATCAACCGCAAGGACCCCAACTCGAAGATGCAGGAGTTTGAGTTTGTATCAATCGACAATTGATCGGTGGGAAGTTCTCTGATATGAACGTACCGCGTCGCTGCTGCAACTGTGTCTGTATAGTAATGTGATTGTACTTGTCTCACTTTTCAATTCAACTGAAGAGCGCGCCATTAGTAGTCAATCGAGAGGAAATATTTCGTCGCCGCTCACAAATCATATTGAAGTAAATCTTTTGGGTTCAACCGGGGCTAGTGACGCGTTCAAGAAAGATATACTGTATTCATGACCGTAGGTTCGACGGGTGGACCGATGACGCCGCCAATTTCGAAATTGAGTGGTTCGGCGGCCCTGGTCATTGGGGACACCCATGTTAGATAAGAAAGCTTCACTAATTTGAAGTAAAATTTTGCCTGTTGCAGGCCCAATGTGGCCGGATTTCAGAGTTCTGGGGCTCATTCATGCCTAAAATAAGCCAAGAGACCTCGAAATGGCTGTAAATGGCTAGTTCGAGCAAAAAGGTGGAAAATGTCAACAGTTTGGCCCTTAGTTCGAGCCCCACCGTGACCGGTGACAGAGGACAAATAGGATCGGTTTGGAGCAACTGGTGACCGGTGACGCGAATAACGGCCGCAAGAGTACATTTATACGGTTGAGAAAACTAGGTTTCTGCTGCCCTCGAATTTTATGTAGTGTAATCACCAAGCGAAGGGATGAGATCGCTCTCTCAGTTCAATCAGCGTCAAACCTCCACCAGAGGGAGGCTTTCAGATCCCAAACACAAATTGAAATGGTATATTTACGAATCACTAACGGACGGATCTCATGGCCCTTGTGTCGAAGAGCTCGCCAGGCTCCGCACGGGCGCTGGAAATGAAAGTTTCTGCGTATTTGATTCATTCACAAGTTTCCTGTGCTACTTGCTGCTTCTCAGTCAAAGAGCCGTCAGTTATTCCGGCACAAACAGAAGACATAGATTTTTGTGTCTTGTTGGAACAAGACCACCCGTCGCTCTCTGCCGTGTGGGTACATCGGGTAAATTGGCTCAAAAGCATGTGGTACTACAGTGAGATGCGAGAGAATGTACGGAATGGATGAACTGGTGGGAGAGTGACTGACTCGAGGAATACGTCGAAATCAACTTGCAATCAAGTTGGAGGAGGCTCGGTGCCAAGCTGTGGCTGTGTTTTTGGCTGTGCAAACTCCGTGCCCTCAGTCAATATCCTCGCCAGCGCTTCCAGCGACTCTTCCAGACTCATGAAATCTGGATCATCGCTTCGACCTTCCCCGTTGCTCTGCACACCCCCTTGTGTTCGGTTCCCATACCCAGACCTGCCGAGCGACGGTGAGGGCGGAGACACCATGTGCTTGAGGGTGTGGAACCAGTTGGGATCGCGCGGCCAGGGTTTCATATTGGGCGGCACAAGGAACGGCGTCGTGTACGTCCACCCCGCCTCCTTGTCCACGAGAAGCACACGGATCATGTCGGGCCGCGGCGCCAGCGACTGCTCGAACTGCTTGAGCGTCGGGGCCGGGAGCGACCACGGCGGCGAGGAGAGGTAGACCCGCAGGGCGTCGAGCGGGATGGTGGTGTGTGCATAGAGGATGTGTGTGTACGGGGGCTTCGCCCGGGGGACGTACGAGACGTGCAGCAGGAGGACGAGCTGGTCTGTGGAATCCCGCGTCAGGGTGTCGGTACGCACAGGCTGCGAAGCGGAGAGCGATGCTCACCGATGTTTTCGGGGTGCGCGGAGATGTCGAGCGCGTGCGCCGACGCAGTCCCGACGACCGCACCCCACACGTCGGACCACTTCCCTATCGATTTCAGGCGCGCCGTGTACTCGGACCCACGGCCGGCAGCCTTGCGTACGATTTCTTTGTTCATCTCGCAGTACGACTTGTGTTCTTTCCAATGTGACTTTTGGCACTCGCGGGACTGCACACGCGCTCTCGATCAGAAGAAGCAGCCGTGAATGAGAGCGGAAAGAGGACGGACGCAGTATCGAGTGATGTTGCACCCTCCGCAGCGACGCAGATCTCGGCTTCCCATCAGACAGTTCTCGCACATCTCGGTTGATTGCGCAGGCATCTTCTCCTTCTTGCTGGACAAGCTACGTCGAATATCTTGGATCTGTCCGGGTCAGAGCGGAGTGCGGACCTGTGAGTGGCGATGGGTGCAGATGTGGACGTGGATGAGACGTGTGGGCTACTCCGTCGAATTTGGGGCCGGATGAACAAGGGTTCAAGGCAGCACAAGAATGGCGATGCGCGTCGGTGGTCAAGCCCCCAGCAACAATGGCCATTGGCAAGACTATGGTGCACATGACCTAGTCACTGCCACTTTGTGACAGGACCGGAATCGGGCCTTGATTTTGACCTTAAGTAAACCCTAACCCTAAATGTCCGGGCCAAGTGCCGGACTTATGTGTACACATCTTTTCTGCATTACCATCATCCATGGCAAAAGGAAAGAAGGCTCAGAAACTCAAGAGAAGAGGGTGAAGGAGTTCTCTTCTCATAAATATAAGTCTCATAGACATGTCCCTGAGACGCTTGCAGCTCAATTCGATGCATAGCAGTAGACACGTGATCAATCATGTGACACAACCGGAATCGATCGAGGTTTCCATCACATAACTCTGTCAGTTTTGAGTCAATGGATAATCTGTCTTAAGGTTCTATTCTACATCTAAAACTAAGCCTTTCTGTAAGACAACTAAGAAAAATCTCTTCACAAAAAAAAGTTCTCACACTATACAAAAGTGGTAATGACTAGGTCATGTGCACCATACTGTTATGGAGTGATGGGTGACATAATATTCTGGAAGGTTCTAAGACTCTAAGGGCCCGATCGGGTGCACTGCTTGCATCAGGCAGATGCCAATCTGATCTGCCTGACGACCTCTCCGAGGCAGACCGAAGCTGATCGGAGCCCTTCGGACATCCTCCCGACTGCCTGACGCACTAGGTCACATATAGTCACATAAGTACATACTGCCAAATATAACGCTCTTCATTGACACCGTCACTCTATGACGCGTCGAGGCTCACGGCACCAGGCTTCCCGGCCACGCCCACTACCAGCGCTGTCCCATGCCGAGCAACAACGTCGTGCAGCTGCTGCCGCCGCATTGCAGCGCCGCAAGACAGTTCTTACTGCTGTTACGCGTATCTTGGCTGTATACTCGATGGCACTGTGTCTTGCAGCTCCAGATCCAATCCCAATCAGAACCTCCTCTCTGAATGGGCAGGGGTGGCTGGATGAGATTTTCCACGGGCATGTTGAGAGGTTTCTCTCTCAGATGGGACTTGCAAAAGAGGCCTTTCGCCGTCTCTCTTATGAGCTCCAGATCACGTATGGACTGCACGCTACAAAACACGTCACGGCAGATGAGAAACTAGCCACGTTTCTCTACTTCGCTCGAACTGGCTCCAGCAGCCGTTTATTACAGGAACGATTCCAGCGGAGCGCAGAGACCATCCACAAGTGTGTTACAGACTATTTTTGAGAACAATTGCTCAATTTCCTCTACAGTTCCATTTATACCGTTTTGAATATCCTTGTTGGCCCATTCTATATGAAATACGTCCATCTTCCTCCCAACGAAACTCCTCCAGAGATCAAGGCCGATCCCAAACTCTATCCATATTTTCGGCAGGCTCGGGGCGCAATCGACGGGTCGCACTTCCATGCATGGGTGAGAGACTCGGTGTCAGGCCAATACAGGAACAGGAAAGGTTTCATTGGGCAGAATGTGCTCGCAGCTTGCAATTTTGCAATGCTTTTTGTGTACATCCTCAGCGGCTGGGAGGGTAGCGCTGCAGATTCCGCCATCTATGCATATGCTCGCGACCACGATTTTGCTGTGCCTGCGGGCATGTACTTCCTTGCAGACGCCGGGTTTCCTCTTTGCGATGTGTTGATGACACCGTATCACTATCACGCTGTCCGATATCATCTCAGGGAATGGGGAACTGCCGGGCAGAGGTGCATTTCCATGTTCTTTTTACACCGACAGACTGATGCAATACTGTGCAGGCCCCAAAACCGAGAAGAATTATTCAATTTACGGCACGCGCAGGCCCGAAATGTTGTCGAACGAATCTTTGGCATCTTGAAGCGGAGATGGATGGTTTTTCAGCGTGCACCCGAGTACCCAATCGAGATGCAGGCCAAACTTGTCCCTGCCATTGCTGCGCTGCACAATTTCATCCGTATCCACGAGCCCTTGGACGACTTCTCCGCTCCGCAGCAACCCGCCGCATCATCAGTGCCGCTTTCTCGTTCCACCAGCAGCATCGACTCTTTCATGCAGGACGAGCCTCGAGACATATTGCCAGAGGAGTTGGGGATGGAGATATCTGCTGCAGAATGCAGGAGGGCGGAGTTGCGACGTGATACCATCGCACAGAAGATGTGGGAGGACTATCAGAGAATTTTGAGAGAGCGGGGACAACAGTAAAGACTTCAGAAAGTTATATAAGTAATTTACTTCGAATCCTGATAATCCCGCAGCGCCTTGCGCAAGAAAGCGGTCCGTTTGCTCTTCTTTTTACAGCCTGTATAAGTCTGCGAGATCGAGCTGGTGACGTCCTTCGAAATCAAGAGCATCATGTCTGATTCTTCATCGGACGAAAACTCGTTGTCGTCTTGCAACACCTCAATTGCCCAAGCACGCGCCTTCCCGTGTGGACTCATTGTGGTGCCTCCGACCGGTCCAAAAGCGGCGGCAGCCAAACGATCGACAGCGGCAATGACTTCATTTGCAACTTCAGCGTTCTGTCGGTTTTGGCCACGTTTCACGCTGGAGGACCCAATAGTAGGTGGTGAGGCAGGTCGCTTGCATGTCGGAGGAGGAGAAGAGGGTGTGAAGTCGGCCCGGAATGGATCATCGTGTTCACTGGTCGCGGTCTGGGTCCCGTCCTCGCCATCTTGGTCGTTTGCAACACCGGTGTTGTCTCCATTTGAGTCGTCACCATTCCCATCCATATCGGGTTCCACCGTTGTCCCAGCGTGAAACGCGCCCTCTCCGGTGGCCATGACTCCGTTGTTGAGCATGATCAGCGGCTGTACACGGACACTGCCACCCATCATCAGCGGCCGCGGCGCATCCACCGACATCAGGATTAAGCTCATCGGCCGCGGTTTTCTGGCGATTTCTCCGCCATTTCACATTACTTACAGAATATTCCAGAGCCATCGTTCACGATAGTATATAAGCACGAGATTGTAGATACAAAAGACAGAATATATCACCCCTTAGTAGCTCATTTCGAGGAGTCCCTGACTCCGACCTCCCATCGTTTACTTCATCGATCCAGCAGTCCGCGGTCCAGACAGACGCCGCAGGAGTTCACTCACTCATTTCTCCGCATTCCCAGCCTCACCTGAACCTTGGTTTGGACACCTCGCATCAATACATCACTACACGGCGCACTCGGAGCGGGGCCCGCCCATTTGACCTCTAGCCCCGTTCTCCCGTTCCTGGGTCCTCGCTTAGACGACGCCCGTGCACATCATATTTTGGAGCCCACCGCGAGGGGTCTAAATCACCATTGATTCAGGCCGTAGCCTTCGTCCTCGCCGTACTTCGTTACAAGATCTACGTGCAGAATTCCGTGCTATCCAGCAAAACCCACGCGATCTACTCGACACATCCACCCATCCCGACTCCGACACATCTGACGAGCTCTTCGTTCGCGTCCCAGACCACCTTGCGCGTCACAACAACCTATCCCCTCGTTCGCCCGGTTCCCCTCGACTCGATCTTCTCTTCCAGTCCCCGACCCATACTCGATCCCCTACCCCATCCCCAACCATTATGGCGACCTCCCAGATGCCCGCCCGAGGCGCTCGTGGAGCCCCGGAGTTTGATTCGTCGAAACCGCGCCAGCTACCTCGATACTTCAGTGATCTCGAGCTGGAATTTGCTCGAGTCGGGGTCACTGATGAGACGGAAAAGAAGAGGCATGCGACGAGATATGTCAGCGTCGACGACCAGGACACCTGGGAATCACTCACCGAGTTCACGTCCGTCACGACCACCTACGCCGACTTCAAAAAGGCCGTCTTGAAGCTCTATCCCGGCACAGACTCTGATCGAAAGTATACGATGTCGGATCTCCATTCGCTGATCGGCGAATACGCAACATCTGGCATCCTGTCGCTGTCCGACTACAGCGAGTTCTATAGGCGCTTCATCACGATCACGACGTACCTGATCTCAAAAGGGCGTCTCTCGACTGCTGAACAAAGTCGTTCATTCTGCCGTGCCATCTCCCCGCCCACCCTCTGGACTCGTGTATCACAGCGATTGCAGATCAAACGCCCAGACAATCACCCCGACGACCCATACAACCTTGCGGATCTCACCGAAGCAGTCGAATTCGTCCTGGCCGGTCCTGTCACGCTCAACGCGCCGCCCCTATCGTCAGTACCGCCCTCCCAATCGGCCAGTTCTACCGCCGTCAAATCCGAGCCCGACTTTGGCGCGCTGCTCGAGACCATGAACGGTCTAATGAAGGTCTTGCTAGCGCAGCAGCAGCAGCCCAGTCGCCCATATGCGAGCCCGTTGCCAGCCAGCCCATCGGCACCCCGACGAGAAGGCGACCAGTGCGTGTACTGTGGAGGCGACCATTACATCAGTCGCTGCCCACTTGTCGAAGAAGATACGAAAGCTGGAAAATGTAAGCGTGATATCGATGGACGTGTGGTGCTCCCTACCGGCGCGTTCGTTCCCCGCAGAATCCCCGGCGTCAATCTCAGAGCCCGTATCGAGGAATGGCACAAACAAAACCCTGGTCAGCTAGCCGCCGGTCAGATGATGCTCGAAGTGCCCACGCACCTGTCGTCATATCCTGCGTCTTCCCAGTCCAATCCCGCTGCCACATTCGTCCTGTCCGAAGAAGAGCGCCTTGCGAGTCTGGAGAAGGAGATTTTTGCGATCCGCACGCGCGCCCAGGCACGACGTGCTCTTGCCGCCGGCGCATCCGGAGAATCGGTCGAGGAACCAGAACAACCGGTACGCGCGTCGGTACCGCCTCCAACGCCTCCAGCGCCTCCCATTGCCCCTGCCGTTCCGCCCAGTATCATGACACGGCCCACAAAAGAGAACTCACCTGAACACCCTTACGCCCATATTCGCGACGCTGCCTATGCCCCGCCACGCGACCGAAACGTTGGGGCCAAGCCTCCAGTCCACGCGGCAAAGAAGAACGACCCAGCTTACCGGACAACTGCGCCCATTTTCGATGAAAAGATCGCCTCCAAGGTTTTCGACCGGTCCATGGACGCGCCTATCACCCTGACCCACCGAGAGCTCCTCTCCCTGTCGCCAGAAGTACGAGCCCAGGTCCGAGACGCAACCACGAGTCGACGCACCGCTCCGGTAGCCGCGCAAGGAAAAACAGTAACAACGGCGCCCCAGCTAATGGTGAGCGCGGCGATCCCAGTAGATGCAGAAGCCCTCGAGTCTCTCGAAGAGCAGAAAGAGCGCGACGCACGCAGCGCCAGGTTCCTCGACTCGATGCCAGCAACCTTTGCCAATTCTGCCACCCAGCTCCCACCCGATGCCTTCGTCGTCCCGGATCCCTATGAAGCGTACTACGCCAACGGAGAGCCCGTTCCTGAAGGCCTGGTCGTGTCGCTCGAGTCCTCTGCAATCCGGTCGGTCCTTCCAGTCGTTGACAACCGCCAACGCGTCGAAAGTATTGTCGATGGTGGCTCGGGTATCATCGCCATGTCAGAAGCGGTGTCGAACGAGCTAGCCCTTGCCTACGACCCACGTATCGTGCTGCAGATGCAGTCGGCCAATGGATCAGTATCGCCGTCGCTCGGTCTGGCCAGAAACGTACCATTCACATTTGGCGACATCACGGTGTACCTCCAGGTACACGTGGTTCGTAATCCTGCTTATGACATTCTCCTTGGCCGGCCCTTCGACGTCTTGACAGAAAGTGTCATCCGAAACTATGCGGACGAGAATCAAACCGTAACCATTCGAGACCCCAACACCGGCAAGATTGCGACCATTCCGACCGTTCCCCGTGGGAAAACCCGTCCTCGCTGCCAGCCCGAGCAGGGTTTTCGCGGCTAGATGATCTGATCTCCGATCAGGAGCAGTTCGCGCTGATCATCGCGGCCGACGATGCGAGCCCCGACACATTTTCTATCCAGTCCTATGTCCCACTCCTTCCACACAGTTCATTTACCACTGATATCCTACAGACGTTTTACCTATCGGCCTGTACAAACTTGCCATCACCCTACTCTACCTACTTCCAACCGCGCCCTGACGTTCAACCGACTGCTCGCGATATGTGCCCCAGCGATTCAACTCGCTGTTGCCCCCCTCTCCATTCCCAATCTACCATAACAATTGAAAATCAATCTACGATGCTTTCCCACCCGTACTCTGCACCTCAAGTTGACGTCTTTGCCAAAAAACGCTACAAACCGGTTGCACAAAAAGTCCGCCCTGTACTGGGTAGCCTCCCAGAACAGTTCCGAATCGTCCGTGAAATTACAGGAGACCCACTCGCTGCGCTTCCCAGTCTAAACCCCGTTCCCCCACCATTTGCTCCAACCGGCCGTTACACACAAGACCGCTGCGACGTCATTGATCGACTGCATCCCGAAGGGTTCTTGTGGCCAGAAGAGCGACGCTTGATGCACCACTTCATGTTGGTCCATCAGGATGGCTTCGCCTGGACCGATCTTGAACGAGGGAAGTTCCGATCGGACTTCTTCAAACCTGTTGACATTCCCGTCATTCCACATGTTCCGTGGGTGCAACGCAACATACCAATCCCGCCTGGTATCTACGACCAAGTCTGCGAGCTGATCCGCAAGAAGATTGCCGCGGGGGTGTACGAACCGTCGAATTCTTCGTATCGCTCCCGTTGGTTCTGCGTCGTCAAGAAAGATGGCGCTAGCTTGCGCCTTGTCCACAGCCTCGAGCCGCTCAACGCCGTTACCATTCAGCACTCTGGCGTGCCACCGTTGACAGATCAGCTGGCCGAGCAGTTTGCAGGACGTGCATGTGGCGGTATCCTCGATCTCTACGTCGGCTATGATGAGCGAGTACTCGCAGAGTCCTCACGGGATCTCACCACGTTCCAGACCCCCTTTGGAGCGCAGCGGCTTACGACCTTGCCTATGGGGTGGTCCAATTCGGTCCCGATATTCCATGACGACGTCACTGTTATACTTCAGCCCGAAATCCCTGAATTCACGATCCCGTACATCGATGATGTACCCGCCCGAGGTCCCGAGTCCCGTTATCCCCTTGCCGACGGGTCTCCAGAGACAATCTACGAGAACCCCGGCATCCGACGCTTTGTCTGGGAACACTTCCAAAACCTAAATCGAATCGTTCAGCGAATGAAGTATTGCGGAGGTACCTTTTCCGGCCCCAAAGCCATTTTGTGTGCCGAGCAGATCACGGTACTGGGACATGTCTGTACCCCAGCAGGCCGCATTCCCGACCCAGACCGCGTCGCGAAGATTGAGAACTGGGGACCATGTCAGAACCTGTCAGACGTCCGTGCCTTCCTCGGCACTGTTGGCGTAGCACGAATGTTCATCAGGAACTTTGCAAAACGCGCCTATCCTCTTGTGCAACTCACCCGGAAAGATGCCCCCTTTGTCTTTGGGCCAGAGCAGGTCACAGCTCAAGCTGATCTAAAACATGCACTCCTTCATTCACCAGCCCTCCGACCCATTGACTATCGTTCCCCTGCCCCCGTCATTCTCTCAGTCGACACCTCCTACATCGCAGTTGGGTTCCTCCTCGCACAATGCGATCCCGAGCTCCTGTCACGCCGCTTCTATGCCAGATTTGGCTCCATTACCTTGAACGACCGCGAGTCCCGTTTTTCACAACCGAAGCTTGAGTTGTACGGTCTATACCGTGCGCTCCGCTCGTGGAAACTACATGTCATTGGCATCCGCAATCTAGTGGTCGAAGTAGACGCCCGGTACATAAAAGGAATGCTCACCAATCCCGATCTATCCCCCTCCGCATCCATCAACCGGTGGATCCTCGCGATTCTTACATTTCACTTCACCCTCGTCCATGTCCCAGGCATTTCCCATCGACCCGATGGCCTGTCTCGCCGTCCCGCGCAGAGTAGTGATGAGCCGGAACCGGAAGATGAGTTCGAGGACTGGGTTGATCAGGTTCATGGTTTCATGCACATGATTAACCACTCACCCTATGTCCCTCGTCTCGAAAATATCGTGGCTACCCTCGCCGCCGAGGTCATTCCCGAAGAAGTCCCACTGCCCCCCTTTTCCTACGATTCCGTTCCCCGTTCTGAGTCCGACCGCCTTGCAGATTACCGCGTCCATCTCGTACGCCAGTGGCTGGACACGCTTGAGCGTCCCCGCGAGCTATCCGACAGCGAGTATCAGTCATTTATACGATACGCAATGGAATTTTACCTCTCCGATGGCACGCTCTGGCGCAAGCATCCAGATGGCCGCCACAAGCTGGTTGTCCAGACCGAACGCCGGCTCGTTATCCTCCACTCAGCACATGACGATGTCTGTCATAAAGGCTTCTATGCGACCCGCGCCCTCATTGCCGAGCGATTCTGGTGGCCACACATGGCCCATGACATCGCTTGGTACGTCCGGACCTGCGATCTATGTCAGCAGAGGCAGATTCGGAAAGTCACCATACCGCCAACGGTTGCAGTTCCGGCGCCGCTCTTCGCTAAGGTATACATGGACACCATGCATCTCCCGACGAGCGGAGGCTTCCGCTACATCGTGCAAGCTCGTTGTTCGCTCACCCACTACCCCGAGTTTCGAATGCTTCGCCGAGAAAACGCGAAAGCGCTTGCATCCTGGATCTTTGAAGACCTGCTTTGCAGATGGGGAACACTCTGCGAGATTGTATCAGACAACGGGACCCCTTTTGTGAAAGCGCTGAGTTACCTCGAGAAGCAGTATGGAGTACGCCACATCCGCATATCGGGCTATAACTCCCAGGCCAACCTAGCGGAGCGACCGCATTTCGACGTCCGACAAGCGCTCTTCAAGGCAAGCGATGGTAACCAAGCAAAATGGCACAGTGCCGCGTATTCCGTCTTCTGGGCCGACCGAGTCACAGTCCGACGTCGCATGGGTTGCTCGCCGTATTTCGCCGTTACTGGGACACATCCGTTACTCCCGCTCGACATCTCCGAGGCCACGTACCTGCTTCCTCCACCCAAATCCGTCCTTTCCACCACAGATCTCATCGCCCGCCGTGCAATCGCCCTTCAAAAGCGTCGTTCCCACTTATCCACACTCCACTCTGATGTCTACGGGGCGCGCCTTCGTGCAGCAGTCCGTTTCGAGCAAGAACACGCGGCGACAATCCGGGACTTGGATTTCAAGCGTGGCGACCTTGTACTGATGAGAAATACGGCTATTGAGAAGTCCTTGAATAGGAAGATGCGCAAACGCTACCTGGGTCCCCTCGTCGTCATCTCACGAAACCGCGGCGGCGCGTACATCCTCTGCGAGCTCGACGGCTCAGTCCTGCATCGCCCTATTGCCGCGTTCCGTGTGGTTCCGTACTTTGCGCGAAAGGCCATTGACCTCCCGCCCATCGAGGATCTCCTCGATATTTCGACCAAGCGCTTGCGTGAGCTAGAAGAGTCGCTGCTCGAAGACCCAGAGGACGACGAAACGGGAGACGAAGAGTTACCAGACCAGGACGATGAAAAAGATGGTTAGCGGCCCACAATCCCGATTTCAGTAGGGAGGACGCACCAAAAACTCTATCCAAGTCCATCCCGGCAGACCATAAGGCGCGAGCGAGCGGATGACCGAGGACGGTCATGATTTCAGTAGGGAGGAGATGTTGAGCATGATCAGCGGCTGTACACGGACACTGCCACCCATCATCAGCGGCCGCGGCGCATCCACCGACATCAGGATTAAGCTCATCGGCCGCGGTTTTCTGGCGATTTCTCCGCCATTTCACATTACTTACAGAATATTCCAGAGCCATCGTTCACGATAGTATATAAGCACGAGATTGTAGATACAAAAGACAGAATATATCACCCCTTAGTAGCTCATTTCGAGGAGTCCCTGACTCCGACCTCCCATCGTTTACTTCATCGATCCAGCAGTCCGCGGTCCAGACAGACGCCGCAGGAGTTCACTCACTCATTTCTCCGCATTCCCAGCCTCACCTGAACCTTGGTTTGGACACCTCGCATCAATACATCACTACACGGCGCACTCGGAGCGGGGCCCGCCCATTTGACCTCTAGCCCCGTTCTCCCGTTCCTGGGTCCTCGCTTAGACGACGCCCGTGCACATCACCGTCAACGAGGTCGGCAACGTCGTTGTACAGTGAAAATGGATGCGTCTTCCAGTAGCGGTGGCTAGGGTGACCCTGAAAACAGTTCCGTCAATGCTGCGGAACACCTGAGGGGCATGGATGTACGCACAACAAGATACATGTTCCATACATCCTCCATTGCAGTTACGGTCTTGTTGTCGTTGTCCCAACCAAAGCCAGAGAGTCCCCGAAGAGCTTTGACGACCTTGAAGTTCTTCTTGATCTGACCGCGCGCGCCAGTGAGTGTGACAGGATCTGTCTGCGAGAATGATACATCTACGCACCGTCTTCCCACAATGATCCATGCACTTTTCCGGCGTCTTCGCACCTCCAGGTCCGCCAACCTTGTTGACGGCCTCAGCAACCATAGGCCACACAACGGGCTTCCATCCCGCGCCAGATCTATGAGTCTTGATGTGTTTTTTCAGGGTTTCGACGAGCGCTGCATCACAGGTAGGGCCCCACACACACTTGTCCGCAACGAGGCCCTCCTCCGCTCCGCGCTTTCCGGACTTTTGTTTGGGAGGCGCGTTGTTGGATGGTGGAGGTGGGGGAGGGACGGGAGTCTCAACGGGAGGCACGGTTGTCGTGTCCGTCATAGAGCGTGAAAACGTCTCAATTAGGAATGAGCCAAATTTCAAAGCAGGCAGTGCACCCGATCGGGCCCTAAGCTACTCTATCTCATGATCCTGTGCCTTAAATGCGAGTCTGATTGGTAATCTTCGCTCCAGTCGCTCCCGCCGTCACCGAAGCGGGAGCAGCCTTAGCCAGCCTAGCTGCGATGCTCAATTGTTTTCAAGACGAATGCGGCTCACATTGATTGACAGGTCGTCCCATACTTCCAAATCACGTGAACAGGTACTACCACCTCGGGCCGGTCGCAATCGCTATCCACCTGCCGATTCAGTACCTCCAGTGTTTGTCTGGGAGATAGAGGCCCAAAATGAACGTGGTGTTTTCATTCTACGCGCCTGGACTCATCGGGATTTGGGCTGTACACGCCCGGTCCAATTCCAAATCACGGAACGACTCGGGGCCGACGGAGAGAACCGCGCGCGTCGGCCCTTCTTCGACCGTCCTCGGTGGTTCGAGATTCGGGGCTCTCCCTCTCTGGCTCTGGACCTGGGTAGGCACGACACGCACTCGCCACTATAAAATGTATCTCTGGGCGACGCTCTGTCTCCATCGTCCTTCCTGCGACAAGCTACCAATCCTCTACAACCACTCAAGCCTCCTCTCAGTTGACACACTGCAATGGCTTTCTACGGATCCGTGAGTCGACTATTTTGATACCTGGCTCGAACGTGAATACTCACCTTTGATTTTCTCGGGCTGATCAGGCTGTCATCCCCGTCCCATCCCCATCGCGGTCGCGGTCCCCGTCACTCACGATCTTCGCGTCGACACCAGAGCCTATGAACCATGTGCGTCCGACTCCTCAATTCTCCCCACCTCATGAGCGAATACTGACGACCGCTGGACAGAAGCGGAACTCCTTGACGCACGTCTTGCACAAGATCCTCCATCCACATCAGTCACCGCGCGAGGTCGAGGTCCAGGCACCTGCCAAACCCACGACGAGGCATTCGCATCCCAGTTCGGAATACCCTGTAAACTGCCTCTCATTTACATGAGGGCGGAACGAACCGAAGAAAAGAAATCCAATATTCATGGAATGACCCACTAGACTGTAGATATCTGTATGACACCTGTGCAATCTGAGACTCTTTGAGCTACGTTGCGTGAACAGTGAAATGAGAGGCGACTGCACGAAGAGTAGCGTATTGTGGCACTCTGTTACTCGACGCGCATGGCCAGCACGGGAAGAGAATTCTTAAATGTAACCTGAATGGGTTAGAATATTACACAGCTTGTATCCGCATGTGTTCGATAACCTTGACTTAGTTCCCGGACTCTGAAAGAGCCAGATATCGGTACGGCAAGGGATACCGCCCGGTCATTTACGACCGCGCTCATGCTGCTCCTGAGACCAAAGGACCAGATGCGGCAGACATCGGTGACCTTAGCTCCCCGAACCATCACTGAGATCAGCCTGGCCAGGGCCCAGAGCCGAGAGATGAGATAAACTTACCACTGGCAGGTCCATATAACGACATGTACCTGCCTGGATCCCTAGCCGGCCAACTACTGTCTCCCCGGTCCCTGCCCCGGCGAAATCGTAGGTACCCGAGGGGAAAATCGCAAGCAGAGAAGAATCGGATCGAATCATGACGTTGGCTATGGTACATGTGTTGTTGGTATTATGCATACAAGTTGGATCTCCGAAGGATCCCCGATCCCGGTATATCGTTGTACAGTGCTGGCGTTCAGGTCATGGAGGTGAGGAGATGGGGGTGCGTCGCGCGTTCGTAAATAGGCAGCGTATAGCTTAGCGGGATTAGCCTGGACGCAAGTTCAACGTCAGTCAGCCACCGTATGGACGAGCACGCACGTTGGATTTGAGTTGGATTGCACCGAGACTGTTGGAGCCATTGGATTCGACATGGAATCAACCTGAGGAGAAGGAGGTCCATCAGCGACGGACAACTTGGGCAGCAGTACAGTGGGCGAACTCACGGAAGGGGCAGTTCTTGGCGTGCTCGCCGCCGCGCCAGGTGCAGTGGGCGCATGTCGGTCCGTTCGATGCCGATTTCGTGCTCACCGGGAGCGCTGCGTGCGCGGAGGGCCCGGACGACGGAGCCGGAGCGGGGGTGGCTGCGGAAGTGATGTGGAAGTTGGTGGAGCACATGGCTGGATGGAAGAGGAGGAGGAGGAGGAGGAGGAGGAAGGTTGAGTTGTTTGTGAGCGAGGCTCGGGAGCAGTTGAGAAGGTGGTTCGTTGGCTGACTGCCCACCTCCGCCTCCTCGACGTCCTTTTTATGGATCCCCCGTCCCATGCCCTCGGCAAATCGCTGGGCACAGCCACGCTGAAATTCGGCGTGCTGCTCCTCATTTGCCGGGCACCACGTGCAGATCGTGGAGCTGAGATTAGATTTCGATGGTGATTCGGATCGGATCTGTTGCCTGTTTGAGATACTCCGTTGTCTGGTTTGTCTGTCCATGCGGCCCCACAATCGCAATCGCCATGCCCACCTCACCGTCGCTGCCCCTTTCTTTCTGCGTTGCGTCGAGTCAGAAGTGATGGATGAGACCGGGTGCAATTCAACAACGAGGACGCGGGTAGGTATGGAGGCCGGGAACTATATGCTGATAAACGGAGGACGTATCACTGATACGCGATAGTTTGCCGACATAGGATCAATTTCATGATGCGCTCCATGTCATGATGCGCTCTATCTGGACGGCTGAAAACGTTATACTAATGACCGATGTCTGAATCGTGGATGGCCGCTCGGCAGATATTGATCAGATGATTGACGCAATGATCAAGACCCCAGGTAGCCGACTATCGCAATATCGCAACATCGTAATATTCGAAAAGCGCAACATTCAAGATAGTGTAATATTCGAGATAGCGTAGTGAGCATGTAATTACTGTAATTCACTAATCATTTTCGCGGGAGTCTTCCTCATCCGAGAACCATGCGTACAGATCAGGACCAACAGCTTGCCGCAGCTGATTGATACGACACGCACCCGAGCGATCCGTTGGCCGAGAAGCCCTCTAGCAGCGGCGACTTGACACTCAAGTTGGTTTCCAGCATGTACCCCCACTCGCGCTCGATCAGATCAATTGCCCGCTCGCCCTTGCCGGCCACAAAATGCGCTTGGATCTGTCGCGCAGGTGACACGCAAACCACAAACCACCAGCGCAACACGCACCTCGAAGCCACGGCCTGATGGGCGTCCAGAACTTCATCAGCCCGGCGCTCACGGCCTTGTTCTGTGCGTCCGATGTCGTGAGGTTGTACAGGACCGCGAGCGCGTTGCCGTCCTGCGGGTGGATGCTCCTCGGCAGGTCGTTGCTGCGGAACCGGCCCGCCGCGGCGTCCCACAGCAGGCTGTTGAACGCAGTTTTGATCTTGGTCGCGTTGGCGAGGTATGTGGCGGGGAGGGAGACATTGCCGAGATGCGTCGCCAGGTCCGCCGTGGTGACGAGCGTCTACGAGCTTGATGAGCGCGGATACATGATGCGAGAGACAGAAATCAATCCTCACGCGATAAAGCAACGCGTTTGCCGCAGAGTTGTGTCCGGCGCCGCTGGCCCTGCCCCAGTCGTTCGAGAGCGCAGACGAGACGTTCATCAGGCCGGTCAAGTCCACCTGGCCCTCAAGGAAGCCAACCGCCTTGGTGTAGTTCGCCCAGACAGACTTGATGAAATCGAGGTCGCCCGTGTACAGGAAGTAGTTGTGCGTCCCAATGAGCGACCACGAGATGTACGTGTCGCTTCCCTGGTTGTTCAGCGGCGGCCCGGAGTACTGCAGCGCGCCAGTCGTCAGGTTTTGCGTGCGGAACATCACCATCAACGAGTTCTTGGTCGGCTCCATGTCGCTCAGCGCGACGAGCTCCGTGTGTGTGGAGATGCCGCAGTCGCCTGATCCGTCGCATGAGTCCGAGGGTTAGATCGCGTCCATGAGCATGAGGGGTTACCTGGCCAGATGTTCCTGACAGTACCAATGTCATCAGCAGGGATTGCACACACAGATCGCGACCGACCATTCCTCACCTGTCGCGTTTTGCACCATCGACGAGGATAGGCCCAGTGGCAGCTCCTCCCAAGGCATCGTTGGACCAGCCACCTACAAATGTGATCGCACAGTTTGAGTCCAAAATTCAGATCCACGCCGACACGAACCTCCTGCTGGGCACGGCTCCTGTCGCGCCGTGTGGGGAGGGATTGTGTTGGTCTGCACCCTATAGTGCCTGCTAGCGGTCAGCCCCCACCCACGCCACGCTCTGCCACATCAGCCAGCAAACAGGCGATGACGCACCGGCGTACCAGATCTTCGTGAGGAAGTCGATGTCGTGGAACCCGGGGTCAGGTGCAAAGAAGTAGCCCGGGTACGCCCTGAGATCATCCCAGTGGGGCATGAACGTGATCGCCAGCGAGATGTTCGAGATCGTCAGCGGGTCCGCGCTCGCACTCACAATCGTCAGGAAGCGGAACCCGCCGCGCTGCTGTCCCACGGTCTGCGTCAGCAGCCCCGTGGCTCGCGGCACGTGGAACGTCTGGATTCTGTCCCAGTTCTGCAGCCGTGCGGGCTGGCACGAGTCGTCCAACTTGAGCGGGCTGATGAACTCCGCGGACTCGGTGAACGACAGTGAGAACTGCGACTGGGCCGTCGCGTTGTTGATCGTCAGCGACAGGATCCCCCCAAGCTACAGTATGGGTGTGTGAATTGACCCTCGACGGCGCTGTATCAGGGAGGCCGCGCACCTCCTTCCCCAGTCGAACACGACGTACGAACCGCTGCCCTGGAATGTCGCCTGGGAGTCCGGACTTGCGACGAGCCTGCTCGCGCCGGCGACCCGGCCGCTGATCCTATCTCGAATGTTGCGCTTTTCGAATATTACGATGTTGCGATATTGCGATAGTCGGCTACCTGGGGTCTTGATCATTGCGTCAATCATCTGATCAATATCTGCCGAGCGGCCATCCACGATTCAGACATCGGTTATTAGTATAACGTTTTCAGCCGTCCAGATAGGCGCATCATGACATGGAGCGCATCATGAAATTGATCCTATGTCGGCAAACTATCGCGTATCAGTGATACGTCCTCCGTTTATCAGCATATAGTTCCCGGCCTCCATAGGTAGGTGACCTGGTAGATGACACGCTACTTATCTCTAACAGAAGGCATCCGCTTCAAGATTTTCCTAGGGCGCGCAACCTCGTGTGGGGTTGATTATTCTTGCACTCCACGCATGGGAGAGTCCGCTGACGTGCGTCAGCCGTCTGACACACGTGAGGATCCACTGATACTCGGATACCAGAGTCGGCCGAAGCTGATGCTGCGCTACAGCTGATTTCAAAAGATTGGGCGGGTTCTGTTCGTGTGGAGTGCCAAAAACTTGTTGATACCTGCTTGCTGTAGCATCCATACATCATAATTGTACGCGGTCTGGTGACTGCAACGCACACGGCTCCAAGCTCCAATGCCTCTGCGAATAAAAGAGAGAATTTTTGAGCTTGAGATGCAAGTCTCGTGGCAATTAACGACGGCCATTATCGCTGGAGTCGTCCGGACTATGCGCGTGGGAACTCGTGTCCACGCCAGATGCCAGCGAATGCCGTGAAGATGGATGTGTTCCACAGAAAAAGGATGATGATGACTAATGACTGTCTAAACTAGGAAACGCCCGCTCCAGACTCTCGGCACAGCCACAGGTGCCCCCCCTCAAGCGATGTCCGTCCTCGGACATGTCCCCCGTCTCGTCAATGGAAACGCCACGCATTGGGCTCCGCAGTTGCGGCCCTACTCGCCCGACGTTACCCCAGCTGCCCACTGGTTTTAGAGATCTGACTTCCAGGCTTCCTCCGCCATCCGTTCCTCTGCCGCTGCAATCTCCAGGTCCTGCGTCGTGGGATCCGGTGTTGTCGCGTCCCGTGGGTGCTTCTGGTCCAAGGTAGAATCACGTAGAGGGATGTAATGTCGTAGGCGTCTTGAATGTACAAACTGGAGGTTCGGTAGTGGCCTCCCTTCGAGGTCGCATAGCGAGAAGGAGTTGAGGTGCTGTGCGTAGATTTGTACCGGTGCCGACCAGCGCGGTTTTAGTTTGTTCACGGAGAGGCGGTTGTTGTCTGCCTCCGAGTCGTACCACTGTACCAGGTCCCCGATCACGAAGCGCACAATCTTCGAGTTCGCTTCGAAGCTGGACTTTTGCTGTGCTGCCCGCTCGAGTGATCGGAGGTGTGCCGTCCACCGGATGCTGTCCGCTATCGCGAAGTGAATGTCCGCGTCTGATGCAGTCGTCTCACTTAGCTGGTCTGGCGTGGTCTGGTCCCGCGTGAAGGGCCTTCCAAAAAGCAGCTCCCTTGGCGTGGCTTTGAGCGCTATCAGGATCCGGTCATTCATCATGCGTAGTGCCTCATCAAAGTGGTCTGGCCAGTTCCTCGGTATGTCCCCTGGGTCCACTGTCCCTTCGTCTGTGTCGTGGTCGGGTGCGCATAGGCGTTTCAAGATCTTCAGCAAGATCTTGTTGCTCCCCTCTATGAGGCCATTCACCCAGGGCGAGTATGCCGGGGTCGTAATGTGCTTGACGTTGTTTGCTGCACAATAGTCGGACACCGCCTCGTTCCGGAAGTGTTTCCCTCCGTCTGCCATGAAAGCGTCAGGTACTGCATGTTCGCGGAAGATATGACTCAGCGAATCTATGGTTGTCTTGGCGGTGCCCGCCGACTTCAGCTTCGTTCCCCATACGAAGTGTGAGAACACATCCACGTAGAGGCCCACGTTCTTGAAGCCCCCTTTGCCATCCGGTAGCGAGAGGTAGTCCCCAGCGATTAGGGCAAACGGCAGGGTGCGGCGGATAGGTTGTAGGAGAGAGTTGCGCGTTGGGGCGCCGAAGCTCTTGCATCTCGAGCATTCGAGCATTACCGATCGGCAGTCCGTGTCCATGCCCGGCCAGAAGTAGCGGTCCGATAGTTTAAGCTTCGTGCTTTCGACATTGAAATGTCCGTTTTGTGCGTGGACTGACATTGCGAGGTCGAACCCTTGCGCCGTGGGGATACACTCCGTCCTTGCGACCCGACGTGCTGCTGTGTCCGCGACCCGCCAGAGCTTGCCCTCCTCTATCATGAAGCCCTCAGCTCTGTGTGCTAGTCGTCTGCGCTCCGCAATTGAATGTCCGACCGTGTGTCCAAGGAGGTAGTCGACCACTGGGGCAAAGAACAAGTCGTCCGCGAAACGGGCCTGGAGGGGGTGACTTGCCGTGTGCGTCTCCGTCACCGTGAATACGTCTCTGGCGATTCCTCCCGCTGATTCCCAGTCTGCCGCGACCGACCATGACGAGCCATCCTGCTCTGTGCGGTCTCTGTTTGCCCACTTCCTGCTCAGAGCGTCCGCCACTGGGTTTTCGACGCCAGGCCGATGGCGAATATCGATGATGTTGCGTGCCAGGATCGACTCCTTCCAGCGGCTATGGTGGGAGTTCAGTTTCTCCCGCATCAGCGTATCGCGTAGGGCCTGGCAGTCCGTTTCGATCTCGATGGGGGAGCCATATGTGTACATCTCGAACTCGTCTAGTGCGTACTTTAAGGCAGCAAATTCGAGTAAAAACGGCTCGTACTTAGCTTCACTGGCTGATGTGCGTTTGGAGCAGAACGCAATCGGGTGCCACTGCTTTATCTCCTTGCCGTTCTTGTCTTTATGGGGGAACTCTTGTGCCAGGTACCCAGCAAAGCCCTCTGCTGACCCGTCTGTTGTGATCTTGAATGGGCGGCCATCGTATTGCGGCGTTTTCAGAATCGGCTCCTGCGACAGCAGGCACTTGAGCGTTACGAACGCGCGCTGTTGGGCGTCACCCCATTTGTGTTTGATTGATGCTGACTTGAGGGCTCGTTTGTATTCCCCCTTCCGCACACGCCAGTTCGAGCTCGGTGCCGCTACTTCCACGTTTCTTGTGAGGTCCGTGAGTGGGGCCGCGATGCGTGCAAAGGCTGGGATCATCTTCCTAAAGTATCCTGTGATGCCGAGGAAGCCCATGAGGTCAGATACATTCTCGGGCACCGGCCAGTCGACCACGGCGCCAACTTTGTCCAGGTTCGGCTTCAAGCCCGATGGCCCGACTACCGCGCCAGCGAATAGGACCTCGGTAAAGAAGAGCTTCGTCTTTGATGGTGAAAGTGACAGCTGTTTCTCGCGGCACCTGGTGAAGAAGCGTTTCAGGTTGGCCAATTTGACTTCGAATACATCACCGGGCAGGCAGATGTCGTCCATCCAGTTAACCAGTTCTCGCCCAATCATGTCCTCCAGCGCAGCGGCGACCATCTCGCAGAAGGTAGTTGGGGCTCCCGTGAGGCCAAACGGCATGCGAAGATATACAAAATACCCTCTTCCTTCGACGTAGAACGCTGTGTACGGGACTGTCTCGTCGTCCAGTGGGACCGCGTAGTATCCAGATGCAAGGTCGATCACGCTTGCCCAGCGGTGCCCTGCTGCAAATTGATGCTTTGCCCCGATGTCGCCGTGCGGGAACGGCGGTACTTGGGACGCCTTGTTGAGGGCCGTGAACGCGTGGCACACTCTCCACTTCGTTGTCCTGGTGCCCCTCCCGGTGTCCTCCTCTGTCGCCTCCAGTATCGCTTCGCTTTGGCTTGTGTCTGGATTCTGGGCCCCGACTTCCTCCCAAAAGGGTGGCAACCCGTTTTTCGTGCATTCTTCGTTCACCCGTCTGAGAACATCCGCTCTTGTGAGCCCGGTTTTGCCTGCGTCTTTGGGAGCCAAGTTCGTGCTGTTCAGACATTTCAAAAACTCGCCTGGGACCCTTTGAATTACGTGCGCTTCCTCCATCTCGTCCAGGACGTTGTAAAACCACGATTTCTGGTTCTCTGTGAGCGGGCGCTGTGACATGCGCGTTGGTAACTTGATCTTCGGGTCGACGTCAATGTGGTGTTTCCACCAGTCCACGAATAGGACCTCCGACATTGACAGGGCAAACACATCCGCGTATTCTCTGACAAGCGCAACCACTTCTTCTCTCTGCCCCGTCGTCAGGTCCGTCCCAATTTGAACTGCGTCTATGATCTTGCTGACTCGTTCCTTATTGAACGGGTCCGTCGCGCGGATTGACTTGTTTGCACCACGGTCGATCTCGAAGCCCTCTGAGCCCGTGGCCGTGTTCGCCGAGAATATCGTTTCAGCTGTCTCTGTCGCTTGCTCCCCGTCCAAGTCCGCTGTTCTCTCTGTGGTAATGGACCTGAGTTCGTCCAGCCTCGATCGAAGGTGTCGCAGTCTTTGATCGGACCGGCGAAGCTTGGTTTCGTTGTCTTGTCTACCCGATGTCCGCCATAGCGCCGCTATCACCGCTTCCCTCCGTCTCATCCTCCATCTTGCTGCATCTGTCTCTGTCCTTTTCTCCCTCACCTCCTTTGCTGTCCCTCCTCGTTTGCTTTCCTCATCCTGTGCCTCTTCGCTCCGTCCTTCGATGTCCAGGGTCTGCTCTGCTCCCTCTGCCGCTGCCTGCGTTTGCTTCTGGTCTCCGCCTCCTGGCTGCCTTGTTCTGGTTCTGTCGCCCGCCGACTGGGTTTGTGGGACGCCTGTGAGCTCTCTATTGGCCGCGTTGTCTTCCTGTGTTGCTGATCTTCGCTCCTTTTCTTGCCTGCCGTCGTTGACGTGGTGTGTTCCTTCCAACCTTGCTCTGGTGGGCTGTGTACAAGGCAGCGCTGAGGGGGACTGGGGTGGTTGGGCATCCTGTGGTGCGTCTTTCGGCTCATTCTGTAACGTTGTTTCTTGTCCCGCGGCCGTGATGCGTATCTCATCATTTTCGTAGTTGTGGACGGCTCGCACGCTGTGTAGCCACGGCTTCCCTAGGATCACGTCGAATGCCCCGCCGCCCTGGAATACCTCAAACCATGCTCCTGTCGTCACTCCGCCCACTGATACTTGGCCCCACCACCGTCCTCTTGGCGTGATGCGTTCACCACTTGCTACCTTGAGGATTGTTCTTGATGGGGCTAGCTTGCCCAAGCACTGTCCGTATTGGGCCCATCGTTCCGTCGAGATACAGTTCCGCATGGCTCCGTTGTCAATCTGCGCTGTCAGGCGGACTATGTTGCCTGCGTCGTTGGTGAGGCGGATTCGCTGGTAAAACGGTTCGACGGCGGTTTCTGGGAGGGATCCCACACTCAGTATGGCGCTAGGAAGGGGTGCCCTATACTCGAGAATCCGTGTATTCGTTGGTTGGCCTAATACAAATGGTATTTCCGAATCGTCGTCCCGTGTAAAAACTTCCCGGCGCCTCCGTGTTGAATGGTCTCTTTCCGGGGGATTTGGAGGGTTTGGAGCAACACCACCCCCTACAAGGTGTGCTCCCCCCCGTTTCCCTGTTCCTCGTTCTCCTCTTGCTCGCCGAAATCAATGGGCTCATTGGCATCCAGTTCACCAAATATGGCGTTGATTGGCACCGCTCCCATCTGTCGGGGAGGGAACACCGCTGAGTGGACCCATCGTCGGATGTTCGACTCAACGATTGGTATTGGTAACGGTGCGGCGCAGCTTCCAGCGCCGTGGGGTGGGTCTCGAAGGCCGCACCGGTAGCACTCCCGTGACCCTGGTGGGAGTGTCCCCGGCGAAAATGGGAACGTGAGCACGTCCTTGTTACCGGTCTGCCAGGCAGCGAACTCAGCTTGGTATTTGCGGAGCCCCTGTGCGTCTTTTGCGTACAAGTGGGTGGTCTGTGTCAACGCCCTTGCTGTTTCCTCGTTCCCGAGCGATGGTATTGCGGGTTTCGTGTTGGGGATGGGGCCGCGCCCTGCCGATGGGCTGATTGGCGAGGCAAAGACGTCCCTGCTGAACGAGCTTGTGGGTCGTATGGTTGTGCCCGTCCATTGGCTTGCTGTGCCCATGTGCGGGGGTTGCTGTCGCACTGGTGTTGTTGGTGTGAACATTGCGCGTGGTTGTTGTGCCAGCTGCTGTGTCTGTGTCGGCGTTGCTTGTGGCATGAACGCAGGGGCCGGGATGCGCGTGTTTGACAGCTGGAATGCTTGCCGATGGCGTGGGCGTGTCGGGGAAAGGATGTGGGTGACGTCCAGGGCGTGCGCCAGGCTGGCTACAATGGACTCTGCCCCTTCCCGTGCTGATCCTGTGGTTGTTGCTGGGCCCTCTTGCCGTTCTATTCGATTCTCTGCCATCCAATCGTTGATGGCGTAGATTGATATCGCCTCAAACGCCGCGAACCAGGCATCCCATGTCTTTTTCGTTGCTTCCTCCGAGATCAAGCGGCAGAATCCGGGCGGCAAGGTGGCCCGTATCTCGCCCATCAGCAGCATCGATGGGTCTCCTCCCTGGAGATCGTTGACAAGGCGTCTCGCAATCTGCGCCCATGCTCGATGCGCTGGGATGCGCGTCCCGTCCTCGTCTTCCACCATTTCCCCCACTGCCTTCGCCTCTAACACGTTCTCCTTCAGATCCTTCATCACCTCGGAGTTCTCCCGTGCGGTGTAAGAGGGCGGCGGCCACTTCTTCTCGAAGGCTGCAGTGATCCTCGGCCAGTCTGCCTTGTCTGCTGCCGGTAGCGTTTTGTACCAGACCTCTGCGGGGCTCCCTGGGTACAACGCCCGCTCAAACCTCCACCTCTTTTCGTCGTCCTTCGCGTCGAACTTCCACATCTGCTCCAGCTGTCTAAGCCAGACATTTGCCTTCTCTGCTGTTCCGTCCCCCTTGAAGAGCTCTGTTTTTGGACCCATGCTATGCTCGTCCTCGTCGTCTGATATTGGTGGTGTTTGTGCGCTGTGTGGTGTCTTTTCTTGCACCTGGTTCTGATCCGGCCCAGCTGTGTGGTCCGCGTTGATACCGCTGGGTTCTGATGACGCTGTTCTCCGTGCTAGACGGAGCCGTCGAAGCTGTCTTTGGGCTTCTCGCGCGTTCTTTTCAAGTGCGTGCTTGGCTTGGATACGTTCGTATTGGCGGAGTTGTCGGTCCGAAAGGTACGACGGTGTTTCAGGTGCCAGGGCGTGGTTTTCGATCCCTCCAATCACCAAGTGGAGTCGTCCGGACTATGCGCGTGGGAACTCGTGTCCACGCCAGATGCCAGCGAATGCCGTGAAGATGGATGTGTTCCACAGAAAAAGGATGATGATGACTAATGACTGTCTAAACTAGGAAACGCCCGCTCCAGACTCTCGGCACAGCCACATCGCAAACACACCCGGATTGTCAATGGGTGGACTACTCTAGTGGACGCGCCTCCAGATCTCTGCACGCACCACAAGATCATAGGCCCGAAGAACCCTGGGTTCTTCAGAACTGAGAGGGATTCTCCTCTCAAGCCCAGCCTGAATGCGTCGTTGTTGCCCGACTACCCTCCGCACCGAGTGCTCCGAGATCATCAAGTCTGCGGCAATCTGTCGCTGTCGCCGCCGAAGCTGATGAAACTGATAGAGGACAAGTCGTCGATTTTCGAGGGAGATACGGGGATTGGTACCCATAGTGAGCTGCGAAGCGGCGACGGGCCATCGGTCCACGGAAATGGGTAGGTGGAGCAAGTGTGGGGTACAGGTAACAGGTACAAAGAACTATCAATAAGTTTTTGGCGCTCCACACGAACAGAACCCGCCCAATCTTTTGAAATCAGCTGTAAGCGCTCGCGACAAAAAGCTGCAGCGCACGAGATGAAAATAATCCGGGAAGCTTGTCCCGTGTGCATGGATATCCGTGAGTCATTACGTACAGTGATACCGATTGATCCATCATAATGATGGCGCAGCCGCGGGTTTAGGTTCAAGATATGATAATCGATGATGGAGAATGTAGGGAAACCCGACAAACAAAAGAGCTGGCAGTCCTCGTGGACAAACAAAAAAAGTGTTGAGATTGTTAACGGGCAGGATAAAGACAATGTTCCGAGTCCTCGGCCACAGTGGAATATCGAGTAACAAAGATCGTTCACCTTGCCATTTTCCCAGCGACGGAATCTCGGCGCATGATCTGCGCCCTCCCCTTCGCTGTCCCTGGTGGCATTTTGGACCCCAGCGCCACCGCCACCGCCGGAGCAGTACCCACCCTCATCTTGTGCATCTCACGATCATTCTCCTTGTCCTCCTTGTCCTTCTCGCGCCGCCGCCGGTCCTCAACCCGCCGGTCCGTGCTGAACGAGACCGGGCGGGGGACCGTCACCGACCTGGCGGTCGCTGCGGCTGCGGCGGTGGACTGAGCCACCGCGAGCCGGGCGGCCTGTGATGCGTGCAGGGCTTTGAAGTCTGGCACGCCCCGTCGCGGGAGGTCATGCGCAGCTAGAGACAAACTCGGACGGGGACGCGAGGAGGACGCGTTCGATCCGGCCCGCGCTGGCCCCGCTGCAGCGTGTTTAATGGGGACGACCGAGCCGCCACTCAGCGTCGCACGCCGAGCAGCGATCGGCTGGAGCGCCTTCGCGTCGGTGCGTGAGCTAGGTGGTGCAGGATTCGAGGTCTAGGGACAGATCGAATCAGAAGGACGGGCAGGCATGTGAGTCCGCCACTGACTTTCGCGGTGTGCCTTGCGGCAGAGGTACGCGCGGCATTATTACTCGCGGGAATTCTAGTGACAGAAGCCAGCGAAGCACGTCGATGGACCAGAGACGCCACCGGGGGATCAGCTGCCCGCATTTGCGGGGTCATAGTACTGCCAGCAGATGCTCGACCGGCTTTCGTTACACCCGATGCAGCTGGCCGCTTGGCAGCCGCAGGCTGGGCGTTTGGCTCGCGCGCCGCCACCGGGACAGTACGTAGAACCGTGCTGATTCGTGGAGCAGGTGTCGTCGTGGCGCGCCTAGCGTTGGTACTGGCCGATCTCAGAGGAGCTGCAGCTTTGAGTTTGGGCGCGGCTTTTGGGGTAATGATGCAAGTCGATTTCGGCCGCGCTAGTCTGGAACTTTCCAAGGCTGTTGGTAGCTCGAGCTTCGACGGTACTACCTTCTCCGCTGCGGATTCGTTAGATGCCACCAAAGCCGACTTCTTCGGAGCACAGTCCCGCAGTTTGGTACGAGTTCTGGTATCTTCGTCCTGCTGACGGTGGTCAGGAACAAGCTCTGCTCTAGAACGATTCATCCGCACGCACCACGGTTTCCCCTGATTTTGTTTCCCATCCTACTCTTTCCTGCGTTGTCGGTTCGCTACCCCACGCACCCTCCTGATTCGGAGACTCGATAATGATACTGCGTTACGGCAAAAATAGATCAGTTTATTTGCGGCACACAAAACCGCGGAGACTCACACTGGAAGACCCGTACTCCGACGCTCCGGTCCATCGTCATCTACCCTCCGCGGCGAACCGTTTCCGCACGAACATTTCAGCCGGGCGATAATCATGTTGCCGCTCGCTTGAGCGTCGGGATGTACGGCAGCAGCGGCAGCAGCAGCATCAGCACGCGTGGGCGCTGACAGCCCGTCCAATGGATTCATGGGAATGGAATCAACCAGCGTCGACAGTTCATCGTCTGCGTCGTAACTACAATCGTTCGCCACGCGTGCCTCGGCGTTCGTCAGCAGAAAGGAAAAAACAAGCAGTATCGATGACCGAGACTCACCTTGGCCCGCACCTCGGGTAGCAGGCTGCTTTCATATCCGCGCTCCCTAGCTGCACGGCTGTCAAGGGATCCAGCTCCAGCTCCAGCTCCAGCTCCGGCTCCGGATGCATCTGGGACCACCGCATGGGAGGAAACGGAGACATCTTGTGCCAGTGGCTCTTCCGTAAGGCTCGGCAACGGAAGATTCGGCCTTTGCTCCGACTCAGCGCGATCTGCAGCGAAACCCTCGTCTTCCTCTATGTCTGCGACCAGGAGATTTGAGAGCCCGCGCATGGACAAATCGCTCTGTCCTGGGGCCAGCAGCACACGACGGGACTCAGTAGCAGTGACATGACGGGTGGGCGTCCGAGACGAAAGCTCGCGTGGAAGTGAGGGGTTGTGAGGTAGATAGTCTGCTTGTCGGCGCGCTCGAGTCTTCTCGGCAGTGTGTCCTCGCTGTGGCAGTTCCTGTGGAGGTGCCTGTGCGGTGCGGACCGACTCTCCCTCCGATCTGGTCCGGCACTGATCCGAGATCATATGTTGATGCTCAGCTTCGTTCACATCATCCCCGGCCCGGGGTGCCGGGTCAACTGTTGGGACGCCCATGATGGGGCATTCCTTCGGGCCCTCGTTCCAGTTCTGCCCGACTCCTGCCGCTTCGAGTACTTCCACCGTGCGAGCGCGCACCAGATCTTCCACCCGCAGCAGCGGCTGGTACGGTACCACCGTGGGGACGGGCGGCGGCGAGAGAAGCAGCTCCCCAACCTCCTTCCGGACCCCCGCGAGCTCCAAGAAATCCTCCGGGCTTGCATCGAGCAGAGACTCCCCGCGTACGTCCGGGTCGAATGAAATCGAGAATGAGGGGGCGGCTGAGTCGAGGAAGAGGACGTGGTACGAGAGGCTCGAGTCGGCCATTGAATACTGGAGTGATCGGTATTGGGGTTGGCAGTGCAAGCGAAAGTCGTTGACGCAAGTTAACATCGACTTTAGCTCGGTTCAGGTACTGGTCAACATAGTCACGTGCCTTAACCACGTCGGGATTCGTTCGATCCCGCACTTCCTGGATCAATCGAAGGTTTTTCGGCTCTTGTTTTGTGTTAAAATGAAGTGAGACTTATCATTTTGTTCTGGAACACTGATGCCGCCAGGGAAGTTCATGAGAAGAGGGTCGGATGCATTGACACGCAACCATATTTGTCAAGTCAAAATTCATTAATCTAGTGATTCAACTCAGAGTCCGAATTGTCATGTCAAACCACTCTGGTCTAGACATGTCTGACCATCCGCTCTATTATTTCCGAGAAGACACAGCCAGGACAACAGCGACAGGGCAAGCCACAACGAAAGCCGCCCATGGAAGCCAATCGCCAGCGAGACGCCGAAGCGAAGTGAGCGCATTTGCCGTCAACGCCGCTTGAAACTCCGCCGCATCATTCACATGTGGATACTCCACACCCTCTGGGACCGGCACCTCCAAAAAGGCGCACAACTCCGCCCACCCCGCGACCTTCACGTCGAACTCCAGCAGTCGGCCAGCCGCCAAGCGGCGAACAAGCTCGTAATGCGCGACGAACCGCGCCTGCGCCTCTGCTGCTGTCGGAGCGGGGCCAACGAGCTGGTCGACGTGCGTAAACGCGACGGACGCAACGCGCCGCAGGCCGTATTTGCCCGAATCGAGCCAGACGGCGACGGCGAAGAGGCGGTGCCGCAGCATGCTGTTGACGGTCCTTGCGTAAGACGTCCACCACCGCTCGGGGTCGCGCAGCGTCAGGATGACCTTGGCATCGGGGTATGCGGCGAGCAGATCTTCCGCGTAAATCGCACAGGGTGCGTCAGTCACTGCCTGGAAAAGAAAGCGATGAAGCGCCGTGAGTAAGCATTATTCCCTACATGCGACACGACATCGAGTTTCACCTGGCAATGCCCCAGGATCTCGTCCCAAATCTCGCGGCCCACAGGCTCCCCGCGCTGCTTCATCCCCAGCACCTTTTCCCACATATCTGCATCCGGCGGGTTCGCAAACACGGCTCGCATGTGGTACACCGCATCGAACCCCAGAATCTGCAGCGCCTTCTGAATGGCTGGGGAATGCGCGAGCGGGTCAGCGGCGGGAATAAGCGGAAGCGGTTTGAAAGGCAGCACGCACACGCAGTGCCCGTGCGCGGGAACCCCAGAACGAGCACCTTCATGGGAACGGTGCGTGTTTCGCCGCGCCGCGAGCGCCACTGGGCTCGTGGAGTGATCCAGCTGACGCTGGGATTCTGGCCTGACATGACGGTGGGAGAAGGAGCAGGTATTGCTCCTCTCTTCCCCCGCAAAAAGCTGCTTCGAGCAGCTTCGACCTGTCGCAGTTCATTTCCCAATCAATTTTGATGCCCTGCGATATAAACTATTAAATCGGTCGTCTATATGGCACAAAAACCACCCCCCGCCGATGTTAGTAATTACAAGGGTGATTGGATTATCGAGCAGGAATTTCACTGATACTTGCTAGACTCAAGACTTCCTTATCGCAACTTGACATCAGTAGTAGAACGATTAGTCGTCGATGTTCTGAGCCGTCACGTCTGAAAGCATGTATGAAGAAAGCCCACAAGAGGTCACTTTCTTTTCAAGAAACGGTTCTCGGTCGGAGATATCGCCCGCCTTTTCCTGGGTCATGATCCGTCCATCCAACTTGAGTGATGGAGAACATGTTGGATTATCATGACAGTTGAGGTATCATGACAGTTGAGGTAGTGAATTCCAATGTTCTACGAGGCTCCATGTAATGTCGAGTGAATGACCAGGAGCAATGGCTGATATTGGGGTCTCGTATCAAGTGCAGAAAAGATATGCCTAGTACTGCTATTGCCGTGCAATGAATCCCGGCTGCTAGATTCTCGCCTTCCCGATGGAGGCCACTTGCCAACCATGCTGCACCAGAACTTGCTTCGTAGTGCCTAGCTAACTTAGTCTTCCCAATGTACCTGATAATGCCCCAACATCTGGTCCCAGAACTCACGCCCAACGAGCTCTCCACGGCGCTTCATCTCGAGTGCCTCCTCCCACATCCCTGTATCGGGCGGATTCTCGAAGATCGACCGCATGTGATTCAACTCCTCGAGCCCCAGGGTCTGCAGGGCCGCCGGGGTGTGCCCGTGAGCGAGCAGTAGGAGGACTAGTAGCTAAAAAAGCGTGTCCCATACACGATTTCCAGGTCCGTGAGAACCCCAGGGCGAGCGCTTTCATGGGCACGGTGCGTCATTCTGACGGCGGATTGATCCAGCTGACGGCGGCCGCATCGTTGGACATGGGGGAGGCACGAAGTAGAGAGGAGTGGGAGCTCCCCTCTCACTCCGCGAGGAAGCGCAGTCTATCTGCCTCTACCTCTGCCTCTTAGCTTTCACTCGGAGTCGTAATGAGCTACTCGATGAGAGACTTTGATAATGCATACGTATACAAGTCAGGACGTATATGCCATGGCGCAGGTATTCGCGGAAGTTCGGCCGATGGAGTGGACAATTCACTGCACTGGTTCATCGTGCGTGAGTGAACAGCTGGTCATCCAGCTGACTGAGAATGGGAATGAAAACATTTGGCACCCCCCATCTGAGGTTCACGACGATCGAGCACCCGAGACAAGCAAACGAACGAGAAACAGAGAAGATATGTAGATCAGCAAGCGAACAACACGACAAGTACAACTTCGACGACCACGTCGAGATAATCCATTTTACGCCTCCCCCCGGGCCCTCTTCAAGTTTCTCCCTCCATGGGCTATGCCATTCATTCTCCAAAGCTCTTCCCCGATCTCTGCTTCCTCTGCTTCCAGCTCCTCGGATCCACGCTTCGCCAAGCCCAGATTCATGCCCCACCGCTCATCCGCGGGCACATTAGCGAGCCGCGCGCGTTTGGGCGGCGTCCCCGGCGCCTCCGAGGTCATCGAGCCATCCAGTCGCTTGCCATGGCGATCGTCATCACCGTCATCCAACTCGCATTCGTCCACGGAACGTTTTCGCGCTGTCCGCAGTAGCGGCTCCGGAACATCTACATCGTCCTCCGAATCGGGGATGACGATCGACACCACACCCAGTCCGTCCTCGTCCTCGTCCACGTCGTACTCGGAGGGGATCTCGATCACGAGCGGGTCCTGTTCGTCCCCCTCCTCCTCCTCCTCTCGGGACGCCGGCACTGGTACGACCGGCGGCGCGGGGAGACTCAGCCGCACACTGCTCACGTGGTTGGCAGCGCTGCTGTCCGTCTCGGCGGCGAGAGCGGCCGCTTCGGCCCTGCTACAAATGCTGCACGAGCACACATAGACGTCCCGGCACGCCTCGCGCCACGTGGTCCACAGCGCGTCCGCCGCCGCCGGCCCGAGCTCCCGCAGGATGTCCCCCGGCGTGTCGGGTTCGGCGGGGACCGGGATGCGCGGGATCGCCGACAAGATGTCTTCCCCGTCATACCACGCTGTCTCGTCTTCTCGCAGGGTACGAAGCACAGCGGGGAGGGTGACGCGCGAGATGCGGAGCACGGCATCGGGCACATCGTCTGAGGATGCGTCGTCCGACATAGCCACGCGGCGCACGACATTCAGCATCGCTGGGCCAAGGATCGCGCGCATCTGACGCCCATACGCGACCTGGGCAAAGTGCGTAAGCGTGTCAGACGGCGGTGGCAGTGGCGGTGTTCTGGATGGTGGGGTGGGGGATGTCGAAACAGACCAGGGAAGTGGATGCATCGTTTTCTCCGGATCTGACTGGTGTCAGGGGGATGATTGACCGATCGCACGAGAAGGCTCACCTGTACCGATGGCGTAATACTCGTCTGCCGGTGCAGTCCATCTTCCGGACAGAATCCGTGCGCGGGCCCAATCGCCCAATGCCATGTCGCGCACGGCAGCATCGAGATTTTCTGCCATCTCTACCTCATCTTCCTCTTCAGACTCCTCTTCATCCTCTGCCTCGGAATCAAACATCTCGTCCGACCCCAGTTCCGAGCCGACATCCGAATCCTCATCAGAGGACACCTCGTCCGGGACGTACCCCGCCCGCGCATAAGCGGCCTGATTCGCTGCTGTATTCTCAAACCGGGCTCGTGGGCCGGGCGTCTCCGCTCTCCGCCGCTGTTGCTGTTCCCGGCGCCGACTGCGCCGCCCCACACCCAATCTCCGCGCCTCGACAGCCTCACGCATCATTGCGTTCCAACGCGTCTGCCGGGCCAGCCACGCCCGTTCCGCGGCGCCCCGAAGCAGCGAGTCCACCGTGCCTTCGCCCAGATCAAGCAGATTCGTCAGTGCTCCTCGTGTGAGCAGGTCGCGCGGCCGGAACATTCCAATTGTGTCCGGCGAAGGTGGGTAGGTGATTCCGATTGCCGCAAGCAAGGAGTGCTGGGGCGACGATGGCGACCTCGATCCATCAGCACTGCTGCCCAAGTCCAGGCCGCGCAAACTGAGCCCCCGTCCGACCCGCTCGGCGTCCCCTTCGCCGAGTACACCGCGCACCGCTGCGCGCCAAATCCACTCCCCGCGACACCCACGACACGTGACATTGATGCCCGGAAACGAGCGGTCTTTCTCCCCGACGCACGCGAGTCCATCCCGGTTCTCAAGCCACCCGACGAGGTGGGCCTGCTGCTGAGCTGTGTGCGGGTGGTTGTAGTAGTGCGGGTACTGCTGCGCGTGGTACTGCGCCTGGATCGCTGGCAGGACTGCCTTGACGGCAACGCTCAGATCGACACCGCACCCCACTGCGGGCGGCCAAGATGCCGTTAGCACCATAAACCGTTCTTCCTCGTCCACGCAGGCCCGAGCGCGGGCAGCCGACGCCGAACGTCTGGCGCGCACCTCCTCAGCGGTGTGGGTGCCGGTACCGGTGCTGTCATCTGCCCACCGCCAACGCATTTCCTCCTCCCTCGCCGACTTGACGAGCTCCGCCCTGCCTGACCGCGCGAGTTCCGGGTCTCGAAGACACATCCCGCACCATCGGTCACGCCGCGTGTTGGTCGATGAGTGGTCCTTGCAAGCCGGAACGTAACCCAGGTGGAGCGTCCGCTGAGTGCGCCGCACGTTGTTCATCAGCAGCGGCGCAGGCGCGTGCGGCATAGCCAGACGGCACAGAAGGCAGGTGCTCCCCGTCAGCAGGCGCAGATGTCGGTAGGGTGTCATCGGCGCGCCCGCGCTACTGTTGCTGTTACTCGTGTTGTTGTTTTGATTCGGCGGGGCCGGTTGCGCGTAGTGCGCCGTTGCACGCGTCGGGTCATACACCTCGATCGCCGCGTCCCAGAAGCTGTGCGTCTCCACTTGATCGTCCATCAGCTTGAGAACAAGACGTTGCAATGCAGAAACGCGTACACGCCAGTGACCAGTCCATGCATACGCTCATCACGGTCTCCATCGCCAACGCGTCCAGTGCCGCCAGCCAAACACGCCGTTCCGCCTCCATGAATGCGAACGCATTTGTGGACTCCGTCGGTCGCTGGGGTAGCGGGGGTTCATACACTGCAGGCACGACGTACGACGCCGAAGCGTTGAGGCGGTGGTAAGAGGCGATTAATCTGTGGAGGTGTCAGAGCGCATGTTGGTGGAGATGAGAAAGGAAAAAGGAAGGGTGCAGAATGCAGGAGGAGGCGTAGATTACAGTAATAGTGTCAATGATCTTGATATCAAGGATCGCTGGTCGTGTGGCGCAACCGCGCACACGTCCGATACCAGATTGAGATGGCAAAGGCGACGCGAGAGGTGCACGTGTAAACGTAGAAGTGTGCAATGCATCGCAAGGAGCAGAGACCGAGCAAGAGGAAAGAGGCAGGAAGAAGACATGACAAGACCCACCTCACGACCTCCCCGGGTAATTGCGCCCACGATCGCGTGCCCTTGCCTTTCAGCGGCCGGTCTCGCGACTTTGTCGTCATCACGGCCGCTCCTAAGCCCTCTTCCCCTGGCCCCTCCGATTTGTTTTGTGTGCCCGCTTTTGCCTCTGCGTCTCCGTATGTGTCCTGTTTCGTCTCTTCAACGTCTGGCTCGTCGACGGTCGACGAGGGCGTGGATATCGTGCTGGCAGTCGTGGTAGCGTTGGATGCGGTGGTATTCGTAGTGGAGCTTGTCGTCGTCGCCGATGCTACAGTCGTTTCCGGGGACGCGGACGCGGACACGGATGCCGCAGAGCCACGCTCCTCGTCCTCTCCATCTGCATGCGCATCCCAGCCCAGCGCGTCATCGTCTACCACGCAAGTATGCACCGCGTGCCCGTGCGCGTCCGGAAGGGTGTGCATGAATGTATCCGACATGGTCAGTGCGCTGTGACAAGCGCGGCGCGATTCGATTGGGGGACAAACAAAAAGGCGTGATGGGGATCGATGACGAAGCGGTGCACCCAAACCAAGACAAAAGGCGTGGCGGTGGTGTGATGGGATCAGTGCGCACGGACCCGATGACGTTGAGATGGTAATCAGGGGCCTTCAGTTGGGACAAGGCGGCGAATGAGCTTGAGCTTGTATTTGAGAGGCGCCGTGAGACGCACCGTGAGACGCAAGTTGACGGATTTCTGATCGATACTTCACACCGCATCCGCTGACTCTCCGACTGCATCTGGAGCTATCAATCGCTTGTTAGTACAAATCAACTCGGAAACTATGCTGACTTGATCTAGTGGCTAGATACCTTTTAGGATACCATGATCCGGTCTAACAACTCATAACCGATTCGACTTTCGTGTCCCAGGATTCGATTTTCGAGACCAAGACTTGAAAGCTGAGCCCCAGACGACCCGTTCTGTCATCACTCACCGCACGACTGACCGTTCGCCGTGAACGAACAGTTGATCCGAACAGTTGATCCGATCGTTCCCGACAGCCCTCATGCTTCTGTTGACGTCCAGGAACATCGGTCCTCACTCCTCCACCGCTGCTCCCCCGTCTACACTCGGGGACTGTGTTGACTTGAGCTTTGGTTACAAAGCGAACGCGGTTTCCTTGGAAGCGGACTAGTGTGCTGGCCGACAGACGTGCCTTGGTCGATCTCGACTAGTTTGATTCGCGCAGCTCTAGCACGGTCCCGACACATCGAACGCCGCTGCCACTTTCCTTTCCGAGTACTTCCAGGATGCACTGTGAAAATCCTCGGCGCTCACACTTTACTCAATTCGGGGACGATTCACATGGAATGGAATCTTTCATTCGACTCAATACCGCCACTGCTACTGCACGCTCATTCCATTTTTCTACGTCACTTTAGCGGCCGCACTGAATTCGAAGCGAACTGTGTCGTTGTCCAATTTCCGTCAACGGGCTAGTAAACTGACGGACTGCCAGACAGGTCCTTGCTCAGTTCGACTCGGCCACCTCCCGGACGATTGTCACACACAAACCGCTTTGTTTCCGCACAGGGCCTCCAGCCTGCCCCATTGGAATTGTGTGCGGGCTCATGTTCATGGTCGCGAGAGATTTCACTTGCAATGGCAATCCTTCGTTCGATTACACACCGCCACTGCTATTGTTACTCGCGATTCTGCGTTCACTGTTCACTCGTTGTTTGAACGATACAATCTACAACACGTAGACAGGACTCGACGTGAGGCCGAATTGGGTGGGGACGTTGCGCTGCAGACCGCTCTCAGCCCTCAGATCGGAAGCGTCATGGACTCGGGCTCACCGGCGGACAGTCGGTCGCGTTTTCCACCACGGAGAAGTACATGTCCGGACCGCGGAGTCTGGTCATCACATCCCCAGGGATCATCAGCTCGGCGGGTGCGTTCTCAGGCAGATCAGGAAGCTCTGGTCACAGTCATTGCATCAGCGGGAGCAGCTGGGACAAGACGCGGAGAGTACTCACGGGCAAAGTTAGACAGCGTCCAATCTCCGAAATGGTATCGCGCGCTCTGGAGCTTTCCAGATTTGTCCAGATCCTCCTCGCCAGGCTCGTAGTCCATGAGCCAGGCGGAGATGTGGGTGTAGCCCGTGTGGCACCAGTTGGACGTCTTGTACGCGAACGGGAACGGTTTTCCGAGCTCGATCAGGCTGCCAGGCATAGGGTGGATGATCGTGCCGCTGTGTCTGGTCGGCGTGGTGCTGCTGACGCTGCCGCCTGCGATACCGAGCGCGCCCTGGATCTCGTCGCTGACCTGGGTCTTCCCGAAGAAGGCGGTGTACAAAGAGAGCGCGAAGACTGGGAGACGCATGTTGCTTTTCCTGGTGCTGCTTGTCCTCCACCATGAATAGGCGTTTATATACGAGTTCCAGCTCTCAGATACATCTCATGGAAAGACCTCGCCGTCCAGAAACCATTGCAGATGCTGGCCAGAAGTCCAGCGTATTCGCGTCAGCAAGTACGCCGTGACATCCAGTTGGAATTCTGATACTGGTGCGAAGGGGGTCTGACCACTCATCCTCGCCGTGATATCCGCCACATCGCCTTTTCCTCTCAGCAACGGCTCCGTGCGGTTCGGCACATGATCAACAGCTCGCTTTGACAGCGCAGCATTACAACACCCCATCCTTCATTCTCCTCTGCTACACGTAACCGGGTTCTTCTCGAAACCCACGTAAACCAGCAAGGCCGAAATTCTCCGGCAATCTTTCACCAATTGATTAGAGACTCCTGGACTTACCGGAGACTATTGTCCCGGTATGCCGACCGCAAATGATTTGTTGGGAAGGAACCTGATCTTTCGACCCCACCGTCGGTGATCTCCAGATTTCGCAAGGTGTCTTTGTCGACTCGGGAGAAGCGACTATGGATGCGCCCCCTGAATTCAAAGCGAACCCTCCTGTCGTGGGCTGACGTATGGACAGGCCCTTGCTCGGTTTGACTGGCTTTCACCGACAGAAGAGATTCAGAACGTTCTCGTCACATACTATGTCGCTTTGTTTCCCTTCCCAGTGCCTCTAGCGAGGCCAAATCTTTGGCCGGCTCGATTTCGTCTTTTCGAAAACATTTCACGTGCAATGGCAATCCTTCGTTCGACTACCGTACATATTGCCACTGCTATTGTTACTCGCACTTCTGCGCTCACTCGTTGTTTGAACGATGCAGTCTACATCACGTAGACATGGCTCGACGCGATGCCGAATTGGGTGGGCATGTTGCGCTGCAGAGTGCCATCAGTCCAGACCGGGAGCATCAGGGACTCGGGCTCACCGGAGGACAGTCGGTCGCGTGTTCCACGACAGAAAAGTACATCTCCCCACCGCGGAGACCGGCCATCACATGCTCAGGGATGGTGAGCTCGGCGGGTGAGTTCTCTGGCAGATCAGGAAGCTCTTGTTACAAAATAACTGGATCAGCGGGCAGTGGGAACCCAACCCGGAGATCACCCACGAGCGAAGTTGGACTGCGTCCAGTCTCCGAAATGGTAGCGCGCGCTCTGGAGCTTGCCCGATCCGTCCAGATCCTCCTCGCCAGGCTCGTATTCCATGAGCCAGGCGGAGATGTGGGTGTAGCCCGTGTGGCACCAGTTGGACGTCTTGTACGCGAAGGGGAACGGTTTTCCGATCTCGATCGCGCTCCCGGCGATGGGATGGACGATCGTGCCGCTGTTTCTGGTCGGCATGATGCTGCTGGCGCTGCCGCCCGCAATTACGATCGCGCCTTCTTCGTGGACCTGGGTCTGCCCGAGGAGGGCGGTGTACAAGGAGAGAGCAAAGACTGGGAGACGCATCTTGTTTCTTGGATACTGCTCCTTCTCCACCCGGGTTATGTCCTTTTATACGAGCTCCAATTCGCAGATGCATCTCATGGAAAGGGCTCGCCGTCCAGAAACAATTCGACGTATTGACCAGAAGTCGTGCGTATTCGCCTCTGCAAGTACGCCACATCGTCTAGCTGGGTTTCTGATACTGATACGAAGAGGTAGCTGTGATTCTAAATAGCAATCCTTGCGGGGTTTGAGTTCCCGTGGCGGCCGTTTAGACATCATAGAACGTGAAGGGGACCAGAAGTTGAGCCTGTTCGCACGAGCGACTGAGCCGTGTCATTTCGCCTGCTGATTTTCCCCTTCAAACCGGCATTTGATCTCATGTTCTATCGCATACAGCTGTCCCCGTTGCTTAATCGAGCATGGTGACCCTACGCAACCAAGCCCTAGTGTTATTCGACAGCTGTAAGCCAGTCGGTCTACTTTTGACCTAACGTAGCGCAAGAAATCTGATCAGGGTTGGTGGCCTACAGACATAGTGGTACGGAAATTATCAGAGCGTACTACTCAGCGCCCGCTTGGCTTCATAAACAGCCCTCAAATCCATATACAGCCCGTGGTCGAATCCCACACACTGAAGGCCGAAACACTCCGTTGGAGGGAACGGCGTCCCAAACTTGTTCCGAACGATATTTTTCTGACCCGAGCGTAGCCCCATGTCGCGCATTATCGCAGCCTGGGACTAGTTGCTTTCTATCAGAAAGGGCCATATACATCATAGTTCGACAGGAAAAGCACTCACGATATCCCAGGGAACTTCCGATCCGGGCTCATGAGCCTCCCGCAGACTGTGAACGATATATTCGCCCGCGTAGTACACGTGCTCGCCCTTATTCATGAACAGATTGAAATGTTGATTTTCGCGATCTTGCAATGCGGTGTACGGAGACCAGGTATTCATTTGGAAGTTGTATTTCTCCGTCGGAGCGAAAGCCAGTGCGTGCACCTGGGCTTTACTTGTCCAAACAGACCGCTTCGGCAGGTGGAGAGATGGGCTATAATTAAATATGTCAGATATGGAATGATTGCACACCAGGACTGATGCAATTACACGCGTCGGGGAACTTCCTGTTCAAGGAAAAGTGAGTAGGATAGACAGTAATTCAAGAGCACCCACATGGATAAAGGAATCATATGGCTTTTCCGAATCAATATCATGTATTGGCTCGAACTCTTTGAACTGAGCACGATCCACGGGTTCATCAAAGGTGTCATCCATGAAGTCAATATATGAAAAGCGCTCATCCCAGGACTTGGGGAAATCACATTAGTTGTCCGGCATGGAATACAGTTCCAAACCACATACCAGCATTTCCTCATCAATATCATCTCCATCATAATCTTGATCTTCTTCATCCTCATGGTTATCCCACTGCTGACAACAGTGTGAAATCAAAGGAAATTTTTGAAACATGATTACACACCTTATTTTGCTCAACATTTTCGAAGTCCCAAAGTTTTCTATGCTGCTTGGTGATGAGAATCATTCTATACAGGCAAAAGTGGAGCTCACAAGTCCATCTCGTTGCTTCTGGAGCTTCTTTGCTTTCAACTGCCAAGCATGGAGTTGCTTTAAGGAACAATTGTTAGCTCATGAAATCTATAGTATCAAGATGAGTTCACACACCGCTTTATAATTCCTTGTATCCTCTATCATCTTCTCTGCAGTTTTTCTGACTTCAAGGTCACTTGATGCAACTGCCCTAGGCAAATCAGAAGCTGCAGCAGGTGTTTTTTGGCTCCGCCACTTCTGCAGCTCTGCTAATATGGAATCCTTCTCAGCAACAACTGAGTTATAAGTTGCTTGAAGGCGGGCAAAATTTTCAGTGGCCCTCCACTCCTCAGAATGTGATGCTGAGCGCCTCATCATTCTGCTGATCTCAGCCTGGATTAGGATAAAGGCAGTAAGCATGTTTCCTTGGCATGCTGAAAATGGAAAAATGCTTACATCTTGTAGCTCTCGGATCTGCCCTTGTAGAGCATTCTTCTCTGCAGTAAGTTGCTTAAAGCGCATCAGAACTACCCACTGCCTATTAGGAATTCACATACCTTCTCTTTTGTCTTGGATGATTCCTGGTGTCTTCTCGCACTCTATGCACTGGGTGAGCTGGATAATCAAGTTATGATAGGATCATCTCACCTTCTCAAGATCATGTATCTGTCTCTGCAGCATAGTTACTTCATTTCTTTTTTCCTATAATGCATAAGTTAGTGGTTAAGAAAATGAACAGATAACCTACTGTCAAGTTCTGAACCATGATATCAGTATTACATCAGTGGATCAGAATTAAAAGTTCAAATTCACCATTGTCAACTCTTGATACTTCTTCTTGTGGCTATTGAGCTTTATAATGGACATTCTTTCATTAGATGTTGCAATTGCAAGTTTCTTGTAATGAATTAGATGTGTGCAGAGCTCTAGGAAACAGAATACCTCTTTCAGTCCCTTGATTTCATCCTCTTCTTGCTTGATAGGCCGAGCATATACAGCAGTGACCAGTTTCTAATTTAGTCAAGCAATCAGCAACAATTCTTTGAAGGCACAGCTAGAGATCAAGGAAACCATACTGATTCAAGGTCCCAAATCTTGGCATCACGGTTCCCACCATCCTTTTGGAGCTGGATAATCTCACTGTTCAGGATCTGGTTGGCAGTTCGGAGATTTGTTGTTTCGGTGTTACAGGCTTGGATCAGAAGATTTTGATGGAGTCTGTAGTCCTGCAATACAATGGGTGAGCGAGTTGGCCGCAAACGGAAGTGCAGACCTCCTTCGCAGTTACAAGCTCCGCGGCCAGTCCTTCAAATCCGCGTTCCCGATGACGCCTTTCTGCTTGCAATTGACATAATTGCTAGGATAGAAAATTAGAGCATCGGTTATGCGCAGTAGCAGTGCATACCTCCTGTAAGGCTCTGACATCCGATCCACCGCTTCTGATTAGCCGCTGTACAACAATTAGCATAGCGTTGCGTCATCGGCGGTGTGCATGCATACCTCGTCACTTTCCTCATTCGAGACCCGAGAATGAAAGTCCCGCAACTTCTTCAACGGGTCAGACGCGCGAAATCTACAGAAAAAAGTGAAATTGAGTTGCCTTTTCAGCGGTGTCCTTCTTGCGCCTCATCGCGCCTGATTCACGGCCCTTGGCGTCATATTTGGCTTTTGCCCGCTCCAATGCCTGGTCCAGGAAGTAAGTGCGAGACACGAAGATGAAGAGGATTGATTCACAGTGCGCAAGACTTCGCATTCGGTGCATGCCCTCTGCCGTACTTCCGGGTCGCTAAGGGGGATCGGGCCTGAGCGCTGAGAATCGATCTCTTCGCGTAGACTCTGGTGTCGAAGCGAAAGTTGCTTGGGAGAGTCTCTGAGTGCGAATGAAAGTAAGAAGCATAAGGGAGCTGACTGTGTGGCGTTCCTCATTTGCATCCTCGCGCTCCTTGAGTTCTGTCTCACGTTTGCGTATATGCGCGTACTTGTCCTCGATTTGCTGTTCAAGTGCAGCCATGAGCTTCCGTACTTTAATGAGAACCAATGTCCTCACTGCACGAAGACTTCTTCCTTGCTCTGCGTCCAAGCGCAGATTACTCGACTCGTTTGCGTCAATTCCGACGTGCTACAGGGACCGGTAACAGAGAGATGAGACGTGGGTATACAGAAGGGAGGTAGGGCAGATCCACGAACCGAGGGATCCTGAAACGAAGGTGTACTTGACGATCGCGCCTTGAGACTCTCCTGCTGCTGATGAAAGAGCGCATGCTCAGAGTATGGTCCATGGATGAATGGAGAGCGATCTCACATCTTTGAGTAACGCGATTTCTGTCTTCGCCTTCTTCAGCTCTGCGGAAAGGCCCTCCATGAGCATCTTCTGGAGCTCCGGGTGATCTTCGAGCACGTTCATCGTCGAAGTTCGAGGCTGGGATAGGGGTAATGGACGGACGAGACAAGGAGTCTGCGGCTGTGTGATGTGGCTGTGGAGATCATTGATAGTTTCACACGTGCGACTGAAATGCCTGAAAGCGAAAAAATCATCGATGCCTGTTGCGGAATGCCGCCAGTGGTAGCGGGGGTTGAGAACCGGGACGGACTGTGCTGTGGAGCCTATGAATGGCGCTGCTTGCTTGCCTGGTCAGGCATCGGGATGCATTGTGTCAAAACGAATCGTTCACATAGGAGAGTATGCGATGGGCGCACGTCGGCATTCAATAGCGATAATGGCATGCTTATCGACTGGAACCAAAAAAACAGCGATAGCCCACCGCGGGGGTCGAACCCGCAGCCTTGAGATACCCAGTCCGAAAGACATAAGAGTCTCACGCTCTACCGATTGAGCTAGACGGGCGATGCCAGCTGCGTCCAGCGGCCATACATGACCATCGAGTGCACCAGAGATTGTCAGAGACAAACTGCCTATACAGAAAGTACTGTGACTGTGTTAGAGGACCTCGTCTTCTCTGGGAACCAATTTTGCCATCACAAGCCCCAGAAGGGCGGGAATCAGCAGCACCGTCGAGAACCAAAAGATATCGCTGGTTGGATAGTAGAAGCAGTACTATAGAGAATCAGATCCACATCGAACTGCATAGCCAACGCAGCTCACCGAAACGACCTCGGCGAATCCAGTCCAGACGCTGAGCGAACCGAGCAGCCGGCCCACCTCCGACTCTCTGCCCAGGGAAACAATGTACCCCGTCCCAAGTACCCAGAATGCCGGCCGCGCAACGGAGGAAAGAGGATGAAGGATGGCGAGGAGATCGTAGAGCACCCTAGCATGATCTGGAAGGCAGAAAACCACGATTCCGAGCGCAGAGACTAGGTCGAGGAAGATCCCGTTCTGTGTGACTGTGCGGGCGAAAGAAAGTCCGACCCGGGCAGGGGATTTGTGGGCGTGTTTGGCAGCGTAAAGGCGCGTCATAAGCGGCAGGAGCCCGAGAAGAGCGAGCAGGGATGCTATGGGAGATACAACGAGGGGTATCCAGGACTGGAGCGTAATCAGGTGAGAGCCACGGGTGGAGCTATGCCACCAACCGGAAACTTATTTAGATTCAGAGTATACTCGACCAAGCCAAGGTCCATTCCGGCCGCCGTGAACGAATAAAGCAAGAATGCCGTGGCGAATCTAGGCAAATGCGTTTTGGATACATCATTTCCAAAGAACAGAGTCGTTATCGGTAGGAAGATCGATTTGAGGGCCGAGTCTCCCTCGTTAGAAGCTGCAGGTGCTGGCAGAGAGCGGGAGTGTGGTAGAGATTCAGGGAGGACAAAGCGTGTGTACGCAAGAGACAACAGGAAGAAGGCGGTCGAGAGGATGTAGGCTGTCCTCCAGCCAGTCATGTGGCCGACCTACATAATGTGAGAGCGAGTAATGGGAAACAGGAGGAATGGGCGCACCACGGAGCCGAGAAGCAGCCCGGCCAACCGACTAGCTTCGATCAGCCCAAACAACATCACCCGCGAAATAGGCGTCGGGGCAACATCGAACGCGTATCTGCCCGAGCAGTTCAACAACAAAAAAGGAGCGGAAAATGAGTTACGCACGCATGCACAGCAGCAGTGTACCCCAGCCACCCACCGAGCGCACACTGCACGATGATTCCCACGGACATCACATCCCCCGCATCCGTCGGCGCGAATGACACCCACTGCAGCAGCAGGTGCACAGCATCCCCCAGCACCAAGCCCAGTAGTGCGCCGAGCAGGGGTGTCCTCCGCCCCGCGCGATCGCCCGCGGCGCTCCACCACCCGATGCTAAGGAACGTCACGACGAAGGCGGCGAAGTGCGACCACAGGTCGAAGTACACCCGGATCTGGCCATCTGCGGGCGGAATGGTCGGTGGGTATCGGTGCGAGGTCAATGACGTGGGAAGCGTAAGCGCGAGCTTGAATGAGCCGCATGGCCAGTAGGTCGGTGCGGTGGGGCAGATGGACGATTGGTACGCGTCGAACTCGGCGTAGGTCGAGAGTCCACGAGCGAGCGCAGTGAGAAGGAGGATCGGGACGAGCCTGAGGTTCAAGGAGATAATGGTTAATATAGACGGAGGTGGTTTATTGTAGTGAGCATGGTAATCGCACGTACCATGCAAAACTCGCCTTCCGGTCCCGCTCTGTCCCGGCGCGTAGGAGTGGCGTCGTCTCAGATTCCGTGGTCGACATTCCAGTCCAGACGTCTGTGGGTGAGGTGCGCGTGAAGGCAGATGTCGAAACGAGGCCAGGAGATTGATCTTGGGGGAAGCGAGACAGCTGGCATGATATCTCGAGCAGTTGGTCTCGGCCCTCACGACAGGCTGTGGACTCGGGCGCGGAATGGAAACACTGCAACGGTCCCGAATGCACTGCCTTCGCCAATGTTAGCGCTCGGACCCGCGGTTGGGCATCGAAACTTGATAGTTGATCAGAGTATGGAGGCTGAAAACGTTATGCTGATAACCGATGTCTTAATCATGGATGGCCGCTCGGCAGATATTGATCAGATGATTGACGCAATGATCAAGACCCAAGGTAGCCGACTATCGCAATATCGCAACACCGCAACATCGCAATATCGTAATATTCGAAAAGCCCAACATTCGAGATAGCATAATATTCGAGATAGCGTAGTGAGCATGTAATTACTGTAATTCACTGATCATTTTCGCGGGTCTTCTCATCCGAGAACCATGCGTACAGATTGGGACCAACAATTTATGACTCATCGGGACCAAAGTTTGGCTCAATTTCGTCGAGAATTGCATTCAATCGGGCATGATGCTCCGGCCCTGGATGCGTGAGAAGAAAGCCCACAGATGAGAAAGTTCAGTCTCACCCAATCCGTAGCCGTTATTCACCCCGCCCATATCAACGTTCCGTCCAATGACACCATCACCACCATGAAGCTCCTTCAGGTTAGGTAAGGGTGCGATCTCGTCCTTGTACTCTGCCGCTGCATGGCTAAGGGCGTAAGCCCACCTGTCGTCTATTGTCTGATCAATATTGTGAAGCTCGTCGAGGCAAAGCATCTGGTTCCCTGGGAGAGAGGTCCATGGACTGGTCCATGGACCTTAGACTAGACCGTAGACCTAGATCTGTTATCTTATCGAGAGGTCTACATCAATAGCATCATTCTGAGATTGAGCTCGTAACGCCTGTCACAATTTCGGCAACACGCCGTCGTCGATAGTGATATAGACTTCGGTCCTCATATCCACGCGCACTAGACAATGATATATCCTTCTATTCTTGTCTTCTGGGATTGTACCAGTGGGATCTCATTGTTTCCTATCCCATAAGTATGTGGATCGCAGTGCAGGTAAGCAACGTGCACGATGACCTCCTCTGGCTTGAACTTCACCCAAACCATCATTTTTGTTGAGCTCATTCAGCTCCTGAAGAGTGAGATTCTTTGGTCTCAGCCATCTTACATCACTACGGCACCTGAGGCCTTGCCGCCTATTGTCAGGGGACGCCGCGCTCCTTGGGCATGTGACCATGCACGTGACCCACTGCACCCTCTCTGCCGACCCGTGCCTGCTCACCTGTCGATCACCCAGCCTCCTCCTCCTCCTCCGATCCTCATCTCCATCCATGCCGACATCCGCCCTCTCCCTTCTTCCCCCGGCCATCTCCCTTGAATCCCCGCAAGCGGTCTAGCCAAGCCCGATTCCTTGCACCAGGGAGTGCTACTGCCGTATGCACTCCTCCCCCTTCACTTCGGCCTTCTCCCCGCGGATGTGGTCTACTGCCGTACAGGCTCGTACCAGATGCCCTTGCGCTCATCCGCACCACCCCTCTTCCCAGTTGGGCATTGGTCCTCGCCTCCAATGTCTCCACTGGCCGGCCCGGCACTGGCCTGGCTGCTGGGCTCCTCCAGTGTGGCCTTCCACTGTTGGTGTCTCAGGAGCTGGCCATCACTGGCCCCTCTGAGCCACTCACTATCTTATCTGGGTTTGTCATTATCTACTTGTCATCTGCCATTGTTCCATGGCAGTGATATCCCATCATCATCAGTCACTTGTCACAGCTGACTATATAGTGTGACACCTGGGCACATGGATCCTTGAACCGTTCTCTAAGGATCCCCCTCTGTGCTCAGGTGAGTAGTATACCTCCCTTGTATTTGATAGTCTCTAAGGATCCCCCTCTGTGCTCAGACTCATGTGAGGTTGTTGTGTGCTGTGTGCTCTCTTCCTTCGGGCTGGCAGGAGTTGCCCTTACACCTATAATCTTGGACTTCCTCGGCGAGGCTTTAGCTCTTCCCGCACTCAACATCGAAATGGCTTGGACAAGTCTTTGCGGCCTTGCATGGGCAAACGACTTTACGAGTTCTGAACTCGTTGCTGCTCGCACCAAGTATCTGTCTATCTTCCTTCGTCATGGAATTCCGCGCGAGATTGGTATGTCGATCGTGCACACCGTTCACATTTCTAAAGCCGCAACAGGTCTTCTTTCTCTCGAGCCTCCAACTCGAGTTTGTGTGGATCCTGGATGCGCCAAAAGCTTACAGTCCAATCCCTCTGCTTTTTGCGAACGAGAGCTTGTTGAGCCGTCTCGAATCAGAGCAACAATCTACACAAAAGAATTTGGGAGTATTCCCGGCTTCTCGACATCTCGATATTGCCGCAGTAAGCTCCCTCCTCACAGTATACACGGAACAGAGTTAACGAGTCTTAGACTGTCACACACGATACTATCACTCTTACTACGTTCACCGCGATGCATCGCTCTGCACATTCTATCCAACACAAGATCCTATTCTCAATATCGGTCTCCATTTCTTTGTCGACCGTGAGATGTGCGAGCTGTTCAGCATCATGATGGTTAATTTGTGGTACGTGTTTTGCTATTTGTATTGATTGAGCTTCCCTGAGACTTTCCGGGACTTCTGCTACGAACTGTGCCCGAATCTATAACGAGGGACTGCAAAACAATCTTGTGAAGCCTTTTCTTCCAGCAGACTGGCCTTTCGCTACCGAAATCGATGTGGAACACGTATGGGACGCCTTTTACTACCACAACCTTCTCCTCGATCATGAACGTCGCTCATCGCTTCTGGTTGTCCCGAATCTCGTCACATCTCAAGCCGAACGACTGCGTCCTGCACTGCTTGAACGGAATCGTCGGATGGTAGGACCAGGGCAAGATGCATGGAACCATGCCTGTGACGATTGTTGTGCCATCTTCAAATCACCGGGTCAGCCCGATGGTGAGTTAGACATAGCATTCCTTCGTCTGTGTGCCTGAATCCATACATTGTACAGTTGCTATACGCTCAGTCGTTACCGATGGTGTTGAGATGGGCCGTCCCTGCTGTTCCGTACACGACTGCTTAGAACCTCTCCCTACCAACAAGCACCGGTATTGCACGACTCATTCTAACCTCAATCTACAATGCGCTGTGAAATCCTGTGTTTTGAAAGCCGAAGAGGGTTTCAAGACTTGCCGCCAGTCTGATCATTGCGACATCGAGACCTATCATCTGGCACGCGGCAAAGCTATGTTTCAGCTGAAAAGTCGACTTCAGCGGTTGAAGATTTCGCAATTGCATGACTCGCTGCCCCACACCTTGGCTGACCAAAATCTAGAGGGATCAGCCGCTGATTTGGACGAAGGTGTCGACATCAACGTGGATGGCATTTGCGAAGGCAAACCAGACGGTTTAGACCACAAGAGTCGGAAAAAGCAAGCACGGTTTGGACGAACATGGACCCACAATGAGCAATTAGCATGGTCTTCCTGTGGTGTCTGCCTGGGTCGTGCAACGTTCTATGGATCCGAGGCTCCAAATGGTGTTCGTGTGAGTAATTCCATGCACATTACCTTGTATCTTGACTAACGACTAATAGAGCTTTTGGAAAAAACTGTGGCCAACCAAACGATCTCTTCCAGAGGTGCTTTGGTATGATAATAACTGCTGAATGTCGGTTATGCTCCGACACCAAGGAGACACATACTTCGAAGACTGTGCCCTTCCTGTCGATGTTTTTCATTTCAATTGCAAGCACAAAGAGGGCGATATTGACTGCGGGACTCATTGTAATCCTTACAGCTGGCCTGAGCTTCGTGTCGGCAATGAGGAGTGGCGCTTCAATTCTTCCGCTGCAGAACAAGGAAATGCGTGGTTTGGGGGTTTCCAATCCATGGTTCGGGAGATGCAGGTTGAGCGATATGACTTTTTCCTAGATGAGATGATTCGCAGGCGGAATATTCAAGTTATTGTACGACTACAGAATAAGGGTAAACACCCACATCTGATTCCTCGAGATGCTTTGTTAGATTAAATCCGGTACTCAATTCAAAATTCTTGTAAACATCGGTGTTCGACCATCTAATAAGACATACAATGTAGACAATCATGTTACCGTGAACACAAATCAGCAATTTGTCATCCTGTGCTTCCTTTCTTTCACCACAACCTCTCGAGACCCTGCAGACTCTTTTCTCGATTGTCATCCTCATTGTTGCCTTCAACTCAGCTTGCTAGGACCTGATGCGTCCCATAACAGGTGCTGTGACCGAGCATGAGCCTCCCGCTGCATCGTGTATCTCACAGCGTTGTCAATTGCTGGTGAGTCTCCGTTGTCAGGATGGAGGATCAAGCCGAATTTGTGCGTCGTGCTGATGAGAGTCCTGGCCTTTTTCAGAGGAAGGTCAAGATCATGCTGCAGAATACGAGCGACATTCTCAGGGACCAGAACTTCCCTCAACAACAAGTCGTACGGAAGCGGATAGACTTTCTGAAGAAGTTCCGGTGTGTCGGGGAACAAGTATCTGAGGGCAATGTAAAAGATGCGTGCTCCCACTTCTCCATAACTGTCATTTGTTAGACCATGAATGAAACGAGTATCTCTGACTCACTAAGCAGCTCCAAACTCCGAATTACGATCAATGTTCACCATCTGTGCCATCGCTGACTGTCGCTCACGAAGCATGGGCCGTCCACCGGGGAAGTACCACTCTCTGGCGGTGCGGAAGCAAGGACTGTTTTCCGGCTCCTCAAGAACTTCTTCTAGTCTGCCCCGAAGATTCTGCACTCGTGCAAAAAGCGTGTTGAAGTCCGGCTCAAAGGGCCATCCTTCTTTCTCCGCTCGAGGCAGTAAAACCATTTCCATGCGATGCTGTTCACAGTACTCCGTGGTATCAGTGATGTTACGTGGCATGCGGTGCCGCGGATTCTCGTCAAGCGGGAAAGCCTTCGACTTTGAGTTGAGTAAGCTCTCCAGTCTCACAAGCTTTGCTGATTGGATCTCCGGCAGTAGTTCGTCGCAGAACGCGCACAGAGTACCAATGACGACTTTGCCACGGTCGTGAAGCCAATCCTGGAACTCGCGCTCATCGTCGTCATCAGACTTGGAGGGGGGGATTGGCGCAGTGGATGTGGCGAGTTTGGGAGGGATTGGCGCAGTGGATATGGCGAGTTCGAGATCAGAGACCGGTTGGTTGAAGAGGGATTGGGAAATTGGCTCTAGAGGGCCAGCATTGGTCTCTGTGTATTCGCGGACCATCGCACACATCTCGGCCAACGTCTCTGGATCAAGACCAAGTGGATTCTCATCGAAGCCGGGATCGGGTATAGAGGTAGGAGGATTGGCTGCATCCGCTTCGTCAAGAGCAATCATTGCACCATTGGATGCAGGGTTTTCGAGCAGAGGAGCAACCAGTTTGGGGGCATTCAGCACTTTGGGAACTGGGATCTCAGGCCAAGATTTGCCAGGGTTCATTGCTGCGTGAATCAGGTGCGCCCAAGATGCCTCTGGAACATCTCCCATGCTAATGAAGTGATCACGAAGCTCTTTGGAGATGGGAGTCTCACGCGACTCGCCATTCCACATCTGCTTATACTTGCAGATCGTCGAACGTTTGTAGGGATGTCCAAACGCGCGAGGGAATGCGTTCTTCTCTGATTTCAGAGACGGATGAGAGTCCTTTAGGTGCGCCATCGTTTCCAAGCCTTCCTTCCACTTGCAGATGGACAGATTCCGGATCCATCGGTCGTCACGTCCCGAAACAGCCGGTTCTGGTACTGCGGTAATGGGGACAACCAGGGCAGGTGTGGAGACTGCAGATATGGCGACGTTGGAAGTCACAACAGGGTTTTCGACGGGGATCGGAGTGGGAGTGGAGAATGGCGTAGTCGCTACATCGTCCTGGGGCGAGAGGGAGAATACGAGTGGAGGATCGACGATAGGTGACATCTCCCGCACACGTTTACGAGGAGACTGCAACTCTTCAGTCCGCCCACGCTTCACAGCTTGGATGACTGGAAGTGAATCGAGGACGTCCTCGAGTCCAGGACATTCGTCCAGACTGAGCTCCGAGAAGTAGCTGGGTCGGATCTTGAGAAGGACAGGGGTTTCCGTGCTGACTTGGACATGAGACGAGAGAGAGACCGTGATCCATGTCCCCGATCCATCCCAGTAATCCAGACTAGCATCTGGATGCTCCTCAAATAACTTTCGAAGCGCGAGAACAGATGCGAGATCCAACTTTGGGTAGGTATCCACTGACTCACGTAGAGCAAGATGAGGGGTGTGCTTCTGTAATACTCGTGAGTATTGTGCTCATTGTAAGTACACCAAGCTGACCTTATACCACAGGTAAAGACGAATCATCTTCTTCTCACGCAACTCCATCTCAAGCCGTCGAGCCTTTGGATCCGGAACTTGATCGTTCACAATGGACGCTCATGTCTCCACCCACAGTGGATTCATAGGACGAGCAAGAGGACGGCGCACTGGACCATGAGACCGAGCAGGAGAGAGTGCAAGACTGGGTTGGGAGGTGCGAGTAACGATTGGTAGCGGCTGAGCAGTGTGGCGGTCCGACACAAGCTTGACTGAGTGCGCAGCACAGGGATCCCGGGGTAATCCGCTCGCAAGAGCTGTGGCAGCTGCCTTTTTGCAGCATTCCTTGCAGAGACTCGCGATACAGTCTTTGGAACCTTTCACGCGTGTACCTCTTGCAGTCAGGCAAGTTTTGTTAGCACAAACGATCTTCTTGTCAACAACATCCGGTGCAGGACGCGGCAGACGAATGCGAAGTTGGCAAGCAGGAGGAGGAGCCTGTCCTGAGAGGCGTGCATTGTATCGGTCACAGAATGCAGCCGCATCGTCCATAAGGTAAGTGACATTTGTATGATATACTGTGCCGTGACATTGTTTCTTCAGGCACTGGTAATCGATCCGCTTAGTTTTGAGTCTCGAAGCTGAAGACCTGCGGACTCACAGTTTGAACAATCGACCCTCGCTTGTCTCGGTCATTCCCCGTGCCTTGATGAGGACGAACGGGACCAAGTGGAGAGAAACAGAGTGGGCATTTGTCTTGCTTGACAAAGATAGGATCTGCAACGTGCTTGTATTCGGGTGCAGACATGGAGTTTGAGAGGAGAGGTCCAAGAGGATAAGGGTGGCCAGAAACAGGCCAGCGTTTTATTACTGAGGCGGCTTTGATGTGCGCACAATACAACAGATTACTGAGGTGGCTTTGATATGCACACAATGCATCAAGCTTTGAGCTACATTTTGGGTCTAAGCAAAGCGCGTCCTGTGTGAGACACGTGATCGTGATATTCCACCTCAGTTACCACCGCCAACCCCCCATATAGACCCCGCGGGGGACCTCCTGGGTACCCTTAGACGTAGCTCTATGGGTACCCAGGAGGTCCCCCCTGCGGGGGTACAGGGGGCAGCTGGCCATTTTGGGGCAGGGGGATGGGCGGGGGTCAGGACGGGGGTCAGGACGGGGGTGCCCATACATACCATGTGACTTGTCCATAAGAGCGGGCAGCTGGGCGGGAAAAAAAAAATCAATCACATGATGCACCAAATGGGCGGGATGGCGGGAAAATCACGTGATGAGCTGCAGGAAAAATTTCAAAATGGCGGGGGTTGGCAGGGGTGTTGGCGGGGGCGCTACCGCCCCTCCCGCACACTGCAGCGGGCAGTGGGCGCATTATCACGTGACTTTTTGGGGGCCCCTTTTTGCACCATTTGGCATGATTTTGGAGGTGCTGCTTGATAGATTGCATGTTGTGGCAGACAGTGGGCGCAAAATCACGTGATTTTCCGCCAAAAAGAAAAATGGAAGCCTCTCTAAATCATCCCAGTATAATTTCCATAGGTAAATACACTAATTGACCATGCATTTGAGCTTAGAAAACCCCAAATGCACCCTGCACAATAGGATTGTTGATGCGCTTGATCCCATCATCTGGCGGGGTCTGCCGCGGGGTCAGTCTGGCATATTCTATATTTGACCTCCTTTAGCCATAGCAGTAGTGCTGCTGACCACCAGGGCAAGAATACAAACATTTATGAAATATCTTATCAAGGTAGACAAAGCCAATAGGGAAGGTGAAGATGTGTAACTGGATATTGCAATTGATGCAGGGCCCAGTGCGGGGTCTGGTGCGGGGTCTGGTGCGGGGTCTGATGCGGGGTCTGGTGGGGGAGCAGGGGCAGGGGTGGATTACACAAAATTTTGATGTATCTACTCTGGCTAGGGTTGTAGAATATCACGTAACTTTTCTCTATTTTGGCAGGGAATGGGGGATAAAGATACACAACATTGCCCACATGTTTTGGCTGGGTCTCCAGGTCAAGTCATGTGATTTACCAATGTTTCGGTAGGGGGTAGGAGATTAAAGCATGGTTTTGCCAGTACATTTTGGTGGAGTTTGTGGCTTCAAAAGATGCTAACATATTAAAAAATGCGCAACTACATGTGTTCAGCAAATCCCCAAGGGGGTTGTCCAGTCACAGCTACATTGATCAGCAGGAATAGTCATGGCTACTGCTCCCCTTCCGAACAGCTGAAGTGGTCCTCCCGCTTTTTAAGGATGACTGCATCTCCAATGTTTCACTCTCTTTAATAGCATATTTGATACAGCTGTTACAAGCATCATTTGCTGGATTGAATATAACCTGTGAACATCACATTGAGACACTGTAATGAGTGTGCTAATACACAGAACCCTGACAAAGAATTGCGCAGAAACCTTGTGAATACAATTCTTGCAGGGGATTGGGCGGGGTTGACTGCGGGGGTGCGCCAGCCCCTGCTGGCCAATCAAATGTGGAGCGACCAGATGAACACACATAGAAACACATTCCCATGCTTTTATACTGCAGCCCAAGCAACTTCATGGTTACCTCTACCCAATTCCAACAAAGGAACTCGACTGCTCTTGTTTCTGGGCGACAATTGATTTTACAAGCTTGGGTGGGTTTTGCACGTTCCAGTGAGAACAGAGGTTGTCTGGTAGGAGGTAGGGGACCGAAACATTGTTAGAAACAATATTCAAGATGACCAGAGGCTCACATCTCTTTAAACTGGCCCGTATCCCACATTATAAATCACACTATACTTTGGATTTATTTCGTATTTTTGAATCGTTACAGGGTCCAGCACTCCCCAGATTTTGTTCAGGCATTGCCAAAGGGTGTATCCTTCGGTTGGGTGAAGTTGGGCCCTTGCAGAAAATATATTTTGCGCAATATGCAAAGTGAACCATGTTGAAGTGTTCTCTATATAGGAACATTGAGTCACTATGAGCTGTTTCCATGTTTCGAATTTCGGGCTGACAGAGGACATGAAGTGGCATTATATTCAACAAGAACAGCATAAGGAGACATAATTCCGATGGTTTTTAGCAGCATATATGTAAAAACAGTCTCAGAAGAGCAAAACATAGTTAGGTACGACGTTTATACAGGTCCTGATTGGCTACTGACTTGATGTGTTCCGGGCTGTCACTTTACATAATATTACATATTCGGAGATGGCAGGGGCTGAGGCACCGGTGTGGCGGGGGTGATGGCGGGGGTCAATCAGTGGCAGGGTAGTTGCGGGGGTGCTGGCGGGGGTGCTGGCGGGGGGGCGGGGGTGAAGGCGGGGGTGCAGGCAGGTGGTCATGGCTGGGGTGGGTAGAGACTCATTGGTAAAAACAATCAGCCATGTGTTTGCAGTTGGTCTTCCAAAAGATACAAGCCAAGACACAAGTTTCAAGAGTTTACATGTCAAATTTGCACTGATAACCAAGCTCTGACTATTGTGGGACAACTTGCCAGTAAATACATCCTCTCACATCACACCGAGTAATGAATATAGTTCACCTCAAATCCACTCTATTTAATGAATTCATGCTGAAACCCAAGCAGATCGCTTGCAAGGGAACACACAAGTTTCAGACCTCAAGTGCATTCAGCCAGGAAGGGGGGGATGAGATGTGTACCTAATATGTTCTATTACAAGCTCCAAAAATGGATACCACTGTGCTACACATATATATTAAATGGGTAAAGCAAACAATCAATGAGTGGAGTGTGGACCCTGGTCTGCCAATCTACTATGCCACCCATCCTGCCAGCCAAAAAATGAGAAAATCACATGTTCTGCTTGACTTCACATGCCATGGATTATATAGGTAACATCATCCATTAATCTCCTACCCCCCACCGAAACATTGGTAAATCACATGACTTGACCTGGAGACCCAGCCAAAACATGTGGGCAATGTTGTGTATCTTTATCCCCCATTCCCTGCCAAAATAGAGAAAAGTTACGTGATATTCTACAACCCTAGCCAGAGTAGATACATCAAAATTTTGTGTAATCCACCCCTGCCCCTGCTCCCCCACCAGACCCCGCATCAGACCCCGCACCAGACCCCGCACCAGACCCCGCACTGGGCCCTGCATCAATTGCAATATCCAGTTACACATCTTCACCTTCCCTATTGGCTTTGTCTACCTTGATAAGATATTTCATAAATGTTTGTATTCTTGCCCTGGTGGTCAGCAGCACTACTGCTATGGCTAAAGGAGGTCAAATATAGAATATGCCAGACTGACCCCGCGGCAGACCCCGCCAGATGATGGGATCAAGCGCATCAACAATCCTATTGTGCAGGGTGCATTTGGGGTTTTCTAAGCTCAAATGCATGGTCAATTAGTGTATTTACCTATGGAAATTATACTGGGATGATTTAGAGAGGCTTCCATTTTTCTTTTTGGCGGAAAATCACGTGATTTTGCGCCCACTGTCTGCCACAACATGCAATCTATCAAGCAGCACCTCCAAAATCATGCCAAATGGTGCAAAAAGGGGCCCCCAAAAAGTCACGTGATAATGCGCCCACTGCCCGCTGCAGTGTGCGGGAGGGGCGGTAGCGCCCCCGCCAACACCCCTGCCAACCCCCGCCATTTTGAAATTTTTCCTGCAGCTCATCACGTGATTTTCCCGCCATCCCGCCCATTTGGTGCATCATGTGATTGATTTTTTTTTTCCCGCCCAGCTGCCCGCTCTTATGGACAAGTCACATGGTATGTATGGGCACCCCCGTCCTGACCCCCGTCCTGACCCCCGCCCATCCCCCTGCCCCAAAATGGCCAGCTGCCCCCTGTACCCCCGCAGGGGGGGACCTCCTGGGTACCCATAGAGCTACGTCTAAGGGTACCCAGGAGGTCCCCCGCGGGGTCTATATGGGGGGTTGGCGGTGGTAACTGAGGTGTGATATTCTATGTGACGGTCTCTGCGAAAGTCCATGTTATCAGGTCGCGCAAGGTCCATGGGCTACATGAAAGTGCCGCGGAGTGCCGTTGGAGTGCCGCAAAACTTTTGGAGTGCCGCAGTTTTGAGCCTGGAATGCCGCAGGATTTCTGTCACGCGCCGCAGATATCACGCTGGAGTGCCGCAGCGACCTACGAGGCAGGATATTTACATATTTATATTTTTACAATTTTATTGAAAGTACTCAAAACAAAAGCAATCGGCAGGCCAAGGCACTGTCACCGTGTTTCTGAGCAATGCCCCTCGCGGTGCTGATGTCCCATCAATGTGGTTTGATGGCTTTCTGAGCGGCCGTTTTTGCTCACTCTTGTGAGTCCACTTCATTGCAAAGCCCAGAACGAAGTCGAAGACGATCTATAAGTCTGATTTATCGGTTTCTACACTAGTTAGAGGCATTCACCATGGCCCAAATGTCGAAACAATACAATCCCTCATGGATTCATCTTCACTAGAATGTGTATAACTCATTTTACATTCATTTTGAACTTGAATCGTGCACAATAGGTGGTATTCAGAACACTTGAGAGTGTCTTTGTGATGAAAAAAATGCTCTCTGTAAATTCAAGTCAAGTCCACCCTTCCGGTGGTCAATGAGCTCGAGACAATCACATCTCCCAGGCATCATAGAGGCCTACAATCCAAAAACAGGCTTTCAGGACAACTACGTATACAATTCTATTGAAATTCGACTAATTCAAGTCAAAATATTAGCGATTGACTAGCGCAGACAGCGTTGGATGTGCCTGCGGCGCTCTCCAGAGAGTAGCTGTGCTTTGGAGCGCCGCAGAGATGTCACATGCGTCACACTGGAGTGCCGCAGACTCATTTGGAGTGCCGCAGACTTGTTTGGAGTGTCGCCAGAGGTTCCGCAGGAGTGCCGCGGTGTGCTGTGGAGTCTGCGGCACACTGTTCTGGAGTGCCGCAGGAGTGGGATCTCTATCGCTGCCGCCGACGACAACGGCGTCTGGAGTAGTCCCGCTGCCTGCGCGAATCATTCCCACGTCCATCAACATCTCAGCCGACGTGGACAGCATGTTGATCGTTGTCGTTGTCGTCGAGATCAATGATGTGGAGTATTTGGAGTACCGCAGGAGTGCTCCTGCGGCACTCCGCGGCACTTTCAGTGAGCCCAAGGTCCATGTAAAGCGTGACAAGTCCATATCATGGTCCACTGATCTTATTATTGATTATCTCTATGACAGGTCTACGTACAAGTCCATGGACAGGTCTCGTAGACCTGTCCATGGACCTCTCTCCCAGAAAGCCAGACGCTCACCGTCGAGGGCCTTGAACTTGGCCAAAAGCTGTAAATAAACTTCCCAGCATGAGTTGCGATCGACTGCTGGTGATTTAATCTTCATGTAAAGTTCAGCACTCACGGCCTTGTTCTGTGCATCCGATGTCGTGAGGTTGTACAGGACCGCAAACGCGTTGCCGGCCCGCGGGTAGATGCTTGTCGGGACGTCGTTCTCGCGGAACAGGCCCTCAGCGGCGTCCCACAGCAGGCTGTTGAGCGCGGTTTGCATTTTGGTTGCGTTGGCGAGGTATGTGGTGGCGAGGGGGACGTTGCCGAGATGCGTCGCCAGGTCCGTCGCGGTGACGAGCGTCTGCGACCCTCATGAGTGCAGATACACAATGAGAGAGCGCGCGACAGATGCTCACTGTTTCCGGCGCCTCCTGCCCTGCCCCAGTCATTCGAGAATGAAGACGGGACGGTCATCAGGCCCGTCGAGTCCACCTGACCTTCAAGGAAGCCGACCGCCTTGGTGTAGTTTGGCCAGACAGACTTGACGAAATCGAGGTCGCCCATATACAAGAAGTAGTTGTGCGTCCCGATGAGCGACCACGAGATGTACTTATCGCTGCCCTGATTGTTCAGCAGCGGCCCAGAGTACTGCAGCGCGCCGGTGGTTGGCTTCTGCGTGCGGAACATCACCGTCAGCGAGTTCTTGGTCGGCTCCGTGTCGCTCAGCGCGACGAGCTCCGTGTGCGTGAAGATACCGCAGTCGCCTGATCCGTCGCGTGATTCCGAGGCTTAGATCGCGGCCCTGAGCATGAGGGATTACCTGGCCAGATGTTCCTTACAGTACAAGTGTCATCAGCGGGGATTGCAGACAGATCGTGGCCGGCCACTCTTCACCTGTCACGTTTTGCTCCATCGACGAGGATAGGCCCAATCACAGAACCTCCCAAGGCATTGTTGGACCAGCCACCTACAAATGTCATCCCATAGTTTGAATCGGCCCAATATTCAAATCCGTGCTAAAACATACCTCCTGCGGGCCACGGCCCCTGTCGCACCATGCGGGGAGGGATTGTGTTGTTCTGCACCGTATACGTGCCTGCTAGCGGTCAGCCCCTACCCACGCCACGCTCTGCGCCATCAGACAGCGAGCGGGCGATGACGCACCGGCGTACAAGATCTTCGCCAGGAAGTCGATGTCGTGAAACCCGGGGTTAGGTGCGTAGAAGTAGCCCGGGTACGCCTTGAGATCGTCCCAGTGGGGCATAAACGTAATCGCCAGCGGGTCCGCGCTCGCACTCACAATTGTCAGGAAGCGTAACCCGCCGCACTGCTGTCCCACGGTCTGCGCCAGCAGCCCCGTGGCGAGCGGCGCGTGGAATGTCTGGATCACGTCCCAGTTCTGCAGCTGCCGGCGCAGGCTGGCACGAGTCGTCCGACTTGAGCGGGCTGATGAACTCCGCGCACTCGGTGAGCGACAGCGAGAACTGGGACTGCGCCGTCGCGTTGTTGATCGTCAGCGACAGGATCCCCCCGAACTATAGTATGGGTGTGTCAATTGACCCTCGACGGCGCTGTATCAGGGAGGCCGCGCACCTCCTTGCCCCAGTCAAATACGACGTACGAGCCGCTGCCTTGGAAGGTCGCCTGGGAGTGCGGACTCGCGACGAGCCTGCTCGTGCCGGCGACTTGGCCGCTGACCCCATCTCGAATGTTGCGCTTTTCGAATATTAAGATGTTGCGATATTGCGATATTGCGATAGTCGGCTACCTTGGGTCTTGATCATTTCGTCAATCATCTGATCAATATCTGCCGAGCGGCCATCCATGATTGAGACATCGGTTATCAGCATAACGTTTTCAGCCTCCATATCAGAGCGGAGAGGTTGCACGTGATGCTACCTACATCACACTCTACAGTGTAATCGGTGGCTGTGTGACGCAGCTCGATCAAACATGGCATGGTTTGCGGCCGCCAGCTGCAAGGGCCCGGTTCGCTCCAGACACATCCCAATATATCCGAAACAGCGAAGGCACAGTTTCATTTCAGTTCAATCCAGACATCACTGATCCCTGAGACCTCTGCCAGAGTTAGCCGGGACTGCATACGGTGCGTCAAGTCAACTGACACAGAAGAAGCTGATAAACTTGGACGTGCCCCCGCCCGCGTCATCTTGTGCCCGCAATGTCTGCTTCTCCTGCGCGAGAGTCTCTGAGCTGGACCCCGCCCCGTTCAGAATGGACATCGCGACGAGGCAAAACGCGCACGGTCCCCATGAAGGTGCTCGTCCTAGGCTACCCAAGGACTGGAACATCCTGTGTGTGTCTCATGATCCGGTTTCGGCTCACCGCTGATGAGATCTGCTTGTTCCCGACGCTGTAGCTATGTGCAAAGCGCTGCAGATTCTCGGCTACAATGAAGTCTACCATATGCAATACGTGTTCGCCAATCCGCAGGACTCTGGGCTCTGGAGGGAAGCCTATCATACCAAATTCGTGCAAGGAGAACTCGTTCCGAGGGAGAAATGGGATGAGATACTCGGCCACTGTGAGGTCTGTGTATGCGTCGTGCCAAATCCAAGGAGTGTCTCACCGTCCTCGAAATATTGAACTTGCAGGCAGTCACCGACGCGCCTCCCGCACTTTACGTCGAAGATCTTATCGCTGCCTATCCCGACGCCAAAGTGATTCTCACGCTGCGCGATCCGGCCGACTGGTGGAAGTCGTTCTCCTCGACCATCGGACGCATGCCGCAGAACCTCATCTTCATGTTCGCCATGATGGTGGACGTGCGCGGCCTGCGCCCGTTTGCGACAATGGCAGATGAGATCATCGGGGAGCTCGTCGGGCCGAATCCCACCCCCGAGACCGTTCAGGCCCGCTTCGTCGCGCACTACGATCGAGTGCGGGCGGTGGCGCCCAAGGACTTGCTACTGGAATACGATGTCAAGGCCGGGTGGGAGCCTTTGTGCGCGTTTTTGGGTGTGCCGGTCCCCGATGTTAAGTATCCGAATTCGAACGACCGCGCGTCGTTCAATGAGAGGATGACTGCGACTGGTGTGGCGACCCTCTGGCGTGTTGTAGGAGAACTAACTGCCCCCGTCCTTGGATTGCTCGCCGTCGGTCTGGCTGTTTATCTCGGGCGCAATTTTATGTAACTTCATCTTTGATTTGAATAAACAAGTGTTGAACTAATGTTGTTGTGGAGAAAATAGCCCCCACGCTCTGACCAGGTGGGAGGCACTACGTTTTTGGCACATCGACATCGGAAAGTTTCGTGATCACGGGGCGAAAAAAAAATCTTAATCGGAGCAGCAGTCTTGAGAGACGGGAAAGTTTCTGGTGTCGGGAAATGCCGACGAGGGTCTCTAGGTACCCATCAGAAAACACAGCATGACTTCACCCTGTGCTTACCGCGTCCCGACAGAAACAAAGCGACATTTGCGGGACATGTCTGATTGCTTCCCGTGCATGTTGGCTCCCGCGCTCTACCGCCAAAGGCTCCCGGCGTAGAGACTCGATATCTTACCTGATGGACCCGCATGCCACACGGCAGTGCCAACCGTCGATTCGACGACGAATCAAACCATAGAAACGGAATTCAGCTCTATAAAGCGGCTGAGTGGGAGGGTGAAAGCTCACCTGGTGTCATCTCTCTTTCCTTTCTCGGCGCCAGCGACTTGTTTTGTTTGCAACTCTCATCCTCCTCTTCCCTTCGTTTTGTGGCATGTACAACCTGCGCGTCTCGTTCGTTCTTTTAATTCTGGCTATTGTGATGGCAACAAGTGCTGGTAGGTCTCCCAAAAATTCTCCTGTTCACAGAGAGGTGTCTAACAACTTAATTTGTCCAGTTCCCCTCCCGCACCACCACGGCTCCAGCGACGACAAGAATGCCGACCCTCACAATCCTAAGGCTCAGTCGTCCAATCCTGCTCAGAACAGAAATCCTGGATTCAAGACGACTTCTATCACCACCGCAGCAAAGAGCACCTCCTCAACCGGTGCGATCACCAGCAAGACGAGCAAATCGCAGTCCACTCGACCAACGTCCACAGCCGCCAAAGCAGCGAAAGCGACCGCCGCTACTATCTCCCCGACCTGCGATCTCAGGGGAATCCAAGACGACCTGCGCCAGATGCAGGATGTCAGTGCACAGATCCGGGCCGTCTCCCTTCCCGCTGTCGACCCGTAAGTCTGTCCGCACTCTGTGCGCTTCACTGGGCTCCTGACGCATCGGATCCAGCCTGCGACAGAAAGTCTCCTCCGCCCTCACATTTGAGGACATCATCCTCGACACAGACGAGGCACTGGGTCTCGCGTCGTCCACCGCGAAGTTGGCTGCGCTGGAGAGCAAGGCCGTGGCGATTTCGAGCGCGGTAGATGGTCTGATGTCGACTCTCGCGGCGCTGGCGGCCAAAGATGGACGGAGCCAGGGTCCAAGCGAGCTTGATGCGCAGCTGCAGCAGCTGGCGGGCGGCGTCGTGCCGGTGATCCAGGCGTGCCAGGGTTAGAGGCAAACACACACACACACACATCGATACATATACTTATGCAGTCGTGTGTGCTACGCACAACATATGGGTAGGTATAAATAACGCAAGTCTGAGTATCAATCAATCCACATAAGGAGGCAAGGTTTCTGAACTTGGCCCATTTTGCTCATCCATCCTCCGCTGGATATCGGCTCTCAGCTCCAGCTCCTTCTCCGAGACACCAGCCCCGCTGCGGGACTCCTCGGGTAAAGGAAGAGGACGGGATCCACCGGCACCCAGGCTCCTCGGCGTTCTAGTGACCAGCACCCGAACAACGTCGTCAGCGCCAGCCGTGGCCCGCCGGCTGACACCGGGGGAGGGGATCTGGAGGATCGGGACGGCGGGCACAGCCGTACTCGACTGCGTGCTCTCCGCGATACCGGAGCTGGCGGTGGGACTCGTATACTGGGAGTGCGATCCGCTGTGCCAGTGGTGCTCGCTCTCGGTGAGCTCGGTGTGCGCATGCGGAGTGTACAAGTCCATTGGATTCACTTGCGCCATCCGGCTTCTCGTGTTTTGCGACAGCGAGGGAGTCGGATCGATCCCGCCCTCTAGATCAGCACGTCTCAGTCCCATTGCCTTCTGCCGCCGCCGCCGACGCAGGAGCCAGATGCAGATGAATAGCACCAGCACCAGCACCAGTACGACGACGACGGGGACGACGATAGGAACGACGGCCGTGTGGGATGGATCTGGATTGTTCGGCGGTGGGGACGCAGACGGGCTGGAGGAGAGCCCCGGAATGGTCGTGGGGGAAGCGGCGACCGATTGAGTGGCGATGGGCAGAACGACTGGTGTCGGTGCCCCGGTATTGGCGACGACGGTTGACGTGCCGGAGATGTTGATGCATTCGCCCGCCGCGGAGCTCGTCAGCTGGCACACCACAGCGATGTCGGTGGCAAACGGCTCCGTCCAGCCTGACGCAGACGCGATGATCGTCCTGGAGGCTGGGACAGGTGAGTATGAGTATGTAGATACGTGCCCCAGTTCGGTGCGCAACGTACTGGGTGCAGCGACTGTGGCGACTTCGATGACACCCGCCGCATCTGTGGTCTTGACCTGGCTCGGATTGAGAACCTGGTATAGGTAGGTTGTGGCAGATCCATCTGAGCGTGTGCCGATGGGAATGGGTGCGAGCGTCGCCGTCCCCGGCAGCAAACGTCCAGAGCCGAAGAGCCAGAGGGTCAGCGATTCTTGAGCCCAGCCTGGGGTAACTGCTCAGACTGGTCAGATTCTAATGAGGATCCACGGGGGGTGGGAAAACGAACGCAAAAGGAAGAACGAGAGAGATAGCAGGAGCGGCGAACACCGAGGCATCGAGCCTCGTCAGTCGCGCAGACCAGAGGTCGGCACTGCAAGTGAATAAGAACGAAGATGGAGGGACTGGCTAGCAGCAGGCAATCCACACACTGAAGGCCCAATCACTAGCACAGATTCTTAGTCTGCAACTCGACGACGGAGAAGGCGTCGACTTCTGCGGCACCGGCACGAATGATGATTTACCGCCCTCGTCGCTACAATCAGAGCGCACTGCTTCCGGATGATACCCCCTAGTGTCTGGCACCGCTCATCAGCATCAATGATACATGGCCACGGGGAGCGATCGTAGACAACATTGTCATGTAGTGGGCGCATGATATTGAGCTTCCCCCTGGGAGAGGGTCAATGTAGAACGTCCGCAGAACATCACGATCAAGGAAGAGTTGAGAGAGATCGGAGCCTAATGGTGTGATGTGACAGCGATGGTCACACGTGTATTGGGTGGGGATGTGACTGAACTCTGACGCTTTGCAGGCTAATAACCCGGCTACCTCGCTAACGGAGTTAGAAAGGGTATGTACAAGAGTAACGGGAAAGATCATGGGAAGTCAAAAAGTTCCCCGACGGGGAGTCGAACCCCGGGCAAGTGCGACATTTAAATCCAAGAATGAAAAGCACCTATGTTACCGCTACACCATCGAGGACGTGATCATAGCACACGGCACCTGCATTCAGAGCCAGAGGGAAGTCATGTGGCTGTGTAGGGCAACTCGGGCCATTTGTTTTTCTTCTCACATTGTCACAGTGACCGCTCTTCTTCTGCTTGCCCAGTTTCCAATCGAATCTTCCCCACTCTTCGCAACAGTACAAGGTAAGCTTGCAATACACGCCTGCCGACTCCCCCGAGCGGCCCCGGACCCCCAACAGGCGTCGTCCGCACGTACAATCCAACGCTGGTGCAGTCCGGACTCATGGATTTAACATATCACGGCGTGCCCTTGCATCGTGTCGCTCACTAGATTTTTACGTACCTGTCCTATGTACCTCATCCCTCTCGCGCTCCTCAGTATATGAAGCCTCGCAGTTCTGCCTGTCTCTCTCATGATCCACGTTCCTTCTTCCCCCCACTCACAAATCCGAGCAGCTCTACATTCCCTCTTGCTGCTAATGTCGCGACATTCGTACTACACGTGTTTTAGGCGCGCTCATTCGAATTGATTGATTTCATCGAACAACCTAGCTCGCCTCGCGATAATCGCCCCACGCGCTCCCACCCTCGATGATACCACCAGGCTAACGTATACATATACTTCGCAGACTGACACACTTCCCTCACCTACGCTTCCGTCCCCCCCAACGCACCAAGCACATCCACAGATACACACCACCATCACTAACATACGGAACAGACTATGAGCAGTCCGTCGAAGCCAGGATCGTTCCGGTCGCGCATGGGCGGGGTCATGCGCCGCACGTCGACGATCCTCTCGGTCGTGCGCCCTGCCACACCGGACTCTGTTGCGTCTGGCGCCGGATCGACAGGGAAGAAGAGGTCGAGCGTAGAGCTGGCGGGGACTGACGCGGGGACGAATCCATCTGGCCCGATCGTACCCGTGGACACACCAGCACCGACACCGGCGCCAGCCGAGGCGGCCGCACCGACACCGGACTCTCAGCCGACATCGGCGCCGCTTATCGCATCGGAATCAGCCGCAGAGGCTGCGCCGGCGGTATCCCTCCAGCCCGAGACGGAGCCTGTTGCCTCATCGCAGCCGCAGGACGGGTCGTTCACGCCTCCACCGACTCCGCCGCCGCAGCACACGCATAAATCCGTCAAACGCTTGTTGCCTATCGCGGCTCAGTACACGGCGTACCCAAGCCCGATCGCGGAGTCACCCATGCGGGAAGCCGCTGCTGATGGGGATGCGGAGATAAAGGAGGAAGGGGCTGAGCAAGGGAAGACCGAGCAAGCGAAGGTCGAGCAGAAAGAAGCGGAGGAGGCGATTTCCAAGCAGAAAGAGGAGCAGGAGAATAAGGAGGAGCAGAAGCTCGAAAGAGTAGTGGACGAGGAGGGGGAAGGACAAACCAAGGATCTTGTTGAGCAAGGACCTGTCGCGGATCCATCCACTGTGCACCCAGATCCTCCGGTCTCAGAACCGACGATCGAGATGCCTCCACCCACGTACCCCGAGCTGCCTGCTCCCGAATCACAGATCGAGTCCATTCAGCCGAACCCCGATTCCCCCGTCACAGAACCGATCATCGATGCACCACCACCACCGACGTTCCCCGAACCATCTGCCCCCGAAGAAGAGGTTCCAGCCACTCAGCCACCAGTTGACCTCGAGCCTGAACACATCCCGCTGTCCGACGATGTAGACTCAAACACGAACGGGTACATTCACCCCCACACGCTTTCCATCTTCGAGTACGGCAATCCAGGCGCGTTCACCGACGAGCCGGAGGACCTCATGCAATCGAAAGACGCGGTCGACTTCATTGTGGAGAGGAGTCCGGAGCTGAAGGAGAATATCATCGCAGACGGCGGTGACGGCGAGCTGGGTCCGCGGGTCGTCGAAACGGGCTTCTCAGTCCCGGTGATCTCGATGCCAGCTCCGGACACGATGCCTGAAGTGGAGGAGGCAGTCGACTACTTCGGGATCCCGATTTCGATTCCGATTCCGATTCCCATCCATGATTCAGCTGCAGGACAGGGTTACGATGTAGGAGATCGCGCACCGGAATCTGCGGTTCCTGCCGAACACGAGATCCCGAGCATGCCGACTCCAAGCGCGAGCGTGCAGATCGCAGTTCTAGGGCCGGAGGAGGCTGAGAACCCGTTTGCTGATCCGCCGCAAAGTACCTGGGACGAAGTGCTGAGGGTGTGAGTCTCAAAGCAGTCATTGTCTCACGCTGTGTGCTGACCTCCGCTTCGCGCAGCCCCGAACCCATCCCCATCCCCGTCCCATTTTCGGGTGGATCCCCGGGCAAATCTGGCACCCGCAAGAGTGTGCTCTTCGAACAGCCGGATGCGGAGCGCCAGCCGTTGCTGGGCAATGCGCATTCAAGGGGATACGATGCAACGAGCAACAGGATGCCAGCGGGGACGCCTATTCCACCGCCCCATTCAGACCTCCCGGGTGCTGGCTCGCACACGTTCGGCTGGCTGACGTATACTCTCCCAGACGGCGCGAAGACGTATTATGTTCATCCCGGACTACATCTCGTCACTGACGTCGACCTGGAGCGGGTCCTGCGAGCCGAGGTCCACCTGGAGAATGTCCTGGGAGAGGTGTGGTTGCGAGAAAGAGAGACTAGTGGGCCGAATAAGAAGATGAAGCGCAAGAGTAGAGGGCGTGAGCCTGGTCTCGTCAAGTGGCTCGTCGATCACACCCGGAGGGAAGTGTACAGGGCGGGCAGCGATGAGAAACGTGAGCTTGTTGCTCCTCACACACCCTTTTTGGTTCCTGACAAAATCTAGATGCTGAGATGGAGCACCGGTACTGGAGCTACATGGAATCTCACCCGGCGCATGCCTCATTGGGCTTCGCGGCCCGGAAGGAGGCAGCGGATGTACTGACCTGGTGCTGGGCGGACGCGCTGTTGCCGCTTCCCACGACTCAGCGGCCCCCATTTTCCCAAACCGAGTGTCAAGAGCTGTTGGGTGTTTTGCGGTCGTTCGGTGAGTGCCCACTATCTTCTGCCCTTGTTTCCGCTCACGCATTTGTCCAGACGCCCACCCAGCTGCACAGGACGGCGGCATACAGAGCATCGTGCTTACGCGCCTGGTCTCCCGGATCCTGCTGCGCGTCGCTGATTGGCGGGAGAGTGAGAAGCAGCCAGCACCATCCGTCCAGCGCATCGGATTTGCACGTCGGACGGCCGATGTTCTACTCACCGCCCTGCTACTCGGGATCCCGTACATGTTCTACCGCAATCGAGTCAACGAAAATAGTGATACCGAGAGCCAAAACACGACCCGCAGGAACGCGCTTCCCGTACTGGTTATCGCCGCGACATCCTGTCTGCTCGCCGCTGTGCTTCTCAGTGCAGCAGTGACGCTGCTCACCAGTAGCTCTTTCTCTCCATCCCTACTCCTTGGCCTCAAAATCGACATCGATGCAGCATGGTGGGCTGTGCTTGCTTCCGCCTTGCTCGCTGCGGGATCGATGGCCGCCGGCCTCGTCGCTCTCGCCCGTGTGAAAGCCGAATGGGAAGCATCCCCGGAAGTCGGATGGAACGTCGTTGGGCCTGGCAGGATGCGGACGGAGGGGATGGTCGTCGTTTCGGTACACAGTCCTACTTTCTTTCCCGAATACTGCGGGCGCTCACAAACCGGTCTACAGACTCCCACATTCGTCAAATCGCTCCCTCTGGCCCTGCTCGTGTATGCGCTGATCGCGTTCGTCGTCGCAGTTGTGCTGTATTCTGGCTCTCTCCCGAAACAAAGCGCTCGTCCGGTCGTTACACCTCCCACTGCCACCGCATATACAACATATGCCCGCTGGACGATTCTCGGCCTCGGAGGCGCTGCCGCAGGTGTCGTCGTCGCCGCATTGCTGGTTGATCGCGGTCGTCGCTGGACGTATTATTGATCTATGTCGAATGGAATATGGCCGGACGAATAGTTGTCGCTATCACGACCGTCTTATCTCCCAAATGTTGTGTATTACGCGCTGTAGCACATCTCTTTGTACTCTATGTATCTAAGTTCGTATGTTCGGCATCTGCGCAAAGAAGATTTATGTGCTTGGAGTGCAGGGTCTAGATTGGGAGGAGTCAATGTCAATAGTTTCTGCTGAAACTAAGCACTGACGTATTTTGAGCCCGCGCGGACAGAAGCAAGACTTCGATAACGTTTACTTCGTGCTGGGAGTTCAATCTGAATCATTGTAAGGGGGGATGATGATCTACAGTCAGCTGGGAGAGATATTGCCGTGCAAATACTCGAGTACCCCGCTGAAGAACAGTATGAGTTGTTGCGTGTAGGGTCTGCCAAGTAGGTTATGGGGCGACTTTCTCAGTGGTAGCACTCAGGGTCACGAAAAAGGGAACGTGCAACCGTCAGTACTCGAAGCATCCGTCTTGGACGCATGTCGAGGGATATTGGGGCCTCACAAATACTAGAATTCTGAAACTCGAGTTTCCATGAAATTCCTTGCCTGCTGCTACCTCCTTTTCTCAATTGCCACTCATCTTCCAACGGGTTCGAGCAGACGTCCCGAGATTGCGGAACGGATTTCGGGTCGATATTTGGAGCCAGTTCTTCGTATTCAAGTTTTGGTTGATTGTTGATGGAAAACTTATGAAGGATACTTCGAGAAAAAGAGAACATTAGCCCACCGCGGGGGTCGAACCCGCAGCCTTGAGATACCATCGTCCTGTAAGACTTAAGAGTCTCACGCTCTACCGATTGAGCTAGACGGGCACGGATCACACATGGAACCTAGCATCCCAATCCCAGAACCATCAGCAGACGAATCCCAGCACCAGCTCTTGTCTCATCTTTGGATACCCTACGATACCCCTTGTTTAGTTTTTGTGCCAACTTACGATTTTCGATGAAGAGTCAAGCACGGTTCCGGCTGAGCGCAGATAGATCGGCGGTGGGCTTCTGAAACGTCTCGAAGTTTGTTACTTGTAATTTGAACAAGGCAAAACTTGCACTACAGCAACTGCTAAAATATTTCGAGTTCGGCTGCCTCGGGCGACCTCAGAAATTAACGATATGGCTTGGCATGGGCTCAGAAGCGTTCTCAATTCTACGACGATTAGCCCTCCGCTCCTTATCAGAGCATTTTAGCTTGTGACGGCGCTGTGAGACTCTGACGCCCGACTTGCCCGTCACTGAAATAATTCTGAACATGTCTTTGAAATGTCGCCGTGCTTCTTACGATCGATGATCTATCGTGCGATCAAAGCCGAGATTCATCGGACATTTGACAGGCGCACACATGTCAATCACTGGGCGCTACAATTTTTCATTCGCATGCTCTGAGTCATCCTTCGCCTTCTTTCCTGCTCCCCTCATGGACTCCGCTCTCTTTCGCGCGCGATTCGCTAAAATGCTCACCGGGCTGCCTCTCCGGCTGTACCGCGCGCTCCCAGCCGTCTTCATGAGCACTCTCTTCAACGTTCTCGATGCAGGTCAGCGGCACCGGCTAGATCTGTGTAATAGACCGATAACCATTTAGGCTTTTCGCGCATACAGTGTCGACCGGCATCCTGATTTTCCCCACCGACGATTCTGTGTTCCGTGCGTTGCAGCTTCAGGGCGCTGCGTTGTATATCATGAGGTGCGTTGCGCTCTGGGGTCGGATCACCACCACATCTCATGCAATCGATGTCATAGCACTATCATCTCTCAACTTGTCATCTCCCTCGGCGGATCCAAGTTCCATGGCGGCGCGGGATCTATGTTGCTCGAGATCCTGCCGTTTCTGCGAGGAGTGGCGACGGACATTCGAGAGGTCCTGGGCGAGGAGCATCCCGGGCTGATCCCCACAGTCATGGCGGCATATGCGCTGTCGTCCTTCCTTACCGGCGCACTCTTCATGATCATGGGGTTGCTGAAGTCGGGTGCCCTGGTGCGCCGTGCGTTTCTCTGCCGCACTCACATAAATGCTGACGAGGAGCCAGGTCGCGTACTTTCCCCAGACCGTTCTCACTGGTGCGATCGGAGCCATTGGCGTCTCGCTGTGCGTTCTCGGTCTCGGTCTGCCTTTTCCGTCGACTGTCCCTCCTCTGTCGCTATCGAATGCAGGGACCACTCTCTTCGCTAAGAGCCATCTGCCCCTCCTCGCCGCCACCGTCGTCCCGTCAGTCATGCTCTGCCTATCACTCCGTTCGAGGTCTCTAGAAGTTGCCACGCGCGGTGCGACACGCTCCCCGTTCTACATCCCGACGTTCTTCCTCACGTTCATGGCCGCGTTCTGGATCGTGGTCAAGTCCGCGCGGATCAGCAATGGCATGCTCGTCGACCATGCATGGCTGTTTCAACTGGAATTCGCGCCGTCGGGGACCCCGACATGGAACTACTGGGTGCTCTTCGATTTCGTAAGTCCTTTTCTGCTGTCGTTTCTGCGGCAGCTGGCTGAATCTCTTGTTTAGAAACGGGTCGAATGGTGGGCGCTTAAGAGCGCGATCCAGAATATGGTCGTTCTCGTGGTCATCGGGTGCGTGTCTCCGGCCTGCATTTGTCGCCTACTCACGTGTGCAGAGTGCTCAATCTCCCGATCTATGTACCGACCATCGCCTTCTCGCTAGACGTCTCCTACGATATGAACTTCGAGTTCTTTGGAACTGGCCTGGCCAATATTTTTGCTGGAGTGGTGGGAACAGTCCCCAACATCATCGTTTGTGGTGTTCCACTTGTGTGACTGTAAACTCGCTGAACACACATCCCAGCAATACTCTTACACAGTCTACATCACTCGTGCCAAGGGTGGGCGCTTCGAGATGGGTCTGGTGACGCTCCTCACCGCTGTCCTCTTCTTCTTCGCGGGTAACCTGCTACCTTACATCCCAACGATCTTAGCGTCGACTGTGGTGTTGTTCATTGGTATCGAGCTGTCGCTGGAGGCAATCTGGGAGTCCTCCAAGACGCTCGCATGGATGGAATATGCTGTCGTCATGAGCACCCTCTTTGGCTGCACGTTCCTGGGTTTCGCGGAAGGATTTGGTGTGGGCATCGGCTCTGCCGCGCTGGTGTTCCTGGTCTACGGTGTGATGGACTCGGTGCGTCTCTCGTGCTGGGCGCGATGGCTTCCCTCCCAACCAGTTCACAGCCTGCCCAAGTGACGCGCTGGAACGAATGGAACGAACTTCAGCAGATCCGCGACTACGGAAACCCCGAGAGATCCAGCCGCGACTATGCCGAGACCGGAAACAGCCCGGTCATTGCGCGATTCCCCGCTGCCAGAACCCAAGCACCTCCTGCCATCACCCTGGGCTCGACTTCGCGGGATATTCGCCCGCAGTCTGCAGAACCCTTGGCTCCGGCGAACGATGTTGACACACTCTTGGAGCTGAACACCCGCGTTGTCGTTCTGCCGGGATACGTTTGTGCGTGCGATTGCATCGGTCTCCGGTGCTCAGCGCTGATGTACTCTCAGTCTTCGCATCTGTCCCCTCCCTTGAGAGCTCCCTCCTCTCCTCCGTCCACCCGCCGACCTTCTTCGTCCTCGACCTATCGAACACGCATCGCATAGAAACAGCGGCCGCGCGCTGTCTGCCGCGCTTTTCGCGGGACCTCGAGCCCAAGTCGAGTCGGCTCGTCCTGTGCGGTGTCCGGCGCGGGACGGGTCTGCATGCGGATTTCGTCAGAGCGGAGACGCGGCTGGCGTATGACGACCAGCCGGCTGCTGCTGAAGACGAGGGTAAGCCGATCCGGGCGTTCGAGAGCCGGGCAGAGTGTCTTGCCTGGTGTCAGGCAGAGCAGCAGAAGCAGCTGAGGGTCAAGGATGATGGTGCGTGGACCCTAAATGCCAGTCGCGGTCGACGACTGAACCAGAGTCGCAATAGGCTTGTCCATGGACGAGAAGGAATCCGCGTTCCAGCGGCTCTCGGAGTCATCCGCCGCAGAATCCTGGTCGTCGCTGGCTCGTTTCGAAGCGTCCGGTGGCGAGATCCGTCTCCTGCTGCCCGGCCAAGTCCTGCTCCCATTCACCGGTAAGGCCATCCAGCCATCCAATACCACGCGTACTTATTCTTACCAGGAACCGTCTTCGTCGTGGAGGGCCAGCTCTCTCTGCTCCCCGATCCCGGAAACACTCCCTCTGCTAGGGGTTCCGGTGCTCCAGCGATCAACCGCACATCCGTGCAACGGCTCGTGGCGATGCTTCCCGGCGAGGCGCTCAAGTTTGTCCGCTCGCGACTGCGTGTGATGATGGCTCGCGATGCCTCTGTGCCTCAGGTCCTTGGTGCGGGTGACCAGCTTGACTTGTCGCTGTCTCCCGGTCGTGCCGTTGCGAAGACACGCACTGTCCTGGCCCTCGTAAACTCGCACGCCACTAGATAGTCACCAGTTTATGGTAATCCGGGTCAGACTAGAGACAACTAGAAAAATGTTGCCAGTCAAGTAGAATGAGAAACATTCTGTACCGGACTTTAGCAGTGCGACACAGACCGACGACAGACGTGCGGATGGCCAGCGGGATCCGCTATTGATTACAAGGACGAGCAGAAATCCGAATCGGGTTCGACAAAGGTTGATATGCGATCGATACACGTTAAACATCGCAGAACGGGTTAGGAATGCCCTCAAAGCAAAAAAAAACTAGCCCACCGCGGGGGTCGAACCCGCAGCCTTGAGATACCGCCGTCTTGCAAGACATAAGAGTCTCACGCTCTACCGATTGAGCTAGACGGGCTGCGAGAACTGATCTCCCGCATGTGTATATATTAAGGCTCAATTAGACTCCAGTTCATTCGTCTTGGTCTGCTGGACCTCCCTTTTTAGTTTCTGAACGTAAATGACTATGGTCAGGAGATAGATCTGATAGGGGATGGTGAATCCCATTTTCCTACGGGATACCTGACATGCATGCTGTGATTTCGGCTCTCGTGTGTTCTCCTCGGGTCGTCTCGCGTCCTTGCAATAATTTCTTCCTCGCACTCCTCTCAGGCAGAATTTTATCCCGGGACGAAGATCTGACTACTCAAATCAATGGATGGATAATTTCAGTTTGACAGGACTGCGAGGAGTCCCTTTTTTGTGAACCTGTAGCGTTTCAACCCAGATCGCCCGATTCGTAGACTTGCTCCTCTGTGTGTAGAATTTGAGGCCACCAAATTCTGAACTGCACTCGCCCAGCTCTAAATGACTAATGACAGACGCCCACTCAATCCAGCAACCTGCATCAACGTTTCATCATGCCCAGACGCAAAAGCTCGAGAGAGACAACCGCACAGAGATTCTAGAGATGCATTCCTGACGGTTGTCCATTGTGAGATTCTTCGGCTCAATGCTCCAGGCCTCTGAACATTTCAACGCGCGGAGATGATCTCCGTTGGTTCTGGTTCGTTCAAATGATGACCTCGGAGCCTGCCGTAAACTGGTGATGGGGTCAAACAGCGTGCCCTCTATTTCTTCACCGTCATGTTCCATATCTCAAACAACGGATGCAAATTATCGCGGAGTAATGCGCGCATCGCGGGATAGAAAGGCCAGACTGAATGTCTACCCCGCATCTCGCTCAGCTCTCTGCCTCCCCTGGGTCGAGGCTGTCAATCTGGCCTGCCTGGACCTTGGGAGAACACGGATAGAAGAGCATGTCAGCTGAACCTACCCCCGAGTTCTTCTATTTACTCATCCGACCACCAACATACGGTTCCTCCGGATTACCACACTGCTCCTCGTTCCATCCCTCGGTGTCCTTTTGTATCGATACCACACAACCATGGCGATGAAACCCACGATCGTGATTGGGGGAGGATTGGCCGGGCTGAGTGCCGCGCACACGCTTTTGGAGCGGGGTCAGACCGTACTATTGCTGGATAAGAAGCCGTCGTGCGTCACCCCTCCCTTTTCATTGGGGAGTCAGCGAGGGCTGACGGTCGCCAGACTGGGCGGCAACTCCGTGAAAGCGAGCTCGGGCATCAACGGCGTGTACACCAAGGCACAGAAAGATGCCGGCGTCGTCGATAGCGTCGACGCATTGTGAGGGCACCCTACCGAAACTCCCCTGCATGCTTGCTCACGCTCACGCTCCATTCAGCGCGGCGGACACGACCACCTCCGCAGGCTCGCTCGCTCAGCCCGATCTCATCGCCGCGCTCACGGGAAGCAGCGCCGCGGCCATCTCGTGGCTGACGGACACATTCGGCGTGGATCTGTCCATCGTCGCGCGGCTCGGCGGGCAGTCTGCTGCGCGCACGCACCGCGACAAGGGCGGTGCCCCCGGGTATGCGATCACGGGCGCGTTGATGAAGGCGCTCGAGGCCGCCGGTGCAGCGAAAGTCACGATCGTGAAGAACGCGCGGGTGGTGAAACTGGTAGAGAGCAGTGACCGCGTTGTGGGTGTCGAGTACGAGGTCGGGGGCGAGACCAAAACCGCGGAAGGCAGCGGTGTCATTCTCGCCACTGGGTGAGTCTCCGCCATCTCCCGCCGCCGTTCTTAGTCGGTTTTAAATGCTCAACAGTGGATATGCGGCATCGTTCTCCCCGGGGAGCCTGCTTGCCACACATCGCCCGGACCTCCTGGCCCTGTCAACGACCAACGGGGATCACGCGACCGGAGACGGCATCTCTCTGGCGACCTCACTCGCCGCTTTGCCAGCTGGCACGATCCACCTCGACCAAGTACAAGTCCACCCAACCGGCTTCGTCGACCCGAAGGACCCCGGCGCCCGGACCAAGTTCCTCGCCGCCGAAGCCCTGCGCGGAGCGGGTGGCCTGCTGATCGATAAGGACGGCCGGCGGTTCGTGGACGAGATGGAGAAGCGGGATGTCGTCACGGCGGCGATGCAGCGTATCGAGCAGGCGGGCCAGGGTCCGATCAGATTGCTTCTGGGCGTGGGTGCTGCGGCTGAAGTCAAGAAACACTGCAAGTAGTGGTGGTCTCCCTGCGAACCCAATCTAACCGGCTTGCAGGCGACTTCTATGTCTTCAAGGGTCTGATGAAGCCATACCCGAATGCGGAAAGCTTCTCGCTGGATACGGGGGTCCCGTTGGCCAATCTGCTAGCAACGTTCGCGGCACACGGAGCGGGAAACGATCCCTTCGGTAAAAGTGTGTCTTGCCCGTTTTCCTCACATTGTTTCTAATACATCTCGGTTAGCTGTCTTCCACAACGCAAGCTATAGCGCAGACGAAGCACTGCATGTCGCTATTACCACGCCAGTCGTGCACTACGTCAGTCCGGCCCGGCCCCCACACTCCGCTTTTACTAAGCGACATCGCAGACCATGGGCGGGCTGACCGTCGATCCCGAAGCCCGAGTCTTGTCGGACAAGGACAGGGCTCCTATCCCCGGACTGTGGGCGGCGGGTGAAGTCATCGGAGGCGTCCACGGCAGCAACCGACTTGCCGGGTCGTCTCTCCTCGAGGCTGTCGTGTTTGGTCGGATCGCCGGAAAGTGTGCGTGAGTCGGACGATCGACATGGGACGCGCCTTCTATGGGTTGGATCGAACGAAAGAGCTGCTTGGATCGGTTGGATCGATACAATCACAGCTAATGTACATATATCACCACATTTACATTATCTTTTGCATCCACCTCGACTCGAAGCCTGGTCAAAGCATTCTCTGGACATCGCTGGCACCGTTCCAGCGCCAAGACGAAGCGATCTTTGTTGATGAGCTATCGGTCCCGAGGGGGAACGGCTCAGTTAACCGGTAATCCGAGTGCGGAATGTCGGTGTTTTTCAGTGCGCGAAATACACTGGATGTTTGTTTGCATTGACCAAGTCATCGTTCTTCATGCATGAAACTGAGGTTTGAGGACCTGGAAGTATGCGTTGCCAAACTTATGGCATGTGAACCGATTCATGATCGGGTCACTTATTCAGTGACAAATCTCTGCATTCACTCACTCGAAGAGGGTGGCTCATTGCTGTGAATGCGGGCTTTGTAGGGCGCCCACAAGAAACTAAGTGCAATCTGCAAACGGCTTTCGCAAGTACATGGCAACTTGCAGATGCGCTGCCACGGCGAGGCGGGAAATAGGAACATGACTTCCAGTGTTTTCAAGACAACGGGAGCAAAAGAGATTAGCCCACCGCGGGGGTCGAACCCGCAGCCTTGAGATACCGCCGTCTTGCAAGACATAAGAGTCTCACGCTCTACCGATTGAGCTAGACGGGCGCCGATAATCATCTGATTGTAACATATGGATCAAAGTAATCGTTTTGCGTCAAATTGCGAGTGGAGAAAAACACTCGGGCTTTTTATATGTTATCGGATTTCATGTGCGGGGTGAAGCCACGAGCTGGTCAGATTTTTGAATGGAAGGAAGCTGCAGTTACTGTACTCTTCAGGTTGTCGAGCTAAACGATGGACATAGACTTATATTAGACTCACATCAACGTCCTATGATGCAGGGACTCATTCACGCTAGAGGAACCGAACCGAGGAGTGGGGACTGCACGTTCGCTCTCCGCTAGAGGTCGACGTACAATTAGGCTCGTCTTCACTGCACAGAGTAATCTAGCCGAGTGTGTCTACAGGACTGAAAAGGTGCAAATGCGATGAACCCGGGTGAGTCTCACCGTTGCATTTTTAAAGTTCATGCGTAGATTTGTGTCGCGCCTTGAAATTGTCGAGAGTCAGGCAGATGGGCTGCTCAACGCACCGGATCCATTAGAATAGTTGTTGTGATAGTTGGCGCTGAAAACATGACTTTGAGCCTGAGTGTGATCCTTGATGTGGATCTACTGTTGATTTTCAAGGTGAATAGGATCAATCTGGTTGAACTCATTCATTAGCAACGTACTGGGTCAAGGGAAGTTTACTAAACAAACGTTTGCCTCACTTGACGGAACCTACCACGTATTCCTCGAGGGAGACTACGCTAGCGAGGCCAGTTTTCAGGGACACTCAACATTACGATTTCTGGCTATTTCCAAAACAAATTCGTTACAAGGAGGACTGCTGTGAGCAAGTCCCATCACGCAAAGGGTTCAATCAATACTCCAACTCCAGAACGAAGCTCTGCGAGTCCTTGATCAGGCCGCGCACCGACTGGACCTGAACCTGGGGAGGCGTCAAGACAAAAAAACAAAAAAGCACGCCTCTGGCCAGCGCAAGACCCGCAACGCACCGGGGTAGTCGTAGTGCCATTGCCGAGATCCAGCCCCCAGATGCCGCTGCCGTCGGCCAAGTGGATCGTCACCTGGTCCGCGCAGTCTCCCTCGCGTGCCTTGAAGACGAACTGGGTGCCGGAGGAGCCGACTGTCGGGGCGAGGTTCTGTGAACGGCGAATCAGCATCGGCGGCATCCCCTAGAATGAGGGAACATCTCTCGATGTATCGACAACCTTCGACTTCGTGACCCCCAGGTACGCATCGTGCGCGACGCTCTTGATGGTGTACCGATCGCCGTGCTTGCTCGCAGCGCGCGAGATCTCCCACTGCGCCGGGTGAGCAAACACGGTCACGCAAAGACCACACGGTGGGTGGCGTCGAGGAGGAGTGCACGCACCAGAGCGGTGTCCCCCGGGTATGCTTCCATCTTGCGCGACGTGAATATCGACTGACTCAGCTTGTTGCCGCGGACGGGGGCATTAGACATGAAGTCGAGGATGCGGTAGACCCCGGCCTCGACGGCGCAGCTCCCTGTGGAGCCGTGGAATCTGTCGCTGTCGAGGTGGTGCCCGAAGCTCGCAAGTTGGAACGGAGTCTGGAAAGACTTGAAGCTGAAGAGCTGGGCCTTGGATCCAGGGACCCGCCCGGACATCCTGATCTGTTCTGTGTTATGAGCAGGCCCAGATCGCGCGCAGCGAAGATCGCACATTTTGGCTGACATCGCCGCCATCCGAGTTGAGAGTCCAGACGAGGTTCCTCGAGACCGCGCTGTGGACCTTGGACTTGGGTCAGGATGCGAGTTGCATGGGAAGCCACATCAGAAACTCACGACGAAGTAGCCGGGGTTACCGGCCGCGGCCTCCAGCATGAAGTTTTCGTAATCGTCCTGGGAGCCTGAGGCCGAGACCCAGTTCTGCACCATGCGACATTTAGACGGACGCGTCGGCAGAAGTGGGAACTAGAGGTCGCACATTTTCATCCACGCTGATGGGCGAGTTGAGCCCGACATGTTTGAGCGAGATCATGTTCTTGTCCTTCGCGGTCAACTCGAACTGAAGGTGCACACACCGCAAGTCAGACTAAGCGCGGGTAGCACCGTATAGCGCGCGCTCTGTGCGTACCAGTTTGTATGACATGGCGTCTTCGGTGGATCGGCTGACGTAGAGCGGCTGGCCAGGGATGTAAGAGCGAGCAGCGGCGCCTTCGAGCCCCTTGCTGTAGATCTCGTAGATCCCCGATTCGGGGTTATTCTGCTCGACTCAGCTCATCAGCGCTCTGGTTCTTCGTCTCCCCTTGGCCGGTGAGAGGAGGGACTTGCCTGGAAGGACGAGGGTGGGTATGCATCGACGCTGCAGGAGACGAGCGTCTGCTGCTGGAAGAACAATGAGGGAGCTGCGTTCGCGAAGGATAAAGCCCCGAGAGTGAAGGCGAGGAGCTGGGAGAGCATGGCCGTTATGCGATCTTTTCTTCTTGTTCGCAGTGGGCGTCCCACTCGGCAGTCGACGGTTTATAAAGCCAGGGAACCCTGAGCTTGGACCTTCTGGGCCGAGCTGGGTGGCGAAAGCCCCGAGTTCAGAACCTGTTCGCAGGTTTTAGACCCAGTGTTCAACAAGCTAAGCACGGTCATGTGGGCACAGTTAGCCTTGCATGATGCCGAGTGCGTCGTCGCCTGTCGTAAATGTGTCATAACTCCGGTTGTGTTTCGTCATATGCAAATTGACATGGTATGAGATGGACACAAGACGCAACGTATACATACAGTCATTAGAACCAAGAAAGTATTTCGCCAAATATCAAGGTACCGTTGGCCATTAAGGACATGGTCTGTTTTGATAGATGCGATCGTGATTTGAGCTTGGGGGTCTTAGTGATGGATGTGACACACTGTGACATGATCTCTGGTCGTCATTTGGAACACGTCAGTAGTGCTCCCTTCTTGGTCTTCACCGTCACGTGACCAGGCCACGGTGAACGCTACAGTAATCTATGCTCACCTGGGACTCCTGAGCAGCTGCAGGCAACATATGCGAATCGTTTTCATGAGCTTTGCGCCAACGAGTAACTCAGGTATGTTATACTGCCTACGACACGCGCTTTTCCGAGACCGCCATCAAGGCTTACGTGTGCAGGGACACGGTCCCGGGAAACTTCGACCCTGACTCCCTCAGATTTGCTCGTGTCCCACATCTCTGATTCATGCCTCCCTACACGGAGTGTGGCACACTCTTTCATGGTCTTATCGCTAACCGCCCGTGCAACAATTGCACTCAGATCAGTCTCAACACTTCACAAATCGGGTGCGCGACGATCCGGGTGAGTGTGGGGTGAGAAGGGTGATCGATGGCTGTGCTGATTGGCTCTGTAGACATGCCGTTTGTTCCGTAGATAGCTTCGATCGGTGTTATTCGCCACCATCACAACACGCTTATCAGAGCATTGCCACCGATTCCCCTGCCTACAGCCATCCCAGTGGGCTTGGGTTTGGGCACGCGGCAAGGGATTGAAGCAGAGGGAGATGGCGATGAGCTCATTATCTGAGACAAAGACCACGAGCACTTGCGGTCGTGTGCACAGAAACCCATGCATGTGTTTCGAGAGGACTATTGATCACATGCCTGTAAAGTCGTGTGAACATCATCAGAAATGATCGGACCGAACTCATCCGATGGCTCAATTTTTTGTCTTTACAGCTGATGCTCTGAAGAATGATACAAAGGCATTCCTAGTAGGAATCATCTGTGAAAAAAACCGGGAATATGGACTACCCTCCATTGTAGAGTTAAGGTAGGCCTCATCAGGAACCAGCACCTCATGACTAAGCATCACAGGGTGACATTCCGTGAAAGGCAATGGCAGCGGCCACAGTCAAGAAATGAAAAATATGTTCACATAGAATGTTCAAGGAGGTCATTAGAGCACCCTGTATGTGAGCGGAATCTGCATAAATGGTCTCTGAGGTTCATCATGAGAGGTCAAAGATTTTCCCATCAAAAATTTTCTATTGATGTGCAAAGTGTTTCTCAGCCAAATCCAGCACTTTCAATTTTCGGACCCGAAATTTGAGACAGTCACGTGATGTCCCAATTGGGAAGTGATGACATCTAGCACTAGAATAGGCTACATCTTCGGTATAGAAGCTCAATTTGTTTGGATTTCAGCTATAGGTGGCAAAAAACTGCTGTTCAGGTCTATTGGAGGCTGCACAAAGCCATAAAAGTTAAAGTACTTTTTTGGGACCCAAGATTTGAGGCGTGACAGCGTGATGTCACATGCTTAGTAAGGGGGGTGCTGGTTCTTGATGAGGCCTACCTTACGCTCCCCCCGACACAATCACCAATGGCGAAGCGGCTTAGCACCGCCTTTTACGTCATTGTGTACCTGCGAGTCAGCGCATATGAGCCATCCTGTCACGGGGTGCCAGGACCCCGAGCACTACATCATGTTCCATCATGGAAACAGACCATGTCCTGTATGGACAACGGTAATCAAGGGCGTATCGGAGTCCAATTTAGTGCTCACCTCAGTTACCACCACCATCACCCGGCTGCACCCCTGCGGGGGTCCTACTGGGTACCCCCCTGCGGGGCCCGCGGGGGGGGGGGGGGGGTTTGGTCCATTTGGGGCAGGGGCATATGCGGGGGTCAGCAGGGGGGGTGCAGGGGGGGGGTCTGTACATATCATGTGATTTATCATTGGGAGCGGGCAGGTGGGCGCAAAAAAAAAGTGAATCACATGACACATCCAATGGGCGGGATGGCGGCTGATGGCGGGGTAAAAAAATCACGTGATGCACCGCATGAAAATTATCAAAGATGGCTAGCAGGGGTTGGCGGGGGGTGTGTGGGGTATGGAGGCTGAAAACGTTATGCTGATAACCGATGTCTCAATCATGGATGGCCGCTCGGCAGATATTGATCAGATGATTGACGCAATGATCGAGACCCAAGGTAGCCGACTATCGCAATATCGCAATATCGCAACATCTTAATATTCGAAAAGCGCAACATTCGAGATGGGGTCAGCGGCCAAGTCGCCGGCACGAGCAGGCTCGTCGCGAGTCCGCACTCCCAGGCGACCTTCCAAGGCACCGGCTCGTACGTTGTATTCGACTAGGGCAAGGAGGTGCGCGGCCTCCCTGATACAGCGCCGTCGAGGGTCAATTGACACACCCATACTATAGTTCGGGGGGATCCTGTCGCTGACGATCAACAACGCAACGGCGCAGTCCCAGTTCTCGCTGTCGCTCACCGAGTGCGCGGAGTTCATCAGCCCGCTCAAGTCGGATGACTCGTGCCAGCCTGCGCCGGCGGCTGCAGAACTGGGACGTGATCCAGACATTCCACGCGCCGCTCGCCACGGGGCTGCTGACACAGACCGTGGGACAGCAGTGCGGCGGGTTTCGCTTCCTGACGATCGTGAGTGCGAGAGCGGACCCGCTGGCGATTACGTTTATGCCCCACTGGGACGATCTCAGGGCGTACCCGGGCTACTTCTGCGCACCTGACCCCGGGTTTCACGACATCGACTTCCTGGCGAAGATCTTGTACGCCGGTGCGTCATCGCCCGCTCGCTGTCTGATGGGGCAGAGCGTGGCGTGGGTAGGGGCTGACCGCTAGCAGGCACGTATACGGTGCAGAACAACACAATCCCTCCCCGCATGGTGCGACAGGGGCCGTGGCCCGCAGGAGGTATGTTTTAGCACGGATTTGAATATTGGGCCGATTCAAACTATGGGATGACATTTGTAGGTGGCTGGTCCAACAATGCCTTGGGAGGTTCTGTGATTGGGCCTATCCTCGTCGATGGAGCAAAACGTGACAGGTGAAGAGTGGCCGGCCACGATCTGTCTGCAATCCCCGCTGATGACACTTGTACTGTAAGGAACATCTGGCCAGGTAATCCCTCATGCTCAGGGCCGCGATCTAAGCCTCGGAATCACGCGACGGATCAGGCGACTGCGGTATCTTCACGCACACGGAGCTCGTCGCGCTGAGCGACACGGAGCCGACCAAGAACTCGCTGACGGTGATGTTCCGCACGCAGAAGCCAACCACCGGCGCGCTGCAGTACTCTGGGCCGCTGCTGAACAATCAGGGCAGCGATAAGTACATCTCGTGGTCGCTCATCGGGACGCACAACTACTTGTATATAGGCGACCTCAATTTCGTCGAGTCTGTCTGGCCAAACTACACCAAGGCGGTCGGGTTCCTTGAAGGTCAGGTGGACTCGACGGGCCTGATGAACGTCCCGTCTTTGTTCTCGAATGACTAGGGTAGGGCGGGAGGCGCCGGAAACAGTGAGCATCTGTCGCGCGCTCTCTCATTGTGTATCTGCACTCATGAGGGTCGCAGACGCTCGTCACCGCGACGGACCTGGCGACGCATCTCGGCGACGTCTCCCTCGCCGCCACATACCTCGCCAACGCGACCAAAATGCAAACCGCGCTCAACAGCCTGCTGTGGGACGCCGCTGAGGGCCTGTTCCGCAAGAACGACGTCCCGACGAGCATCTACCCGCAGGCCGGCAACGCGCTTGCGGTCCTGTACAACCTCACGGCATCGGACGCACAGAACAAGGCCGTGAGTGCTGAACTTTACATGGAGATTAAATCACCGGCAGTCGATCGCAACTCATGCTGGGAGGTTTATTTACAGCTTTTGGCCAAGTTCAAGGCCCTCGACGAGCTTCACAATATCGATCAGACAATAGACGACAGGTGGGCTTACGCCCTTAGCCATGCAGCGGCAGAGTACAAGGACGAGATCGCACCCTTACCTAACCTGAGGGAGCTTCATGGTGGTGATGGTGTCATTGGACGGAACGTTTATATGGGCGGGGTGAATAACGGCTACGGATTGGGTGAGACTGAACTTTCTCATCTGTGGGCTTTCTTCTCACGCATCCAGGGCCGGAGCATCATGCCCGATTGAATGCAATTCTCGACGAGATTGAGCCGAACTTTGGTCCCGATGAGTCATAAACTGTTGGTCCCGATCTGTACGCATGGTTCTCGGGTGAGAAGACTCCCGCGAAAATGATTGGTGAATTACAGTAATTACATGCTCACTACGCTATCCCGAATATTATGCTATCTCGAATGTTGGGCTTTTCGAATATTACGATATTGCGATGTTGCGGTGTTGCGATATTGCGATAGTCGGCTGCCTGGGTCTTGATCATTGCGTCAATCATCTGATCAATATCTGCCAAGCGGCCATCCATGATTGAGACATCGGTTATCAGCATAACGTTTTCAGCCTCCATAGTGGGGGGCGCTACTGTCCCCCCGCACACCATGGTGGGCAGCGGGCGCATTATCACGTGACTTTTGGGGCACCTTTTGTGCACCATTCAGCATGATTTCGGAGGTGTTGCTTGATCCATTGCATGCTGTCGCAGACAATGGGCGCATAATCACGTGATTTTCTGCCCAAAAAAATGGAAGCCTTCCCAAATCATCCTGGTATCATTTCTATAGGTAAATACACTACTTAAGCATGAATTTGAGCTTAGAAAGCCCAAAATGCACCCTGCACAATGGGACTGGTGATGCACTTGATCCCATCATTTGGCGGGGTCTGCTGTGGGGGGTGCCATGGGGGGTGCTGCGGGGGGTGTTGCAGGGGGTGCCGCAGGGGGTGCCACAGGGGGTGCTGCGGGGCCCGCTGTGGGGTCAACCACAGGAGCAGGGTTAGGGGTGCATTGCATCATATTTGTCAGGGGAACCCCCGCTTTGGACCGCTCTGCCTTCGATCAGGCATGTGATCGCGCTTGCATGACCTGTCAGCTGTCATGTGCCACGGCCCGGACTGCCGTGCCAAGCGCTTCTCTCTGATGGGCACATGGTCAGGTGTCCCATCATTCCCACTGTCTCGGTTTCCTATTGTTCTCCAACGGCCATTGTTCTTTGTTTGTTGCTGTGCGCTCTATTGTTCTTGTATCATATAAATAGTGGCGCCTGGCAAGGAGAATCCCCAACACGGTTTCTCTTTGGATTCTCCCTTGCCAGGTATGCTGGTCTTGTACCTAGCTACCACTATTGACACTTTGGATTCTCCCTTGCCAGAACTCTGAGATCGGGTCTCGAGGTTGCCCTTACAGCAGAAACCGTGTTCCTAGGGATAACTGGTCAAGATTGCGAGGTTCGACGCCGATAGTAACAGCGGAGACGAGTCAATGAGCGACCAAGACCGCCAATCCATCACCTCTTTTCTTGCCCCCTCCTCCCCTCCACAAGCACACTCGACCAGCATGGAAGACGACAACTCCCAGCATTGACTGTCCGCCCTGGAGACCAGCATCCAGAACATCGAAGCCGTACTCAATCGGCTCCTCAACCAACCACAACCCCCTGCCCCTGCACCAGCTCCGGCAGTGGGTCCAGGTGTTTCTGCTGGCTCGCAGTCGAACACTGCGTGCCCCCTCATCCGTCCCAACCCCCCCTTCTTGTTCAATGGGAATCGCACCTTGGGCAAGAGCTTCTTGCACTCAGTGAAGCAGTACTGGCGACTGCTCCCTGAGGCGTTCTTCGTGAATGGGGTGGTCGCTGAGGAGAAGGTAGTCCGCTTCGCCCTCTCCTACATGTCCAAGGACTCGGCGGCCTCCTGGTCCGAGCGCATGTCCGAGCGCACCCCGTTCCCGTTCCCCACTTGGGTTCTGTTCGTCACCAAGTTCAAGCTCCGATTCGTCGAGGAGAACGAGCAAGACCACACCTTGGCGCGATTGGAAACCCATCAGTATTATATGGGCTCCCGCGACGTATTCAAGTACACGGACAAGTACGACGACCTCCTTGACCTCGCTGGTTATACCGACAACTTGGTCAAGGTGACCAAATATAGGACGGGCTTGGACCCGAGGATCAACCAAGCCATCACCACCTCTGGTAACCCTCCCAGCCTCACCGACTACGCCAAATGGCGTGTCCGTGCGTTCCAGCAGTACAATGCGGAACTCGCTGCCAGAGCTTCTCGAGGCCACGCAGCGCCTCCTCCCCGAGCGCCTGCTGTTGCCCCCCGTCCTTGTGCCCCAGTGCTCCCTGCTGTAGCACCGGCCCTCGCTGCCCGCCCGGCGCCCGCCCCTGTTGCCCATCCAATCCCCATGGAGGTAGACCGGGCCCGGCTCCGTGGTGACATTTGATGCACCTGCTTCCGCTGCGGCAGTCCGGGTCATCTTGCCCGTGACTGCCCCACCCCAGCTGACATACGTCACGCTGATGTCCTTGACAAGGTCATCAATCAGCTGGGGAGTGATCTGCTTTCCGAGTTGGTTGCTCGGGTTGCGACCACTGCAGCCATTGCGGATCATGCGTCCAACGTCGCAGCCGAGGAGGAGCAGGGTTTTCTCCCCAGCGACGAGTGAGTAGTACGCCCTCGTTCGCTTCACGTAATTGTTTCTCCTGTTTGTATGATGAATCCAATTCCCTCCACTCTGCAACAGTTGAAGCGATAGACGTACACCCTGCTCCCCCTCTAACCCCACGAGTCCGTAAGGAGAAGTGGGAATGCAAGCTCCCTTCCTGCTATGTCGCTGCCGCCTCTCCCGGGGCCAATTCTCTCCACCTCCCCCTCCAGATCAAGTCCACCGACAACGCAGTGAAGTTATCTCTCAAAGGCCTGGTGGATTGTGGTGCCACATCCGACTTCATCAACTCGGCCTACGTCCTCGAAAATCACCTCCCTGTTCATTGCCTCACCCAGCCTATCCCCGTTTACAACATGGACGGCACGCTGAACGAGGCCGGTTCCATTCACGAAGTTGCTGATGTGGTTCTCTGTTACCAGGGCCACAGTGAACGTGTGCAGCTTGCTGTCACCCGTTTAGGCAAGCAGCAGCTCATTCTAGGGTACTCCTGGCTCCGGAAGCACAACCCGCAGATCAACTGGGATACCCAGGAGGTAAAGATGAGCCGTTGCCCTTCCAGTTGCTCCACCTGCCGGGAGGAACTTCGCGAAGAACGTCGATCTGCCAGAACCGTGGCCCGGGTGCTTCGCACCATCAGACAAGGTCCAGTTCCATCCATCTGCGCTGTCAACGTTGAGGACCACGAGGACGAAGAGATGCCGGAGCTTTCACCAGACTTGGACGATTATGACCCCAAAGATGTCGAAGAAGATGATGACTCCTTGGAAGCCGGTGACCGTATCTTTTACACCCGCTTCAACCCTTCTGAAAACATCCGAGCCACCAGCACCGTCTCTCAGCGACTCGCCGAGGCGTTTGCTAAGAACTCTGCACCTCCTCGGGATACCATCCCCGAGTGGGCCCGCGAGTTCGAAGATGTTTTCAGCAAGGAGTCTTTCGACAACCTGCCAGAGCGACGCCCCTGGGATCACGCCATTGAACTGGTTCCCGACGCGAAGCCGACCAACTGTAAGGTCTACCCCATCTCCCCTCTCGAACAGAAGCAGCTCGAAAGCTTCATCGAGGAGGGCATGGCTACTGGCAGGATTCGGCCGTCAAAATCGCCCATGGCGTCTCCCGTCTTCTTCGTGAAGAAGAAAGACGGCAGCTTACGGTTTGTCCAAGATTACCGAGCACTCAACGCGATGACAGTGAAGAACCGCTACCCGCTTCCCCTGATCAATGATCTCATCAACAAGCTCAAGGGAGCTCGGTTCTTCACCAAACTCGACGTTCGCTGGGGCTTCAACAATGTACGCATTTGTCAAGGCGACGAGTGGAAGGCAGCGTTTCGGACAAACCGCGGGCTCTTTAAGCCGTTGGTGATGTATTTTGGCCTGACCAATTCCCCCGCAATGTTCCAGACGATGATGAATGACATACTTCAGGACCTCATCCTTTCTGGTGACGTTATGGTGTACCTCGACGACATTCTCATCGCACATTCCGATATCCACCATCACCGGGAAATTGTGAACGAAGTCCTCCGACGTCTCCGCAAGAACAAGCTCTACCTTTGCGCAGAGAAATGCGAGTTCGAGATGCCGTCGATCGAGTACCTTGGGGTGATCATTTCCCACAATCACGTGGAGATGGACCCGGTCAAGGTCGCAGGCGTGGCGGAGTGGCCAGCTCCGGCTAACAAGAAGGAAGTGCAGCAGTTCCTCGGCTTCACTAACTTCTACCGGAGGTTCATCCGGGATTTTTCGCACGTTGCCCGTCCTCTCTTTGACCTCACCAAGAAGGACGTGGCATGGACTTGGGGCGCCAACGAGGCAGCTGCGTTTCTTGCGCTGAAGAACGCTCTTACCTCTACCCCAGTCCTGCAGCTCCCGGATGCTTCCAGGTCTTACCGCCTCGAAGCAGACAGTTCGGACTTCGCGACCGGTGCTGTCATCTCGCAGCAGTCCCCTGTGGATGACAAGTGGCATCCGGTTGCCTTCTTCTCGAAGAGTCTTCACGAGGTCCAGCGGAACTACGAAATCGACAACAAGGAGATGCTCGCCATTGTCCGCGCCTTGGAGGAGTGGCGACACTTCCTTGAGGGCGCCGAGCACCCTGTTGAGATCTGGACCGACCACAAGAATCTGGAGTACTTCCGGAAGGCCCAGAATCTCAACCTTGTCAAGCCCGCTGGTCCCTCTATCTGTCTCGCTTCGACTTCACCCTGCACCACCAACCTGGCCGCCTCATGGGCCGCCCAGATGCTCTCTCGCACCGCCCTGACCATGGAGTCGCTTCAGACAACGCAGACGTCACACTGCTGCGCCCGGAGCTGTTCCATGTCCGGGCCTTAGAGGGTCTCACTGTCTCTGGACCCGAAGCCCCTCTCCTGCGCAACATCCGGGAGGCCCTTGCCGGTACCCCCGACATGGAGGAGCCCATTGTGTTGGCAGCACGTGAGCTCCTCAAGGAACGCAGAGTTTGCTCTGCTCGGGCTGCGGAGTGGCGAAAAGAAGGCGACCTGCTCTACTTCCGTGACAAGCTGGTGGTTCCACGCAACAACGACCTCCGCCGATGCATCCTCGAGCAGCACCACGACACCTGTGTCGCAGGGCATGCCGGCCGCTTCAAGACATTGGAGCTGATCTCTCGGAACTACTGGTGGCCCCAGTTGTCTCGACACGTTGGCCGGTATGTGGCCACCTGCGACCTGTGCTGCCGAACCAAGGCGCTCCGCCAACTCCCAATCGGGGAACTCCATCCCACGGAGGTCCCTTTGGAGCGCTGGGAAGCGGTGTCGGTTGACTTCATTGTGCATCTACCAGATGCTCACGGGTATGATGCTATCATGGTCGTTGTTGACATGCTTGGGAAGCGCAGCCACTTTATAGAGTGCCACACCCGGCTCTCCGGTGAAGGTGCCACCAGGCTTTTCTACAAGAATGTCTGGCGCCACCATGGGCTGCCGTCTAAGTATGTCTCTGACCGTGGCTCCCAGTTCATAGCAGAGTTCACGCAGGAGCTGTGGAAACTGGTCGGGGTCTCATCGGCAATGTCTACCGCTTGGTATCCACAGACGGATGGCCAGACCGAGCGTGTGAACCAGGAGCTCGAGCAGTTCCTCCGGATCTTCACCAGCTACAACCAGGACGACTGGGACGAGCTGCTTCCCGCTGCAGAGTTTGCCTACAACAACCATATTCACTCATCCACGCAGCAGGTCCCGTTCATGACAGATACCGGTCGACTCCCTCGTATGGGCTTCGAACCGAATGGACTACGCTCAGCTGTGAACGAGTCGGCAAATGACTTCCGCGACCGCATCGCGTCCGGAGTGGCAGAAGCCAAGTCGGCACTGGTGAAGGCAAAGGATGAGTACAAGCAGTACTACAACCGCCGGAGGGTCTCGGCTCCAGACATCAAGGTCAGAGATCAAGTCTGGCTTGACGCTTCTGACATAGCAACAACGCGCCCATCCCTCAAACTCTCTCACCGACGGCTGGGTCCCTTCAAAGTCACCCAGGTTGTTGGGCGCGGCACTTACAAGCTTGACCTCCCTCGCCGCCTCTCTGGTCTTCACCCGGTCTTCCCCGTCGTCAAGCTGCAGCTCGTTGAGGACGACCCATTCCCAACATGCCTGGCTCGCAAGGAGCCGCCACCTGTCATGGGCCAAGGAGCTGGCGAGGAGTGAGAAGTCGAAGAGGTCCTGGACGCCAAGATGCGCTACCGGAGCATTTGGTACTTCATGCGGTGGAAGGGCTACGATTTGTCGCACGACCAGTGGGTTAAGCACTCTGATATCTTCGCAGAGGACGCTATAGCGGCATTCTACCGCAAACACCCCAACAAGCCACGCATCATTGCCGCTGCCATCTTCGACTCCCTTCCGTTCCAGCACCCCTCTGCCACCATCTGCACGTTGCGTCGAGGCGCCGCAATCCAAGGGGGGGGTGATGTCAGGGGAACGCCCGCTTCGGACCGCTCTGCCTTCGATCAGGCATGTGATCGCGCTTGCGTGACCTGTCAGCTGTCATGTGCCACGGCCCGGACTGCCGTGCCAAGCGCTTCTCTCTGATGGGCACATGGTCAGGTGTCCCATCATTCCCACTGTCTCGGTTTCCTATTGTTCTCCAACGGCCATTGTTCTTTGTTTGTTGCTGTGCGCTCTATTGTTCTTGTATCATATAAATAGTGGCGCCTGGCAAGGAGAATCCCCAACACGGTTTCTCTTTGGATTCTCCCTTGCCAGGTATGCTGGTCTTGTACCTAGCTACCACTATTGACACTTTGGATTCTCCCTTGCCAGAACTCTGAGATCGGGTCTCGAGGTTGCCCTTACAGTGTACATAGAAGGGGAAAATATCGAGACAGACAGACCTTCGAAGAAGATGAGCGACAAGAGATTGGGACCATACGAGATACTGGAGAAGGTTGGAGCGGCTGCATGGAAGCTGGACTTGCCAAACACGGACCGAAGGCATCCGGTGTTCAACGAGTCACTGTTGACACCCTATCACGAACCACCCCCCCATTGCCAAGAGAAGAGGCCCGTAGCCAAGATGATCGGAGGAGCAGAGGAGTGGGAAGTCGAAGAGATCGTGAAAGAGCGAAACGTCGGCCAAGGAAAACAGTACTTGGTCAAATGGAAGGGATGGCCGCATAGCGAGAACACCTGGGAACCATCACGTCACCTTACCCACGCAAAGAAGGTCCTGAGAGATTGGCAGAGGAGACAATCCAACCCAGACACACGCATTCACCTCCTGCCAATGCTCGAAGCCGGACATTGGGATTACCTTATCCATCGCTACAAACCCAGAGACGAACGCCTTCCATACCCCCAACGACAACTCTTCGACCCTTACAAGAACGTCTTCACACCCATTGGCCTAGTCGATGAGGACATCAACCCTAGAGAGGGGGTAATGTCATAATTCGGTCACTTTTTATCTTATCTTCGACAATCTCATCTTATCTTGGCACGACTTATCTTATCACAGATCACGGCATCAGACGGTCCGGGCTAGGGGTTCCAGGGGTTACCCTTATCGATTCAAGGCTGCGCAACATATGCTCCAGAAGGTTCTACTACAACCCATGACCAGTGCTCCATGCGGTACATAGCCCTATGACTCATTAGTTGTAGATATGACTCAGACTGGATTTGGGTATAAATACTGTAGCTACTTGGTTGTATTCTCCAGTCTTCGAATTTACTTCTCTTTTCGACTTTGTTTCTGGGTTGATTGTCACAAGGCCTCGGGGAGGAGGCGCCAGTACTGCTTGATGGAATGCAGAAACGTCTTGCCTTGGGTGCGATCCCCATCAAACGCAAATGGGGGGTTGGGGCGGATGAGGGGTCTCGAGCTGGCCTGTTGGCCAGTAGGTACACCTGGACCCACTGCCGGAGACGGAGCAGGGACAGGGGCAGGGGAAGGTTGTTGCTGTGCGATTATGAGATTGTGGAGGAGTCCCTCCATTCGCTGCATGGCTTCCTCCAGATTACCAAGTCGCTGCTCTGGGGAGGAGCCATTGTCTTCTCCTTCCATGTAGGACATGATGATTGTAGAGGGGGAGGAGGGGGCAAGGTTGGAAGTGAGAAGCGGATGACGCTGTCGACGGTCTTCACAAGCTTGTCCAGTTATCCCTAGGAACTCGGTTTCTGCTGTAAGGGCAACCTCGAGGCCCGATCTCAGAGTCCTGACAAGGGAGAGTCCAAAGCGTCAGATAAAGGGATCAACTAGTACAGGAGACTGGCAAACCTGACAAGGGAGAGTCCAAAGAGAAACCAAGTTGGGGACTCTCCTTGTCAGGGCCCACTATATATAGCCTACAGAACAATGGATGACCAAGCACAATGGAAGCGCCAGATAATGGGGCCAGGGGACAATGAGGGGCCGGATCGGGGAGAACAATGGGAGCCGGACCGTCGGAACAATGGGGGTCCGGGCCGGAGTGTCATGTGGACGCGCTTGGCAGGGAAGTCTGGACCGAAGCATGTGACACCTGACAGATGGCGCGTGCGCGGTCACATGCAAGATCCCACGATGATCGGACAAAAGCAGGGGTTCCCCTGACAACATGTACTTACTTGCACTTGTAGTCATCCTAAGTCAACTGTATCTGGCCCATATCTCTTATGCGGACGGAAACTCACCCTAAACAGGGTCACTTGTATGGAACCCCATGCGTGAGACCTCCGATCCACCATGCTGACGGACTTGCATGCCCCAGAGCTGCAATCCACAATGCTGACGGAAGCAGCCAGAAATCGGCCAACCCAATCCGTTTTCGGATGCATTTGACCAAAAAGGGCAGGTACATAAGTGTCAAAAATGGGCAATTTCGGATCGGACCTCTTGGCCTATATACCCAGGTCCTATGCCTACCTTAGGAACAATGGCACCAGCTGACCATGGGCCATCAAAGGGAAGCACTTGGTGTGGTGGTCTGGACTGCTGCGCATGACAACTGACAGTTCACACAAGGGTGATTACATGCCAGATCCTAGGCTGATTGATTAGAAGCAGGGGTTCCTTTGACAATGGTCTAAAAGTGATCTGAGTGTACTGTACTACCAGTCAAATCAAATCAACAGTCATGCATCCTACCCCAAAAATTAGACCCCGGATTTAATTCTTTCTCAATTTCTCAGATTTCTTTGTTTTTTTTTGGGGCAAAATTCATGCCCCAATGTCGAATTGATTGAATTGGTACAGTATATAGGGTTTATGGTAATCACAACAAGCTGCAGCTTGACTCAACCAATTGTGATGATCAATTTATGAAAATGCTGGTCTCAACTGGAGTTTCTACACCATTGTAGCACCACAAGCCAGTGGGATTTTTTTGCTGGGATCATTCCAGAACCTTGCTTGCTGGGCTATTCTGATTTCAGTCACGTTTTTGTTGCGTGACCTTCCCTTCTAAACTAAGTACTAGCATCAGTTTTACTGACAGAGGTCAGCAGGTATATCCTGTGTGAGACCGTCTTCCAGAACTCATGATGCACGTGAATCTTCAGGTGATACTCTGCGAAACTTCAAACAAAATTTCCGGAAGATTGCTGTCCCGGAATTCATCAATTGTCCTGCGCGGATGCTGCGGACCATCGCATGGCAGCAAATGCTGTGCGGAGGGTCTTGGGTAAAAGTTATACATTTTGCTCTCCGCCGTGGATCTCATTCGGGTACTCATCTTCAGCACTGCTCCACTCAGACAGCGTAGAATGTTATATATGATGTTGGCACGTGTATCAGGTTCATGATGGGGTCAATCTCGATATGTCACAGAATCGCACCGAGTAGAAGAGCCGTCGTGGATGGATGGACTGACATGGCGTTTCGATTCGCGGCCTCGATCGCGGACAAATCTCGCCGCTCTCATGATTCCGACGATCGAACCTGGAGTCAGGGCCACAGAAAGTCAGGATCGATACCTCGTTCGGGGTCGGAACTGCTAAGCAATCCACGATCAATGTTGCTTCATCCAATGCGCCTCTGTATGTAAGTCGCTGGGCTGGTTTCGTGTGGAGAGTCCCATATTGGCTTCCGAGCTGGCTGTCATTGAGCAGCCATCGCATTCTGCAGCATTCAGATTACGACACGCTTCCGTCCCAACATTTACGTTTGCTATGTAAACGCTCTATGGCCGAGTGCTTCCTGTGCGCCACCGGCCTTCGACGCTGCTCGGTTCGTCGTCACCAATGACGCCGGCCTGGCCCGGAAACCGCATAAATTCGAGCTGTCCGTATTCCAAATGACACATCCACCCTCCAACTCAGATGTTCTCCAAGCTCTTCACTGTCGCTCTGGGCGCACTGTCATTCATCACTGACAGCGCCGTTCCTTCCTGGCGCAACAATCCACAACAACCGCAAGGACTGACTGAGCTTCGAGCTTCGCTGGTGGTGAGTGCAGTGGTAGAGTCTCTGCACTGCTGGGCCAATCTCACCGTTCTGGACGCGTGTAGGCGCCAATCTATCAGCCGAAACCTGGGACTTACCGTATTCAACCTTCGAACTACGGCTACGCCGAGATCCACACGTACAACGTGGGGCAGCCGCTGTTCGTCAGCCTCGGACGCGAATATCCAGGACTGTACAGCTCGGTGCGTTGCTGAGCAATTTGGCATGTGCATCCGGAATGAGATTGGTGTCGTGTGCAGTTCGAGCTGGTATTACTTGATGGCTCGAGCCATGTCTTCGGGCTCAAAAACATCGGACAAAACTCTAACGTCGTCGTAGATGGAGACAATGTGCGCACCCCGTCCACGACTGATGGCAATTCTTTCTCATACTTTTTTTAGACATTCGTTACTACGACGGATGGGGACTTCCCGCAGGGATTCACGATGGAGCGCACTGAGACTGAGGGCTATTTCCTTGTGAGAATGAATTTGGCGGCCCAAAGAAAAGATGAACTGAACAACCGGAAGGTCCGCACCACCGATGGCAGTAACCGCGTGTGGACCCTCAACCCTGACGAAGGGCCCATCGCACCACGGGTCTGTGTTTCGAGTTTTGGCGGCCTCAATTTTTCTCATGACCTCAATGAACTCTCCGTTTAGATCATGCTCGCCCCAGCGACCGACGCAGAATTGAGCGATTCTCAGCGCTTTCAATTCGTCCCGGCGAGCAGCGACGATGTCTCCCGCGTCGTCGGGCATTCCGCCAAATTCCCTTGCCAGTCGAAGTCCATCAGCTCCGCCTCTCCGATCGCCCCTGGCCGCTACAGAATCATTGACTCGTACGTCCTCAGCTGGTTGCGCAGCTACGTCGAGGGCGAGGATATGTACACCGGGATCGATATCGATTTTCCCGCGGACTTTGGCGTGGTGCGTCTAAGAAGCCTTCTTCCATGGTTTTCACCCACCGCTTACTGGGTGATTCTCGGCGTAGTGGGACGTGGCGGGAGATGACGAATCGGGGTACACCGTCACAAACGTCGGACAGAATCTGCCCTTGTCCTTGACCCCATCCAAGGTTCGTTCGATTCACTCACGCACGTGCCCATGGTGCTTGCTCCGATGAGTAGTTTTGAAAACTCGCCGTCAGACACTGTCCCCAAACTCCGGCGCGACGCCCGCCAAATTCAACTTCACCGCACGTGCGGGGGACAGCCGCCGCATTGTCGTGGCATTGACCACCGGGGAAGGTGTGTGGCAGGTTGATCTCAGTCAGAGCCCGCTCCGTGCGCCGGTATGTGCTCCTCGAAACTGCGACGGGATTCTTTGCGTTGACTGTGCCAACAGATCAAGATCCAGCCGCAGGACAACAATGTCATAGTGCAGGAGTTCAACTTCCTTTCCGATTGAGGGATGATAAGCGAGCAAATCTTACTGCAGGACATGAACGGCGCGATTGCTCTGATCCTGTATAGAATGAAACTATAGTGTGTCATGCCATGCGCGCCTTCATTTCCAATCCACATCATTAAGATTCCGCAAGAAATTTGCACGTGATCGGCAAACGGCAGGGGTCCCCCTGACAGTGCAGGTAAGGTACACGCACTCCGGCGGATCGCAAATATGAGGAGGCATAAAGAATGATTTATATGGCAGATATCGTACCATACAAAAATGTCGTAAATAGTGTAATTGAAATCTAATCTATAATGTCATCATAAAGAGTCCCCGTTTTGTCAACTACTAGCAGGTACTCGTGCTCCGCAACAATCCTTATAGAGCGCTACGGCTATCTTGAGTACGTATCTTGATCAACGCAGTGCCAAGCATGTAAGGTCCTCCTTCACACGACATCGTGACACAGCTTCACGCAGGGGATATCATTGCAAACGGTGTTCCCAGATATATGGTACTATTCAAGCAAAGGGAGATGAAGCAGGTGTGCCTTTCGAGGATCCCACAACCTGAGAACTATCTGAATTGACACTCTTGGCAGCGGCCAGCTTGCGCTTCTTAGTGTACTTGTCAAACACTGCCATTCCAGCTTCGAGAAGAGTGAGATGGATACACCCCAGGGACCTCCAATTATTACGTAAAATGGCTTCGAGGCCCCCTCTGGAGGCCATCAAACCACCCTCTACCCCCCCTGATTGGAGGCCATCCTGGAGGCGCCTTCCTAATTGGTACTCTGCCCAGCCATTCATCCACAGCCAGCATGGTAGGCTAGGCATTGACCCAAGTGTTTATATATGCTGTAGTAGTCAGTATAAAGCCTCAGACAATGTCTTAGCTCACAAAAGCTTGTAATTCTTGCTTGCAAATGGCAGACCACTGGGCGCACAAAATTCGGGATTTGAGCACATGAGCACTCCTCAGGTGCATAGAGCGGCAGTATATATGTTAATTCGAGATTGAGCATGAGGTAGCTGTGCCCACACGCAAAAATGAGATGTTGCTGAAGGGATGGTTTATGGCCTCCACAACCTCCCAGGGGCAGAAAAAAAGGTGTTGGGTAGCCCACAGGCCCTTGAATTCCGCTTCAATAGAACAATTTGATGATTATGCTTTGTCAAAACAACAGCCCAGCATATAAATTGGATGCTGGAGCATTGGCAGAACAAGCCTCCACCGCCTCCAGGGCTGGGGACCAAAAGCGGTTACTGTAGATTCAGCCACACAAACTGTGTTCATGACATTATTTATCTTCATTTAGATGCACAGGATCCTTTAGAGCGATAGCTCAACATGTGAATTGGACGCTAGAACAGATTACAGAAAAGCTCTCCACAGCCTCCACAGCCAGGGACTAAAAGCAGTTTCTTTGGATTTAGCGGCAGAAACTATGTGTTCAATGTCAGGTGTCTTATTTGAATGCCAAGGGTCCTCTATGGAGACAGCTCAGCATATGAATCAGATGCTGGAGCAAATGGCAGAACTGGCCTCCACCGCCTCCACAGGTTATTACACCTCAGTTACCACCGCCATCACCCGGTTGCACCCCCGCGGGGGTCCTACTGGGTACCCCCCTGCGGGGCCCGCGGGGGGGGGGGGGGGGGGGGGGGGGGGGGGGGGGGGGTTTGGTCCATTTGGGGCAGGGGCATATGCGGGGGTCAGCAGGGGGGGTGCAGGGGGGGGGGTCTGTACATATCATGTGATTTATCATTGGGAGCGGGCAGGTGGGCGCAAAAAAAAAGTGAATCACATGACACATCCAATGGGCGGGATGGCGGCTGATGGCGGGGTAAAAAATCACGTGATGCACCGCATGAAAATTATCAAAGATGGCTAGCAGGGGTTGGCGGGGGGTGGTGGGGGGCGCTACTGTCCCCCCGCACACCATGGTGGGCAGCGGGCGCATTATCACGTGACTTTTGGGGCACCTTTTGTGCACCATTCAGCATGATTTTGGAGGTGTTGCTTGATCCATTGCATGCTGTCGCAGACAATGGGCGCATAATCACGTGATTTTCTGCCCAAAAAAATGGAAGCCTTCCCAAATCATCCTGGTATCATTTCTATAGGTAAATACACTACTTAAGCATGAATTTGAGCTTAGAAAGCCCAAAATGCACCCTGCACAATGGGACTGGTGATGCACTTGATCCCATCATTTGGCGGGGTCTGCTGTGGGGGGTGCCATGGGGGGTGCTGCGGGGGGTGCTGCAGGGGGTGCCGCGGGGCCCGCTGTGGGGTCAACCACAGGAGCAGGGTTAGGGGTGCATTGGTACACACCGAGAGTCTGTCAGTAGCGTAGCCTCTGGCACTACGAATAGAATTAGCGAGGGCCACTATGAAACGCAGAACAGTCTGGAGGAACTTACTTCCATAGTGGACGAGGCGGCCGAATCCATGTCCCCGGAGGTGCTGCGTCTGATATCCGATCGCTACGCCAGTTTGGCTATTGCTGCCGAACGAAAGACGCCCGTCTTCAAACGGGAGTCCGACATCGACTCTACTCCTGAGTCAGACACCGGATCGGACGCGACTGGTGAGATGTCGAGAAGGTCGAATACTGAAGTCGACCCGCCTGGTGGGATCTCTGGGAACGAGAGCGATCACGCCTACCCCCTGGAAGCGGCCGAGTGGTCTGAGGATGTCGGCGAACCATCCCCACCGGTCGCCGGCCCATCGCAGGAGAAGGGCAAAGGACCCGACCCGGGCAACTGGGGGGAGATCGGATTATCCGACGCTGAGCTGGAGGAGCAAAAAGCGGCTCTCCAGACGTTTGAAGTGGCCAAAAGAGGGCAGAGCAGTCGGACACCCGACCGGAACGACGCCGGTGCTATAAGTATGGCGGGGCATCGCCCGCCCGATGGCGCTCTCCTACTGGCCGACCGCGACGTGTTCCTGAGGGAATTCGCCCGAATGAGGGATAGAATCGCTGAGCTTGAGGACCGGGATCGGAACAGAGGAACCTCGTCCCTGTCTGAGGCTCGGGAGCTGAAACCACGGAAAACTGAGCCGATGACCTCACCCGGTAAAAGGAAGACCTTGTCGCCGAAGCCGAGCGTAGAAAAGGGGCGTTCGAAGTCGACAAAGGGATCCGCTGGGTTTGTAACTAGTGTCCTGCGGGGGGTTAGTCTCCAACCCTCGGATGATGGTGATTCCAGTTCGAGCTCCTCGGATAGTGACTCCGATTCAGATGGGGGCGGTCCGCCTAGCGATTCGTCCAGCGACTCGGGCTCGGATACCGATAGTTCGAGCTCAGGCTCGAAGTCTAGCACGGACCGCTCGAGTTCAACCTCGGGGTCGTCTGCCGGAAGGGGCAGGGCCAGGGGACACAAGGGGAAATCCCGGAAGTCCAAGGCCCGGTCGAAGGGAAGGATGTTGGTTAAGCCAAACGCCCCGGCACGTTATGACGGATCGGAGAACGCGGATCTGTATACACAGTTTGTCGATGAGTCCAATAGATACTGCGAATTAGGAAACGTACCTAGGGCTCACCGAGTAGCGATAATCGGGTCGTTCCTGGATGGAGATGCGAAGGATTTCTATAATCGAAGAGTTCGCGGTCACGAACACAAATGGACGCTGAAGAAAATGCTGCGCCGGCTGCTGAAGTACTGCTTCTCACTGGATTACCGCCAGAAGCAGCGTAAACGGTTGGCCCGCTGCTATCAGAACGGAAAGTCAGTGAACAAGCATGTTCTCGAGCTCGAGAGCATCCTCCTGCAGATTGGACTTAAGAAAGATCGCGAGCGGGTAGCGCTGCTCTGGAACAGCTTCGACGCGGACATTCAGGAAGAGCTTTTCAGATTCGGCCTGGACCCGGAGAAGTCGAAATGGACCCACGTTGTTAAAAAGGCGGTGAGGGCCGAACGATTCCTGAGCCTCGACAAGCGGCGTAAACCGAAAGGTGGAACAAATAGCGCTGCTGGAACCAGTGCAGCCGCCTCGGGCAACGATTCTCGAGAGGGCAAGAAGAAAAGGTTCTTCTCACGCAGACAGAATGGAGTCATAAAAGCATCCGCCGCCGCGGTAATCCCGCCGCGTGGGAATGCCACCAGGCCTGCCTCACGACCCACTACCTGCCCTGGATCCACGACGGCCCATCCCAGAGCCCACGAGAACCAAGTGGACCGACCGTGGGAGCGACGACTTTCTCCTCAGAAGCGCGCCGAGCTCATGGCCCGAGGGGTATGCCTAAATTGCGAAGAGGCCGGTCATATGGCGCGTAGTTGCCCAAAGCTCACTACCATGAGGTCCAAAGTGAAAGGGAAACCTCCAGGGTTTGGGGCGCACGGAGTGAGCCTTCGTTTAGCTTCGCTGGGCGAGACTACTGAAGTCCTTGACACGCTGGAAGTCTCGAGCGCTTTCCCAGTGGGATTCAGGGAGGACAGAGCGACATTGGAGCGATGGTCGTGGCTCGACGGGTCAGAAGAGGATGCGGAGAGCTGGGACGACTCGGAGGACCTGGATGATGATGAGCTGAATTACACTGCGTGGGGGCTGGTCGAGAATCCGGACGTGGAGGAACTGGCCGATGGAATCCGGTCCATGACGCTGGACCCGTATCCCGCGGACTGCACCAGCCCACGCCGGCCTGAGCTTGGGTTAATCGACCGGGCCGTTGAGTTGACTGAAAGCACGGGGTTGGGATCGACAGGCGTTGGGGACCTGGCTGCCCGGTTCGCTAGCCTGGTTCTTCAGCGATGCGCCCCGTTCCCGGGCGACGACGGCTCCGAGCCCACGGAGGGACGTTTCCTGGTCTACCGCGTCCTGGGCGGGGACTACTACTGCATCTTAGATTGCGGCACACCGTTGGATATTCTCGAGGGCGATGAGCTGGTGAGATCAGCCGACTTGCAAGATCCCAACTTCGAACTGGGCTGGCATTGGGCTCAGAAATGCTATTTAGCACAGGGGGGCTCACTGAAAGTGCCGCGGAGTGCCGCAGGAGCACTCCTGCGGTACTCCTGCGGCACTCCAAATACTCCACATGATTGATCTCGACGGCAACAACGATGATCAACATGCTGTCCACGTCGGCTGAGACGTTGATGGACGTGGGAATGATCCGCGCAGGTAGCGGGACTACTCCAGACACCGTTGTCGTCGGTGGCAACGATAGAGATCCCACTCCTGCGGCACTCCAGAACATTGTGCCGCAGACTCCACAGCATACTGCGGGACTCCTGCGGGACCTCTGGCGGCACTCCAAACAAGTCTGCGGCACTCCAAAAGAGTCTGCGGCACTCCAGTGTGACGCATGTGACAGCTCTGCGGCACTCCAAAGCACAGCCACTCTCTGGAGATCGCCGCAGGCACATCCAACGCTGTCTGCGCTAGTCAATTCCTAGTATTTTCACATGAATTAGTCGAATTTCAATAGAATTGAGTATGTAGACGTCCTGAAAGCCTGTTTTTGGATCGTAGGCCTCTATGATGCCTGGGAGATGATTGTCTCGAGCTCATTGACCACCGGAAGGGTGGACTTGACTTAAATTTACAGAGAGCATTTTTTCATCTCCAAGACACTCTCAAGGGTTCTGAATACCACCTATTGTGCACGATTCAAGTTCAAAATGAATGTAAAATGAGTTATACACATTTTAGTGAAGATGAATCCATGAAGGATTGTATTGTTTCGACATTTGGGCCATGGTGGATGCCTCTAACTACTGTAGAAACCGATAAATTAGATTTATAGATCGTCCTGGACTTCTTTCTGGGCTCTGCAACGAAGCGGATTCACAAGAGTGAGCAAAAACGGCCGCCCAGAAAGCCATCAAACCACATTGATGGGACATCAGCGCCGCGAGGAGCGTTGCTCAGAAACACGGTGACAATGCCTTGGCCTGCCGATTGCTTTTTTTTGAATACTTTCAATGAAATTGTACAAACATAAATATGTAAATATCCTGCCCCGTAGGTCGCTGCGGCACTCCAGCGTGACGTCTGCGGCGCGTGACAGAAATCCTGCGGCACTCCAGGCTCGAACATGCGGCACTCCAAATGTTTTGCGGCACTCCAACGGCACTCCGCGGCACTTTCATGTAGCCCAGCACAGGGCATACACCCCGACGCGCCTGACTTAATACTCCCGGAACGATACTTCCGTACGTTGGGCGATCCTGTTTTCGCGATGACACTCATTCTCTTACAACAGTACGCACAGGAATCTCTCGGTGATGACTATGTGCACAGGGAAAGGTTATTGGTCGAGGGACAGGAAGTGTCGCCAGGTGTATTCGAGTTTGGCCGTACAGATAGTGATGTACGGATGCGAATGGAGCGTTCGACCTTACTGAATCCGGACCTCGATCTGCGCAGGTGGTACAGAGATCACTGGGACGGTAGCAGTGAACTGTACGACGACTTACCTCCCCTGGAGAGCTCCAACGAATCCGACGACGAGCTCGAGGAAGGAGCTGACGATCCGTACAACGCCTCCTGGCAAGCGTGGGTAAACACAACCTCCGATTGTGGACTTCAGCCCGACCTCTCGCCGAGCCCCATAGGCTCAATGGGGGATCTGTGTTATGAGATGTCGGAGGAAACGGTGCGGCCAGGGAGTGATCAGTGGGACTTGTGTTCCGATGAGCCCCAGCATGGGAAATCTTGTGGGAGGCAGGTCGGAGACCTCATGGCCGATGGCGTAAGAAGCCTGCTGGAATTCTGTCAGCCCTACCCTGGTGACGACAGGATAAGGCCCGACGCCCCGTGCTGGACAGGTAAACGGTTCAGCGTGGTGTCGTCCTGGTGCGAGGAAGGATATTATGTTAGAGACCGCGTAAATAGATTGTCGACATACCTGCCGAGTTCCATGCTGGAAAATCGGCACTTTGAGCTCGCCGCCTGGTATTCCGGTCGAGTGAGCGAGCGGTTGCTCATACCGTCAGAAGGGACGGCTCCGGGGCATCGAATTGCGGTTGATGACCTGTTGGGTATTCAGCTGAGCTTCTACATGGACGAGATGGTGGCATTGGACCCAGTGGCATATGGGAGTTTTGTCAACATCGAGCCACAACCCACGGAAGACAGGATCGATGGCTCAAACGTACCTATGTTGTACGCCTTCGAGATGGACCGGGGTGGTGGGGTCCTGACTCGTGTGGATGTGCCGCGTAAGAAGCTCCTGAACCCGAGGCTGGACCTGGCGAACTTGTTGGCCAGAAGACGTCAAAAGTTAGATCAGGCGCACCGCAGAGCACTAACGTATCCCATGGTACCGCCTGACAGCTGGTGGCGTGCTCGTGACATTTCGGATACGACAGAAGGCCTAGCCACGGCCCTGGCATGTCATGGCGTGCAAGTGCCGGCAGACAAACTGGGCGGGATCGCAAGATCAGCTTCGTTCCCGAAGTCGAAAGAAACCGTGGTCGCTAAGCCACTGGTGATCGTTGTCCATGTGAACGGGCACCCGCTTCGGGCGTTGGTGGACTCGGGATCGTTGGGTGACTTGATCTCGACTACAGTGGCAGATCAGCTGAGGCTGCCTTTGAGAAACCTGACCGAGCCACTTACTCTCCAGTTGGCTGTCCAGGGATCGAGATCGAAGATTAACCATACCACTCGGGTTAGGACAAAATACCAAGATATAGATGGGCACCGTACCTTCTTTGTAGCAAATATCAGCGGGTATGACTTGATCTTGGGGACCGCGTGGCTCTTTCAGCACCGCGTTAGTATTGGTTTCAATCCGTCTCGAGTGTGCGTGGGCAGCGCAGAGCCAACGCCGCTAGAAGGAGTGGCCACGGCACGATTACACACAGGAGCCACGGACGTGGAAGCCGGGGAGCTGGAACGGGCTAGAGAGGAGCTGCAACAATACGCTCGAGAAGTGTGTCGAGTGGCGGCTGAAACGGAGTTGCCACCATTGCGTGCTATTAATCATACCATACCTCTGATAGATCCGGTTAAAGTCATGCCTTGGCGAATGTCCCGGTGCCCAGACGCCCTAAGACCACAGTGGGATGAGAAGCGGCGTATTTACCTGAAAACCGGGCGTTGGAAGATAACGAATGCTGGGAACACCGTACCGATGCTGCTGATTCCCAAAGCAAAGTCCAACCCCCCTCGTCTTCGCGTAGTGGTCGATCTCCGTGAGCGTAACGCGAATACTCGAAAGATGGCGTCGCCGCTGCCAGACATGGACGGGATACTACGCCGCGTGGCGCGTTGCCGGTTTCGATCCCTGATCGATGGCCAGGATGCGTACGAACAGATACGCGTGGTTCCGGAGCATGTGGATAGGACCACTATGACGACGCCAGATGGAAATATGGTGAGCTTGGTCCTGCAGCAAGGAGACTGTAACGCACCGGCGACCTATCAATCGCTCATGAATTATCTTTTCTCAGACTATATCGGTCGGTTCATGGATGTTTATCTGGACGATATCATAATCTACTCCGCGACTCTGGAAGACCACAAGAAGCACGTTAAGTTAGTAATTGACGTTCTGAAACGAGAGAAACTATACTTGGGCGAGAACAAGCTCCAGTTTCTGAAGGCCGAGCTGAAGGTCTTGGGGCGCGTGATTACAGACCAAGGAATCCGCATGGATTCCGAGAAAGTAGACACTGTGGTGAATTGGAAGACACCCACGAACCGGGACTTGCTTCGAGGCTTCCTGGGCTCGGTAGGCTACTTGGCGGATGACTTGGCACGGGTACGCGTGCCCATGGGGGTCCTGCATGGCTTGACTGGGGACACAGTTCCGTTTCGCTGGGGCTACACGCATCAGCGCGCGTTCGAGGACATAAAACGCATTGTGTCTGACCTGAGGCACCACCACAGAGTGCCCCTGGATTACGGGCCGGACGCGGACCCTATCTTCCTAGTAACGGATGGCTGCGCCACGGGCGTTTCAGGTGTGGTGTGCCAAGGCCCGGATTGGAAGAGCGGGAAGGTGGCCGCCTTCTACTCGGCTAAGCTGAACTCAGCCCAGCAGAATTATCCGGTGCACGAGATCGAGATGCTGGCAGGCGTAGAATCGATGCTGAGGCACCGGGATATCCTACAGGGATGCCGGTTTCAATGGGTGACTGATCACAAGGGATTAACGCACCTTCTGAGCCAGCCTAACCTCTCGGGCCGTCAGGCGCGGTGGGTGGAGAAGATTTCAAGTTTTGACTTTGAAGTGGTGTACGTTCCGGGCCCAGAAAACGTGTTGGCCGACGCGCTATCTCGAATATATTCGAATGAGACGCCTGGGACAGTACGAGGAAGGTCCGAATACACTTACCACGATGTGATAGACAACGACGTGCTGGGCGTGCACAACGTATCCATGCCTGTTTTGTCCGGTCTCGAAGCAATGGCGGTCTCGTCTGACCGGGTCCTGAGGTCAAAGACGCGTGCGGACGCTGAAGCGGCGAAGGCACTGCTGGACAAATTGAAGGGCCCGACAGCGGATCGGATACAGGAGGTGGCGACGACGCCCAGAGCGAAACAGAGAAAAGAGGTTCTCGCCCCACGGGACGAGAAGGAGGGCGGGACACCAGATAGAGAACAAGAGAAAAACACTGAGAGAACTGGCGACCAGCAGGAGGGCGGGTTACAGCCACCTGCCAGTGAGTTTGATTCCGCTGATCGGCCCTCGGACCTCGAGAACGTCATGAACTCGCGGATCAATGAGACAGATCCGTCACTGATACCGGTCATACGCCAAGGAAAGGACGGACTGGACCTGGTAGAGTTCATTCGGGGACGCTTCGGGGAAGACAAGTTCTTCAAGGATATAATAGACAAGCCAAAGGAATATAAGAACTTTGAGGTGAAAGATGGATTGGTATACATGAGGGACAAGGATCACATTGTTCTATGTATCCCCAAACTAGAATACAACGCCAGATCTATCCGGGAAGTGGTTATATCAGAAGCGCACTCCGTTCTGGCGCATCTAGGCGCTCGGAAAACGGTAGACTACATGCGCGAGCATGTCTGGTGGAAAGACCTGGTCAACGACACCCGATCTTACTGTGAATCATGTTCAGTATGCAAGCGGAGCAAACCGAATAATCACGCACCTTATGGATTGCTCAACCCCTTGTCCACACCTCAGCGGCCATGGGAAGCTATCGGCGTCGATTTCGTGGGGCCGCTGCCTAATTCCAAAAATAGGGATAGCGTCTTCAATTCCATCGCGGTAGTCGTGTGCCTGCTGACTGGAATGGTTCACCTAATACCTTGTCGGGTGAACTACACTGCTCGACAATTTGCTGAGTTGATGTTCGAGCACGTGTACAAGCATCATGGCTTACCAAACGCAATAGTGAGCGACCGAGATGTGTTATTCACTAGCACGTTCTGGCAGCGGCTGCATGAGCTCGTAGGGACGGAACTGAAGATGTCGAGCGCATATCACCCAGAGACCGACGGAGCGACGGAACGCGCTAACAGAACCGTGACGCAGCTCCTGAGGCAATGTGTGAGTGACAAACAAACAGACTGGGTCACTCGCCTGCCGGCCGTCGAGTTCGCCATGAACATGGCCCGGTCGGAAACCACCGGGTACTCACCGTTCTTCCTGAATAATGGGATGATGCCGAGATCGTTGCTGTGGGAGTCCAGCAAGTCGAAGGAGTTCCCAGGTATCGCCGCTTTCCTGCTTCAACGACGCTTGGCGATAATGTCCGCACACGACGCTATAATAGCGTCCCGGGTGAAACACATCAGGACGGCAAACCGGAAGAGAATACCGGCCCCGTTCCTGGAGGGCGACCTGGTGTATCTCAGCACGAAGAACATACACTTTGAGAAAGGGCTGGCCCGGAAGCTGCTTCCGAAATTCATCGGGCCTTACCGTATCACACGCGACTTTGGGAACTCATCGTTCCGAGTGGATTTACCCCCTAACCTGGTCCAGAGGGGCCTGCACGACGTCTTCCATGCGTCTCTGTTAAGGATACACGTGCCTAACGATGACCGGCGCTTTCCCGGCCGAATGGAAAATCAATTGAATGTGGCCGACGCGGCGACAGACGCCGAATGGGCTGTGGATCGAGTCGTCGGACACGCAGGAAGTCGACGTCGAGCCCTCTTCGAGGTCAAGTGGAAGTCGGGGGACCTGACTTGGATGCCCTACCAGCAAGTGAGTAAGCTGAACGTTCTACAGGACTATTTCGACGTGCTGGGGATCAACCACATATCCCAATTGCTTAAGGGGATTAAGGAAGCCCCGCCGATCGAATTACAGGTCGGGAGCACGCGGATTGCCTGTATAGGGGGCGGGCAAGATGAAACAAATAGGGAGGAGGGGGCGAACCTGTGCTCCCACCAGATCTCTCCTTCCCCTGCAAGAACCCGCCTACCGATGCCTGCTTCCCAGACTCCCAACGCGTACGTGGGCAACGTGGTCGATGGCCGGACCAAAGCGGACGAACCACTTACCCCACAACACCTCGAGTTTAATTCTAAGCACAAGGGGACCCTGGAATGGGTCACCCCCAGCTTCCTGCTCGTTCACATGGTCGACGGCGACGCTATCCTCACGGCCCACCAGTTCAAACAGTGCCTCCTCTGGAACGAGGCCGTTAACGATCCCGACTTCGATGGTACGGTGTATGGTCGGGGCCCGGTGGGTATCGCCGAGCTCGGGGCGTCATGCAACCTGTTCGACAACAAGAGCTGGTCATTCGCTTCAGTGGACGAGAATGGTGGGATCGTGTTTGCCGAACAATACGTTCCCACGGTTCATGATGGGCTCTGCTCGGACGAGTTTTTGGCCAGCCGCGTTGCCCCGGGGATGATCACCATCACCATCTCCGAATACGATGAGGGCCGCGAGGCTATCATAGGACGTGACCGTGCTATCCGGCGTGCGAGGGAGAGACGCCTTGCCGAGAAGGACATGCCCGTGTCGACGGAAGACTACGCGACTGGGGTGAACGGAGGAGCGATGATCGCGAAGCGCCGCCAACGCATCGAAGAAGCGAAGGCGAATCGTTTGGCCGCGGGAGGAGCGGCGGCGGGGAGTGGGGCGGGGGCTGACGAAGAGATGGTTTGAGCTCGCCGCGAGCGTCGAGCTGGAGGGCGTATGTGACGGATTGATCTCTTTGATTGATTACCTGACTCTGATGACTCCCCATCATTGGTTGTGATTATTTACGTAGATAGTTCGATCGGAGTATAAGTACATAGAGGTGTACGATCGGTACACCAGTCAAATTTCATTGCTTATCCCTGTCACTCGTGGATTGACTACCCAGAAAACCTTGTGTCGGAACTCGTTCTAGGACGCTTCCGCCACATCACAACTCTCAATAGACGCAGATCAATAGTCGCGGAAGACGAAGTCGACAACAAGAATTTATATATAGCAAACAGTGGTGTCTCAACCAATATCTTCTATACAAACAAAATCCAACACCAATCAAATCACAACCAACAATATCACAAGTCAGAGCTTGATACAAAGTATTAAGATCCCTTATAGCGACAGCGTCTAAATGGCGGCAAAGCTCAAATACTGAGTGGACGCACTGCCAACCGATACAACGAATATACTGAGTCGACGCACTGCCAACTAGTAAACCAAAATGTCAAGTCGACGCACTGCCAACTGACACAACCAAAAGTACTGAGCCGACGCACTGCCAACTAGTAGACCAAAATGCCACGTCGATGCACTGCCAACTAACAGCCAATATCCAATGTCCAAAACCCAAGCACAACTTGTTGACGCACTGCCAAGCAAGAAGCATGGAACCAAAGTTCTCAAGTCGACGCACTGCCAACTGACCAAAGCAACCTGAGCACAACTAGTCGACGCACTGCCAAACTAGAGGTGTGGAAACAATCTCAACAATGCCCAAAGGCGAAGACACTAAGTGCCTCGACTAAACCAGAAGCAGCGAATCCGACTTTCTGATATCTCAACTCAAACTCAAATCACAGTAGCTACAAGTGCTCAGGGAGCAACTCGTTGCGACCAGGCAGGGATGGCAGAACTTCTTAGGGTGGAATCACGCGGCACGCAAATTGTACAAAACAATCTGATATGAGAGTGATTCACAGTCCGGGGGAAAGCTTCTTAATACAAAGAAAAGATGTGCTACTTATACTGTCTACGACGATGCTTAGTAAAGTCCTGTACAACTGCATAGTAGCTACGCTATCTAAGATCGGTTGCCTTTTAGAGTAATTGAAAGTTGGACGATCGGACAGGTCCTGAGTGATCAGGACCCCGCCCCATAGTCCATATGATACTTTTGATGTGGGTCAACCCACCGCGTCATACTTTTGGAATACGACGTGTTGGATTGGCTGACGGGTATGTCTTGGCGAGTGAGTCCAACGTGGGTGCCCCAAGAAGCCGTATGGTCCTAGGCACGCCAGTCGTTCCTCACATGGTTTGGTTCACGGATCTAGCCGTGTCGGTTTTAGTGTATTTGGGTATGGGCACGACTTGCCGTGACACTGGGAAGTGTCACCGCGACGCGTCCACAATGTCCCGTGATCGGGCAGATCCTGACATGTGACAAGTCGTCGCCGTGGCATGATCTGAGGAAACGTCCAACCCAAAACCGGGAGTTGCCGCGACAAGATCGGTTCAATCTTGTAACGCCAAGTCCTGTCCAGTCCAGTAGTAATTGTATTATTGAGAACGTCGCACATTGCTCAGCCCTTCAGCCCAAGTTCCCATCTGCAGAGAATGACCCTTTTGAGAAGTCGCCGCAACAAAAGATCCCTTTTGGGGAATTGTCGCGGTCCAAGCATTTGTCACTAATAGCCCTGAGCCTGGTATGGACTCATAAGACTAATTCTACAGTAGTGGTCTGACTGCCTTGCTATCATCGACACTATCCACAGTCGTCGACTGGGCAGTAGACCCTTAAGCCCTACTGAACGTAACACTGTCAACCACGACACAATACACCAAATGGTTCGAGAGTAAACTCTGTAAAAAGCGCAAAAATACGCCCTTACAGAGCTGGTGCAGAGTGCGTCTCGTAGCCAGCCTATCAACGACTGCCTGCTTTGACCCATGGAAGGTTGCTGTTCTGCCACCCAAAAGTTTCACATCCAATATCAATTACAGCGCAGCTGCAGATGTTGCTGACAACCAGATGACAGTGATTAGATATCATGGCTGTCTGAGTGCAATCTTCCGCACTGGGTTCTCAGAGCTCAAGAGTTGGCAACAAAGCTAGCAGTTCCAAGCCAGTATGCTGTCTGAACTCTTGGGGCGCAGATGCATAGGCAGCGGCAGCAGAGACATCAGCAGGGTTGGCAAGTGAATGTGTGGAGATATCTGCTGGTGGACCAGCTGGAGCATCAAGAGGACCTCTTAATGAGCTAATCTTCTGCATGTCTGGACTTTCAAGGAGTGCACTTCAAGGACAAATCAGCAATCAGTTGTGCAGAATAAATGATGATGAATGGCTCACTATGCTGATGAGCGCGCTGCTGCCAGCATGCCATCCTCATCCAGAGTCTTTCCATAATCTGCCAGAAGTCTTAATCATTGAAGAACAATGAAAATGAGAAGACTGTGCTCACGGGGTGCTGCTTGAATCCTGCAGAAGAGATCAATGTGCCAATGTTTCCGTCCTTGTTGATGGTTGATGAGGGAGCCGCAAAGGTAAGCTTGCCCTTCAATGTGATACAACCAGTGAAATGCTGAGGGCGTGCTCACAAGTGAATCTACTGTGAAAGTAAATCCAAATATAAATATATTCACACTCCTTGTAATCAGCTTCTCAGTGTGTGAAAGATGCAAGGGCTTTGGGTGGACAGATGTGACAATCAACCCAAAAATAAAGTTGAAAAGAGAAGTGAATTCAAAGACTGGAGAATACAACCAAGTAGCTACAGTATTTATACCCAAATCCAGTCTGAGTCATATCTACAACTAATGAGTCATAAGGCTATGTACCGCATGGAGCACTGGTCATGGGTTGTAGTAGAACCTTCTGGAGCATATGTCGCACAGCCTTGAATCAATAAAGGTAGTCCCTAAACCCCTAACCCGGACCGTCAGATGCTGTGATCCGTGATAAGATAATCCGTGCCAAGATAAGATAAGACCATTGATGATAAGATAAAAAATGGGCCAAACTATGACAACAGAGCACCAAAGAATCACGACTCTCAATAGATGCAGGATCCAATAGTCGCGGAAGACGGAGTTGATGCACAAGAGTATATATATAGCAAACAATGGTGTCTCAACCAATATCTTCTATACAGCTAAAATCAACACTAATCCAACCACAACCAACAAATATCACAAGTCAGAACTTGATACAAAGTATTAAGATCCCTTGTAGCGACAGCATCCAAATGGTAACGCAAAGCCAAAAATATCAAGTTGACGCACTGCCAACCAATACAAACAAAATACTGAGTTGACGCACTGCCAACTAGTAGAACCAAAATGTCAAGTCAACACACTGCCAACTGACACAACCAAAGTACTGAGTCAACGCACTGCCAACCAGTAAAACCAAAATGCTGTGTCAATGCACTGCCAACTAACAGCCAATATCAAATGTCCAAAACCCAAGCACAACTTGTCGACGCACTGCCAAGCAAGAAGTGTGGAACCAAAGTTCTCAAGTCGACGCACTGCCAACTGACCAAAACAACCCGAGCACAACTAGTCGACGCACTGCCAAGCTAGAGGTGTGGAAACGATCTCAACAAAGCCCGAAGGCGACAACACTAAATGCCGCGACTAAACCAGATGCAGCGAATCCGACTTTCTGATGTCTCAACTCAAACTCAAATCACAGTAGCTACAAGCGCTCAGGGAGCAACTCGTCGCGACCGGGCAGGGGTAGCAGAACTTCTTAGGGTGGAATCACGCGGCACGCAAATTGTACAAAACAATCTGATATGAGAGTGATTCACAGTCCGGGGGAAAGCTTCTTAATACAAAGAAAAGATGTGCTACTTATACTGTCTACGACGATGCTTAGTAAAGTCCTGTACAACTGCATAGTAGCTACGCTATCTAAGATCGGTTGCCTTTTAGAGTAATTGAAAGTTGGACGATCGGACAGGTCCTGAGTGATCAGGACCCCGCCCCATAGTCCATATGATACTTTTGATGTGGGTCAACCCACCGCGTCATACTTTTGGAATACGACGTGTTGGATTGGCTGACGGGTATGTCTTGGCGAGTGAGTCCAACGTGGGTGCCCCAAGAAGCCGTATGGTCCTAGGCACGCCAGTCGTTCCTCACATGGTTTGGTTCACGGATCTAGCCGTGTCGGTTTTAGTGTATTTGGGTATGGGCACGACTTGCCGTGACACTGGGAAGTGTCACCGCGACGCGTCCACAATGTCCCGTGATCGGGCAGATCCTGACATGTGACAAGTCGTCGCCGTGGCATGATCTGAGGAAACGTCCAACCCAAAACCGGGAGTTGCCGCGACAAGATCGGTTCAATCTTGTAACGCCAAGTCCTGTCCAGTCCAGTAGTAATTGTATTATTGAGAACGTCGCACATTGCTCAGCCCTTCAGCCCAAGTTCCCATCTGCAGAGAATGACCCTTTTGAGAAGTCGCCGCAACAAAAGATCCCTTTTGGGGAATTGTCGCGGTCCAAGCATTTGTCACTAATAGCCCTGAGCCTGGTATGGACTCATAAGACTAATTCTACAGTAGTGGTCTGACTGCCTTGCTATCATCGACACTATCCACAGTCGTCGACTGGGCAGTAGACCCTTAAGCCCTACTGAACGTAACACTGTCAACCACGACACAATACAC